TTGGTAATTGTTTGCTTCTGAAACAAAAGAGAGTCCCAGGCACATGCTCTGTGTTCTCCTAGGATTTTTTTTAAATGCTGTAATTTTCCATGAGAGAATGCATCTTAGTGCATAGCTTTGAGAGTTGTGTGTGGTTTTGTGTCTTCTTACGAATTGTGAAAGTCCGAAAATTTGTACCTGTATGCTTATTCTTTGCAGCTTGGATAAGTAATTGTTTTAGCTTAAAGTTATGAAACCTATGGGTCTTGCAAGTTTCGTTCTTTTAAGCTATGTGTATGTCTTTTATGAACAAAGTTTTGATACAAGTACTAAAAAATGGGCACAGGGTTAAAGAAAGATGGTGGTGAAACCCACGGTGGCTTTGAGAGGTATCCTTGTAGGTGGAGTGGCGATATTCGCCAAAGTTGCAGGTGCGATGAAGGCAGCTGGTGGTGTAAAGCTCGGTGCAGCCGCTACAGCCATGACCGTGGCTGCAACAGCAGCTGTCACTGGCTCTAAGCAAGATCAAAAGGCAGATGCCTCCAACTCCAAGGCACCACCTCCTAAATGAAGGTTATCATCCATCAATGTAATTCTTCCTTATCCAAATCTATAATAATAAATAAGAGAAACCTTCTTGCTAGTTACTGTAGGGCTTCTTTTTGGAGCTTTTCACAGCCTTGGACACTGATTATTTCTTCTGCGGAAAATTTGTTTATGGCAAAGCATTTTTCTTTGTAATCTTCACAAATTAGAGAATATAAACAAAGAACCAGTTACTACTGCTTATATATTATATCATAGAACATGAAGAAATTTTTTGAGAGAACAAACCCTTGTGAATTTTATATGGAGATTATTCAAGTAGACAAATTGCATTAATGCATCTCTTTCATCAGTTTGTAAAAGAAAAAGTGCTAATCTCATACATTGACGAGTTTATTTTCTCTCGAAAGAGTTAAACTTAGGTAATGAGATCGTGAATGTCACTTTCATGCAACTGAGTCACTCGATTTTGACGAACTGGATTAATTACAATAGTTGCTTTTGAGTTAAATACAATTAACCGAGACTTCGTAAGAAGGTAACATTTTGGCATATCTACTCTTCCATTGGCGTAGGCTGTTGACTTTGAGAAGTTTTAGCTTCCATTCGCGACGCTCTGCTTCCAGAAGCTTGATAATACTAATAGGAACACAAAATAAACAAAGTCATTTAGTAATCAGAGGAAACAAATTTATCAATATAAAGTAACATAAAACTAGAAAACACAACACAAAAAGCCTATATAAATCATCTAAATGAACAAACAAAACCAGCAGAGCATATGATACTAACCTGTCGAGCTCGAGCTCGAGCTCTCTTGCGACACGTACGAGAGTTGTGACCAGCTTGACCACATTTCCTGCAATGTATCGTGCGGTTGTTGATTTGCAGCTGCACTAGGCTTGGAACATAACAAGAGCACGCAAGTGGGAGACTATAATGTCCATGATGATAGTTCTCAGGCTTTCCGAGACTTGGATCTATTCCGATACGCACGTTTTTAATGTACCCGTCTTCTCCAACGAGGTAACATGTTTGGTTGTAATCTAAAACCGCAGCGAGTTTCAACTCCTCGTCAATGAAGAAGCTCGCGGTTCCAAATCCATTGAGCGGTGTGACATCAACATTCAGAAACTTGCTCCACGAAACCGCACTCGTCTCGACCTTACTCGTAGTCCAAATCTCAATCGTCTCGGACGTGCGTTGGTACAACACCGCGAGCTTATCTTCTCTAACGCAGGACAAAACCACACTCTCCACCACCGTGGAGTTCGACGGTAGAGGCAGACGCGGCCCAAAGCTCTCCTCGGCGAAATCGAAACAGAGCAAAAAGTTATAAACCTCTGTTGTTACTTCCGCTTCGTCCTCGTCCTCTATAAGCATCTCTCGAAACAAAAAGTAGGCGTTTCCTTTCAGAGACACAGCTCCGTCTCTATGAGAGTTTACATCCCAATCGAGACTTGCGTCCAGAGTCTTCCATGAATCGGACTTGAAATCGTAGATTTCGTGTCTTTGGCCACAGTAATCGGAGTCACGATCGTCGGAGATCCTCAAGATCTTGTGGTTACGGTGGTTGTCGAACCCGAGAGCGTAAGTGTCTTCTGCTACGTCGACGTCGTCTACGAGAATCCACCTCGTTTGACCCGAAAAAGGGTTCCACACCATGATCCTCGAGACCTCTTTGGTGACGCATAGCAATAAACCGTCGCAGTGAAAGAGATGATACGCCTTGACGAGAGATAGGTTGCTTACTAGCTTTATAATAGGATCATCAACCAAGTCTCCGTCGTCTTCCTCCTCCTCGACGATTCCTTGGAGATTGAATCTAAAGGAACAAACCACTGAATTCACCACCGTGAACCCCAGAAACTGCCGCTTTGCTTCTGCTACCGCTTTCGCAAACATCTGGCTTCTCGCTGATGCCTTCCACTCTTTGCAGGTTAAAAGCAGTGATCTCAGGCTTGTGATCGGAAACCTTGAGAGAATCTCCTTCTCTACCAAATCCACCGGAAGATCGGACATTGTCGCCATTTTTTTTTTGCGTCTAAAATTTCACAAACCTCCTTGCTGCTCAGTGAGTTTGCGATTTTAAGGGTATCCACGAAGAAAGCTTTTCAAAATTTCACATTCAATTCGGAATACAAATTTCGGGATTTGTAAATTAATTTAACAGATTGTGAGTGAAGGGTCCTTTTAAGATTCGGAGAATACCAAATCGTAACGAACAACAATTTTTTGACATATGGAGAGGAGTTTCTGGATTTCATATAGGCAAAGGAATAATATATAATAATATTTCAGAATGTGGTGGACCTTTAAAATGTACCAAATCGGCTTATACCTATTTGGGTCTCAATGGCCCAGTAAAGTCCATACTCTTCACAACCCATTAGGAGGATAACCCAAAAAAATTCTGGATAAACTGGTACTTTCTAACCAGTGTGTGATACTAAATTGGTCATAAATTAAAGAGTCCATTTGTCGATTCAAAAAGATACCAATCTTCATCATCACTTGGCAGCAAAATGTTATTTGTTGTAGAATGTGTTAAAAGTTATAGTTTCTTTTGTATGTATGACATTATCTTGGTTGGTTACAAAGTTTTGTAACTTTTACTAGCATATTATTGTATAGCACAAGGTTTTGTAAAAGTTATTGTCTTTCACAAGCAAACAGAAACAAATAAGTAAATAGTGATTGTGGGATCACTTCATTAAAATCAGACAAAAAGAAAACCTTACAAATGCCAAACTCATCATGACATTGACAAATACATATATATGGGTCCTATGTAATTTTTGGCACCTTTTACATCTGTAAGGTTCTTGATTTTACTCTTTACGTTTTTGGACCCAAAGAATAGATAAAAAGATCTGGTCTTGTGGTATATGATTATTTTGCTAAAATTCATAAAAGTGAATTTAACTGGTGTCACAAATTCCCTTCTTTTGCAGGCGTGCTTATATGAATACATCTCTCAGTAACCAACCATTTGCGATCATAGGCAAATTATAATTTAAGGTATAAACACTAAATATCTATCTAATTATAATTTTGTTGAAAACAGTATATGTCACAATGTCACATCCCACCTCGTCGAAAAACAAGAAGACATCTTTATTTATTTCAATCATTTTCCACACTTTATTGCATGTGAAAAGATCATTCTCGAGCGAATACCACATAAAAAAAAAAGAAGCCATACAAACAATATATTCAACTTGTTCGCCGCGCCAAATCAAATTTATATATGGTCAATGGACTCAAGGAGCATAATAAGTCATTCACTTTAATTTCATTTTGGGTTAAATGAATTTTAGAATAATCCCGGGATACATGTTATAACCTATAATAATTTTTTAATTTTTAATTGTCCATAGTAATTGAAATGATAAAGAGCTGCAAACTAAGCTAATTATCAATTTTTTATTTTCCCGACGAACTAATCATCGTTATAAAGAACGCTTTAATGTGTAATCAACAGTAGCATAATATAAAGTTGCGGCCATACTGTGACATACATAAGTTCTATACATTACAGATTTACAGTATGCCACCAAAGCAAACGTATGCGTCTCTATCTTTTGTTGGATCCCACTTGTGTGCCTGCATGAGAATGAGATGGGAACTATTAAGAAACAAAAAAGTATTATAAGTATATTACATAAATTTAGAGATCCATACATGCATTAATATATTTGCATTTTTAATTTTCGAAATAGGTTTATAGGCAGAAGATGAGTCACCCTAAGATCGAATCCAATGCATATCCTCCTCATTTTTCTTTATGCTTTTCATGTGCCACCACATTTCATAATTAATTCCTTATCTTTCACTCTCTCTTCTCTTTCATTTTTCACTTTTCTTTTAGGTTCAGTTACCTAATCATTTTGTAAATGATCATAAACAATACAAAATAAATTGAAAAGACTTTTGAGTCTAAAGAAACTCAGCTTTTCTAAATTAACAAAATATTTTTTAAAAATTGGAGGATAAATTTCATCAAAAGAACGCAGTGAAATTATGAAATTGAGCCACTTGACAATAATTGGATATTATTAATATAAGGATAAGATGAGAATTCTATTTCATGTAATTTAGTACTACAAAGATACAACCAAAAACATGACACGTGATGGAAACTTACCAGCACGTTGTTAATGCATCTAGTAAAAACATATTATCCATTTGTTAATGCATCTAGTAAAAACGTCTAGACTTCTTTGAGCTATTATCCATTTTTTCACTTTCTTTGTACTGTAATAAGAATATTTGTACATCAGCTTAATGTCCACACATATGTGTTTTTTACTGTATATATATGTAGCAGCGCACTTTAGGTATGTAGGAAAACGAAAGTGCATACCTATTTCTTATTTTCTGTGTTCGTTGCAATCAGTTAAAATACTCTATACCTCCTAATTAACCTACATATAACCAAGAAAATTAATTTTGAGTAATTAATCATGAGTTGACCAGTAATCATCATTAGCTTAGTTTTTTGTCTTTTATAGAAAAGAATAAAGACGACACGTAGCAAACAAATAAAATATTTCTGCATAAACATGCATCATTTTGATTTTCCTTTGGTAAGCATGCAGCATATATAAAAGTTATAAAACGAAGAACAAAATAAGATAAAAGAAGATTGTGGAAATATAAAACTACATACTGTGTATATACACATTAATATTAGAATTTAGATAGATTGATTGTATGAGAAAAAAAGACTAACTAACCCTGCCAAGGCTTTGGATGAAGCTGGTCTGAAGCAGAGCCATTGATGCAATTCCCGAGACCAGCAAAACTTAGAATCTCGTTATGAGACATTAACGGTCTTAGCCCTAAGAAATCTCTTGTTAAACCCTCTCCTCCTCCTCCGCCTCCACCGCTTTTATTCTTGTCTGATCCTGCGGTTGAAGCGGTTGTAGTATCACCGTTTGTCCTCAAGAACCCGCCGAACGTGTTGTCGAAGGCACCGTGATGATCAAACCCGGGAGAGTTGTAGTCTTGAAACAAAACTTGATTGTTGTTGCTGGAGTTGATGAATCCAGATGGTGACGTCATCATTGCCGCCATTGTCGTGGTGAGGTTGTTGTGATGAGCTGATGACCTCTCGAGTAATTCGGTGGTTGGCGGTAAAGGAGGCGTCTTTGTGGAACCCATTTGGGCTGCTTTCTGGAGCAATGCGGTGGCTGACATAGCCGGAGAAGCTGCAAGAGAGAACAAACCTTCTCCTCCTCCACCATTATTACTAGGGTTAGGGTTTGAAGATGTCAGATCATGCGGCTGAGGAGCAAGCCAAGGAGGGATGTTGTGGTGGTGGTAACTGATGATATGATCATTGCCTTGCTGTTGCTCTTTCTTCATCTGAAATGTATGGAGATGGTTGCTGCTGCTGTTGCTATTATTAGTACCATTGTTGGTTTCGAAGTGAAGGCTATTGATGATGTTGTGGGAAGAGGAAGAAGGGGAAGAGACGTTCATGTTTGGTTGTGTTTGATGGTGATTATGAGAAGAAGATTGATGAATCAAAAGAGGCTTTTGTTGATGATTCTGGTTTTGTGGAATTATTACTTCTCTTGCAGTCTCTTCAGCCAGTGCTTCACAAAATGCTCTATGAGTTATGAAACTATCCCTCCTGTTGATTTACCAAACAAGAAAACCATAAAATGGTCAATAAATATGTAAATTAAATACGAAGAAATGTCGCACTTTGAGAGAAGCTATGTAAGTCATGTGGTCCATCTAAAGCATGTAGCAATCACATATGAATTGTAAGATGAATGATTAATGCAAGAAAAGAAGAAAAGAAATACTCTACAATAATTTCTTTTAAGATATATATACAAAAAAAATGGGAAGAAAAGTACCCTGAACTAGTTCCGTATTATAAATGAAGATTCTTTTGAGCTACCATTCTTGTCCTCTTTCAAATTAAATGAAATTACTCATATCAAAACAGAATACTTTGTACCATGCATGTGTCCCTCCAGTTCTTACAACATCCCACATTCATCATAACCAGTATTAATTGTAATTACTATATTCTAAAATCATTTATTAAAATAGGAAGAAGATAACAAGAGTTTATATTACCTAGAAAAGAGAGTGCCACAGTCACATCTGTATTCTTTGGTGCCACAAGTCTTAGAATGAGCCTTGCAATCTGATTGAACAGCATATTTCTTTGAACATTTGTCACATTTCCACTTCTTTTCTCCATGTTTTCTGCAGAAATGCTTCTTGATTCCGGTTAAGTCCCCGAGGGCTCGAGATGGGTCATGGTGGACACAGCTTGCTTCCGGACAAACATACACTTTCTTCCTTATCACTTCTTTGTTGGATCTTTGTTTCAGCTTCCATGGCAGATTGTGACCTCTCCGGTGAAGCTGTAGATTCTGATCTCTTTGGAAACCTTTGTTGCAGATCTCACACACGAATCTGTTTGTTGCCATTAGTGTTTTTGGTGATAAAGCAATCACTTCTGACTCTGGGTCTGAAAATGAAAAATATTGAAAATATTGTCAGAAAACTCAAGAAACACTAATAACGATACGATTAAACTATAAACCAATTTTAACTTTATAGTAAATTAATAATAATGAGGAAAAAATTATTAACCACGTCCAAGACAATTCGAACATATACATGTCCGGAAAACCAAAAATTCAGTGAAGTGCTAATAAAGTTGTGGTTTTTTTCTATATAATCTGAGTTTTAGTTCCTTTTTCTTTGTTTACAATAGAGATGGGTAAAGAGAACAAAAAGGGTAAAAAGAATATTCTTCTTGGGAGAAGGCCCAAATTTTCCAAGAAGATGATGACTGTATCAAATAATTGGAATAATGAATCAGTCCAAAACCAAGAAAAAAGTTGTATTACTCTTTTTTTTCTTTTTTAACCATTTTTTCACACGAACCTGGATTCCCTGGTTGATTTCTCCTCTTCTTTTGAGGCTGCGATTCCGGAACAAAGAACTGATCTTGTTGTAATTCTTGTTGTTGTTGTTGATGATGAGGAAAGTAATTAGAACCACTTGCTTCAGTTCTGTTTCCTGAAGAGACACTTGCTTGATCCCCCGAAGCTGATGTTAGATTCGACATATTCTCCTCTTGTTGTTGTTGTTGTTGTACTTGCTGATGAAGTAACATGTCTTCGTTCATCATCACAAAACCTTGGGAGAAAAAAAAAACAGAAGTAAAAAAATTAAGAACTCGACAAAAAAGTTCAGATCTATATATATGGATACTTATAGACACATACTGATAAAAAAAAAGGAGACAAAAGAGAAGATTAAACAGAAACATACAAGAAATGAGTATAATCCTAACTTCCTTCTTTGGTTTTGTGTGTGTGTGTGTAAATATATATATATTTACTTCCTTTCCTTGGCTTCAACCCAAGAGACAATCTCTATTCACTTTTCTGGTTCATGTTTGAAATCAACAAAAATTAGTCTCAATGAAACAAAATAGAAGTAGCAACAAACTACTACACAGAGCATGAACAAGAAGTTGAGATATATATTAAATTTAAAAGAAAACGGAAGAAGGAAGAAAATCCAATATACCTAGAAGTAGAAGAGAGAGATTGTGGACAAGAGAAACTCTATTATCTTCCTCTCTCTGTGTATTTGAAACCCAGAAATTCAGAAATTAAAAATAAAATAGAGAAAAAGAAAAGGAACCCTACCGCTAAGGAAAAAAATGGCATTTTCTGTTCTTTTTTATATATTTTTCTCTTACAAGCGAAGAGCAACCTGTCCTTTCTTTATCATTACCTGCAAATTTGTTTTCCGTGTTTTTTTTTTCGGTTTTTCAACAAAATTTAATCATCGAGGGAGAAATTTTTTTTTCTTTAATTTTCGTAAAGCACGGTGACTAAAAGATAAATATAACTTTCTCACAAGCTCTGTGAAAAGCTTGCAGAAAGAGGACTTTAATTTTTATAATTGTTTTTTATTTTTACTTTCTCGAGAAACAGTAGACATGTTTTCGAATTCATTTTGCTTTGGAATAATAAATATCACTATTTTTCTTACTCTTCATCAATCAGAGACTCAGAATTACTAGTTTGTCTATATCACACACAAAAATTTAGTTTGTGACAAAACTAATTATTTATGGTCCACTATAATAACCGCCGACCAAATTGAGTGAAAATATGGGCACATTCTCTACTTATTTAAACGTAATTATTTTTTGAGTTGAGTTAAATTTCTTTTACAGTTTTACAGCTTTACACTGTCATTTACAGGACTAAGCTATGATTGAGTCACTGATTAATATTTGAGGTTTTGGGCTAAAAAGGTAACCTTTCTCTTGCTTCTTCTCTTTTTTTTCTTCTTCTTTCGATTTGATGCTTTTCATGTTAAAAAACGTGAGAGTAAGTTTACATCAATTGGATTGATGAAAAGAATTTAAATGGATTAATCATGTGTCAGTGCCGCATGCCCTAACCTACTTTATGATCCAAAGATACAACACCGGAAGATTATAGACATAATGATATATATTTATATTAGTATATATAAAATTACACGGTACATGCATGATGCAAAAGTTGAAAATAAAATTAAATCGGAAAACGAATGATAGAGAAGTGGAAAATTTTCAACGTTCTAAAGGGCCGTCGAGCCAATAAAAGTCATGCAATATATACAAATAATAATAATAACAATTTGTACTGATATGGGAAGATGATGAAGACCAAAAACATAATATCTGATTGTAGTTACAAATAGCTGACTTGTTTCGTCAACATAATCCGTGCATGCGTCTTTACCTGAAAATTCAATTAATTTGCCTTCTAATATTGCATTTCCAGCTTTATGGTATATCTACTTTCAAGTAAGTTTAAAGAATCTCAAATTTCAATTGTTGAAGATATTTATGTGTATTTTGGTATAATCCATTAATTATTTCCACTTTAATAATATACGGAGCTAGGTTGAAATGAAAGGTTACGGGAGATGCTAAACATGTATGAAGAAAACAAATACAGAGTTTTAGGCTAAACATGTATGTTGAATTTGTTTTATTTTTAGTCTTTAACAGATCGCGAAAAAAAAAATACTAATTAAATAGAAATGGAAATTTATAAATGTCCACTTGTGTCCCCGAGTATTGTCATTCAGTTTAGTGACTCCCATGCATCCATAATTGTTAAAAAGGTAATAAATTTGCAATAATAAATACTAGTGGCATAACTATGAAAAATAATATATGCTCCTGTTCTTTTTTTTCGTTCTTATGAGGTGCTAGAAAAATTACGACACGTTGGCCGCCGTCATATAATTAATTGCGTTTGCATTGAAATATACTGCCAAAATCCAGTTAGCTAATGTATTTTCCTATACCAAAGTTTGTGGTAATTCTTAGATTGAAAAGGTAATCTGAATCAGCACATAAAGAAAATGTTTCATCAACAGATTAATGGGATTGTCTGAAAAGATATTGAAAAAGAAAAATTTGAACAATATACAATGTTTCGTCTTTTTGTCTTCTTCTTGTTTTATTCCAAACAATTATTTAGCTTTTCTTAATGTGATTTGTCCGATCCTCTTCCCAATATGAAACACCAGCTCACCCACACACTAAATTAAACTAACTTTATAAGAAACCCCATTAATTAACTAAAATGTGTTATCAATCAAAGTACTACTAATATTTATTTTAAATTTGAATATAACCTAATTAGACGATAATGAGGACTAATGATGGGCCTCATAGTCGATCACAAAATCCCGAGGTCATATGGTTTAAGTTAAACTAAAACATTTGCAATAGTAGTTACGTTCACAATACAGAGAATTTGTTTGATAATATGAGAAATGAATTTCTCGTAATATATTATTGAACCAAAAAAAATTAACCCACCGTCCATTTTCAGTAAAACTAGAAGCAAAACAATAAAGACTGACATGAAAATAAAATACTAGTTTAGATGAAACTTGGAAAGGCACGTATATATTATTTTATTTAACTGTCCTGAAATTATGGGTCTATTAAAGATTATACGTCTCTGTCTCCATGTCAGCTATGCATGGCTTAGCTTATACTAACAAATATCATATTCTGACAGCACATGAATAACTTTTTCTAGATCATTAGAAAACCTGCATGTGTTGTAAACAAGTTTGAATGATTCTAATGACTGATTATGTTACAGGAGAGATCTGATCATTCAACTGAAAACAAACGTCTTATTGATTATATAATTACTTGCTTACAAAGTGAAGGTCTCGATAAGTAAATCTCCAAAACATGAAATGGACATATATATATATATATATATGTAATGACAATGTTAATCATTTTTGCCCTTTTTATATATAAAAAAAAGAGACAATGTTAATCATTTTCTGTTAAACTAATAATATTGAAAGGTTCGTGAGTTACAGTGGATAGAGTCAATAAGTCATAGCGAGTTCACGAGCGGAGCATATATCGGGAAAATAGTAGGACCCTTTGTTTATGAAAATGATTGAGCTTACACACATGGACCCCCATATAGTTCTATTCAACAATCAACTAAATACAATACTTAATGATTAACCCCATAAGGGTAATTAAACTTCTGTTAACAATCGCACCTAACTTTCCTTTATAGTTTTATTTTCGCCGACGTCATTTTCTACCACTTACAACATGCACAACCTCAATTATTTAATAAGATCATTTAGTTATACAGCGAAACTATAATAGTATCATATATATTTTACAGTTTGAATTTTCAGAATACACAAATCTCAATTATTTTTTGCTTTTCAGAAGGATATATGAATTTTCAAGGAACCCTCTCATGTCACCTTCGGTAATAGACACGCGTGAAAACGACACGTCGAGGGGACCGTACTGGACCGACAAAGACACGTGTGAAAAAATCATTGGATTATAAGCAGAACAGAGCCATGTAATCTGGTCGCCGACTTAGTAAACGCCCTTAAGAACACACCCGTTCCCGTGTTTTTCGTTTCTGGTCTTCCGCTTGCTACTGTCGCTACAAAACGTCACCGTTTTAGTGGTCCCCAAAACCCGGCCAGGTTAATACCAGCCAATTAACCAAACCGGTTTGCGAAAACAAGAGCTTATTGATTTCAATTTTCAAATCGCTTACAAATATATTGGCCAATTGGGTGGCTGTTCTGAACAGAATAATACATCAAAGGAATATGTATACTGTATAAGGTATGAACCGGGTTATACCGGTGGGAAAATGAAAACGAGTTAAATTGAGACTGGTACACGAAGACCATCGTAGCTTAGCTGGACATCGAGGCCTTCTGTGTCCATTAGTTTCTCCAGCTCTTCGCTCACCTTCTCGTGGTCCATCAAATGCATCATTCCTTCGGAGAATACATGAATTAAAAATCAGGCAAGAAAATGATATATACAGTATATCCTGTTTTAAAATCACGGCTTAGAGACATATTCAAATAGCTAATTGTACCGGTCAAAAGGGTTCTTTTTGGTTTGATTTTCCGAACTTCCTCTAATGCCTGGAGGAACCCACAAAAAAAAAAAAAGTCAGAATGAAAACGTGAATTAATGATGGTCGCGAGATATGAAAGAAATTTTATAACTGATTTTGTCTGCAAGAGAATAGGAAGCAAGCTCCGTACCCTTGGCAGACCAAAATGTGTTGCTGAAGATCGATCAGGCCTCAGAGCATCCTACAGAGAGAGGTTTCTTGGATAAGAAGATATCTTTGGTAAAGAAAGAACAGTAGACGCTATGGGTAAGAAGGTTGAGGTTACCATAATTAGGAGATCACAGTCTCTAAGGAGCGGGTAAGTTTCTTCAGGTATGTCACTGACATCGCTGCATATTTTTACAATACGATAACTAGAGACTCTGATATTCATGAACAAAACTCGACACTAAAAAAAAGAAGAAGAGGGAAGTTTACGTTTGTTTACCTTATGTAGCAGACATTACCAAACCGAAAACCAAGGGAACGGTAATTACTTCCATGCCAAACCGGTAATGGGATGATCTGAAACAATTAAAACATTCTGTTCAAGCCAAATGCAACACCAAGATCATCATAGTTTTTTGAACCCGTGAAACCGAGATGAATAAGTACGTTTGATGATTATATAAGCCAGGATTAAAAAAAGTTACCTTTAGATCGTTTACCATGAATGGCTGATCCTCTTGTATGATTTTAAACTCTAACTCTGAGACTGCAGCGCCAGGTATGATCACACTCGTATCAACCAAGTAATAATGGGTCTTCTTCATCACCTGAGAATCACATGTCACGGTGGAGAGACTTTAGCTACTGAAATAGCATTGTGAGAGAGAGATAAGGGAAATAGTTTGTGAGTGTTGATAAAACAGGCAAAACCTCGAGATCACGCATAGCAGTGTAAATTGGAATGTGAGGTTGAACATTGTTTGTCCAATCACGGAGATCATCAAGACCTGGAGAGCGAAAAAAACAAAAACAATGGAGAAGAAGACTTCAATATAGGAGACAGCACATGACTTTACAGGAGGAAAGAAAATGATGGATGTGCAAGATTTAACTTGTCAGTTTCAGAGACCTCCAATAGCGTCAGCATGAGAATGAGTGATTACAACCGCATCAAGTGTTCTTAGCCTGACCACACAAAAAAAAAAACGCAACTACGTCTTATGGGGATGGCCATAGAACCAAGAATAAAACTATCACAAACAATGTAACAAAATTATTAAACGCAACCAGTGATAACAGAGTTCAACTGAGCATTCATAGTATAGCAAACAGTAACAAGTTTGTGTAAGAAGTTTCCAAGAACACTTGTGTGACAACAGAATGCTGGTTAATGGAAAGAAAAAACTAACCCGAAAGTTGGAAACCATCGAAGGGCACTATGGTAGAAGAACCTGCCAAGATGAAAGAGTAAAAGAAGTCAGCATACAAGAAAGAAAATGAAGATGAGAGATGCTTCATCATCAATCTCCCCAATACTCATCTCATTGCACTTACTTGCCACAATCAATCAGGATGTTGCTTGTTCCTCCGGACGGTCTGATGTACCGAACAAGGATGCTGGTGTTAAGTCTCCGGTTTTTGTTTCCTGGTTCCGTTGCTTTTGTGCAAACCTATATAACAGTTACAATGGAGATCCTTTTTGCTTTTATAAATGGGATCATCCTATTGAAAATTGTAGATGAAACCATATAAAAGAAGAAGATAACGAAAAAATACCGAACATGTTTTCAAAGGATCAGTAAGGCAGCTGACACGAGGAATGCCTTCACTTGTTCCGGTACCCATAAATACAATCTCAGAATGTTCTTGTGGTGATGAAGCCGAAACCGAAACCGAAGCATCATCATTTGCATAATCTAATATACACAAACAGACATAGTCAAACAATACGAATGCTGTAAAGAAGCCATTGACATTGTGTGATTCAAATCTACCACAAACCCAGGAAACCGGTCAAATCAATAAAAAATCAGATGATGATGCAGTCGAGCTAAGAATAATAGATACCCACTGGATCGGAGGCAAGCCTGAAGAACCCTATTGACCGGAGACCTCGTATTTCTGGAGAGAAGAAGGCTTTGGCATCGGAGAAGAGATGTCTGGTGCCGGAGCGAATTGAAACCGGCAAAGGAAGGTTGAGAAGGGCGAATGGTTCCTAAACGCAGAGACAGAACTGCTGCAATAGCCGCCATTGCCACAATCTCTCAGTCTCTCAACCAATTGTGAGATTCAATGCTAGACCAAAGGCATATAAATGGTTAAGTTTGCATTTTTTTTTTTTTTTTTTTTTTTTAAGAAAATTGTAAGTTACCATTCAATTCTTTAGAAAAAAAATATTGGTATAAAATAAAACTAGCCGCATAGTAAATAAGACTGAAGGATGTCATAAGCAAAAATTTAAGTACGAATATCATATGTAAAAACTACGGTCATAAATGATCTTCAAAAATTAAGTACGAAAATGAACTTGTAATGATTTCTGAGTGACAAGAAAGAAATTCATAAGCAAAAATGATCCTATTATCTTATCCAGGTCAATAAGTGAATTTGATGTTTTTATTAGAATTTTTTAAACGTATAAATGAAATCAATGTGTCTCCCACAATTAGCTCACAACACTTTTTAACATTAACTCTCGTTGGTTAGAAACATGTTTAACTTAAATTGCTTTACACATTTCATTGGTCTTTTCTTGTGCAAACATAACTTAGATTTTAGACCTAGATGTTCAAGCTAAATCAAACATTAACACATTCAAGAACCATTTTGCTTTTATCTCTTTTTATTGAAAACCGGTTTATTGAATTTGGAGTGATTCACTAAACCAATCGTATCTTCTTTCTCGTAAGAAAGTATATTCTCATTTTCTTGTTTGATATACGTCCTGTTAGCCTGAAATTTAGGGATTTCTTTTGGTTATGTGAATCTGTAGCTATATACATGATTAGAAGAGATTCACATAACACCTCTCTTTCTTTTCTTTTGAATTAGCTGGCTATGTATCTTTCTCTTGTCCTTTGTCCCTTCATCAAACTGTAATAACTGATTGATTTTTCAGGATTCACATACACATCGTGAAGGACTTGGTGTTATGTGTCTTACCCTATCATGACAACAAAGCTGTATTTGTCCCTATTGTAAAGCAGTACTCATCGATGACCAAGATTCTTTTTTTTTTTCACTTTTTGAATTCTTTCCTTTTCAAGTCTTGTGAAACAGTTTTGTAAAGCTTTTCTTGGATGATAACGGCAATCCTAGTACTAACTGGCGCTTCCTACACAATGTTAATCGTATGCTTCCTAGTTTCTTGATCATCCAACAATGCAGCTTTGATAAATATTTTTTATACGAATTGTATCAATTTGTAAGTAGTGCTATTTTTTCTTTCTTCTTAGTGATTGAATTTTAGAAATCCACTATTTTCATTTAACTATGTTTTTTTTATCTTAGTCTCTTCAAACGCAGAATCACATTTATGACATCTTCTCCACATCCATTTCTGTTAGGGTTCTTGATCATAGTACAACCGTTGATGTTGAGGAAATCCTGATGACAGAAATAAATTTATAGATTACATACTCAATATTGCTAAATTTGTTGATGCCAAAATAGATCAATTTTGTCGAGGTACTATTATCATCGACCTATTGCTTTGGTTATTTTTTCATTGTCATTTACTAACCGCTTTTTATCAAACTACAGTTACCATCCATTTAATCTATACATGTTAAAGCTCTGATCCGCCTACAAAACTAAGAAGTAACACCTAGTGTTATTTTAGAGTTGTAACAGGATTTCAACATTATCAAATTTATCAATGTTCTACTTCATGATTATCTGGAAACCAGTAAACATGATGGACTTTATGAACACCTAATCAAACATTTTTTTTGGCTTGCTTCAATTATTACTGGTGAGAATAGTAATAAAAAGAGATGCAACCAATTGTGAGATTTATGCTACTGTATACTCGTTGTAATAAAAGCATTTAAATTGTAGTTCGAGCTAGATAGCAATCTATAAGTTGCTTTATAAAATATATAATTTTAAAAATATTTAAAATATAAGTAATTTAACTGGTTTTGTGTGTATATATACTAGTAATATTTATGAGTAACAATATGATTTGTGTTAATAATATAATTGTAAAAATGCAGACTTATTAAAATATTTATAATCGATTTTAATCCTTTTTTAATATAGATGCACCTGCATATTTAGGAATGATTAACCAAACTAAGTATTGTTACTCAAAAATCTATAAGCTAGGTAAAAATCTATTAGTTCACAACGAATTGTTTACTTTCAAAGCAGAAGTTGATTGGAATGTTTTGGGTGGACAAAAACCTTCTTAACTCGGAACACTTTTTAACATTAACTCTTGTTGGTTAGAAACATGTTTAACTTAAATTGCTTCACACATTTTATTGCTTGTTTCTTGTGCAAAACATAATTCGCCATAGACATTTCTGGACGATGGATATAGGTATAGTTCGTCCATATTCATTTAGAGTTGTATTATTATTATCTTAAGTAATCTAAGACGTCATTGCATAAGATAAATAATTAAAAATGACTATGATTTTATTGTCAAGATATCAATATTATCCACCCGATGGTAAAATTGGTCAACTTGACCTTTTTATATTCATTGTATATTTGTATTCATATCTATACGTTATTGATGATATCTAGTTATGGCTAAATCTATACAAAAAAATTCTACTGAGGTAAAGGATGTTACCAAGTCGTTGACTCAAGAAAATGTTAGCAACATCTAAATTCATAGAGAACGAAAAACAAATCTTGAATTTAGGGACCTTTTCAAACTATAAAACTGAATACAAATATGTAACAGTAAAGAAAGCATATGAAGGATGTCGAAAATGTGTGGTTTCGTCAAGATTTTTCATTCAAATTTTTGTACTCAAAGTCTTTTGCTGACTGTTGTCGCTTAAATGGGAAAAATATCACTTGTTAGTTATTATCATCAACTCAAACATAATAATTTTCTCTCATATCTCATATAGATATTTCAATTAACAAGGTATAATAATAATAAAGCTATTTCATTCAAACTCCTTTAAAGTCTTTACAGCTTTGCTTGCGTATCTTTTTCTTGAAACATAATGGACATGTAGTCAACTTTGATGCCCTGATAATTAAGTAATCTATAAAAATTACAAGTATATGATCGATTCTTAACCAGTGTTAAACAAAAAGAGGTTGTTACTAAAATGTCATTTTCCTTTGTCCGGAAAATAATGCTCATATAGTCAATTAGCCATAAGCAGTTTACTTATTTTTTTATTATTATATCACAAAAGGCGCAATATTTTTCGATTTTTTCTGCCAATATTAAACGCGTATTTAAACATCCACATGTTTTGGTATGGGGGTGGCATGAATATATAATATATAGCACGTCAATATAAAGATGATTATATGATGCTTTGTTATTATTGTGGTCAATTTTTTTTTTTTTTTGTCTTTGTTAGATTTGTGGAAAGGTTTATAGTAAGACGAACAAGTTAACTCGAAAATTAGGCTATGATACGATATTCGACTTACCAACTATTTTTTCTTTAAAATGCTTTTTTGCTGGGTACTTGGGTTAATTAGTTCAAGGCAAATAAGATACTATAAAATGCATTTGCCCTAACTTTTTCGTAAATTTACATTGACAAAACAAATTAAAATGAAAATCGTCTGGACGCCACACCATAGTTTATACACATAAGTATATAACTATATGGTAGAAAACCAATTTATCTTAACAACAAATCGTCAAATAAATATAATCATAGCGTCACTCTTATTACAATATCTTTAGCATATCTAACTCGTTTACAAAAAAACAAAATTCACCTATTTTATGGCTAATTATATTTTAAGGCGATTTGCATGGCTTTTTTTTACCAAATATACTCAGGGCAACACATGTTTTTATTGCATATATATATATATATATAACGACCGACAAGCAATAGAAATCCTTTTTTTGAGAAACGAAAATTGGTTTGGGACTTGTCACAAATGTTACTTTTAATTTTCCAATTTTAGATATACACTAGTTAAGCATCAACTAATCCAAACTTTTTCTTAAAAAAAATCATGATTTATTAAATGAATTAAACTCGTTAAAATATTCTAATGAGAATATGCATAGAGCTGAAATCCTCAGATGTGTGGTTAAAGCTAAACCAAAAGTATCGATGGTTAAAAGAAAGAAGAATCGGATAGGTGAACTAAATCATATATACAATGGATATATAAGTTGCAGCTTACAACGTGGAAGTTGGTAACTTGGTACGGTCCGTTTTTGGTATATCAAAAACTGTAAAAGTTGTATAGAAATCTGAAGGAGGATATACTACAAAAGTACAAAGGGACAAAGGTAGAGTCCAAAACTTGACTTTTCCACTATAATTTTCAAATATTTAGTTACTTTTTGTATCAAACCATTGTTTAGTTTCCTCGCCTCGTGTATGGACGGATGGTGGAGGGAGTGGAAACACGTTCTTATGAACTGTTGTGACTTTCTGTAAAACACTAAATACATAACAATATCGGATTAGTTATATTTATCGTATTGTTGAATAATAGGCGTCTCTCCTTTTTTTTTGTTAAAGGGCCTAATAATAGGCGTCTCTTATCATAATTATTACTAATATGTGTATTTTGTGAATTTGTCCCCGAGTTTTAGAAGTATACACGGGATGTTAGAGTCCCATAACTCATAAGTCATAAGTATATTTCTAACCATAGCCACAACTTTTACGAAACACACTTTTGGTAGCCTAAAATAGTTGACTAACGGAATGGGATAAAACATAGAAGTTACACCTATCCAAATTTGTTTTTATCATGTACCCCAACACGTGATTAGTTTACTCGTTTATATATATTATTTTTTCTAAATTTTTTTAGTATGACCAAAATATTAGATTAACAAAAAATTAATTATAACATATAGTTTTAGGTTTGATTGGTTGTTGATATAAATGATGTTCATATCAATATTTATGTTTAAAGCTCTAAATCATATGATTATAAATTTTGTCTTTTCTTTAGTTACTCACAGCCAAAAATATCAAAGATAATGTTTTGGAAAACAAATCCAAAAAAGTGATGTATAAAGATTTAAATAAGAAGGCCATTTAAAAAACAGTAAATAAAAAATGCAAAAATATAATAATAGAATTTGATTGGTAACCGTTGTAGCTTTACATTTTTTACGTAGAAATATGATTGTAAATTTTTTTTGTAGTTGTAGATTTTATTTCTTTAAAAAATTTTGGCTGTAGAAATATAAAATTTAGAAATCATAAATTTATGTGATTTAGAAAAAAATGCTTTGTACAGCCAAAAAATAAAGAAATATTTTGGCTGTACAAAACATTTTTTTCTAAAGCACATAAATTTATGCTTTCTAAATTTTGTATTTCTATAGCCAAAATTTTGAAGAAATAAAATCTAAAGCCATATTTTTACAGAAAAAAAACTACAATGTTACTAATCAAATCTTTTATTAACTGTTTTTCTTATTGTCCTTCTTATTCAAATCTTTATCCATCACTTTTCTTGGATTTGTTCTCCAAGTCATTATCTTTGATATTTTTCATTTTAATTACCACACAAATCTATGTTCGGAAATGATTTCTAAAAGTTCAGTAGAGGTCCTAAACCATTTAAGATTCATTTATAATTAAATAAAAAAAGGAAACAACTCGTATAGATGTCTGACTTTTGGCAGTATAACGTTTCATTATTAATATTAAGCCGAAACAATCAAACAAAAAAAGCTCAATGTGCAAATATAATATTCAAATTATGATATTGACAAACTTGCCCTCGTTCTTTGCCTATAAATTTGACATGATCTTCATTCCTCCAAACACCAACCATAAAGAAATAATAACACACAATGACCAAAGAAGTTTGCTCCAGCATTGGACTTTGGTTGTTATTCACGTTACTTCTTAGTAACTATGTCGTCCATCTCGAAGCCTCGCACCATGTCTACAAGAGACTTAGCCAAAGCACTAACGCCAAATCTCCTTCCGTAAGCCAGCCCTACCGGACCGGCTTCCATTTTCAACCACCTAAAAATTGGATGAACGGTATGTTTAAATACTATCATATTAACCTCAATCTCACTATCATATTGTTTTCATTTCTCTCTAACCTTTTGTTCCTTCTTTATGGTTCGTGCTTGGACATATTGGATTGATATTTGGCCCTGAGCAGATCCTAATGGTTAGTTTTTATTTTATCTTTCTCTCCTCTTGTTTTAGTCAACGTTTCATATCCAATAAATCAATAAACAGATCATTTTCCCTAGAAATTAGTACTTTTAATATTTTGTAGAAACATTAACTACACCAATAAGTCAGCATGCCAACTGTATATTTAATTTTTCTAATGTATTGGTCGACCTTGTATTACGCTGCACCACGATGCTTACATTTATCCATATAATAAAATATTTACATTTATACAGGCCCTATGATATACAAAGGAATATATCATCTTTTCTACCAATGGAACCCGAAAGGCGCCGTGTGGGGTAACATTGTGTGGGCCCATTCCACGTCAACAGATTTAATTAACTGGGACCCGCATCCTCCAGCCATCTTCCCATCTGAGCCGTTCGATATCAACGGGTGTTGGTCCGGTTCGGTTACAATTCTCCCCGACGGCAAACCGGTTATCCTCTATACCGGAATCGACCCCAAGAACCAACAGGTTCAAAACATAGCCGAGCCTAAGGATCCCTCCGATCCATATCTCGTGGAATGGACAAAGTCGCCGTTAAATCCTCTGATGGCTCCTGACGCCGTAAACGGAATCAATGCCAGCTCGTTCCGTGACCCAACCACCGCGTGGCTCGGGCACGACAAGAAATGGAGAGTGATCATCGGAAGCAAGATCCACCGTCGTGGACTAGCGATCACTTACACGAGCAAAGACTTTCTAAAATGGGAAAAATCTCCCGAGCCGTTGCATTACGACGACGGAAGTGGAATGTGGGAATGCCCCGATTTTTTCCCCGTGACGAGAATTGGCTCTAAAGGCGTGGAAACGTCGTCGTTTGGTGAACCTAATGAGATTTTAAAGCACGTGTTGAAAGTAAGCTTGGATGACACGAAACATGACTATTACACGATCGGTACGTACGATCGGGTTGGAGATAAGTTCGTACCGGATAAAGGGTTTAAGATGGACGGTACGGCTCCGAGATACGATTACGGGAAGTACTATGCGTCGAAAACGTTTTACGACTCGGCTAAGAACCGGAGAGTACTGTGGGGTTGGACTAACGAGTCATCATCCGTTGAAGATGATGTTGAGAAAGGCTGGTCCGGTATTCAGGTAACGTTTTATATTGAATTGAGACTAAACTAAGCATGATATGGTAGATATTGTATAAATTTTCGTTTTCTTTTTCATTAGACGATTCCGAGGAAAATTTGGCTTGATCGGTCCGGGAAACAATTGGTTCAATGGCCGGTTAGAGAAGTAGAGAGATTACGTACGAAGCAAGTCAACTTACGCAACAAAGTCCTCAATTCAAGATCTAGACTAGAAGTCTATGGTGTGACAGCTGCACAGGTGCGATTATTTTACATCTTATTATTAAAAAAAAAATAGTATTAGAAAATGAAAATTCGGTTTTCAAAGATAGTGTGAATGTTACAGGCCGATGTGGAGGTTTTGTTCAAAGTGAGAGACTTGGAGAAAGCGGATGTGATGGAACCGAGTTGGACTGATCCACAGTTGATTTGTAGTCAGATGAATGTGTCGGCCAAGTCCGGTTTAGGTCCATTCGGTTTAATGGTTCTCGCATCTAAGAACTTGGAAGAGTACACATCGGTTTATTTTAGAATCTTCAAAGCCCGTCAAAATAGCAATAAGTACGTTGTGCTCATGTGCAGTGACCAAAGCAGGTACGTTTCCTTTATTAAGATCCCTATTAAGTACATTAATTTTAGATAATCAGTTGTCACAATTATTTATATTTAATTTTTCAACAGATATAAATCAAAAATGAATTTTCTTATTGTAGAAATATCCAAAATTTGACTTTCTAATTTTGTGGCCTTTTTGGTGATGTTGAATATGGGACAGATCTTCACTGGAGAAAGATAATGACAAAACAACTTATGGAGCTTTTGTGGATATTGATCCTCGCCACCCACTCCCCCTCAGAGCCTTGGTACGTAATTAAGTCTCCACTTCACACATATTTTTGCATATATAAATTTGTATATATATTACTATTTCAGGAAATGTTAAAAAAATGCATGCAAATGTAGGAAAGGTTACCCCTTTTTGGGAATAACCTTTAAAACCCCAAGAAAATAATTGTGAAATAGCTTAATCATGAATCAAGGGAGATATTTGTGTTGTATCTTAAATTTTTTTTTATTGTTGTTGTAGATTGATCATTCAGTAGTAGAGAGTTTTGGTGGAAGAGGAAGGGCATGCATTACCTCTAGGGTGTATCCAAAGTTGGCAATTGGAAAAAATTCACATATGTTTGCTTTTAATTATGGATCTCAAAGTGTTGATGTCTTAAGCCTAAGCGCTTGGAGCATGAAGTCTGCCCAAATCAGTTGATCACGTACGGCAGAGATAGATACAGACACGTATATGTGTATACCTCCATTTATTGAGCATTTATATTATATGATTTTGGAGATCTTATACTGTCCAATTTGTTTGGTTGTCAACAAAAAGAGTCCAACTTGTTTGTTTGAAATAGTTTTCAAGTTATATGACGTTTTAGTTGACTTCTCATTTTATCGGTTTAACATTAAATAGAATTCTATTGTCGGTAGTCAATATATATTAAACACGAATACAATTTGAACGGTTTGGCCACAAAATATGACTAACGAAATTATAGCACTAGACGACATCAATAGAGAAATGCCATCATGCCAACGTAACTTATTACAATTTACAATGGAGTCGGTCTACCTTTTTTCATCTAACGGCACCGTTTGCAATAACTGTCTCGACCATCTCGACCGTCCGGTTTTCAACGGATAATGATCCAGCTCGGCCATGTCTCGTCCAAGGGACAAAACCGTAATTTTGTGCACCGGCACTACAAAAAAAATGGATATAGTTACAAATATTTTTGTCACAATATATAATTTTTCTGTCACAAAAATTATATTATAACGGTAATATTACAAATTATTAAAGATCACAATAAAAACGTCACAAAACCATTTTAGTCATAAAAACGTCATAACATAATGTGACGATTAACAATAGTAACGACGTGTCACTATTTGTAACGATATTAAAACAATCACAAAAACGATACAGTTTATGACAAAAAAACTATCACAATTAGGTCACTAGCTGTGACAAAAAATTGTCACGTATTTATAATAAATTCTTACTATATTTATGTCACTAATTCGCTATAAATTATGACAAACAATAATATCACAAAATTTGTTATAACTAGTTACTAAATTATAATCACAAAAAAATACAATTAGTGACCACAATACTGTTACAAACCCGTCACATTTAGTAACTACAATATAATCACATAATTGTTATAAATTTTTTTTTATTGTAACTATTTTTCTTACTAAAATCGATACAAAATATTTAGACCAAATATTTTTTGTTACTTCAATTCACATTTTTTAAATTAGATAATTAATTAATAAAACAGTAAAACTAAAATATAATAAACCAAATATTATATTACTTATGTCGAAGCAAAGTCAATACACAAACAGAATTTATAAAAAATAAAGTCTTAATAAAATAAAAACTAAACATTACTTAAGATAAAAAGAAACTAGAATTACTAAATTAGATAGATGATGGACGATGGATGGTTTTAGTAGCTTTAAGCATTCTGATTTGCAAAAGACTCAGCCATCTTCTCCATAGCTTCAAGTCTTTTTTTAATTTCCAGATTTTCTTCATGATTTTGTTTGACTTCAGCTTCCAACTCTTGCAGCCGATTTGCAATCATCTCTGCTTCTTCTGGTTGTGGTTGACTTGAAGAAGCATTAGCAGATGGTACAACAAATTCCTTTAGAGCTCCCAGTCCAAAGACATAGCCTTGTTTAGATGACCCAGCAGCCTAGACAAAATACCAAAAATTGAGTAAAGTCATTAGCTACGTATATGAGCAAGCTACGTATGTTGACAATGATAACTTAAAAAAAAAAAAAACAAACCAGAATCTACTTATACGTGACAACGATAACTTTAACAAAAAAAACAAACCAGAATCTATTTATACATGACAATGATGACTTGAACAAAAAAACCAAACCAGAATCTATCTGCTACATTGTATGAAGACTAATAAAAAACGAAGATCAGATCAACTCAAAATAGGTTCCTATCAATAACAAAACTACTTGCAAACATTTGATAAGAAAATCGTAAAGCACTATAAAATTCTGAAATATTACCTTAATATAAATTTCATTTTTCTCACGTTGGTCAAGATTTTCAGCCGTCACATTCCCTTCACCAGAAGATTCAAGCTGTTCCAAGTGTTCTTGTACATGCTTCTCATAAGTTTCTGCAACCACTCTAGCTCGTTGATCAACATATGTTCCGTCAGGCTTCTGATTTGCTTTCTTCATCACAGCAATGTAAGAGTGGTCTTCATTGTTTGCTTCCTGTAAACAAAACAATAAAACAAAGTGATGCAATACAATAAACTTCACTATTTATCAGCGACGAAAAAAAAAATGTACCAAAACATCTTGAACTTTGGCATATGAACGCGAACCGGATATGTGAGAATGAGGGCCTAAACCATTGCGATCATACATTCGAGAAGCACGGGCCTTCTCACTCTTTCCTTTTGCTTTTGCTGTTGCCCAATACAATTGCATAGCGGTCCAATCATCAAACAAAATCCACTCCGGTTTTTCTCCTTGTTTCTTTGCATGGCTTATCATTCCTCGGAGACGATAAGCAGCAAGCTTATTAAACTCACTTTCAACTTGATTGTTGATAGTAGGATGCCAATTAAATTTTTTCTGAAAAAGTAAGAATATCAAACATCAAGAATATCATCGAGGCAACATTCCAGGTAGTGTCACTACATAAGCACTAGCGTTTTCATTTCAGTCACGATTATAAAGATCTGCCTAATCACAATTCAGAGCTAAAAAGACTTCAGCCATCCAAACAGAGACTTAATTTTAAAACAGGCTTCATTGATTCAGCTACCAGAAACTACTTGAACATATATATATATATATATCCAGCACTAAAACTGACCACATTACTCCTACGGGATACAAGTAAGCTGGGGAACAAAGATTACCTTGAACAGACTAAACCATGTTTGTTTGTAGAAAACTGGCACTCTTTTCCAAGAGTACCATGGTCCTTTGAAACAACTTTGAATGATCTTTCTCACAGCAGTTGATACTTGGGTGTGGTGGTTAAACCTGTTTCATTAAAATAAATAACTTAATGAGTTCTAAATCTCTGAAAATAATCAATGGTATATAGGAAAAATTCTATACCATTTAGCTCCATTTTGTCGACCAGGATGCAGCAAGGGCAAAGTTGTAGGATCCACATGTGGCTCTTCCATATCTACACTATGAATACAGATGATAATTGAACTCTGTATTGAATATCAATAAAGCAAACAACACGGATTGAAGAGAGGAATACGATTAGAAAAGGAATACAAATTCAACTATAGATTAACTTCTACAAACGCAGAATTATGTACGATTACCTTCCAATGAGATCTCTGAAATGAAAGTAATCGCTTCTAATAAAAGACAAGTGACGAAAGAACGGTTTTGATAGGGAGTGGGAAGATGGTTAAATAATTTTGACACTTTTTCAGGGTTTCAATGAGTGGGGGAAATTTTGGCAAAAATTAAAGCGGTTAATAAAATTTTAAGGCTCCTTACGAAAATTTATTGCGGTACATAAAAAAGGTAACATTTTGGTAAATTATTATATTAAATTAATAAAAATACGTTGACTTTTTCATGAAACAGGTTTAAATACGTTAACATACCGAAGTGCAATAGTTCCAGGACGGTAATGAAGGGGCTTCTTGACTCCAACAGTGGTTGGGGCAGACTTACGTGTAGCCTAAAATTGAAACAAGCAATCATAAAAAAAATCCAACAATGAGGCAAATAAATTACACAGATCAAAATAGTGGAGACTTACCTTAGTAGCAAGCTGCTTCCTAGGGGCCTTTCCTTCTAGTAGACTTGCGAGCTGTTTGCCTGGTGCGGGCCATCTGATCAGTAGCAAACAAATTAGAATGATGATATCCAGCAAGTTGCCATCATTGATTAAATCGCCGTGTTCTGATTTTCTAGTTTCTCTGACCAATTCACGAGCCCCTGAGAAACGAAAGATCACACTCACTTCATCTAGAAACAAATGGAAACAAACAAAAACGAGTCTAAGATAATTTTCATAGTCAACGCAGAGAGCTTCTTAGTTACCGCAATAGCAACCAGCAACAATACCGAAATTAGTAGCATAAGTAACAGGTATATTGTTATGGGCTTTCCTATGTTTTGACAGTAATCCAGCTCCTCCTCCTGCATTCGATAAACCCAAAATCTCAGATCATTCTGATGCTAAATTGACATCCCTCTATGATCCCGAAATCCCCAAGAAATATAAGAGTCAAGCCAATGCAGAAGTTACAATCCTCTAAAACCCTCAGAGGATAGCATAAAACTGAGAGACTAATCCAAAAATCTCAAGATCATCTGATGCTAAATTTCTTGCACTTTCCATCACTCACGGTGCCTAAACCTCTAACCAAATAGAAAAAGTCAAGCCAATGCAGAAGTTACTGTCCACTAAAACCTTCAAAATATGGCATCTAGGTGAGATTCCAATCCAAAAATCTCAGATCATTCAAATGCTAAATGTCATTTACTTTTCCATCACTTTATAATCCCCAAAAGCAATATAAAAGTCAAGCCGATGCAGAATGTATTCTAATAGTCTTTCAAAACTTTCCTTAGCAGCTCGGCTTATGAGTTTGAAGACAGATTATAATTTGCCTCAGAATTGTATGGACTCGATAGCTCAGATAATGCAAGAATATTTGCCAGAAGGTAACAATTCACCGAAGTCGTACTATGAGATCAAGAAGCTTATGCGATCATTGGGTTTACCTTACCAGAAGATTGATGTCTGTCAAGATAATTGTATGATTTTTTAGAAAGATGCTGAAAAAGAAGAAAGTTGTTTGTTCTGTAAAAAGGATAGATTTCGTCATACTCAAAAGACTGGACAGAAAAAAGTTGCATACAGCCAAATATTTTATTTGCCGGTAGCTGATAGATTGAAGAGATTATATCAGTCTGATAATACTGCAAAATATATGAGATGGCATGCAGAGCACTTAGCGAGTGATGGAGAAATGTGTCATCCATCAGATGGAGAAGCATGGAAGCATTTTCACAAGGTATTCCCTGATTTTGCATCTAAACCCAGAAATGTTTACCTTGGGTTATGTACAGACGGTTTCAATCCATTTGGTATGTCAGGACATAATTATTCATTATGGCCTGTTATCTTGACTCCGTATAATCTGCCACATGAGATGTGTATGAAGCATGAATTTATGTTTCTAACCATTTTAGTCCCTGGTCTAAATCATCCCAAGAGAAGTCTGGATATATTTCTTCAACTATTGATAGAAGAGCTGCAAGATTTGTGATTTAAAGGTGTTGAAGCATATGATATTTCTACAAAGCAGAACTTTCTCTTACGAGCAGTACTCATGTGGTCAATAAGCGACTTTTCCGCGTATGGTATGCTTTCTGGGTGGACAACTCATGGTCGGTTGGCATGTCCTTACTGTTTGGATCAGACCAATGCATTTCAGTTAAAGAATGGTAGAAAAACAAGTTGGTTTGATTGTCATCGGTGTTTTCTACCAAATGATCATAGCTATCGGTGGAATAAGAAAAATTTCAAAAGAGGAAGGGTTGTGAGCAATAGTCCACCTCTGATACTGACAGGCGAAAGTCTCTTGAAGGAAGTCTATGGTTTACCAAAAACAGTTGAATGTGGCAATCATGGAAAATCACAAGGCTATGGTAGCACTCATAACTGGCATAAACGGAGCATTTTTTGGGAACTGCCATATTGGAAAGATCATAAACTTCGACACAATCTTGATGTGATGCATATCGAAAAAAACTTTTTCGATAATATCATCAACACTGTACTGAATGTGAAGAAGAAAACAAAAGACAACATCAAATCACGACTTGATTTGCAAGAGCATTGTAATCGCAAAGAGTTGCACTTAATGATTGATGGAAAGGCACCAATCCCAATTTTTAGACTACAAGCTGATGCAAAAACAGTTTTTCTACAATGGCTAGCAAAGGATGTTAAATTTGCAGATGGATATTCATCAAGTTTATCTAACTGTGTTGATCTAGCAGGAGGAAAATTAACCGGAATGAAAAGTCATGACTGCCATGTTTTAATGCAATGACTACTTCCGGTTGCATTTGCTGAGCTTATGGATAAATCTGTATATAATGCACTATCTAGTAAGTATTCAACTTTCTTTATATTACCACCTCTGCATTTTTCTGTTTTTAGTTAAAATAATAAGATCTTGATATTCTTTCTCTACGTAAATGGTCACTTATGCTTCTCATGTTTGATGCTTTTTGATGGTCTTGTTTTAAGATAGATAGTTCTTCTAAATAATTAATATTTTTAGTGTAAGTTTCAATTAGTTAGAAAAACTATCAAGGTTTGTGGTTTCATTACGGAATATATACTGTACGATCTATTAGAGTTTGCTATCCATGTGATTGCTTTTTGAATTATAATTGACTTGCATATTTACATTGTTAAATTAAATTCACGTGTTGATGCTCTGTTTTTCTTTACTTTTTACAGAGTTTACTCTGTTTTGAGGGCTTGTTAGCCGTGTACAATACCTATTGATATCACTCATTGGATTTGATTCCTTTCTCTTTATACAAATAAACCAGCGTTAAAAAAAATTAAATTATATAATCTAAGGTTTATGTTTATGTTTCCTGCAACTGAATAATCTAAGGTTTATGCTTATGTTTATGTGATATACTAGTTTTATGTGAATGCTATTTATAGATGATTTGTTTGACTATAAACCTAAATTATATAATCTAAGGTTTATGTTTATGTTTCCTGCAACTGAATAGTCGAACCTCTGTTACACAATCTTACCGATTGTTTGTTGGTGGATATTAAATTTTGAAATTATAAACTGTTTATTGGTTGCATTATCACAGATTGAAATTATAAACATGTTTTGTTTTATTTTATGTGAAGGCGATTTATACAGTTTGACCATAAAGCCAAGATTATACAATTTTAAGTCTATCTTATGATTGAAACTTGTCATTCATGTAACAATATCTTTTTTTTTTTTGTAGGTGTTAGCTTATTTTTTTGGGATATATGTGCAAGAACTTTACACGAAGATGGTGTTGCGATATTGCATAAGAATATCTGCATGGTTCTTTGTAACCTAGAGAAAGTATTTCCTCCTTCATTTTTTGATGTCATGGAGCATTTGCCAATTCACTTGCCACACGAAGCTCACCTTGGAGGGCCTGTGCAATTTAGATGGATGTATCCTTTTGAACGATACATGGGACATCTGAAGAAAAGAGTTAAAAATAAGGCAAAGGTGGAAGGTTCAATTGTTGAACAATACATCAATGAAGAAATTTCTACTTTCTGCAGTTACTACTTTGAGCCACACATCAAGACAAAAGTCGAAGAGGAGATCGACACTATGATGGAGGTAATCAAGAAGATACACATGAGTTTGATGAAATTCCAGATATATTTTCTCAACCAGGAAGGGGCAGTGGTAAAGAAAAGGAGATATGGTTCAAAGATAAAGATCTTTCTATCGCACATACATATATTTTGCGGAACTGCGATCAATTAAGACCATTTGAAAGGTATGAAAAATTAATATGCACATATATACTTTAATTTATATTTTAATATAGTGAGTATAAAACAATGTATTTATTTCCTGTGAGGTTTTATATATAGGTTATTCGATGAGAGCAGACTTGCGGCTAATCCCGAGATAAGCGAAAACAATCTAGTTGAGCTTAGAGAAAAGGAATATTCAAGCTGGCAACAAAAATATGTAAGATTTATTTTTGTTTTAAAAATAATCTTTTGATAAATTTTTGGTAAACTTATATTATGATATGGATTTTTAAAAACAGGTGGAAGATACATGGAAGGATAATTCATATCCAAAATGGTTGCGAACTCTAGTTCATGGTCCAATGATTCAGGTTACTTCTTTGCCAATGTATTTTTGTTTTGGATATGTATTTCATACATATGATTCATATACAAAGTGGTTATGTAGTTACTGACTCTAGTTCATGGTTCAATGATTAAGGTTACTTTTTGGCCAATGTATTTTTGTCGTGGTTATGTATTTCATACATATGATCATGGGAAAGACAAAAAGAATGCCAACTATGGAGTTTGTGTCAAAGGTACAACATCTTCTGGTTCAAGTGAAGAACCTGCTTTTTATGGATTACTGAGAGAGATTTTTGAGCTTCATTGTCCTGGACCAGTTGATCTTAAAGTTGTGGTCTTCAAATGTGATTGGTATGATTCAACCATTGGGAAAGGCATAAGGATAAACAAGTCAGGAGTTATCGATATTAATACCAAAGGACGTTATAAAAATACGATCCTTTTGTTTTGGCTTCACAAGCAGATCAAGTATGCTATGTTCCATATCCACGGATCACTCAGCCAAAAAAAGATCAACACTGGAAAGCAGCAATTATGATACAATCGAGGGGGAAAGTATTGGTCGACCGAAATTCGGACATCACTGCAATGCAACATGAAAGTGATGATTCTATTGTTCAAGCTGATTCGTTGAATGTTGAGACACTAACATATCTACAAGGCGAAGTAGAAGATCTTGATGATCCAGAAGTAGTAGCAGAAATTGGATCAGACGTTGAAGATGGAAATTCTGATATCGAATTATCTAGTGATGAATCTGAATAATTTTTGTACACTTATTTATGTCATTTTCTATCTAGACATGCTGCGAAAGCGTTTTATGTTGATTTTCTTTAGTGGTGCTTTGCCTTTTTTTTTATCGATTTTCGATTTTTGATTTTCTTGCATTTTCCTACAGTATGGAAGACTCTCAGTTTATTGATTTTCCTGCATTTTCCTGCATTTTCATCGTTGAAATCTCTGGGTTGATGTTTCTTCTCTAGGCTCTGTTAAAGGCCCTTGGTGACTGTAAAGGGATTATACATGTTTGGTAACTTCACATACGAGTGAAACATTGTTGGTGTTTGGATGTTTCTGTGATACGGCCACATCTTACCTAATTATTTCACATATGAGTGACCCATTACATATGCAACACCTGCCTCTTTGGCCCCTATCAGATCCATCAGCTCTTCCCTCATAGAGGGCTCCATTCCACGACTTGGAGTTAACCTGAAGCTCACACGCCTCCTCCTCACTTTCCCTTGCGGATACTCATCCTCGTACACTGAACGCAAGCTCTGCAGAGTCGTGGATTTACTGCTTTGTATCGTTGGGTCAGCAAAATCATCCTCTGAAACCGTCATGATCGAGTTGGTGAGACTCTTCTGGCTACTTAACACCGCCATTCTCCCATCATAAGATTGATGCTCCGAAGCCGAGGACTGGAGGTCGCTTGCTTCCATCTGGATGAACTCTGCTATGCTCTGTATCAGCTGATTCTCAAAGTCCCCGTCCTCCCGTTGAATGTCCTTGTACCCATACCTCACTATGCACCTGTACATACGGTAAGGCTTTGGGCAAACACGGCCAATGAGGAAGCGTTCCTCAGGGGTAACATGAGACACTGGAACTGATTTCACACAAACAAACACCACAACTTTATGAAATGTCGGGATGTTGGTGACAAAGTGAGAGAAAATTGCAGGAACTCCAGTTTTAAAAAAGTTTCAAATTTTTGTCAACTTACCCTTTGGATGCCTTTGAATATGGTTGCTCAATACTGATTTGATCATCGTTTGTTTACAACAGCTTGCTGGTGAAAACTCTCATCATATTATAGATGAAGAATGTTTTTGTATTTCTGCATTTGACTATCTCTTTTGCCATTAATATGTATCAAACTCAGAAACTTACTGCAACCTGAAAAGGAGGATTCTGTAATTTTTTGCTAGAGAAATCAATGTTCTGTTTGTATTGTAGAAGAAGAAGATACGTTGTTCATCTGATCCAGTAGTGACATGTAATGTGTAAATACATTATACATCCACTCTTATTTGAAGTTCCTTTTTTGTGTCCTCTTAGTCTTTTCTTTTTCATTTAGGAGATGGTGGTATTTTGTAAAAAAGAGTGTATGAGGTGAAAAGAGTTTAATGTATGTGATGTTTCATATTTTCTGAATAAAAAATGTAAAAATTTTATTCTTACATATGTGACTACAATATTTGACTATTTGAAATTTTTTTAGTTATTATATACTTTCGGATTATTTTTAGAATTAATTTTTTTTCTTAAATTTATATATATAGTTTTAATCTTTATCATAAAATATTAATAATTATGTTATAATATGTGACGAAAAATTTAGATAAATAAAAAAGTGATTAATTGTGATGCTATTCTTACAAAATATTTGTAACTGTGAGTGACATAAGTTTGTCACAAAAATCGTATAATTTAGTTATTAGATTTGGTCGTAAATCCGTAAAAATATTTATTACTATATATTTTTGTAACAATTATGACACAATTAATAACAAAAATGGTTACTTTTAATTTAGTTATAATATTATGATAAAATAATTACAATTTTATGACTAACTAATTTTGTCACAATTTGGTATATAAATCATTGACAAAACAATTAGTTATAGTTTGTTTGTAACAATTTTTTTTTTTTTTTGTAGTGCGGCCACAACGGGAGTAGCATGTGGGACAGTGCATGTGGCGGTATCGTGATTTTTTTTTTCCTCTTAGCTAAGGCCTAAATTAAATCGAAGGGAGTTAAATATGTTATTGTTCCGTGAACCTCCGCATATATATAATACGGGCGTGATGTGTAGCCACAAGAATTTATCGGTTTAATTTATGTTTCTGTTTCTGCTAGATAAACTTATAAAGAATTTGTTTCTTAGCATAATTCAAATTTTAGCTAGGGGAGGTAACCATTTAGTAATCAAACCATCAAAATTTAAGCTACTAATTAATGACCAAAGTTTTCTTCCTTAAAACAGTGTTCTTTTAGTTTAACAATCCTTCTTACTAAACTTATTTATTTACAAAATAGGAGTAAGACATCTGTACCATGAGATGCTTTTATAATTTGTTTAGCAGAACTTGAACGGGTCTGGCTGTAAAACCTAAATCTAATGGGATATATACATATTGACGAATTGGTTAGATACAAGAAATTTACTGTTGAGTTTTTTCTTTCGGTGGTTGGGGTAATGTTATTGTGTTTCTGATAGGTTAAGGGTACCATTAGGGTTCATGAGGAGGATGTTGAGGACAGAGGGAAGGTGAGCTCATCGCTTGGAGAAGGAGTGCAGAAAAGTCGCTAAGGGTCCAAGGAAGAAAGCATTCGAAAACATAAAAGTTATTATTCTCTAAAACAAAAGTGTTCTTTTAGTTTAGCAATACTTCTTATACAAACTTGCCTGTCATGAGTTTAAATGTTTAATAGGTTCTTAGTTTCATATCCACGCAGACATTTAACTGATTAAATGGTTAAACGTTTCGTTCTTTTTTTTTTTGCCATCCGTTAAACGTTTCGTTGTTATAAATTGTAAATATAAGAATAGCATAAGCACGTTAACATATAAAAGTGTGATTTTTTTAAGACCCATGATGGAAACAATTCCATCAAAATTATTAGGAGAATGTAATGGGTGTTGTGTGAGAGAACTTAGTGGGGAGATCTCACTTTGGGCCATCTTTTGTTTTTGTCTTTTTTGATAGAGTTCTAAAAGAGCGTTCAAGAAGAATCACGTGTCCATGTCATTGTACGTTGTAGGTCTAGACCTATTCAATTTCAAATTGACTTCTCAATCTATTTTTCCTTTTATAGATTCAGCATTTGATAGTGGAGAGCTATAAATGGTGGGGGAGCCAAAGCATGCATGTTAGAGGAGAAATAAACACATTTTCTAAAAGGTCTTCTCTACAATAATCTAAGTCCATCACGATCAGGAAAACCGTGCCGACCTAATTCAGATTGAAGAAAAACTCTTAAAAGATAATTATAGAAGACCGAAAATATCGGATTAGCCCAAAGGATAATGGAGAATTTTCATATTCTTTGGGAAATAAGGGATATTTTCATAGTGATATGAAAATATACACAAAGGCAAAAAGGAAAAGGAGTTCGGAGCAACCGACCTTCCATTCTTATAAATACAAAGATCCCGAAGTCAGAAAGAACAATTCATACAATCTAGAGAGCAGGAGAACTAAAACCAGAGACTCCAACGCTTTCTAGTTTACTTAGCAAACATCTTATTTCACTTCGGCATAACCTCTCGGTTATCCCATTCTTTGTAATCGCTTTGCTTATCGCTATTAATAAAAGATTTTATTCTCCAAAACTCACAACTGTTAATCAAAACCCTAATGGTAATTCTCTGGTTCAACAATGCATAAACATCAACACTATATCTTAAGCTAGCAATAGAAGAAATGTACATTCTCTTTGCCTTTAACAAAGGAATCCATAAGTGTTGTTGATGTCTCACGCCTAAGTGCTTGGAGCATGAATAGACCCACATCATCATTGGCAATGATGTGACAGTGACACTCACTAAGTCGTATTACTTGAGTCGAAATTTTTTTCAGTTATGGAACATTCTTGATTTTCGGGAATATGTTATTTGTAGTATATATTTATTAAGTTAAAGTGTACATCTTCAATTATATACTTGTATGTCTTATATCAACTAAAATGGATGAAAATATCATTGAAACGTAACATGTATATAGTGATTTTATCCAAATTCAGGCTATTTGTACGAATTATACTTTGATTTTTTTTTTTTTAAACAAGTATAAGAAAATAATCTTGATTTCAACGAATATGAGACTGCCATTTGGATCGAGATTATAGAACCTAATTACAAAATATATACCACCGCGTCAAGCACTCCCAAAAATCCCCTCACTGCCTATAAATTGGACATTTCCACAATCTTATATGTAAATCTCAAACGTAAAGACTCAGAGAATAAATTAAAAAGGTTATATAACTAATGGCTTATATAGTTTGGTGTAACATTGCCATTTTCTTGTCAGCCTCGTTGGTTCTTGCTGACAATGCTGCTGTTCTTGATGCATTGAACCACGCCCCCGATCATAGAATCAAGAACCAACCTTACCGGACCGGTTATCACTTCCAGCCACCTAAAAACTGGATGAACGGTATTTTTATCTACTGGACACAATCACTCAGTTTCACTTGGTTATTCCTTTCTCTGTACTTTGTTTACATAAATTTTATCTTTTCACTCATTTTTTTATTTGTTTGTTTATGTCGGGACTTTCTTTCAATGCTATAAAAGATCCTAACGGTTAGTGATCATTCTCTCAATTATTTTCATCAATTACGTATCTATAAAAACATATTGGCTAAGATAATAATAATGTATGTGTACATATAATTGGACAGGGCCTATGATATACAAAGGAGTCTACCATCTCTTCTACCAATGGTACCCTAACGGCGCCGTCATGGAAGTTACCGAAATCGTGTGGGGACACGCAACGTCAACGGACCTCATCAACTGGACCCCACATTCTCCAGCTATCAAACCATCTCGACCGTCCGATATCAACGGATGCTGGTCCGGCTCCGTCACGATTCTCTCCAATGGCAAGCCCGTAATTCTCTACACAGGCAACGACCGTAACAACCATCAGGTCCAAAACCTAGCCAAACCCAAAAACCTCACCGACCCATATCTCCGGCACTGGACCAAGGCGCCGGAAAATCCCCTCGTGACACCCAACGCCTTCAACCACATCAACTCCACGGCCTTTCGCGACCCAACCACCGCGTGGCTCGGCCGTAACGGGCGGTGGCGCGTGATCACCGGAAGCCAGGAAGGTCGCCGTGGATTAGCTATTCTCCACACGAGCCGTGATTTCATCAACTGGAAGCAGTCGACGAAGCCTCTTCACTACAGCGACGGCACAGGAATGTGGGAGTGTCCTGACTTTTTCCCGGTGGCGAGATATGATTCGCATGGCCTCGATACGTCGTCGTTTAGTGGGTCGATGAAGCACGTGCTTAAAGTGAGCTTATTAGACACGAGTCACGATCACTACACGCTTGGGACGTATGATCGTGTCAGAGATCTCTATGTACCGGACGATGGTTTCGTTCAGGACGATACGGCTCCGAGATACGATTACGGCAAATTTTACGCATCAAAAACTTTTTACGACTCGGTTAGTCGACGGAGGATTTTGTGGGGTTGGGTCAACGAGTCGTCGCCGGAGAAGGATAACATCAAAAAGGGTTGGGCCGGTTTACAGGTAAACCAATCTGAGATTTTTTTTATCTGACCTTCAGTTTAATTTTTAGACGTAGTTAACCGATTTAGTGGTGATTGATTGGGTTAATTAGGCGATTCCAAGGAAAGTATGGCTTGGTGAATCAGGAAGGAGATTGGTGCAATGGCCGGTTAAGGAAATAGAGACATTACGTACGACGCAAGTTAAGTGGGAAAACAAAGTTTTGGAGGGAGAAGGTTCGGTCATTGACGTTCATGGGGTCACAGCTTCACAAGCAGATGTGGAGGTTTTGTTCAAAGTGAGTGGTTTCGAGAAAGCTGACGTGATTGAACCGGATTGGACCGATCCACAATTGATTTGCAGCCAAAAGGATGCATCGTCGGTTAAGTCCGGTTTAGGTCCATTCGGTTTAATGGTATTGGCTTCCAAGAACTTGGAAGAGTACACATCGGTCTATCTCAGAATCTTCAAAGCTCGTCAGAATAGTAAGGACCACGTGGTGGTTATGTGTAGCGACCAAAGCAGATCGTCTCTAGAGAGAGGAAATGACAAAACAACATATGGTGCTTTCTTGGATATCTCTCCTTATCAACCAATCTCTCTCAGGACTCTGGTGAGTCGTCTCAACTTCTCACAATCACAAAAATTTGAACAACATTTTGAAGGTTAACTTTAATGAGCGTTTTTTGTTTTTGTGATGTACAGATTGATAATTCAATAGTGGAGAGCTTTGGTGGGAAAGGGAAAGCATGTATAACCTCAAGAGTTTATCCAAAATTGGCCAGAGGAGAAAGAACACATCTCTTTGTTTTTAACAATGGATCTCAGAATGTTGATGTTTTAAACCTAAATGCGTGGAGCATGAAGTCTTCTCTTTAAAATCAGTACTCGGAGAGATTCTTGAAACTCTTGGTGTATCTTTAATAAATAAGAAAGCATATAAATTACAGAATATGAAGCTCCACTTTCAATTTTGCAAACTCTCTTGAAAAAGGATCTTTTCTTCTTTCTCGTTACTCATTCTTCTCACCATCATCATTATCAACATCATCATCATCATATTCGTCTTCATCAACAAGAGCTTCTCCAGTAAACCATGAAACTGCATGAGGGATCAGTTTGTCTCGGATTGTCACACTGTAAATCCAAAAACACCAAAACGTAATTAAGGATTTCTTCTTGGATTTGCCTAATGTCGGAGAATGTAAATCAATAAAGCTTACGCGATGTCATAGTCTTGATCCGTCAAGTTTTGGAGTTCTTGATCCTGCAAGAATATATATCTATATTTTTTAGGCTTACCTGATGAAGAAACAGTATCAATATCAAAAGAGAGAAAGTAGCCTAACCATGGTTGTATAAAATTCATCAACTTCATGAATCTCAGGGGGCTTGAAGAAGTTGAAGAAACTCTCGCAGTTTTCGGTTTTGGTCATAGGGATGTTGTTTATCTTCTTTGACCCCTTCTTTGGTCTCTTCCTTACAACAACCTTATGAGTCAAACATTTACCTGGATGCCATTCTATCTCCGTTCTACACGTTACAAGTTAAAGATCAGGTAAAAAGTAATACCAAGTAGTGTAAAATGAGGATGATTAATATATATACCCAATCACTTTATCAAGAACAGGCCCATCATCATCGTCATCGGTCACATGGTAAGTTTTGGACAGAACCGAGTTCTTGAAGTAAGGATTAGGATCAAAGAGAAACTCCAGCTTGAAATTTCTTGAATTGTTTTCTACTTTGCAGCATCTGATGTCTTTGAGATACTTCAATGCTCCCTCATCTCTTTCGGTTATCTACATAAACCGAAAACAGACTTTTTTTTTTTACAATCTTTTTTTATGCCAATGAACACAAATATTCCAAAATGCAGTTTAATAATCATGAACCTCGTTTGCGAGCATTTCGTTGGTTTTCATTGCAATCAACCAGAAATTAGGAACTCCTTCTTTCTCTGCCTCAGCTTCAACCTCACCATTCACAATTTCATACCTCTGCAAATGATAAGTAAATCTCAGGAAAACAACCAAAACTATAATAATCCTAACACACATAACATAGATGAAATTTTCAACTCTTTGCCTTATTAAAAAGCGGCTTGTAGAGATTATTGTATTTTGCCTCCAATGCAGCTTTTTCTTTAAGAAACTTCTCTTCGAGCTCGTCGTGTTTAACCTGAAACATTCAGATCTCAGTGAAATCCATAACAGAACATTGAGTCTCTCTTCTCAAGTATCAGTAATATAGTTTTGACAATACCTGGATGTCCTTGAGAAACAGAACGCGTTTGGTAATTTTAGGTGAGAGTGTTTTCACATCAAAGGTTCGCTTTGTGGTTAGGTTCTGTAAGTTTAACACCCACAATGTGTTATTCTATAATCAACAGGAAGCAGAAAAAAACTATTGTGTGATTTCATCAATGATTGAAGTAACTTACTTTAAGCTCATCAAGAAGAGCAAGATCTTCTAGCCCAGGATCTGCAAAGCACAATGGTTAGCTTCAATTTAACCCTAGGCCTTGTTGATTCAAGAGCTAAAAAAGTAAAACAGGGGATTTGCTTGAGGCAGAAGTAAATAAGAAAGAGTATAGTTTTTTTGAGGGATAATCCAAAGATTCAATAGAATTAGAAGGAGATTTCGAATAATTATTTTCTACGAATGAAAAACGAGAGTTGTTACTGAAATTGCGTGAAGAAATTACCCAAGGAATCGCCACTTTTATCATCTGCTTTGATAGATGTGATGTTTTCTTCGTTGCTCATGTTTTTGATTTCCGTATCAGGAAGGTTTCTTGTTTCGTGAGAAAACTGGAAATTTTCCAAGGGACCAAAAAAAAAAAAAAAAGAAGCAGAAGAAAGCCAGAAAATGAGGACAAGGGAGAAAGAAAGGAGAGGAGAAGACTTCGCGGTTTATTTTATTTGTAATTCATTCGTTTCACACGTGCGATGTGAAGAACGTGTAAACTTAGTGGTGTTCCATGAACTGCCAATATAACAGCAAAAGGATACGGCGACGTTTTTCAGCCCCAAAGAAGCAGCAAATGTAGAGACTCTCACAAGTGCACATACAAATGAACAACAAAAGATTGCAGTCAGATTAGCTTTGCTTACATTTCAGGTTTAATCAAATATACCCTAACTATTATTCATTCGTCGTCTTCGTCTTCATCTTCATCTTCTTCCACTTCTTCTTCTTCTTCGTCATCTATATATGGTTCGTCCTCTTCTTCTAACTTGGCTTCTTCATCACTAACAATAAAACCACCCAATGTCTCATCATCATCATCATCATCTTCGTCTTCTTCGACATCTACACTTCCACGTTGTTTAGTTTGAGCACGGCTACTACTACTACTACTACTTGCGTTTGGATCTTTCTTAGTCTTGTTGGATCTAGTTGAGTATCTTGGACTCTTAGCGCTTTTTGATTTCACCATCAACTCTTTATCTTCCTCACTGTCCACACTCCAATCATCGTCTTCATTCCCTTTCTTTCTTCTTCTCTTTTTGCTCAGTCCCTTCCTTCGCTTCTTATCTCCATCATCATCATCATCATCATCGCTATTTCTATTCGTGGAATCTTCTAGATACCATTCCCATTGCTTTACGTCGAGAATCCGACTCTTTGGATACTGATCAAACTCTTTCCCAATCACAACAAAACCAAACTCTGCAATACCACAGTAAACACTGCACATTGAGAATTGTCTTTCTAAGAAAACTACTTCCACTGTGTAGATAACATAAGTCAGAACAGAGAATGTAAAGGACAAAGAATCCAGAAGCAAATCACAAATTAAGAAACGAAGATATCGAAAAAGTTCTGAATTAAGATGCTGAAAAAAAACCGAATTGCTCGAAATTTCAAATCTTTCCCCTTTGTTCGACTTCTTAAGCGATAATACATCGAATTAGACGAATTCGAGTGATGTAATGTACAAAATCGATTACCTTTAACAAGGTCAATGTCAGAGGTATCAATACTATCCAATCCACTTTCACCACTCGAAGCTCTCTCCTCCGTAGCTTCATCGCGTCTCTTCAAAGTGAACCAAACAGGGAGATGACCCGATACACAGAATCTTTCGCCGGCGGCGATCTCTCCCGTTTCAGATTTCCGAAAAGTTTGGATTTTACCGCCCGGTTGACCCGTACGTACCCAGACCGGATTCCTCCCAATGACCTCGATTGAAACCCTATCGGACCGCTCAGTTCCGGCGGCGGCGGGTTTTAACTCGAGCGACGCGTGACGGCGTGATACGGTTCGGTCGTCGGTGCTGAACCCGACTCCTCTTCCGAACACGGCCTGAACTCCGGGCTTCAGATAGAGCTTCGTGCCGTCTTCGCCTTCGATTTCCATGGTGGTTTCAGGACTTTCAACGAGACTTGTTTTTTTTTATTTTCCTTTCTTCTATTCATTTGCCGGCGGCATCAAAACGCATCGTTTTTGACAAAAATCCTTTCGTAAATATTTTTGGCTTTGCAGTAAATAAACTCTAACGATAAACTTACCAGCAAATAACTGTAAATTTTGTTCATCTTAATTTCCCTCTCGTAATCATCAACGACCTTTACTTAATAAATGATTCATGGGAAAATCCGAAGCTTATTTCTTGAGATTAAAGTCATACTCAAACTTAGGGAACCCAACCATATTGATTTGCTTTGACATGAAGCTTCTTCTGGATCTTTAACCAACCACATTAAATTTGAGTTTTATGGTACAAAATCTAAAGCTTGTCTAAAATGAAATATGCAGATTTTTTTAAATTCTTACATTTATGCATAGGATATTGCTTGCATTCTTAAACTCTCGAAAGATTTTTTCTATTTTTCCCAGCATATAAACATATTAACAATGTCATAGAAAGGAAATGATATCAAATCTATTCCACTTTAGTCTTGATTGACATAAAAAAACTTTATTTTACTCTTCTCCTATTTGTAAGCTACCATGAATACGACATCGTATTTGTGAATCGCATTTCGTCCACCTTTGTTAAATTAAAAAACGCCTCTTCCTAATTGATTGCTCCGGCAACTTCCATCTGAAGAGCTTCAGAGGAGATTAGACAGAAGAAGAAGAAGAAGATGAAGAAGACGAAAGGAAGTAGCTTTCGATTCTACGCCACTTTCTTTCTCTCTTTCTTAACTTTCTCGATTTCTCGCGCCTTCTATCTCCCCGGAGTCGCTCCTCGCGATTTCCAGAAGGTAACTCTTTGGGGTTTTTTTTTATTCCTTCCGATTTCGCGGTTTTGATGAGAAGATCGATCTAGAGTTTATGGGTCTGAGTGATATTCTCTTTTCTCGTGTGATTTCATTTGCATCTGCTGGAAATTTTTTTTGTCTTTTTCAGGCCACCGTTTCTGTTGATAGCTACTATATAGTGTGTCAATAAAATTTTTGATTCTCAAATAAGAAACGCAACTAAATTTTGATATACGTAGACGAAGGTGGTACCGTCTTGTATGCATAAAGAGAGTGTCTTTGAAAATTTAAGTACAGACTATGTGATGTAGAGATCTATGTGTTTGTGATTGAAGATCCTTGATTTGTGTTCCTGATGTTCTCAATCTCTTTGTCCTTCTGTAATTGAGAGTCTATCTATTAGATTTACACATTCTTGAACCATCTCGATTTCTAGGCTGAAGTCATGATGTGAAAAGTTTCGATTTTTTTTTATACATCATGCTGATTATTTCCATTTCGGACATTCTTCATATGTAAATCTATAGATTTCTCCTTGCAAAAATTGCGTTTTCCAAATCTTGTTTTTTGACTTTATTAGCAGCTTGGCTTGTCACCTCTTGATTTTGTTGTATTTGTGTGGAACAGGGTGATCCCCTTTATGTCAAAGTGAACAAATTGTCTTCTACGAAGACGCAACTTCCTTATGACTACTACTACCTGAATTACTGTAAGCCTCGTAAGATCTTGAACAATGCTGAAAATCTAGGGGAGGTTCTCAGAGGAGACCGCATTGAGAATTCGGTTTATACCGTAAGTAATATCCATTCCTCTCTCTCTCTCTCTAATTGTTGTTAGCATGAACGAACCTCATCATTATGAGATGTTAAGTTGTTGACTTTTTTTCAATGGTTCAGTTTCTAATGCTGGAGGATCAGCCTTGCAAAGTAGGTTGCCGTGCTAAACTTGACGCAGAGTCAACAAAAAACTTCAAGGAAAAGATTGATGATGAATACCGAGCTAACATGTAAGTAGTCAATATAGCATTCTTTTTTGTATCTGCGCCTCCTAGATTTCTTTTGATTAATCTGTAAAACTTAACCCGAGTTACTGTACAGGATTCTTGATAATCTTCCAGTAGCTGTACTTAGACAAAGGAGAGATGGAAGTCAGTCAACTACTTATGAACACGGTTTCCGTGTTGGCTTCAAAGGGAGTTATGAAGGGGTAATGTCTTTAAGCTCTGTTTCTGCAGTCTTGCTATACTTTTTTACTGTCTCTCTCATACCAACCAATAGTTGCTTTGCTTGCATTTGTAGAGCAAAGAGGAGAAATATTTCATCCATAATCACTTGAGCTTCCGAGTTATGTACCACAGAGATCAAGAGTCTGATTCTGCTAGAATTGTTGGATTTGAGGTTACTCCTAACAGGTATTGCCTATTGGGTTGTTGCTTCTTTTATTTAGTTGCATGATGTCTGTCTTGTTTGGAATTTTGAGGTATGCTTTTCAAATTATTTAAGCCAATGCGTTTTTGTTTTTTTGGATAGTATCTTGCATGAGTACAAGGAGTGGGATGAAAACAATCCTCAGCTAACAACATGCAACAAGGACACGAAGAATTTAATCCAAAGCAATACTGTCCCTCAAGAAGTTGAGGAAGGAAAAGAAATTGTGTTTACATATGATGTCTCATTTAAGGTAAAGAACTAATCTTTGGACTTCTTTTGCTTCACTGTGTTTGGCTTGCTAAACATTTTTTCGGAATTTGAATCTCCAGGAGAGTGAAATCAAATGGGCTTCTCGGTGGGACACGTACCTTCTCATGAACGATGATCAAATCCACTGGTTTTCCATCATAAATTCACTTATGATTGTCCTTTTCCTCTCTGGAATGGTAGCCATGATTATGATGAGAACTCTATACAAGGATATCTCAAACTACAATCAGCTCGAGACCCAAGATGAAGCTCAGGAAGAGACTGGATGGAAGCTTGTACACGGAGATGTCTTCAGGCCACCGGTGAACTCTGGATTGTTGTGTGTTTATGTCGGTACAGGTGTTCAGATCTTTGGAATGTCGCTTGTTACAATGATGTTTGCGTTGCTGGGATTCTTATCTCCATCCAACAGAGGAGGGCTTATGACTGCCATGGTTCTCTTGTGGGTTTTCATGGGCATATTCGCTGGTTACTCCTCATCTCGCCTTCACAAAATGTTCAAAGGAAACAAGTGGAAGAGAATGACTTTGAAGACTGCGTTCATGTTCCCCGGTATCCTCTCTGCGATCTTCTTTGTTCTGAATGCCCTCATTTGGGGAGAACAGTCATCCGGAGCCATACCTTTTGGTACGATGTTTGCTCTCTTCTGCCTCTGGTTTGGCATCTCAGTCCCACTAGTCTTTGTCGGTAGCTATCTGGGTTACAAGAAGCCAGCAATCGAAGATCCAGTCAAGACAAACAAAATCCCTAGGCAAGTGCCAGAGCAGCCATGGTACATGAAACCGGTCTTCTCCATATTGATAGGAGGCATCTTACCATTTGGGGCAGTCTTCATCGAGCTCTTCTTCATCCTGACATCGATATGGCTGAACCAGTTCTACTACATCTTCGGGTTCCTCTTCATAGTGTTCTTGATCCTGATCGTCACCTGCGCAGAGATCACAGTTGTGCTTTGCTACTTCCAGCTTTGCAGCGAGGACTACAACTGGTGGTGGAGAGCTTACTTAACCGCGGGATCATCTGCTTTCTACCTCTTCCTCTACTCGATCTTCTACTTCTTCACGAAGCTGGAGATAACAAAGCTCGTCTCGGGAATGCTCTACTTCGGGTACATGATCATTATCTCTTACGCCTTCTTCGTCCTAACTGGCACGATCGGTTTCTATGCTTGCTTCTGGTTCGTGAGAAAGATCTACTCGTCGGTGAAAATTGATTAGAACCCAAGACAGAAGAAGAAAACCAACTGATAAATCTGCAGAAAGATGCCAACTTTTGAGTCTTTGAGGTTTTTGTATGTTTGGGTAATTGTACGCGGTTCGTAGCTGTAACAAAGTAAAAGAACCAAATCAACTTTAATGTGTACCCTTTTCTTCAACACCTGCTCATTTCGATAGATGTTGGCTGAATCTAATATTACATGCCTTTATGCGATGTTCACCAGTAATCTCCACAGGAACATATTCCTCCAACAATTTGATGAAACCGGTTTTTATCTCTCAAGGACACTTCTCTTTCAAAAACATTCGAGAAGATCTTGGCAAAGTTGTGACAATCAACGCATACACGTAGATTCTTGAACACTCGAATCGGAATCCCGTCACCTGTAGCAATCAACCCAAAAGTCAAGGCGAGTTTCTCACTGTGGCCAAGCAGCATCTTCTCCTTCTGCTCTTCATCCACATCATATAACACACAGCTTTGATCAGGAACGTAACCAGCTTGTTTCATTTTTATCAGTATTTCTTTCAATTTCGCCAACACCTCTTCCCTTCTCGGATGAGTACGATCATTCGCGTGGAAGTAATGCAAGGTCTGCTCGTGTTGGATCCAGCTTCTTCCAGGTTCTTTTGTAACAGCTTTCTCCATCATCAGTGCTCTTAAATCGTTTACTTCTTCCCATCTTCCTGCAGAGGCATACAAGTTAGAGAGGATGACGTAGTTACCAGCATTCTCTGGTTCAATCTCAATGAGCCTACGACCTACAGATTCTCCAATGTCTACAGATAAGTGAACCCTACAAGCTCCTAAAAGAGAACCCAGGACACCAGCAGTTGGCTCAGACGGCATTCTTTTGATGAATTCAAACGCCTCCTCGATCCTACCAGCACGGCCAAGCATATCAACGATGCAACCATAATGCTCAGTGTCAGGCTTAATCCCGTACTCTCCAGCTACCATGCCATCAAATATACTTAGCCCTGTGTTTTCCATTTTCCCATGGCTGCAACCAGACAAAACAGCCAAAAGGGTAACTGCATCAGGCTTTACTCTCTTCTCATCTCTCATCAATCTGAAGAGCTCGAGGACTTCTTTCCCCAAACCGTGTTTACTATAACCCACAAGCATGGCGTTCCATGAAACGGATGTCCTCTCAGGCATGTTATCAAAAAGCCTTCGAGCGTAAGAGAGATTCCCACACTTTGAGTACATATCGATTAGGGAGTTCTGAAGGACTGTGTAGAAGGGAAGCTCACGTCTCAACACATGGCAATGAGCTTGCTTGCCATGATCTAACAAAGCAAGTCCAGATAATGCTGTTAGTAGACTAGCGTAAGTGACATAATTCGGACTCATTCCTTCACTCTGCAGCTTCTGGAACACTCGTAAAGCCTCTTCATCGAGACCTAGCTGTGCATAGCCAGCGATAATGGCAGTGCATGAGACAACGTCTCTCTCAGGTAAACATTCGAAAATCTCTCGAGCTTCTTCAATTTCACCGGATTTGGCATACATGTCAAGGAGAGAGCTTCCCACAAAAATGCGTGAGTCGTAATTCCATTTAACAATGAGACCATGGATTTGCTTACCCAAGGATATTCCAGAAGCACGTATACAAGAGGTGAGAACAGTTGCGAAAGTGAACTCATTAGGTTTCCCATCTGATCTCATCATCTCTGCAAAAACAGTGAGAGCCTCTGAAGAATGCCCGGATTGAGAATAACGCGAGATCATGGCAGTCCAGGACACAACGTTCTTCTCAGGCATTTCGTCGAGCACTTTCCGGGAATCCTCCAAACAATCGCACTTCCCGTAGAAGATGAGGAGACGAGTTCGGAGGTAGACAGGTGGGAAATAACGGGTTTTGATCATATGGGCGTGGACTCTCTGACCTTCTCTAAGAGCCCTTTTGCCCACACACGCGTTCAACAACGCATTGTAACCATGGAATCCCATCTCGGAGCCTAAAATCGCCATCTCCAGCAAAGCTTCTTGAAGACGACCGCTGGAACATAGTTCAGGAATCGGAAGGTACGTTCGGAGAGCAGAACTTGGAAACGACGACAAGGATCGATGAAGCAGCCTCATAAAGTTAAACATTTGAGGAAATGGATTGTTGGCTTGTTTTACAGTCGGGATTGAAAACAAAAGAACTCTGTTTTTCTTTCCTTTTTTTTTAAAAGCATACATAGAGAAAGTCTCTTCCTTTTATTACATATCCAAGTACTAGAGATTGTAACCACGATATCTGAAAAACGGTCGTCTCATGCCTGGTTCGTTACATTCCAAAGAGCAAACGACAATCGCTTCGGGAAGGCAGTTGTTGTAGTCCCACTTGATGTTCCACCAGTAGCCTTCGTAGTAGATGGAAGCCGTGCAACGTTGGTTACATTCGTAGCACAAGAGTCGAGTGCTACTACTGTTGCGTATAACTTTCACATTTCCACCAATCTGCTGGAATGTAGAACCAGGTTTCATACAGTAGGAGGATCCAAATATGCATCCAAGGTGGAGGGTGACGCAGCATTTGTTGTTACATGTGTAGAACCATCCTCTTTTATCTACTTGCTTCTCACACACCTCGCACCAATACGTGTCCTGATCCTTACCTTGGTCGCTTTCTCCGTAGCAAAGGGTGAGAGGATGCTTGTCGAATCTGTAGTGTATTTCATTTGGAATGGTACCACATGTGTAACACAGCCGAAACTTGCATTCCGCACACTGTAGGTGAGGAGACCCCTGTTGGATAATTCCAGTAACTTCTAGAAGAAATTATTTTTAGGAATAGCTAAAGATATATAGAACAGGAAATATCAAGAATGGGAAAAATGTGTTTTCCATTCCTAATAGACTAAAGAGTAGCTTAAGTATATAAATAAGAGGTTATGGAGAGATGTTCCATAAGACATAAGAGAGAGATTTAGTTTTGTGAAGTTTCTAAATCTAATAAGAAGAGCAGTTCTTATATACTTTCTTGTGTTGTTGATACAATATCGACTTGAATTGGTATCAGAACTTCAAGGAGGAAGTCTCGGACCTTAACAAGCTGATATATCGGCTATGGCGGAAGTGAATAATCTGCAGCCATGACAAAGGGAGATTGGATCTTCATCCATCCAATGTCCGATGTTAACATCGACAAACTATACTGTTTGGACGATGAGAATGAAGGTTATACTTCACGTTAATGAAGTATGGGACACCATAGATCCGGGGTTAGCAGATCCAAAGAAGAATTACGCAGCAATAGCACTTTTTTTCCAATCGATTCCGGAGTCACTTATTCTTCAAGTGGGAGAATAAGAGACTTCAAAAGGCGTGTGGGAAGCCATTAAATCTCGACATTTTGGAGCAGATCGCGTGAGAGAAGCAAGACTACAGATCTTGATGACGGAATTTGACAAGCTAAAGATGAGCGATAAGGATTCGGTGGATGACTTCGCTGGAAAGATCTCAGGACTTGCATCAAAAGCGGCCTCCATCGGTGATGTCATAGAAGAGCCGAAGCTGGTGAAGAAATTTTTAAAGGGACTTCCGAGAAACAAATACATACAAATAGTAGCTTCCTTAGAACAAGTCTTAGACCTAAATAAAACGGGGTTTGAAGACATTGTGGGGAGGTTAAAGGCGTATGAAGAGCGAGTAGGTGAGGAGACATCAGGAGAAGAACAGAGCAAGCTTATGTGGTCCGGTAACGATCAGGGTAGTCACAGCGAACAGAGTAACCGCGGGGGTTACGGTGGCAGAGGCAGAGGCCGAGGCGGCGGTAGAGGCAGAGGCCGAGGTCATTCAAACAGAAACTCAGGAGGAGAAAACAAAGACGGTGCTCAGAATCGGAAGAAGGATATGAGCAAAGTAAACTGCTACAGATGCGACAAACCGGGACATTATATAAACTCGTGTCCTGACTTACCAAAGAACCAAGAAACAAACCTAAACGAGACGCAGGAGGCGGATGCTCTCTATGTTCACGAAGTTGTTTTCTTAAACGAAGACAAGGTATTCCCAAAGAAGTATGACGCAAGCAACAAAGATTCAAGTATCTGATACTTGGATAATGGAGCTAGCAATCATATGACGGGTAACAAAGGCTACTTCTCGAACTTAGATGAGAGTGTTAAAGGACGAGTGAAATTCGGAGATGGCTCACATGTGGAGATAGTTGGGAAAGGTATGATCATCTTTCTGGATAAGACCAGAGAAAGAAGAGCCCTCAAAGATATCTACTACATTCCAGAACTAAAACACAATATAATTAGCCTTGGTCAAGCAACCGAAAATGGTTGTGAAGTCCGAATGAAGGGAGCTATTCTAACACTGCAAGATCCTCGGGGGAGACTCTTAGTTCGAGTCGTCAGATCAGCGAATAGGCTCTACAAAACACCTATGGAGATAAGCTACTCAAAAGTGTCTTCAGATACAAGAAGAGGACCCGACGTGGACCTGGCATACGAGGTTAGGACATGTTAGTATCGGTGTTATGAATAACATGGTTAAGAATAAGATGGTTGATGGAATGCTGAAGGTATTACATGAGAAAAATACATGTATTGCATGCCTTGCTGGGAAACAAACGAGAGGCTCTTTCCCAGTTAAGACTATCTTTCGTGCAACTCAAGTACTAGAACTTATCCATGGTGATTTGTGTGGGCCTATCTCTCCGCCAACACCAGCGAACAACCGCTACGTTTTCGTCTTGATAGACGATTTCTCGAGATACATGTGGATTCTGTTGCTAAAGGAGAAGAGTGAGGCATTCGATCGGTTCAAAAGATACAAGGAGCTAGTCGAGAATCAAACTGGCTCGAAGATTAAATCCTTTCGCACCGATAGAGGAGGAGAGTTTACCTCGACAGTGTTTAACTCATTCTGTGAAGAGAATGGGATCTCGAGACAAATGACTGCACCCTACACACCACAGCAGAATGGTGCTGTAGAAAGAAGAAATCGGACTTTAATGGAGATGACCAGGAGCGTACTGAAGGCCATGAAGATTCCGAACTTCTTGTGGGGAGAAGCTGTAAGACATTCAGCTTATATCATTAACAGAGTTTCTACTAAAACTTTGGAGAATAAAACCCCATACGAGTGTTTCACATCCAGAAAACCTAACGTAGGACATCTGCGGATTTTTGGGTGTATAGCTCATACAAAAATCATCAGACCACACCTAAAGAAGCTAGACGAGAGATCGAAGACAGCAATTAATCTTGGAACTGAGCCGAGTTCTAAAGCTTACAGACTTTACGACCCAGTAACGAAGAAGGTGATGGTGAGCAGAGACGTGATTTTTGAAGAGACAAAGGCATGGGATTGGTCATCCGTAACAACAGATGACTATGGTGAACCTGGTACTTTTAAACTTCCTCGCTATGGCCCTATAGAAGACGGAGGAGACATCGATGTTCAAAACAATGATGAGCATCATGATCAACCTCATATTGATCAAGACGAAGAAGAGGAAGATAATGCAGAGGAAGATCACGACGAGAATCAAGAAGAAGAACCAGAGCCTATCTTAACTAGATATGGTCGAAAGGTGAATCTTCCCTCATACCTTAGCGACTACGTTATGCTTGCAGACGAAGAAGGAGAACAACTAATGCTTACGATCGATGGTGAGCCTGAAAACTACCATGAAGCTGCGAATCTACAAGAATGGGTAGATGCGATGATAGCAGAGTTGGAATCCATAACAAAGAATGGCACTTGGGAGCTCGTTGATAAACCTGATGGGGTGAAGCCCATAAGATTGAAGTGGATTTATAAACTAAAGAAGAATGCAGATGGTTCAGTGAATAAACACAAGGCAAGGCTTGTCGCGAAAGGCTATATACAACAGCATGGCATTGATTTCGACAAAGTGTTCGCTTCTGTAGCACGGATTGAAACAATTCGCTTGCTGATAGCCCTCGCAGCAACCAAAGGCTGGGAAATACATCACTTGGACGTCAAGACTGCATTCCTGAATAGTGATCTAAACGAGCTGGTTTATATTACTCAACCTGAGGGCTTTGTCAAGAAGGGAGAAGAAAAACGAGTCTACAGGTTACATAAAGCATTATATGGCCTGCGACAAGCTCCTAGAGCTTGGAACGTGAAGCTTGATCGTGTCCTAAAAGAGATGAACTTTAAGAGATGCTTAAAGGAAACCTCTGTTTACTTCAAGAAGACAAAGAATGACTTCTTGATAGTAGCTATATACGTTGATGACTTATTCGTAACAGGAACTTCACGGATAGTCATTGATCGATTCAAAGGGGACATGTCAAGGAGATTTGATATGTCAGATCTTGGGAAGCTGACATACTATCTTGGAATTGAAGTGATCCAAGGAGAAGATGGAATTAGAATCAAGCATGAGAGATACACTAAAGGTATTCTTGCTGACACGAAGATGGAGTCATGTAATCCGACTCATGTACCTATGGAATCGGGTTTAAAACTTTCTAAGGCAGAAGACGAAGCTGAGATAGATGCCACGGCCTATAGAAGAACTATAGGATGCTTACGGTACTTGCTTCATACAAGATCGGATCTAGCATATGCTGTTGGAGTTCTTAGCCGTTATATGCAGAGTCCGAGAGAATCGCACGGACAAGCTTTAAAACACATCTTAAGGTACATAAAAGGATCTACCAACCAAGGTTTGTTCTTCAAGAAGGATGGAACAAATCGGATCATTGGTTATAGCGACAGCAGCCATAACATTGATGTAGATGATGGAAAAAGCACCTCAGGTCATGTCTTCTACTTCGGATCATCTCCGATTACGTGGACATCACAGAAGCAACCAACCGTTGCTTTATCATCTTGTGAAGCAGAGTTTATGGCAGCGACAGAGGCAGCAAAACAAGCTATATGGCTTGAAGAGTTGTTAAAGGAGATACAGCATGATGACAAGAGGGTCTTGCGGATTGATAGCAAATCAGCCATCGCCCTCACCAAGAACCCGGTATTTCACGACAGAAGCAAGCACATTCTCTCAAAGTATCACTTCATTCGTGAATGTGTGGAGAATGAGCAAATCGAGGTTGAGCATGTACCTGGAACAGAGCAGAAGGCGGACATCCTTACCAAGCCATTGGCAAGGATCAAGTTCAAGGAAATGAGAAGCTTAATTGGAGTTCAAGAAATCATTTCTCCCAAGATTCAAGTTGGAATTAAGGGGGAGAATGTTGTAGAATAGGAAATATCAAAAATGGAAAAAATGTGTTTTCCATTCCTAATAGACTAAGGAATAGTTAAGGTCTATAAATAAGAGGTTATGGAGAGATGTTCCATAAGACATAAGAGAGAGATTTAGTTTTGTGAAGTTTCTAAATCTAATAAGAAGAGCAGTTCTTATATACTTTTTTGTATTGTTGATACAATATCGACTTGAATCCCCAAGCACCTTTCTCTGCAACGTTACATGAGATGTTGTCCTCGCTGCTGTAGAATGTGCAGATAAAAACGGGATGTTTATGACTTTTGTGGATGAAACACTCTTGCACTGAGACGCATCGAACATCTAGCACAAAATTCTCACAGCCTTCTCTGGAGCATCCGTAGCGGAAACCAGTGGATGCTCGGGAACAAGCCAAACAAGAAATGTGTCTGGGAGACGTGAATAGGGTAAGAGTGTGGTTGTGCAACGCGTGGTCCAGTTTTCGAGGAAGACAAGCGCATGTCTCGTGGAGAGAGTAATCGCATTCCTCGCAATGATAGAATTCGAGAGAGACGATGGGGAAAACGCACGCTTCGCATTGCATTTCCGTGTCTCCAACGCCATCGTGCTTCTTCATCAGCTTCAAAGGATGTTGGTGGCAAAAATGCTCTATAAAGCCATCTCCTAGCTCCTTGAAAGGCGAAACATCTTCTTCAGTTTCGTCGGAATCCTCTGCTTCCCATTCGAGCTCTGTCCCATCCCATACACTCACATGCGTTGCACATTTAGAGTGGGCTACATAGGAGCAATCTTGGTGACTGCAAGAATATTGACCGTACTCTATGTCAACATCTTTGTAGCAAATCCGGCAAGACGAAACCAGAGGTGAACGGTAAGGAACGTGAGAGAGACGGTGTGGATGACGCGTGATCTTGATAACTCGGGGTAAGTCCATACATTTCTGATGGACCATGTAATTACATTGGAAACAAGTATAACTTGGTTCCAACGCGTGCACCAACCCACAAGCATCACAAGGAACTAACAACGGCCGAGGCAAGAAGAAGAGCGAGTGGTGATGGCTTCTCGGGTTCGCAATAGTAAGAGGTGGGACAGTTTCCGCACAAGGGAGATCCAAGCAGAAGCCACAAATCAAACAGCGATAAAACCAATCACCTTGGAAGACTTGTCCACACCAGGTGCACTTGTCGAATATGATATCGGATTTGGAGGGAACAATATGTCGACAAACTCTGGAGCAGATGGTGGTGTGTCCAGGGAAGGGTTGAAGTCGGGGATGATGTTGGATACGAATCCGGTTTCAGGGTGTCGGAAGAAGAGAGTGAGAGGGTGTTGGAGATGATAAGGATGTGTAATCCTCCTCGGACGCTTGTGACAACCATTGTGGAAGTCCACGTCGCAGGTTTCGCAGTGGTATTCGATATAATCCTGCGACCTCACAGTGTGTTTACCGCCGCAGGTAAAACAGCCAAACGGAATCACAGGGTTGAGTCGAATGCACAAGTTATGTTGTGCGTGAGCTGGGTGAGACACAAGGCATCTCGGTCTTTGTTTCTCATCATCCATTTTTTCTTTACTGCTTTGGCTTTGTGTATCTGTCTGGATCTTCTAAATCTTCATCATCTTCATTCCATCTTGTAACTGTGTTTATATAAAACAAAAAGCTCAATTAATTATCAAGCAGCTCCGTATTACATTTATGTTATCCCATATGTAAATAAATAATACAATGGACCAACTTTTTTTTTTGGTCGGCGATCAACTTTTGCTTTAAATGATGACGAATAATCCAAAATCAATTTTTTTTTTTTATACGTTCGTCTCTGCAACTTGAACTAGAAAGTAGCATAAACAATTGTTTGTTCAAAATTATCATTAAGACCAAAGGGATAGGCCAGTGCCTCTAGGTCTAGACATTGCTTTTAAGACTTTAAATGTTTTTATTACAGAGAAAGAAAAAAACATTACATAAATCTAGCAATGAGATAATTGCATAGAATGTCTCAGCTACTACGTGTACGACAACAACTGCAATGACAAACACATTCGAATAAAAAAAAAAGCTAGAGAATAATTTTTTTTTTTGCTAAATTGCTAGAAAATAATTATCTACTACCAGTTTTGCCCTTAAATTTGAAGCAAATAATCTACACATGGACTCAGATTCTCCAGTCTCAATGTGCTTCTTCTTCATCTTCTTTCTTGGGTAACAATTACAAACTCATCCCAAAGCTTAATTACATATAAATCACAATTCTTGCAAATTGTTGAACGGTGTGTGTTGTGTCCCTTTGTACAACTTCCACCGCGGTAAATAGCCAGAACGTACTACAGAGACGATCAGAAAACCTGTAAGAATGCGAAAGTAACCCAACTCTACAGTTTTGATTGTTGCTCGCTCCTCTGGTTTCATTTAAGCGCAAACCGCTTCCACCGCGAGTTTCTTCATCACATTTGGACAAGGATCTCCACCAAACATCTCCGGTGCTACAGTTACAGAACACCAGTTCTGCCCAACACAAAGCTGCAAGAGACAGAGAATATAAAAAACCCACAGCTTTCAGAACACATTTCAAGGCACAAAACAGAACAAAGAAAGATAAATTCATGGTTTTTAAACGAAACTTACTCTGTTGAAAGCATCATAGGAGTGATGGGCGTGACAGCTTCCTTGGCGGTAGCTGCCACAAGTCCCTTCAGGTGTCCCGAAGCTAGCAAACTTCACGGTGGTGATCTTCTGTCCAGGCCCACACTGCAAATGCGCTTTGGGATGCAGCGGCTTATTAACTTTGCCAGAAGCATGCAATTGGTAATTCACCAGCGTTGATTGCCATTCATAGATATCTGTACACACACTGTCCACTTCCCTTCTCACCAACGAGATTCCGTTGGGGTCTCCTCCCCATTCCTCAAAGACAACCAATAGATTGCCACTTGGTTTCAGCCACGACCTTGGCACATGGTACCTAACAATATTTTTAACATCCATTAATCGTAGCTTGAAAAGGAAGAAAAGATAGCATCTTTATCATTTAACGAAGCTTCATTGAGGTAAAGATGGAGTTTTTACCATCTCTGAGAAGCCTCTCCACAGTTTCTTAAGCACTTGTTCTCGTCGAATGTTCCGGTATAAGAACACTCGCTGCAAGAACCAACTGCTTTATATGCAGGCCAGTGACGTCCCACGCTCTGCCCATTAATCCATATCTGACCTTTTCCCATGCTTCCCATATCTACAGCCAACGGCGAATTGCCTGCTGGAGCAGAAAACGTCGTCTGAAAAAGCCAATATTGACGTGTCAAACCACCAGAAACTAATTTTGATGTCCACAACAATACTATTTTACAAAAGATAAACTCGAGATGTTGTTACCTTGTACCAAGTAAGCGGCTGCTTTTGTGCCACAAATGCACCTTCTGCCCACTCAACCGATGTGCTACCGCTGAGTGAATGAAGACTTAGGCTCTCTCCTCTGAGACCAACCTGAAATAAATGTACGAAATTGGGTCATAAGTCATCACTAATCAGTAGAGTGACACAAAGACAATATTAGGCAACAGAGGATTGTATCTTCCTTTCTGTACCTTATAAGTCCATTTCTGCCATGAAAGATCTCTCCGTCCACCATTAAGACCGTTCAATGAAACTGGACCCAGAACTCCAGCATTCCATGTCTCAAAATGTGGACCCACGTTCTGCATTGTATCAAACACACATAGATTAAGAACAGCTCCAGGTTAAACTTAGCGTTTGGCAAAAGGAAAAGTTTGGTGCTAGGGATATAGAGGACTAACCGGTAGACCAACAGCGATGCTTAGTATCGCGATTTTGTTGAAACCAGCTCTTAGATTCACACCTCTTCGAAACGTTAGCTTCGGAGAGTCTAAGCTACCATAGGCAGATCCTGGATAAGAGACAGCAACAACATGTCAAAATGAGACGAACAAAATGTGGCCAGCGGATTATTCTTTGTGATGCTTAAAAATAGTAAACAAACCAATTACCAGATAATTGGCCATTGATGAACACATGCATAGCATGTCCAGCTGATAGAACAGTAAGAGTCGGCAAATCCCCAGTCCTCAGAAACCCTTCGTTGGAGTCAACTTTAACACTGCAAAACAAGAGAAATACAAAATTTGCAGAGAAGTCAGAGAGTTCTTCCATATTCATTCGGTGTTGATAGATTGTGCAAGTTCTATGGATACTTACTCAGTCATGTACCACAGGTAATCCGAAGTGTCTCGTGTAGTGTTGATCTGCTCCACTAAACCGACCATTGTGAATGACTCATCAACGTAAGTTGATGGGTCTTCATTGTATGCTTGCCAAGATAATCCTCCATGAACAGGAACCCTAACCATTTTCATCCTTGAAGTTTGAGCACCAACCTACAGCCAAAACCAGCATAATCAGTGTCGGTTCTCAGAGAAAACCAATAAGAGAATGATTAAAAGTTCCAAGCTTGTGCTTAAATCATTATATCTAGTTGAAGCATAAATTGATTCTTCTTACCCTGGCTGTGTTGTAAACGGTGTTTTTGCAGTCTGGGAGAATACTAATAGACCACGGAGGCAGATTGTAGTGGTTGCTCCCAAAAGAAACTTTGGCGTAAGATCTTGGATTGTAGTTCGCTAAGAAAGCAGAACAAGCTCCGGATTTCGACTTGTATACATGAGCCTGCACAATTACAGATGTACAGAAGTTTATCAAGCTGACCAAAGCAGAAAACAATAATAGTGAAAAAGATGAAAAAGGCTTTGAGTTGAAACCTCTTGATAATTTCCAAGGGGCATTCTCGTGGGCTCTCCTGATACTAATGCAGGCTCACACAGCTTGATCGCTCTATGCAAATCTTTCAAGTGCCCCCACTTAGGCTGCCTCTCAAGTCCTGTTTGAAAATAATAGACTATATTTATAAAGAGGACAACAATTATTACCTTGAGTAAACAGATATATTTAGATTTAGCAAGCTTACCGTATTCGTCAAGAGGAGCGTCGTAATCATAGCTGGTTGCAATAAACGGACCACCAGCAGTCCGACCAAAATTGGTTCCACCGTGATACTGAGCATTAAACCAGTGCATGAGAATTAGAAAAGCTATTAAAAAAATGGATTTAATTGGCTTTGCGAACACTGTAAAAGAGACAGGCAGCAACTTTAGCTTTACCATATAATAATTGATGAAAGATCCACCCTTTTGGATAAACCTTGCAACGGAAAAGGCCATATCTTCAGCTGGGCGATATGGAACTGGGCCTCCAAACTTTGTAAACCTGTAGAAACATCGAGAGAACAGACTCAGATCACTGAGAAACAATCACATAATCATTTTTACTCTGAGTTTCTGCTTACCATCCAGTCCAGGCTTCGGTCCACATTTTGGGTTTGTAAGCCTTGTTCGGAGAGAAGTAATCGCAGTAGAAGCCATTGCAAGCATTGATCTAGCAGAGAGCAATCATAGATTCAACAAGTTAACAAATATGCAAGAAAATAAAAAGAGACTGAGCATATTAATGAATAATGATCTACATGTGTTGTTGTTGACCTCAGCAACATAATAAGACTACTAAGAATTGCTTAAATGATTGAATATTATTATTAGAGACAGCAGGAAGTATAAACAATCAAAGAAAAAGAAAAGAAGATCATGAAAAGAAGCAACACCAAAGCATGTGCAACTTAAATGAATACTAATATTTAAAGAAATGATTTCATCGGAAAGAATGAAGACTGACAATAGCATACAGCTAATGAAGAAGATGTCCCAAAGACAAGACAAGAGAACTCACAATGGGGTCGGGAGCATCGTCTTGTTTGCACATGACCCAAGGGACACCAGTGCCTAGCCCCACAGCCATCTTAGCTGCCCAGTTGGTGTAAGACCGTCCCGGTGCACCGAGCTCATATTCCATTGGTCCATATTCATTTTCAATCTGTCACACAACATTTGAATTTGACACAGACAAAAAGTCTACTTAGTCTCACTCTCACTCGATACTAGGATTGTCTAAAAAAAACCATTTCCACTTGAAGGGTCTTTTACCTGAGAGAGGATTATAGGACCGCCTTGTGATTCAAACAGCCTCTCAGCTTTCATCATGTTAACAATCTTTGTTGTGAATCTTTGCATTTGAGCCTTCAAAAGGAAGAAAAAAAATGCAATCTTTTTTTTAATGACGTGATAATCTCAGGAGTCAATTAAAAGTCAACAAGTGTGAATATTTGATAAACTTCTAAATGAAGATTGATTAGTTTAGAAAAAAAAAAACATGTCTAACCTTGAAAGGGCCATTATCTGTTCTGAAGCTTATCCCTGGAATGTACTTAAGCCAAACAGGGAATCCACTGAGAAATCAAACAGAAACAAACAATCTCATTAAAATTTCAGGGGAAATTTTCTTCCTTTTTAACTTTCTATTTAGAGGCTAAGATACACAAAGTTAGCTAATAAGTAAGTACCCGAAGTTCCATTCTGCACAGACGTAAGGACCAATCCTTAGATGAAGATAGAGTCCAGATTGTTTGACCAGCTTGACAAACTTAACCAAATCATAGTTGCCTTCGAAATAATACTGCAGATGAAGCCAAAAAAACATAAAGTGGAATCCAACGAATCAGTACTTTGTTCACACACACACACAAAAGGATCCAATTGGTGACAAACAACCAAAAAAGTCTAGATTTTTTCTTACTTTTCCAGGAGAAGGCTCGTGCCCATTCCAGAAAACATAGGTCTGAATCACATCCAATCCTCCTTCTTTTGCTTTCCTTATCAGATCTGGCCACATCTACACACAAGAACACATATCCACATAAGAACAAATACCCCCAGATTCTGAAACTATTCGAATTGGGTATACAATGTGGGATTTGAGAAATAACAAGAACAACCAAAAAAGCTTCAAACTTTGGAACAACTCTCTAAGTACATTTGCAGCCCGAATAAGAAGAGAAACAAACAAAACAAACCTCAGGAGTGCTTCTGGGGTAATGAATAGATCCAGAGATGAGGATTCTTCTTTTGCCATTGATGGTAATGGCTCTGCTATCGTAAGAGACAGACGCAGAAACTGAAGAGACGAGAAACCCAAGGAGAAACAGAGCAGAAGCTGCCGCCATAGCCACATTCTTCATGGCTTTAGGTTTGAAACCCATACCGGGAGAGTGCTGAGAGCAAAAGGCGAAATATCTTCAATCTAATTCTATTAAATGAGTTTCTTATTTTAACTTCAATTCACTTTATGCTATTCTTCCTTAGTTGAGCCAGAGGAGGGAAAGAAAGAGAGATATTGTGTGGTAAGAGAAAGCTTCTCAGCTTCAACTCTCTTTTTTTTTCTACTTTCCTGAGAAAAATGGGGAAAGAGAGAAGATTGAAGGAGGAAATTATATTCTGGAGTGTAAAAAGAAGAAAACTTGGTTTTTGTTCTGATGCCAAAATGGAGCTGCTTTGCAGCTGCTTTTAAGCACCACTCAGCAATGGAGGGTATCTCGTGGGACCCACCTTTGAAAGACTTTTTCGGGACCCACCGTGTTTTTGGCCTTTGTCATTGTTGATTAAAATAATTTAAACACCCTATGTTTTTAAATAGGGAAAATTTACTTCATTTTAAGAATTCCCGGATGTATTATGTAAACAATGTCATTTTTAATGATCGAATGTATGTATCTCAATATGTATCTCATCTTGTATTTCAACTTTTATTTTTAATAATAATCAGATGACAACAAAAATAAATAAAAAATGTTATTTTAATGATTGAATATCCCATACTAGAAAATTAGAATTTTATATCTGCTGGAATTTTTTAACACACTGAATCGGGTATATAAAATGTAACGTATCGTTGAAATAAAAATATTTATATAAAAACGTTTTATGTTCATATTAGTATGACTTAAGTGGGAGACTTGGAGTTTTGGTGTTATCAATTCATATTGATTTTCTACATCCACTTATCCTCCATAATCACGAGATTGTCGCATTTCCTTAATGATACGTGCTTTCACGCACTTTTATGCGCGTGGTGGTAATGGCCCAATACCTTACATACGATACGATACAAGTTAAACAATACTTGCAAGAGTGTCACGGGTTAAGGTTCGCTACCACAAATTCTAAGACATTTACAAGACAGAGACATCAAGCAAAATAAATAAATAATACACACCTACATGAAAGAGTATTTGTCTGATTTTAAATATTAACCTTACATAAAAAGTAAGTAGGCAAAAAGTCCTCTCATCAAGATAAAAAACATTGTCCAGTTCCAACTACAGATACGTCCCACTTGGCGCGTGTTACACCATCTCTCACGATACAAATTATTTTTGTGTTTGCAAATTGTAAGATATTTTTATGTAAGAGGGTTCGTTAGACATATATCAAACCAATAATTATCTCAACCACTGGACACATGCAAACATAAGATTTTCCTTCGGTTGCTCCACCTTAATACATATTTATAGTTTAAGACTATAAAGTGCATCTTGTTTTGTTATGAACCATTTAGTATTAAATTATCGTATTTTTAAAACAGACGAATTGATTGTTAACTTCGAACAGCTTCAGCTTATCACATCCGCATTTATATTAATTGTTAAGACGATGTCTGAATTGATGACTATTTCTTCTATATTATCGGGAAAAAACGAGATTTGACGGTGCGACCTAAAAATTTTGGTTGTGTAAGATTTTCACAAACTTCGTTGATATGTCGTATTCATATTAATGGAAAGGAAAACTCTAAATTTATTATTTGATCATTTCAAACAAATACTATAATATATTCATCAAAACACGCAAACATACACAATAATTGTTCTACATGAAGAGATAAGGTGTCGAAAAAGGGAGATATCGTGTTTGTAAAGCATCATTAAAGTTAAAACCATTCTTTGCCCTCGTCGAGTTTATAAAACAAATATTAGCGTTATATATGAATAAATGTAGTACTAGTATAGAAGTAGTAAGGAAAAATAATGATACACGTATAAAGTTAGCACAGCAGAAACCATTAGTATTCATAACAAAACGTCAAAACCTAGATAAGATATTATACAATTTTAATCGCGTTTATCTGTTACACTTATATAGATGCGTACAATGCTCTTAGATTTGTTGTTTCTAAATTTTTGTTACACTTTGAGTTGCGTGGCGGAAACTAAACTGAAAATGAAACGAAGAAAAACAAAACAATGATACTAAAATAAAAAAAAGGAAAAATGAAAATGAGTCATCAGAAACCAAACCCGTTGATAACTGCGACGACAACAACAGTTTACGCGTTCCGAGTTTCTGCTTTCTCTTCTTGTTCATCAGTTTATTCCTTTCCCACTCACACTTTTTTATCATTCACGCTCGGCGCGTGAAACACACATAGTAATATTTACTGTTTGACTTTTTTTGTTTCCGGATCTTACGGTGGATCTTGGAAACCTGTCTCATCTGGGTGGCTGTCAGGCTGTGCTTAATGGGTTATTGGTCTATAACCATAACCAGATCCTAATTAAATTCCTTATGCTTTAATTAAGACAGTAATTGAGTTTAATTGAACACGTACTAGTAATCTAGTATAGCTCCAGCTAAACAGAAGCTAACGCGAAGGTCAGGTTTGTGTACTTTGGTAATGTAGATTTAGATCCTATCCTAGCTGTTGTCCATAAATCATTTATAAGAGTTAAGATATGCTACAATATTTCGCTAATTTTAATGTAATGTTTTGGCCAGTTCGTCGAATTTTCAACATGTACTGATCACTGATGATGTACCAGCACATTTGATCCATGGACCATGGACTCATTTGACCCAAACAGAAATTTGACGCAAATACTTGTTTTGAATCAATCATCATAATATCTAGCTTCATTATATCAAAATTCATGGACCTATATCTTCATGGTACGTTAAATCATATACATAGCGTACGTCACATAAAATGTTATTTTACAAATCTAGTGTCATGACTCATGATGACTCATATGAGTCACCAAAGATCCATATAACTAGAGGGTTTTCTATTTCTAGTTAGTTTCCACATTCCATAAGTCAACGGATCATATAGAAACCACGTGTGGTCTTGATAATTAGAACGTGAATGAAATTATTTTTTGCTACTAATAAGCCAATCACAAGGAATTCGAGTTTAGTTTTCTAAAATCCAATAAAGTATAGTCTGCATGTTATTAACCAATTGAAACACACAGTGTTCTGACTGAATTATGAGCTCATAGGTCACCACCACTTGCAAAGATATTTTTATTTTATTGATGACGACATATCTAATACTAATTGATAATATATTTTTGTCTTAGGGGACAGGGCATGCATGCATGTTGCAGCTTATTGATAATTATATACTCAATGAGTATCCCAATTCCTTTATAGTAAAAAGCATTGAAAATTTTGTGTGTTTTGATATATACTAATTCTTACAACGTTGTAATACATACGAAAACGTAAATCAACTTTTTGTGATTGACTGGGATGCACACTCAAGTTTGCAGTAGAATTATTGATGGTCACTTCTACTAGTGCATACAGTAATTAGTACTGTAACTCGAATTTAAGTGTCACAATTATGCATATAATGTATGTATAATTGAGATACCTTTCACAATCGATAAGAATATGGATAGAAACTAAAGAGTAAACCAACACATTAAGCTTATCCATATATAGCAAGGAGAGGTTCCTATATATTTCGAGAGTACATTTATTTCGACGGCTTTTTGGCTAGCTATTGCTTTCATTTTCAGCGATTGCTTTATCTTATCCTTATACGAAAGGTCTCGTTTCTTCAACACTCTCTCGACACATCGCTGATTTCTCTAAAATATACCTAATTATATATTACAGCATAAAAATTAGGGGTGGACATATTATTCGTTATATTTGATTCGATTTGTTATTTGTTTCGATTCGATCCGAAAAATCTGGATATCCGTAACGATTCAAAGCAAAGCAAATATTAAAATATAGTATCCGTCTAAAACAAATCAAATCGCATATACTAATTTTTGAAAGTTCGAATATCCGCTCTGATCTGCATATTACATATATACATATTAATATTAGAAAATTTTAATGTTTTTATATAGTTTAATTATTGTATTAACAAATAAAAAAAAGAATATATATGATAAAAAATACATATAACAATTTTAAAGTAAGTAATAAACATCTACAATAGTTATCAAATATTTAAAAATAAATTAAAAAGTTTATATTAGAATTTTAATTAATTAATATTCTTTTCAGAATATAAAATATGGTTTTTCTTTTTCTATCATTATAATTTATTATTTATATCCGTTTTTTTGAAATAAAAATAGTTATTTCACTTATTTTTAATTGGTAGTTCATATTTTAAAAAGAAACGCATGTATTTTCACTTTTTACTTGTACTGAATGGAACAAATTTAATATCCATAAGTATCGGTAAATATCCGCAAATATCCGCAAATATTTGTAAATTTTCCGGATATCCGCACTTCTGAATATCCGTATTTTTCGAAGCAAAGCAAATCACAAAATCAGATATCCAGTAAAAACGGAACAAACCACAAATACTCAAAATTTTCCGGATATTCGCTCCGCGCTCAGACCTAATTAAAACATAAAGAACGGTGATCCTTTTACGCTTTTACGATATTGGAACATTCCAAAACTCCGGGATAATAAAATGAAGGTAACTATCAATAAAAGAAGAAGAAAAAACTATCAATAAAGTAGGAACGAAATATTCTTTTGATCCCTCTTTTGTATATGTGGTAGAAACAAAATTTGAGTCTCATCCGAAATGTGTGTTACTCTAATATCATTATATCACAATGGTGATGAACGAAGGAGGGATTAGAATGACAAGCAAGCAAGAAAACGTGGGGTCTATGATAAGTGTGGCGTTATATGATGACACGTCAACCTTGTCGATGGACCCATGAGCATCTACTGGATAATGTGCATGTTAATAGACAAAACTACATCGACGTTACAAATAAAATGGGTGGCTATTTAAGAGTAAAAGATAGGATCTACACATATATGATATGTTTTATCTTCCTTTTTTTTTTTGTTCCTGGTATGATTTATCTTATTCACAAAAGGAAAATAATATCGATGAGACTGCCCCATAAACCATTCCTATATATCAATCTCGATCGTTCTTTTTTATATATTTTAGCCGTCCCTTGGTAGTTGAACGAATATAATACTATGTAAACGAGAATGCATTGCGTGCTTGGTGGTTTTGACAAATGCATTAACTTAAGCTCTCTTAGCTAAAAACACAATTGATATTTGATTTCGCTAATATGAAAGTTGGATTTAAATCACTAAAACTGATTTTTTAAAATCTTTTAAAAAGTCTAAAAAATCATAAACACCATTCAAATGTTGCAAGTGCAGGAAATTGGCGATATTTTTATAATACGAATCTCACACATTGATTGATTTGGTCGGTCGATTGTAATCCATTGCAATAGTAACAGGTTTTATGGGCCCGATAGTTAAAAATTAATGAGCATACTCATAAAGAAAAGTCACTAATGACAACCGAATGTCTAGTGTCGCATTAAATACTTTTAATTTGTAGACTACTAACTAGATATAATCCTTTTATCTTTGGATAAGGATTAGATCAAAAGACGAAGGTCAAATTTACAATTTATTATGTTTTTTCTAGATAATAATATCTAGAAAAATACGCAGTAGTCGAGTAGCATATTGGCTCAACTTGAAGAAATCATGAGTTTAATAAAATCATAAATTTTCAATTATTATTTTCTTTTACCGCAATATTATTAAAATGCTACGAGTAACTAATTTAAATATCATATTTGTTAGTACAACGATGTAGCCATTAAAAAAACAACTGAACATTGAAATGTTAAACTAGCATACTAAGCAAAATTTGATCATTAAAATCGAAGTCGTGAAATTAGTTTAATTTTTTCCATCAATAAAAATATTGATATGGCAAAAGAAAATTATCAAACAAATATTGGAAAATTATCAAGCAAAGATTGGACTTGGCTCAAATATGACAAAAGGTTGGGTTTGATATTAACCGCCAAAATATCCATTACATCTTATTATCTCTTTTGTCTTTTAACCACAATGCCAACTAAACCACAATGCCAACGACCTGTCCAAGGGTAAGTTCGGAAAGTCTATAAACTTTGAATGATTTCATAGCTTTGCGCTGGTATTTAGTTTTGTGTATCAACGATTTTTTACTTACCTAAACTGTTTAAAACTTACGTACAATTTTTTTTGGAACTACTTATGCACATTGGGGAGACGTTTTGGATGAGACATGCACTCAACTAGGTCTGAGTCATCATTTGCCACAATTCTAGAATCTAAGTTATCTTTTGTATAAAAAGTGACCAGTAAAACATAGTGAATATTTTGCAGAGGAGTAGAAGCTATATGCGTTGTTTAATGATCTGAATATTATAGGTTTATTAGACAACTAGACAAGGATGCTTTTAAGACATATGTACTTGTGGGAAAGATAACTTCAAACCGACCTGGAGAGAAAGAACTATATCTTTCTTTGGTCTTATGGATAGACTCTCTGAGACATGCATGTGAGTGGATGATCTATATATTTTTGAATTTTTTTATGGTGGCTTTTACGTATATACGCTCTGGATAATTGAGAAATTAACTTGTGCCATATATGATGAATAAATCTCTTTGCACTATGCCTAAGAGAAAAACTTGATAAAAATCTCACAATTGGTTTGATAAGAAGAGAAGGCACAACTTAAAAGCTGGCATCTTAGGACATTAGTGCTTTCTTTCTTGAAGAACTGCTTTGTACATGATACCACAAGTTTGAGCTTTCTTGATACATAAATCTTGAAGGTCATTTATCTCTAATTGTAACCAAGTACTCTCAACAATATTGGACTATTATTAATTTTGATTCAAACTGTCTTCTTCCCTAAATGTGCTATATGGAACAATTTATTTACTGATTTGTGCTAAACAATTGGCTTCTTTAGAGACCAAATGGCAAATATCGTCATTGGGACATAAGACCAAAATGAGCATTTTTATTTGATAACCAGTTGGAGTTACACATTCATATACATATAATGATAATATATATATATATATATGTATGTACAATGTCTTCTCACGGTAATGCTAAACCGGCCTACTAAGGAAACATTGATCTTCCATAACCTGAGAGAGTAAACAACTAGTGTGGCATTTGCTCATCTACAAGTTAAACAAAAAAGAAAAGGAAAATATGGTTATGACATGTGTCTGCTTTACTGCGAATATCCACTAAATTAAGTTTATAATCGAATGTAACGGATGAGATAGATTCAACTTACTGAGTACAAATGATGGCAGGTTGGATTCTGATGGTACTTTAGGCTTGGCTTTTTCAATCACGATCTCTGTTGAAGAATCGCTTGAGAATCCTAGCTTCTGCATTATTTTTTCTAATCTTTTCCCGTTTGTCAGATACAGGTAACCAATCTGGCAATTGAACAAGAGAAGGCGAGTTTAGTATCATGCAAATAAAGTGACCTCTACAAAGAAGCAGAGTAAGTTAGTTTAGTCACTGTGGGGTTGCTTACCAGTGACTCCAATGACGATGCTTTGTTGTAAACCGCAACACCTGCACGCCTTCTTGAACGTGTTCTAACCGAGCCTAGATTCTTTCCCCACCTGAGTACATCCCTGGAGCAATTACAAACTCTTCAGAACAAACAAAATCCTGCGACAAGTGAAGTCGTGTATTCTCAACAACGGGTTTTGTGTAGTGACCTCTCTTCCTTTGTTAGGAAATCGTCATCAACAAGTTTCTTCAGCAAAGCATACTGAGAGAAGATGTTGAAGAAGAAAGTTAGCAGTCTAACATATGTTCAAACAACGGACAATGATGTAAACAAAATACTCGAAAGCTATGTCTGAATTATGGATTATGATAAATTGAAAAGAAAACTAAGATGTTAATGCTGATACCAATTTACACAACGGTGTAACTAGATGAAAGATATAAAACTATTTAGCAACATCATGAAACAGAACAAGCACAATACTCTCTTGCTTATCCGAGAATAGAGAGATAACATCATAGCTATGCAAACACTGCACTGAGAAAACAGACAAGGTCGAAAGATAACAAACCTGTGCTTCACAGCGCACCACTGCTCTAACACGATCGTTATAATCCTCGATACTAAGTGGAGGGTAAAGGAAATGCCTTCGAGCATACAGCTGCAAAACCAAAGAGAAGCTACTTGGTGACGTTTCAGATAGTAAGATTCCGTGAAACAGTAACACAATGTGACTCACGAAAAACGAAACTTAAACTTGCTTAGAAGCATAAAGCATAAAGCTCAGAGAGTGCAATGGAAAACGAAACCTCATAAATGGAATCTCCTATAAAAGCTAAGGAAGCAGCGTTGAAGACTGATCTTGGCTTCTCAAGCTTTGGTGGAGTTGGAGACCATGTCTCATATCCCATATACGTATCATCAACGTCATCAGTCAAGTCTACTACACACAGAACACACGATTTAGTATTACCATAGCGATACTAAACTAAGCAATAAAGCATACACACTCAACATTTATTAATCGAGCATCGCAGTTGAATCAATTCCGAGTTTAAAGCGACTACCTTTACTCGGGGGACGCTTGAGCAAATCGTCGACGGAGATGCTGATTCGCGGAGACGGTGGAGGAGGTGAAGGCGGCGGTAAGAAAGAATTGCTTTTAGGGGCTTTCTTTAATTTCCGAGGCGCATTTGGGTTGTACGGAAGCCGAGGTTGTGTGTCCAAGGCAGCTCTCACGGTGGAGCTCGCCGATAAAATCACCATTTTCCTCTTTCAAAGCTACTCTTTTTTTTCTTTAGAGACGACGATAAGGCAGTGACGGTTCACTTATCCACGTGGCATATTACTATTTGTCTGTGAACATTAACTTTTTCTTCGTCGTATGATCGTATCAGCCTTGTTGGGCCTATTTGGGGCTTTTGTTAATAGATTTTATTTTGGGCTTTTGCTAATAGATTTTAATTTGGGCTTTTTCTCCTAAGTAAATGATTGCAATTCTCCATGTGAGAGACCTAAGACTTGCATTTGGTGGTCCATGAATCTCCTTTATAGTGTAGTGTGTTATATAATTTGTCGACACCTACCCGAGGACCCTCCAGGTTTTACATGTTCTTTTGGTTAAAGTTGAAAACTTTGTCCCCATTTTCAAGTGTAAATGTTTTTTACTAGAGACCCACCTCCATGCATTAATCTAACTGTTTACTTTCTGCTCGTGATTTTCTTGTCTTATAGTAGCTGCAAATGCGGTTTGGGGCCAGCATTACTATTGAAGGCTTAAGCAACAATGAGCGAGATCAGTTCTTCAAATGTATGTTGGTGGAGAAAAAAAAAGGCGAATCGGTGGACGTGAAATCGATAATGATATTGTTTATTCTAGCCAAAATCATGTGATGAATGTATAGTATATAGTTTATGACTGATCTGAGTTTGGTTTTGAGACAACAACTCTTCTTGATGTTTGGTTCAGTCAGTCTACATGGTCGTCATGTGGGCATTAGAGACTGAGTACTTACAAAGCTTTGTTTTCTATAGTGTTTGTTCCATTTTAACATTTTCTAATTAACAGCGTATGTATTGTTTTCTTGAAATTATACATTCTACTTAAACTACAAAAGAAAGAAAAATGTACAGCATAGCATAAATTTCATCGAAGGGTCAAATTAAAATGTTAGTGGCTTTGCATCAATTTCATAAAGAGGACAAAGGATCATGTTCTTGGCTATCCAAAACCCTAGAGATTGTGAAATCAAATGGGGCAAAAATATTCTCCGGTTTTTAACTTCAAGTGGTTCTTCACATGGAGATATGGTCCAAATGAAAACAACCCCCACAACTCCCCAAAATTATAAATAACATGAATTAATATATGCGTATCATTTGGCTCTCATTAATTTTGAATTTTCTTTGCTTATTTTATTTCTGTCAGTTCTCAATCTTTGAGACTTTTTTGGGGCATGGCAAGTATATATATAGATCCACAATTTTCAATTTGTACCAAAAAGTAAATAATAGATTAAAACTTTCAAATACTTTATACGAAAAACCTCTCGGATTTCCAAAGATGCACGACCTTAAATTAAAGGAACTCATGCAATAATTAGATATGATCAAAGCACTAATTTGTATAGTATCTATCATTTTTTTTCTTTATCAAGATGTATATACCATTAAAGTGACGATCATATGGTAATAAGATAGCTCCCGTGTTAGGTATTGCTGATTGAAAAGCTTATAAATGGCGTTTATAGATATGATAAAAGAATCATAGGTTTCCAAAAAGAATTAATATTATCGGGGAAAGCTATTATAAAGTGAATAAAAAGATGGTGGCAAATTTTATATTTTGGCATTAGTCAAAAGGTTAGATGTTAAAACTATAATTGAAGGATTAGCTTTCTAGGCTCAAAGGTTGTATGATCAACGATATCAAAGTAGTCAAGCGGCTAAAGAATCTCACTTCCTTAGAATCTAATATATTACACCACTCATCATCATATACATGCACAAACAGTATGAAAGCGAGAAGGTGCGCATGTGGTCTAATCATATGATGACTTGGAGATTGAACTGGCCTTAAATAAATGTATCATGCTTTTCTTGTATAGCTTCGTTTTATTACGTAATGTATTCCAAGATTAGTATATATGCAGTTCAAAAATCAACTCTGGTTTTTTAGGCATAATTTTATAGACTAACCTAAGTTTAATTTGGTATATCTGCCAATCATAAGAAATAAAATACATTTTAAAAGATTTCTGATCTCGTGAGATTTTTTCAGTCTCAAGAAACCGTTCTCATCTGCATACGTTAGATCCTTCGCAACGAAACCACTTTATTTCAACGCTACTTTGTTATATATAAGATCTAGTACAATTGTACAAATACCTATATCACATTTTAAATTGTCATTGACTCGACTACTTTTAGAAATAGTACAACTGAACAAATATATTTTTCAAATTTAGCCACGTATGGCATATATACGTACCCACATAGTGACATACAGTCCTATAAATGTATTTTCATGCATATCTTTGCACATACATGCTACATATGGGCATGCATGCATCCAGTACGATCATGAAAAAAAGTTGTGTAAACTTATGTGAAATAAGAAAGGTGGCCTAATGGAGTTTCGCACGAAGGCGCACCCAAAATACCCCACAAGCCAAAAGACAATTAGCACACTTTTCTTCGATATATTCTTTATCTATTCTTTACACTACCTTACTTCTTCAATTAAACTTTTAGAACAAAATAATTGATATTTGTTTGGCTCAAATAATCGATATACAAGTGCCAGCTTGATCAAAACAAGTTATTTATTTCTTTCTCTTTTTTACTCCATGCTCTAGGTAGAAATATTTTTTTTCTTTAGCTCAAGTCCGTATTATTTTCTGTCTTGTAAAAGTAAGTTAATTAAACCGGAGACCATAATCTGAATGACAACGGTTACATATAAAATATACAAACTATTATATTTGTTTCTTTTCTATAATCCTTGTGTCATGCTTTAATTTCTTCTACTTCTACTTTTTCAAATATACTCTAATTATGTTAGTGTGTGTTTTTTCATTCTAAATTGAGCTGTAATAGTAGTGCAGATTAGATTATACCAGTTATGTGCTTTATATTAGAATTAGACCTTCCCAAAAATTTAGAAATTAAAAATCAAAGATAAAATAAAAGAATTATCAGCCACATGATTTGTTGCCACACCGCACCATGATTAAAGTTATATAAAGAGATACCAGGACAGAATCAAAGTGAAAGAAAGTCCCAAAAACAAAAAACCAAATTAAAAAAACACAAACCCATTCGTGTGCGTGCTTCTAAGTTTAAACATTAATGGACATTTCCTCATCACTTTTGCTCTTCTCCACCTTCATCTTTGTCATCATCATCATCTTCAACAAGATCAACAGTCTCAGATCATCCTCAGCTTCAAAGACGAAGGTTATTGATCATGTTATTACTCACAGTTACGGACCAATGTTTCCACAAGGAAGCTTGGGATGGCCTGTCCTCGGAGAAACCATCGAGTTCATCTCTTCTGCTTACTCAGACCATCCCGAGAGTTTCATGGACAAGCGTCGACTTATGTAAGAACTCTTCTCACTCTCTCTCTTTCTACACTTTAATGTTCACAATATATCTACAAAACTTAAATTTAATACTTTTAAAGAAAAATAAGCCCCATTCATATACATTAATACATATTCAAATACTTTTTTGAAAAAAAAGAAAAATAAAACTAGAATTTGAGAGCGAATAAATCTTAAATAACCAGACTATAATCCCCCAAAAATATGGGAAACTATGATATTTTAACCATTTAAGGACGTTGTTGTTCTATAATCTTGAAATATATTATGTTTTATGTATGTGAAGGTATGGGAGAGTGTTTAAGTCGCATATATTTGGAACGGCTACGATCGTGTCGACGGACGCTGAAGTGAACAAAGCCGTTTTACAGAGCGACTCGACGGCGTTCGTGCCGTTCTACCCGAAAACGGTGAGGGAGCTAATGGGGAAATCGTCTATACTTCTCATAAACGGGAGTTTACACAGAAGGTTCCATGGATTAGTCGGTTCGTTCTTAAAGTCACCACTTCTCAAAGCTCAAATCGTTAGCGACATGCACAAGTTTTTGTCGGAATCCATGGATCTATGGTCCGAGGACCAACCTGTTCTCATCCAAGAAGTCTCCAAGACTGTTAGTATACTCTTCCCTTAAATAATATTTTCTTTTATAAATTCGACTATATGTGATGGTCCATGCATTGATTGAGATATATCAAAAGGGACAATCATAATGATGTTACCGTGGAACATTAATTTATTTTAAAGAACATGGTTACAATAATCACATTTGATATAATGATTACAAGTTTCTCTTTCTTTCTTTTTTAGCTTAACAACTAATTATTACCCTTTTAGTTGTATATTTTCACATGTAATTATTTATTGAATCTTGATTTGTAGGTTGCATTCAAAGTACTTGCAAAGGCATTGATAAGTGTAGAGAAAGGAGAAGAGTTGGATAAATTAAAGGAAGAGTTTGAACAATTCATCTCAGGACTCATGTCACTACCAATTAACTTCCCTGGAACCCAACTTCACAGATCTCTCCAAGCTAAGAAGAAGATGGTGAAGCAAGTTGAAATGATCATAGAAGGCAAAATTAGCAGAGGAAGAAACAAAGAAGAAGACGGCGCTATGGCAAAAGATGTTGTGGATGTGTTGCTTAAGGACTCAAGTGAATATTTAACGCACAATTTGATTGCTAGCAATATGATTGACATGATGATTCCCGGCCACGACTCTGTTCCTGTCCTCATCACTCTTGCCGTCAAATTTCTCTCCGATTCTCCCACTGCTCTTCATTTTCTAACGGTAATTAACTTAAACCGTTAAAGCTAAATCTCGATTATCAAATTACATGCGAATTTTGTTCCTAGTTTATATAGATTTCACATTATGGTTATAATTTTTTTAAAGTAGTATGGAATCCAGGTAAAAAATCTTCTAGACATGAAAAAAAAAGTTATGCTATAATGATAAGACTTTTCTCTCTTTCACAATAGAGAAAAACAAATCACTCATTCAAAATAATAATGATGGACTGGAAACTGATATCAACTCGTGGATATATGATTGCCACGAAAAAATTATAAGCTCTTTTTATTTATTTAATATAAGCTCTTCTTAATTACTTTACCAAATTTTGATAAATCAGGAAGAAAACATGGAGCTGAAAAGATTGAAGGAATTGACAGGGGAGCCACTATATTGGAATGACTATTTGTCATTACCTTTTACGCAAAAGGTATATATATACTCCTTGTCCCTAATATAAGATAAGGTATATGAATAGTTCTTTTGTGAAATGGTGATCAAATCATTAAATACATTCTTAAGTACCAATTATCATCAGGTCATTACAGAGACACTGAGAATGGGAAATGTTATAATTGGAGTAATGCGAAAAGCAATGAAAGATGTTGAAATAAAAGGATACGTGATACCAAAAGGATGGTGCTTCTTGGCTTATCTCAGATCAGTCCATCTTGATAAACTTTATTATGACTCTCCTTACAAATTCAATCCCTGGAGATGGCAAGTAAGAATCACACAATATACAATCAAGTTTTTAAGACGATTATATATTCAATTAGGTATACTTTTTTTTCTTTACAATAGGAAAGGGACATGAACACGAGTAGTTTCAGTCCTTTTGGTGGTGGTCAGAGATTGTGCCCTGGTCTCGATTTGGCCCGTCTTGAAGCTTCAGTTTTCCTTCACCATCTTGTCACTCGCTTCAGGTATTTAAATAATTACATTACATTCTTGCAAAATTATTAATATTTATTGGAAGTATTTAAATTTGATAACAAAGATAGGGTGTCGCAAGTGCTCTAGGCTTTAGACAAATTGGTACGTTAGGACCAAATAAGTCTCATCTCTTTTTGACAAGTTGGATTTAGTTCTAAAAAGACAAAAGTGGAAATATAGGAAAACTTGTAGCTAGCAATTAACATTCAAACTTAAATTATCTAAGTCTAACCAACTTTGTATAGCAATAATTAAGCAACAAAAAATCATAATTATTGGTTTTAATATACACGCCGATATAGTGACTTATTTGTTGGTGAATATGAAATACAGATGGACTGCAGAAGAAGATACAATTATAAATTTTCCTACAGTGCATATGAAGAACAAATTACCCATTTGGATCAAAAGAAGATAATTGTCTTTGAGAATCAGTTTTGCATTATCAAAATCTAAAAGGTAAAAGAAGAAGTCACACGAGTGTTTGTGAGGGGAGTGAATGAAAGTGATAGTGAGGACAGAAAAGACAACATGATGGAGTGTAGAGACAAAAAGGAGTAGTCGCACGTGTGGGAGGCGACAGAACACGTGTCGATTACTTGTCGTTTTCTGTCGAAAGGCAAATAAGGACAAAATCACAAAACCTGATTATTTCTTTACTCGACCGTAGAATTTCGCGTTTTTTAGCTAAGTGTATACGTATGATGTAATTTAATACTATCAGATAATATAGTAGAATCCTAGTATATCCATGACTCTTGCTTTTCATAATATCCATTATATACTAAGAAAATCAGTGTAGGAAAAGTTTTATGAAAATTTTTCAGTACTAACTATGAAATAAATTTAAGTTTACTAAAACTACTAAGTTATATTCTATGTCAATATATGTTATTTTAAACATTGAGGTGTTGTGTGAGTTACTGAGTTGGTTATGGTCTGGTACAAAGCTCAGAACCGGATAAGGATTTGAAGAGTGGTTAGAATGTCGAGCTCTCTGCCTCGTGAACGTGTGTAATTTCAGTCTTATACATATTGTGTACATGTCTATTCAATCTCTTTATGTTTTGTTTTCTGTAACACCTCAAAATATGGTTAATCGTTGAGAAGTCGTAGATGATATGTAAAGTCCTTTATTCATCTACTTCCTTTAAAACTGCTCGCTACATTAATCTTCTTTCTCTGCCTTTTTTTTGTTTCTTCTTATTCTCTTTGGAAAGAGTAGTTTAATCGATTATTCACAATCACTTTTATGATTTTTGGTACTCACGTTGAATGTTCAATCATCAATAAATTGTTTTTGGACATAATAAAGGTTGAGGGACAACCTTTGGGCTCCAATAATTTAGATGTGTTATATAATTATTAAGGAAGTGATATTTCTTATCCTCCAATGAGATAAGTTGATGTAATTAACATAACAACCCACTCAAATTAATTTAAACGTAGCAAGACAAGAAGGGTTGTTTTCACTGAACATCACTAACAGCCAATATATCATCACACCATCACCAACCAATAATTTCATTTAAAACATTTTAAAAAAAAAATTGCACATTTTTTTAATTTTCACCTTAGAAAGCACAATAACGTTGCCAATTTATTTGGGTCATGTACACCTGATTATGATAGGCCCGTAAATAAGTTCATCATATGTAAAAGCCCAAAATTTATGCAATTGGAAATCCGTTAAGAAGGAGACGACGTCGTATTCCGCAGACAAATGTTTTTCTTGTTTTCTCTCCTTTGTAAACACTTTTTCAAAGACGAATTGAAGAAAACAAGGCAGAACTCCATAAACGCAATGGTTCTGGAATTTTGGTGTTACTTTTCTGTTTATTTCATTTTTGAAGTTTTGGAATGTAAACAAATGAAATGTTTGGGGATTATAACTGTAAATAGTTACTCATCTACTTGCCGACATAACACGTGGCGAAACAGCAACAACATGCCAGAGAGACTCCTCTGGAATGGGACCACGTGTAACCTGTAGGGCAGTTCAATAATGTCATACTCGGTGACTCCATGGCTGTCACCGTTACTTTATCATAATGGTTATTAACTAATCTTTCAAATTAACTACAATTGTCATTCAACATGTAATCTACTAATATAAGTTGCTGTTGTCCAAATCTTGAAAATCTAAATTTATAATTTCCAGACGTAGACCAAATAGTGGATCAACTCCTTACGCTATATACTATTGTAATATTATTACAGTCACTATATAATCTAATCAATCTTGTTTTATTCCATAAACATATAGATTTTTCAAATTAATTTAAAACACCATATGCAAATGTGCATCGCCTAATTCAAGGGGACATCCATATAAGTTATAACTGTGCCCATTTTTATAAATTACGAACAGTCTTTTCATTATTTTCCATTTTAGTCCTCTATTCATTCAATCTCTCACACGCGAACGCGATCGCATAATAACTAATGACCAACTACGGCGCGATTCCGACGTCGTCTCATGCGTCGCCGGGAGTGGATCTCGAGTCTATCTCACGCGCCAAGGAACGTATCAAAGCTGGTCTCGCCACGCGCCGGCCATGGAGAGTGATGTTCGATTTCCACTCCATGGGGATACCTCGCGGCGTCTCCGATGCTTTCTCGAGAATCAAGATGAATCTTGGCTACTTCCGGATGAATTACGCCATCGTCGCTTTGATCGTGATCTTCTTCAGCCTTATCAACCACCCGACGTCGCTCATCGTCTTCACCGTGTTGGTTTTCATATGGATCTTCCTCTATTTCCTCCGTGACGAGCCTATTAAGTTGTTCCGCTATCAGATCGACGATAAGACGGTCTTGGTTTGTTTATCGGTGATAACCCTCGTTCTGCTATTTTTGACCAACGCGACGTTCAACATCGTTGGGGCGCTTCTGACCGGAGCTGTGCTGGTTCTGATCCATGCGGTGGTTAGGAAGACGGAGGATCTTTTCTTGGATGAAGAGGCGGCGACGGCTGAGACTTCAGGGATGACGTCGTACCCGTCGTCTTAAAATCGATTGATCTTGAGCTTTTTCTTGTAACTTTTTTTTTGTATATTGTATTGTTTTTGTTTGTCATTTTATGTGATTGGTGTGGGTTTGATCGTTCTCTCTCTCTCTCTTGTTTTGGGTGCAAAGGACATTCCCGGTTAGAAGTGTGAACGATTCTTAATTGTTACAACTTCTTTTAGTATAATCGAAGACTTTGGATTCTTTCTTGTAATGATTCAACTATAAAAGATTTTAAACTAAGAATAGGAATCATTTGGATTCATGATGATTCAATCAATGAAAAGAAAATAAATATTAATTATCAATCTCTAGAAGTTGTAGCTCAAGTCTTCGCTTTTTACTTTTCTTTGGGCAGTCTGCTAAAGGTTTTATCACTTTTAATAATGGTGTTACCTGTAGGACAAGTCAATAATAATGTCCGATCCTCGCGCTCAGCGATTGCGTGTCTATCTCTTTTAGCAACAAGTCAATACTTGTCACACGGAATCGCCGAGCGCGGGGACGTTATTGCTACTACATCATAATCGTTATTGACCTGTATTAATACCCTTTGTTAATCCTAATTCAAACTAATAAGAATATGAAAAGGTAAACAAAGTTATTCGAATATAATTGCTTTTTTTTGTTTATGTTTTATAGCATCATATTATTGATAGTTGTTTTGTGTTCATTTTATAATTTTCAGTAAAATTTGAGTTCAACTAATTTTGTTTTTTTTTTAAAATTATAATTAATCTAAAGAATACATCGCAGTTTCTACGCAGCCGAGACCAAATCTTAAAAATCTTAACTTTATAATTTTCAGACATTGACCATTTAGACATTGACTATTCTAATGTTATTACATGGATTTTTCTGTGGAAAAAACAATCACGATTTATAAACTCGAAACGGTCGTCCATTATTTTCAATTTAGTCCTCTATTCAAACCTCACAGTCGATCGATAGTAATATCAAACAAATAATGACGAACTACGGCGCCATTCCGACGTCGTCTCATGCGTCTCCGGTGGTGGATCTCGAGTCCAACTCAAGCCCCGAGCAATGTATCCAAGCCGGACTCCCCATACGCCGTCCATGGAGATTAATGTTCGATTTCCACTCCATGGGGCTTCCACGCGGCGTCTCCGATGCTTTCTCCAGAGTCAAAACGAATTTTGAATACTTCCGGCCGAATTACGTGATCGTCGTATGCATCGTCATGTTGATCTTCATCTTCGTTGGTCTCATCAAGCATCCGATCTCGTTTATCCTTTTCACCGTATTGATCTTCGTATGGATCCTCTTCTTCCTCCGTGACGAGCCTATCAGGTTGTTCCATTATCAGATCAACGATCGGGCGGTCAGGTTTTGCTTAACGTTGCCAACCGTCGCTCTCCTCGTGTTGACCAACGCGACGTACAACTTCTTTGGGGCGTGGTGGATCGGAGTTGTGCTGGTTTTGATCCATGCGGTGGTTAGGAAGACGGAGGATCTCTTCTTGGATGAAGAGGCGGCGGAGACGACTGTGATTTCTTGGAATAGGGGTTCTCTCACTCACTCTCTTTTGTTTTGGAGTTTTTTGTTTTTTTTTGCTACGAATTGCAAATATCATGAAAGTTAGAATTTACACAAAGCAAATCTAAGGTCTGCACTTTCTTGGCAAAAAAGAAATGAAAAAACAAGAAAGTACTACGAATGGGTAAAACATCGACATGAAGTGCGTTACGAATCAATTCATCACATTGTTCTACATTAATTTATACCCCAAGTTTTAAGTGCAAGTTATATCAAATTATTAAATCTATTACAACTCAACTTTAAACTAAAAGTATGTACGCTAAGAACTAACTTAATAAAGCCAAAATATCAACATTATATAAACTCAAATACGATCGTAACGGATATCCCCTTTTTGCACCATGCAAGGTATACGGGTAGTTTTGGTTGAATTGAAATTTGAAAGTCAGAGAAAAGTTAGAGGATCCACAAATTCGTATTGGTACATTTTGTTGGTCCCTTCAAATGCTATGAAAAATCTCTATCGATGAAGAAATGATTTAAGATTTTCCAAGAATATTTTTGGGCCTTTCATTAAAGCCCAGTAAACTCAACTCATACCATTCCTAAAGGACGTCAAACGATATTCATAGTTTTATTACACTATGTCCGTATGTCACACATCCATTGACACGTCAGCTCTGTTCGCCGGCGATTATTAACTCCGTCAACTTCGCCGCCGTCCAGAGAAAAATGGCGAACCACCAACCGTACGATCCCTACTGCGTCTATCATCCTCACTCTCATCCCCATCCTTTCCCGCCGCCGCTGCCACAGTTCTCCGACGAACCTGGGGCTATTAACACCCTCTTTGTCTCTGGCTTGCCTGACGACGTTAAGGCTCGTGAGATCCACAATCTCTTCCGTCGCCGTCCTGGATTCGAGTCTTGTCAGCTCAAGTACACTGGCCGCGGCGACCAGGTTTGTGTAATTCCTCCCAATAACTTGTTGATTTCCATTTTTTGAAAAAGCTGTATACTTTCTGATTCTATTGATGTTAAAGCTTTTGAAATAACCTCTCTTTATATTTTTACTGAGTATTTCAGGTTGTTGCATTTGCTACATTCTCGAGTCATCGATTCGCTATGGCTGCAATGAACGAGCTGAATGTAAGCTCCAGAAACCACTTTGATCGAATTAGTGACTAAAGTAGTGATGCTGTTACATATCTCCTGAACGTTACTTGCGTGTGTAGATTATAGTGAATTTGATTGTGGTGAAATCTTTGTCCAGGGTGTGAAATTTGATCCTCAAACAGGATCATCTCTACACATAGAACTAGCTAGATCAAACTCTAGAAGAAAAAAAAGACCAGGTAATGGTATTGAGTCGAAACGATTCCGCATTTTCGCTTTAAGTCAATAGTTGTATCTGTTCTGTTCTCGGCTTCTCGCTACTGACTTTACTCTGTTCTCGCTGTTGAGTTATTGTGGTGGTAGAGAAGATCGTTGAGTAATAAACCGTTTCTGTGTGGACAGGAAGCGGGCCTTATGTTGTAATTGATAACAGGAACAAGAAACCGTCTAAATCTCAGCAAGACCAGAGTGATGAAGGTAATGTTGTTCTAGTCACCTTGTGAGTTCTTTGTCTCTTAAAATGCGTGCTTCATGTTTCTGATTGATTCTTTTAATAAGTCTAGAGGAAAGCGATCCTGATGAGGCCCAGGAACCTGGAAATAGCGATTCTCCAAAGGAAAATAATAATGCCAAAAGGTTGAATAAAATGGCATTTAGAAGCTTGAATATGTCACAAAAGCAGATGACTAATGTGTATACTGATTGGTTTTGTTGCTAATTTACAGCGAAGAGGACTCTGATTCAGATAGTAAAGCACCATCAGCTAATGTAAGTACAAGCCAAATCTTTCAACACAGTTGCTGTCTCTCCTTCCTTCTCTATGTTAGACTTGTTTTTGGTTCAATAGCTTATGGATAATACATTTCTACAGGAACACTTGGGAAAAGCATCTGAAGTAGGTTCTGCTGCTCGACCATGTTCGACCTTGTTTATCGCTAATCTAGGGCCTAATTGTACTGAAGATGAACTTAAACAACTCCTATCTAGGTAACAGTATGCAATGGCTTAAAACAAATTTGTGAATTTTGCATATATCTTGACATATCATCGAATTTGATCTGTGATCCCTTTGCTTATAGATATCCTGGTTTCAATATCCTAAAAATCCGAGCAAGAGGTGGAATGCCAGTTGCATTTGCTGATTTTGAGGTTATAGGTTGTTAATACATGCTTTATGGTTTTGTTTTTGAAGTCTATTATACTTAACTCTCACCAATTACAGGAAATGGAACAAGCTACTGATGCCATGGATGATCTTCAAGGGAACCTCTTGTCGTCGTCAGACCGAGGCGGCATGCATATAGAGTAAGTAGGTTTTTCTCAGTTACTTTAAAATTTTCACATTTTTGCCAGAGCTAACTTAGTGTCACGCTCTTGTTTCTTGTTTCTTCCAGATATGCAAGATCGAAGATGAGGAAACAGTAGAAAGGGTTCTCAGAACCACAGAGCCTCGATTTTGAAATAGAGAATCTGGTCGGTTAATGTACCACCACACCACAGGCCAATGGTATAATACTCTTCTCAAAAACGGATTTAGAGATCAAAAGAAATGAGATCTTTGTATTTTCTTATTTAATTCTCTCCACTTGCTGTTTGTTGTCATGAAAATGTATCATCTTCTATGCTGAGTAAAAAAAAAAGAAATATATGTGTATAGTGTTATTAAGATCTCTAAAATGTTATGCTGGACAGTTCATATGCACCTAGAGGATTTTAGATAGGGAGAATCAAGATCTTGATCTTGTCGTGGTCCAGTGAACGTCATTTAGTCACTGCCCCCACCAAAGTCCTCGCCATTTTTGGGCTTTTCTTGTGTGTACATATATCTTCTGATCTTTGTTCAAATTTCAGAAAATTGTTATTAAGTAGAAAAGGAAAGATACCCCACGAGGACCCAATTCATCACTCATCACTGTATTGACAGGCAAGTCAGATTCATACCTGACTTCTCTCTCTCTCTCTCTCACATGAACTTACAATGCCGTGCGAGTAAGGAAAGCCCTCATAGATTTGTTTTCTCATGTTTCTCTCTCTCTCCCTATTCCAAAACAGTTATTATGACTCTCCAAGACCAATAATTCAAATTCGAAAGAAGAAAAACGCCAATTGTTGTTTTGCTATTTTAGTCATTCCTTTTACCAAAAACAATTTCAAATTTCTTGATAACATATTTAAGCAACGGTTTTTGCATCTTACCCTCTATACAAACCAAAAAAAATGGGTCCAAAAAAGCTTTCTTGTCAGTTTTGGACCACAACAAAACAGGGGACTTTACTTAATACCCTATCAACTAATCTTTCTCCATAAAACACAGTTATGTGATTTTACTCGGCTTTGCACTCTTAATCTTAGTATTGCTTGTTGTGGTTCAGTGTCCCTCTTTCCCTCTCCCGTAAAGCTAGTCTTGGCGTTTCAGTAGACAGCCTTTCACTGAATCTATCCGACCCATCATTCCCTAGCTGACTGCTGTAATGATCCGCCCAGAACCGTCCGCTTCTGTTGCCTACCTCTGAGCTTGGCGTTGATGCGTAGTTCCCGTCCATTATCATATCTCCTTCCAGTATACGCAACACCTTCGTTGTTGAACACAGACGTTTTGTTTATTAGTATCATCAGAAAGTATGAACAAGAGTGGAGAGACTCAAGAGTGATTTCAAAGGGTTTTGTTTTTTGATTTACCTGAGACATGCGTGGCCTCAAATGTGGGTCTCTACGTATGCACAGCGAAGCTGCATGAAGCATACAAATGACCTCACTTTCTACAAAGCGGTTTCCAAGCCTCGGATCGATAAGTTCTTCTACTGCATATTCTTCAAGTAGCGGACGTGCCTGGAATCACAACGACCATCATCAGTTCTATTACTTTGCTGGATATTCAAAGATGTGAATTCATTACCCATTCAGTGAGGCATTGCTGGCCTTTCGGCATGGTAATATCAATGGCTTTGCGGCCTGTGACTAGCTCCACTAGAACAACCCCGAACGAGTAGACATCCGCTTTCTCTGTGATTTGTCCGCTTTGAGCATATTCTGGAGCTAAATAGCTGCACACGCACAAAGTACTTTCCTTTAGCAACAGAAAAGTTATCAAGTCTCAGGAAGAAAATGACATAAATGATGGCTTTTGAGCTAATGTCTCACCCGAACGTTCCTATCACTCGTGTTTCTACACCAAGTTCCCCATCAGGCTGCCATCTCGCTAGACCAAAATCTCCAACCTGATAGAAACAAAAAGGCTGTTTTAGCACCAAAAAGCATCTTGAAACAAGATGTGATGTTACAATGAACGAGCATAAAAAAAGGGCATATGATATATGTATATATACCAGTGGCTCATTATCATGAGTGATGAGGATGTTGTTAGGACGCATGTCTCTGTGGACAATACAGCCAACTCTGCACTCTTCGTGAAGATACCTAAGTCCTCTTGCAGCTCCAACAGCAATCTTTTGCCGTGCTGGCCATTCAAGTGTTTCCCTTTGGCGACCTGGATAAGAATTTGATGTTACTAAGCAAACAGTCTCCACCACCAAGAGCTCAAATGGAAATTTTAGGCAATATTACCGTATAGATGTGAGTCAAGTGAACCGTTGCATATGTATTCATAGACCAAGAGCCGTCTGCTGTCTTCAATGCAGAAACCAATAAGCATAACGACATTTCTGTGCTGAGCACAGCTGAGAACTTCCACTTCGGAGCAGAACTCTACATCTCCTTGAGAACTGGCCAGTTTGTGTTGCTTCACTGCAACTACCTGGCCTTCCGGTAGTACACCCCGATGAACAGATCCATATCCACCTTCAGCCAAGAAGTTAGCCTGTGAAAACCCACCAGTTGCAAGCTCTAGCTCGGCGTATGAAAACAGCCTCGGGGGTTTCCCAAACACTGGCGCCTTATGCTGGCAGATAGAACAGAGAGGAGGCGGACCAGGAGGAGCATTCCGAGAGAGTGAAATTGCATCTCTTACGTTTCCACTGAACTCCAGGTCATGCCTTCGACTAGACGACAACCCAGCTTCTACATCCAGTTTGGAGAACTTCTCAAGCAATGCCTTTGTAGTGGATATTTGAGCCCTGTCATCGTTTTTCCATAGGCTCTCCTCGGCCTCCTGGGATGACTGGCGATGAGCGCCAATATATTCTGATATCCATGGCTGGAATCTCATACTCGTCGACGCTAGTGATTGGTTTTCGCTCTCTGTTTCAGAGCCGGAATCATCATTCTCCTTGATCACCAATGCTCCATCCTTCTTCATGTATCCGTTCATTCCCAACGTGAAAAATGGCGAAGTTCCCAAGTCAGAGCTCGACACCGATGAAGTCCCGGCTTCTGTACTTGTGAACGGCGTCCCCAGCTCAGGGCTACTTGTAGGAGTTACGGGTAGTCCTCTGTCAGAATCTAACGATCCTTTTGTGTTCTTTGTGTGTTTGTCAGAAGCTGCTTCTGCTCCGGTTGGTAAAGGAGATTCTTTTTCAGCACCCTTCCTCGGCGATCCAACTAAATTTAAGCGTAGAACTTTTGCCTGAGAACGCTTCATCACCACAATGTTACACTGCAATTCATCCATACACCGTTTCTCTTCGTGCTTAAGGTGTCTGTAAAACAAAACAAAACATCAGCATGGTGTAAATTGATGAAAGGAAAGGAAAAAACACGAAGTATGTATGAAAGTAGATAATTACTTGTCCAGTACAACCCAGTTTGCTTGGGCTTTCTTCGACTCAGCAGCAACAGCTCCGCAGGGTGATCCAGAAACAATCTTGATCTTGACATTTATCTTCAAAACAATCACAAACAACAACAAAAAATAGCATGAGCAAGATGTGGTGATGCTTTCACGGAATCATCATAGCTAAAACACGCCTGCCTAGAGAGCCAACCTTGTTCGGATCATAGACGTCATGAAGCTGGAGAATCATTTGGGAACAAGTGTCAGTGAGGTCACTTTTAATCTCTGGTAGTGCTTCAGAATGTGATTTCCGATGACCACTTGCACAGTCCCCAGCAAACATAGGGAAACTCTTTGTGAAACCCCAAAGTTTCCGTCCTACACATTCATCAGAGAGCAAATGAGATAAGGATAAAGCAGCAAAAGACCAGCACAAGAGACTCTTGAATCATCAACAACAACAACAAAAAAGTGGCAAGAAAATTACCCGAGTTGTGAGAAGGGACAACAACAATCAGCGTAATGCAGTCTCCAGGCTGAACAACATGAGTCAAGGCCCAAATCAAGGCTGTCTTTGGAATCTCTCTAGACGCTTTAACAGCCACAATGACCTTTTCAGCGCCATCAGATACTACAGGCTTTTCCTGCTTCCCTCGCTTCTGTAGTCGACTCATTTAAGATTGCGGAGAAGAGAAGAGAGCGCTCGCTTAGTTTTCTCTTTATAAACACGATCCTTAGAGGGATTGTACTTTCTTGGAGAGAGACAGGCTCACAAGATTCTGGAAGATATCAGGATTTTTGCTTTGCATTATTGAGCTGCCCCCACCAAGTTGAGAAATCAAGACAAGAACCAAAGACTCTCTCCTTGCAGATGAATACAAAAACTCAGAGACTTGACAATACCTTCTCTCTGCGTTTTCCCACTTCTCCAATGAATCACATGAAACTTGAAGAACACAGTACACAGACCCAAACACCAAGAAGATTCTGATTCCCCCACAACGGATTCAACTCCAAGATCCCAAAATCTCCCAAAGAAAAAACTAATAATTTGGTTCTTGTAAAGCAAAAGCGACCAAATAGATACCTATCCCCTCAAAATCCAATCAAATCACTTCAAGGACCTTTTTCTCCCCCTTTCGTCTAAGTCAAAGCTATTACAGCCTCTTGATTTTTGGATCTGGCAATAGCAAAATCCTCTCAGCAAACAAGACCCGAGAGATCGCTCGAAAGCTGTCTTAAACTTCAAAATTCCACCTGCAATACACAAAGAGTAAACGATATCGGAAGACTGTGATTGAAGAATCAAACGAGAGAGAGAGAGAGAGAGAGACGCTGAAGAAAAAATCGCGATTGGTGGAGAATAAAACCTCAAATTCCTTCACAAAACACTGAAACGAAACGAAGGAAAAAAAAAATCGTTTGATAGAAGATTTAAAAAAACGAATTTCATGAGAATGAAAAGGAATTTTCGCAGCGATTCAACGAAAAACGAATAAGAACGGCCGGTAGATACATACATATTATTTAATCATTTATCGCAAACTGCCAAGAGAGGAAGAAGATTATAATAATATTAACGAAAAACAAATTTCACTACCTAAGCTCTCATGAAATTCACCGCCATGAAAATAGATAAAAGAGAGAGAGGTTATGGAGTGAGACCAGACGGGGAAGAAGAACACAACAATTTAGGGAAAACGATCTTACCAGAAGCATTGATTTCGCCAATTGATTTGGTCTGTCTTCAAGCTTCTTCTCCTTTCACATCAAAGCACGGCTTTCAGAGAAAAATGCAGAGAAAATCTATGTTAAATATTTTTTTTAATTGCTGCTGCTGCTGGCTTGAGATAGTAGAAGAAACAAAGGAGAAAACCGCGGAAAAAAAAAATGTGAAAACAGCTTTTATTTATTTATTAGGGTTTTTGGTTTTTGGTTTTTCCTCTCTAGTGTCTCTCGTCTCTCTACTTATGTTCTGTGTGCTTACTTTTCTAGTAACAACAAAATTACTATCTTCTACTGCTCTGCTAGCTAATAATGAAGCTCTCTGCTTATTACCACTATTATTATCTATTGTGTCTTTTCCAATGCTGCTCCTTTTTGTTTTTGTTTTCATGATTTCATAAAAAAAAATACTATAATAAACTATGTTTTCCCCTTTTTTGAATATATAATCTTATAATAATGGTGTGATCTAGTTTGAAACTTTGAATGATTTCAGCTAAAAGTTTGAATCCAAACACTGGTTATGTTATCCAAGTGTGGTTACTTTGACTAAAGAAAATAATTCAAGTTTCATCAGATCCTATTTTGAGCAAAGTGCTGCTTTTGGAGAAATGAAAAATGTCAGCTTTAGTGGTAAACAAATCCTAGTACTAAAAAAGAAACTCTTTTTTTTTTAGAATTTGAAATTTCGCAATTATTTCAGATTTTCGACTTTAGATTATTAATTCAACTGATAAGATGATGATTGTCCTCGTTTAATTTCAATTGGTTTAGACATTGGAGAGAATTGGTCCCGAATAGTTCTATTGGTCCCAATTTTATATATGAGACTACTACGACTATATATTCCGAAAAGTGAAAACTTAAATTTTGTGAATCAAAAAGTTACATATAGTTGTGCTAGGGTTTGGGACTTTGGGTTATAAATAATTTGGCATGCCTAAAATGTTTATATACATATATATTGATACAGGAATCCGTACCCTAATAACACGAGTTTGAAAATGCTTAGTTTAAAAAATTGCTTGAACTGAAAGATAACCATTTATGTTCTTTACCCTTTTTCTCCTTTATCAGAATTTAGTAACTATATGAGGACCTCTTTAGTTTGAATTTAAATTTTGTAGCTTTATGAACATATTTTTTTTTTATTTCTCCTAAATATTTCCAAGTTGACATACCATAGTTTTTCACCTCGGGAAACGGTAGACGTCGCCGTTGTAAAATGATAAATTTGAATCAACGTTAGTCTCAATCTCCGAACGTAATTTTCTAAACAAGTTCGTTGTCACACAGCCGACACATCTTAATTACAAATTTGAAAGTTTGATTTGAAAACTAGCTAGAGAATAAAATAGTATAATTTAACCAAACGAAAAAAAAAAAAACGAGGCAACATTTCTTGTTTATAGAAAACAAAACAAATTTCTTGAATACCCGTGATTGGCTTTGCATGAATTCAAAATGAAGAGAAGTAAATGGATTTCGGATTATATAGAAAATAAGGAAGGTAATTAAAAGTATACTAATGTGTAAGAGACAAAAATAAAAAGGAAATGGTCCAAAATGTGTAAGTATAGAACAGAGCACAATCACAGGTAAGTTCAGGGCTCGGTGTCATCTTGTAAACCCTCCTGGGCCCGTTCGACCCACAACCATCCCTCTAATCATTTTCTCTCTAATTCACACTCCTTTTTACTCTTTTTCTTGTTATATAATTTTTAATCAAATTTTGAGATCATGTGGTCCTCTATACATATTTCCACGACGCATGATCCCACGATATTATCTACCAATCAACAAATTTTAAAGTTTATATATAACTTAGTAGTATTATTCTAATGATTTAGAATTGGGAACATGTTAAATACCTTTGAGACTTCAATTGCTCTCCCGTTGATTTATCATTCTAATGATTTAGGAGATATTTCAATTAATAGTTTGTTGTTTTGAGTTTAATTAGTGGTTTGATTAGCTGTGAGGATTAGTTTCTCATAGTACTTTTTTGTTTGTGGGGTCTTAGACGTCCTTTGACGTTGGCTCTGTCACCGTCGCGGGGACACATCATCAACGGCGGCCAATGCCGTCACAGCTTCAATCAGTCTCCTCCTGTCACACTACAACCCACACATTAACTATTTTTATAAGTATTTTAGCTTATTTTTCTTCTTGTCAACAACTATACAACTATAGACGTTATTGTACAAATTAGCGAAGGAAATCTAAAGAAAGAAAAAAGAAGAATAGTCTCCACAGAAACGACACGTCTAGTGACGAGTTTTATAGCTCGGGTTAGGTACCGGCATGAGCATGTATTATGATGCACGCAAAGACAATTAACTTTACTAATCTCATGTTATTAATCGCCGGTAAATAATTATTAAACTTTTTTTTTTATCAAAAATTATTACTTAAACTTGATGAGTGGTAAATGTAGAAAGATTTTATTTTCTTTAAGTAGTATATACACAGATTTCAATTTTGATATAGAACAAAGTCTATTTATCCCATTTTTCAAAACCGTACGTTGTCCTAATCTCCTATATATATTAAAAAGGAATAGTTCTTTCTAGCTAATCTAATAAAAACAGTTTACCAAAAATAAAACAATACCTTAGCATGCCACGATTAATGGGAACAGCAAATTCTTTTTTTTTTTTTTTTTGATAAAGAGCAAATTCTATTTTTGTTTTGATATATACTAGTATGAAAGAAGAAAAACTCATCTGTCTAAATAAATCACAAACACGACATCGAAACGTTGATACAATTATACAAATTTGTTTCATACAGAATAAGTAACGAAGTCTGTCTAATGTGGTGATAACTTAGCAATAATTACGGTTTAGTTTAAAATATAGTGCATCGTGCGGGGCATTTTTCCATTAAGAGTTGCATGTTTTAATAGGACAATGTTTGGTCGTATATTATATGCATACTTAGTTATTCGGTCCTATTTCAAAAGCTTAGAGACAAAGACCCTAAATATAATCGCCTAGCTTGTAACATGTTACATGTGCTATATTAGATTGCTGTATTTGGACCATAGACTATTATTAATCTTAACCTTTCAAAGTATATAGTTGGTTTAAACAAAAACATAAGCATTGTTGTGATTTTGTTAGGTCCAACTTATTGTATACCATCAGACGAGTTTGCAAAATGTAACCATGAAAATCGCACCATGCTTTTAATTAAGTCCTCCCTATTAGTACTTCTAAATTGGAGGTTTGCCGTTTGCGAATTTCAAACGCTTATCTGTTTTGTCATTTTCTTTTAACGATTATTTTTCCTTTTTCTTTTTACAAAGAATGCGTAGAATGTTGCAAATTGGAGGTTTGTTTTTCTTTTTCAAAACGCAAAATATGACAATCAGTCAACTACTCAATTCACTTAGATCCAAAAGAAGTAATAAGTAAATTAACCAGGCCAATATCTTTTTTTTCAGTAATAGTCTAATACTACAATTTACATATTTAAACAAACTGATCTACATCCCAAATTTTACAAAAAAATATACTAGTATTAACTTATCAAGTTGAATTTATTATAGCAACCCACTGAAACACTTAAGCAATTTGGTGTTTTCATAATGACAATGTATCGTCTCTTCCATCATTAATACTCTTTCTTTGTTCCGAGGTTGCGTATTAATTTAGGTATTGCGTTTTTCAATTTCGAGGAGAAATTGCATTGAATCTCACCAGAACGGTAACATACATTTATTATCATTTTGAGTAAAAAAACCAATAAAAAAGTAAGTTGAATTAAATATTGTACTAGGTACTTCCATAATTAATTTTCCGGTCGTTATATAAAAACTACAGGCAACGAAATCTATATATCCAGTTACCCCCACCCCTCAAATACAGAAAACTCACAAATATATACTCTCTCCGTTTTTTAAAAGATTATGTTTTAGATTTTGTTTTTGTTTTTGAAAAATTGATGTTTTGCACTTTAATCAATGCATTTAGTTTTACAAGATAAATTAAAAACAAACTATTAGTTAATTTGTATTGAAAATTAAAATAATAACTAAAAGTATAAATATAAATAACTAATAAAGTAAGTAATTATTGTATTTTAATATATTATCGAAAGATGTTAAACACCAATCTAAAAAAACAAAGGGAGTAAAAAAGGTAAAATTTGAAACAACAAATCTTCATAATAATATGGTTTAATTAATCTGCGTCACGATGTATATATATATATATATATATATATATATATATACACATTAACGTGGCCATATGTATAGGTCATGAGTCATGATGTAAAACAACTGTAGGAACAATGAAAAAGGGGTCCACTACATGCCATTTTCGAGCTTCTACTTGCTGCAGCTAATATTTTTCTTACCCATGCAGGTCCAAAGTGTACAACTATTATCATGAAAAAGGTATCTTATTCAACTATCATTACAAATTATACCTTCAACTTCCGCACATTATAATAATTATACTTTATACAGGTGCCTAGTGCCTACATGCATAAACGCACCTGCACATATGTAGAAAGTAGAAGACAGTCCAATCATCATATTTATGATCTATGCGTGCAATGCTCTTGAACGCACGTTATTAAAAAAATTGATGGTCTAATCAAATGCATTGAATTTTGATGGTTAGTTATTTATTTTAAATTTACTGTATGAAAAATATCAGAATTCAGAATACAAAAGAAAAAGAAAAAGGTGAAGAGATTCACCGAATGATGATGGATAAGGTTTAAGATCTTTATGTCTGACTGATCCCAGAATTTGGATCACGAAATAAATTGACATGTGAGTAGAGAGATGTAGAAAGGCCATGTGAGATATAATATGAATCGGAGCGAAATGTCAATTTTTTTTCATTATGTGATGAAATGAAGAGACAATGACCCTACAATATTAATTTGCATGTTCTTTTATCTTCAGCATTAGTTTACATCATTTTGTATATTGCTCGCTTTGGTTATGTCAATAATGATGACATGTAACGAATCTTTATCCTCCATTTGTTTGTTCATCATCCATAAAAAAAAAACCACAATACACTTCATTGATCTCTCTCTCCACTGTTTAGTAGTAGTAAAGTAATAAGCCCAGTGGGCTTATATGGTTAATATTCATTAAGGCCCGTAGCCATTTTTCTTCTGCAAGCGCGCGGGTTCGAGAATCGCAACTGAGTATCGGAGAAAGCGAATCCCTTCCGCTCTGCAAGATTTACCGGGCCGGCGTATTTCTCCGATTAATTTGGCGAGCACAAGTCCGATGAACAAAATTCCAGAATCCTCGGATGTGATGACCTAATCGGAGGTAGACGAGACTCGATTGCTGCTGTGTTTGTTAGATGGTTCTCGGGTGTGAAACGATGATGGGATTAGGGTTAATGTGTTTCTAAGGAAAACGAATCGAAGTTTGATTTGGTGAAAGAATTGAACGGAAATGGATACTCCGGCGTCGGATGGAACGGCTCCGAGGAGGACGTTGCGGAGAAAAGCAAGCAGGAAGAACTACGACGAGAATGCGATGGATGAACTGATCGAGGAACATTTAGGCGGAAGCTCGAAGAAAAAGTTCAGGACGAAGCAGCAGCTGGAGAAAGAAACCGAGACGGAGGCTCTGATTGCGTTATCCGTCGGCTTCCCGATCGACGAGTTGCTGGAGGAGGAGATTCGAGCTGGCGTGGTGAGAGAATTGGGCGGGAAAGAGCAGAACGATTACATTGTGGTTCGAAACCATATAGTCGCTAGGTGGAGAAGCAATGTTCGGATATGGCTACTCAAAGACCAGATCAGAGAAACAGTGAGTAGTGACTGTGAGCATTTGATTTCAGCTGCTTATGACTTTCTCTTGAACAATGGATACATCAATTTCGGGGTTTCACCATTGTTTGCGCCTTACATTCCCGAAGATGGGACTGAAGGATCAGTCGTAGTTGTTGGTGCTGGGCTTGCTGGTTTAGCTGCTGCAAGACAGCTCCTGTCATTTGGATTCAAGGTTCTTGTTTTAGAAGCTAGGAGTCGTCCTGGAGGTCGAGTCTACACGCATAAGATGGGAGGTAAGGATAGATTTGCAGCCGTTGAACTCGGTGGCAGTGTGATCACGGGTCTCCATGCGAACCCACTTGGAGTTCTTGCGAGGCAGCTCTCTATTCCTCTTCACAAGGTTAGAGACAACTGTCCTTTGTATAACTCGGATGGTGCGATCGTCGATAAGGCAGCTGACTCCAATGTCGAGTTTGGGTTCAACAAACTGCTCGATAAGGTCACTGAAGTGAGGGAGATGATGGGCGAGGCGGCTAATAAGATCTCTTTGGGTGAAGTCTTGGAGAGACTCAGGGTACTGTACGGTGTCGCTAAAGCTTCAGAGGAGAGAAAACTTTTTGACTGGCATCTTGCTAACTTGGAATATGCTAACGCTGGGTGTCTTTCGAATCTTTCAGCTGCGTATTGGGATCAGGATGATCCATACGAAATGGGTGGGGATCATTGTTTTCTCGCCGGTGGAAACTGGAGACTGATTAATGCACTAGCTGATGGTTTACCTATTCTTTACGGGAAAAGAGTCGATGCTATCAAGTATGGAGACGGAGGAGTTGAAGTCGTTTCCGGTAGCCAGATATTCCAAGCAGACATGATCCTTTGCACCGTGCCGCTCGGGGTGTTGAAGAAAAGGTGTATCAAGTTTGAGCCAGAGTTACCTAGAAGAAAACAAGCAGCCATTGACAGGTTGGGTTTTGGCCTTCTGAACAAAGTCGCCATGCTTTTCCCGTCTGTCTTTTGGGGTGACGATTTGGATACGTTTGGATGCCTCAGTGATAGTAGCATCGACCGAGGAGAGTTCTTTCTGTTCTATGCGTACCATACAGTCTCTGGTGGCCCTGCTTTGGTTGCCTTAGTTGCTGGAGAAGCTGCTCAAAGATTCGAGAGCACAGAACCATCTGCTTTACTTCACCGTGTTTTGAAAAAACTCAGAGGTAATAATAATATATGAGAACGACAAAAATCCACCTTTCGCTGATTCCATGTTCTCTCGCCTTTACCAATGTTTTTGATATATTTTGCAGGCATATATGGTCCTAAAGGTGTTGTTGTGCCTGATCCAATACAGACGATTTGCACTCGATGGGGAAGTGATCCTCTGTCATATGGGTCGTATTCTCATGTAAGGGTTGGTTCATCTGGCGTGGACTACGACATTCTAGGTGAAAGTGTAAGTAACCGACTATTCTTTGCTGGTGAGGCCACAACGAGGCAACATCCAGCCACAATGCACGGTGCCTACTTAAGCGGGTTAAGAGAAGCGGCGCGAATTCTACAGGTCGCAAATGTTTTCGGCAGTAATGCAAAGAAACCTGTCCAAAGATACAGTGGAGTTAACATCGATGTTCTTGAAGATCTGTTCAAAAATCCCGACATTGCAGCTGGGAAGTTGTCATTTGTCTTCAACCCATTAACCGAGGATCCGAAATCAATTGGATTAGTGAGAGTTTGTTTTGACAACGCCGGAGACGATCAAGCCAAGCATCTTCAGCTTTACACTATTCTTTCGAGGGAGCAAGCTCAGAAGCTTCAAGAATTGGGAGAAAGCAGTCATGAAAGCAAATTGGACTATCTGATCAATGCTCTTGGATTAAAGCTTATAGGAGCCAACACAGTAGTAGACACAGGTGGTGCGTTGATCAGTGTGATAGCTAACGCTCGCAAAGGCAGAAGCAGGACCCGTTAAAGAAACATCATTATAGTTTCTATAATTAAAGTTTTGGAAAAAAAAATATATCTTGGATTATAAATCAAACATCATACATTTTGGATTATCATTTTGTTTTACTTTCTTTCCAGGTTTATACAAACAATCAAATAAAAAGTTCCCCAAACATGACAAAATGATAATCCAAGATGTATGATGTTTGACTTATAATCCAGCTTGTTTGACCTGATCAAATTGATGAACCTAGACCAAGGCCAAGTACTTCTTAATTTGTAAATGCCTGGTGATTATAGTTTATCTTTTGTTCCAAAACTTTAATTATATAAACTATAATGATGTTTTCTTTTCCATCTGATGGAGATCAACATCAGAAAAAAGTCTCTCCCAATGTGCATAATTAATCCAAAAAAAAAATTGTATGTAAAATTTAAACATAACTAAAACTTTTTGCAGATCCAAATCCTAGTACATCTGCTGAAACATCTACCTCTCGTCAACCAGTATTCTGACTGTATTTTATAACTTTAATTATTTTTGAAAAAAAGTAAAAAAGTTTTTTCAAAAGACAAAATACTTTGATTTGATGGAGTGTTTTTTTTTAAATTTGGACTAAGTACTAAGTAACCACTAATTTCAATCTCACCAATCAACTTTTTGCAACTAAATCACACTGTTCTTAGAGATGTCAAAGAAATTTCTCTACCAAATACCGAAGATCGGACCTAGTTGTCATTCTTCCAAGCTTAACAAACGGCTGCAATAGAAGTTATATTAATGCTATTTTCATTAATTTTTTTTCTAATGTGGTTTCCAAAAAGTCTCGTACTTTTTTTTCGTGATAGAGAAGCTAACTAAACACCCCATGCGTTTTGATTCTCTATTTCATTGTTTGTATACATTGAAATAATGGTTCACTATTTCATTGTTTACAGTCACACAAAGTTCATAAAGAATGGCTAACTTTCCAGGAAAACATTGATACTTTATTTCATTGTTTGTATACATTGCGACACAGCTTCAGAATCCATATAAATCCTCAAAAATGACAACGCAAAGCAGAAACTATGTGACGAGGTTAGTGGAGATTCCGAACCTCTCTCTTGACAAAGTATACGTTTCTCTGGAGAGATGAGTCACAAAGGCAGTTGGTGGTTTAAGGGAAGAATGTGGTATAATTATTGTTTTCTAGGTTTACAACCAATCAAATAAAAAGTTCCCCAAACATACAAAATGATAATCCAAGATGTATGATATTTGACTTATAATCCAGCTTGTTCGACCTAATCAAATTGATGGACCTAGACCAAGGCCAAGGCCAAGTACTTCTTAATTTGTAAATGCTTGGTGATTATAGTTTATCTTTTTTTCCAAAACTTTAATTATAGGAACTATAATGATGTTTTCTTTTCCATCTAATAGAGATCAACATAAGAAAAAAGTCCATATTATCAAAAACATATCTCATCTAAAACAATCTCCTACTGTGCATAAGTAATCCAAAAAAAAATTTGTATGTAAATTTTAAACATAACTAAAACTTTTTGCAGATCCAAATCCTGGTATATATGCCGAAACATCTATCTCTCATCAACGAGGTTGAACACATCTCTGACTTTTCTTCTTCCTGGTACATCTGCCTAAACATCCCTCTCTCATCAATGAGGTTGAGCACATCTCTGACTTTTCTTCTTCTAACATCTTCTTTATTCATGTGACATATTGAATCTTCACAGCAGCTCTCTAACACTCCACTCAGATATCTCCTGATTGAGCCACAAAAATGTTCAATTATGTCTTCCCACAGTGGATTTTGATTCTATTTACAAGTATTTTGATCTCAAGTCTGGTGATAAGTATTTTGATCTCAAGTCTAGGGAAGCCACTGTACGTCTTGCATTACTGATCATAATTATATTTTAAATGTTTTTTTTTATTTCATTATCTAAGTAGCATTTGCATTTTGTAAAAGACGTTCAAAAAGTCAAATATAGGTAAATTTTTAACAACTTTAGTGGGTCAAAAATCCGTAACAGTTTCTAGTTTTTTAGTGAATCCTTCAAAATTTTGGACTTTGTTCACTTGCTCTACTTGCCCATTCTACCAACTCAGGCAATTTTTTCTTATACCATCAAGAAGTTGTTGAGTTATGCTATAAATTAAAGATGATTTAAGTCTTTAACTTGATTCACAAATTATCCCAAAAAACCATTTTGCAGGTTTTATCTGGGTTTTCAAGGATAAAAAGATGTTGAATGTTAAGATTAACCCAATTGATTAATCCTTTATAGTTGAATCTGATTTAATGGTAATAAATTAACATTTTTTTGCAAAAACATAATTTCTCTATAAATTAATAATATTAAGATTAGGAAAAATTATTGATTTATCGAGTTATTAATTTATAAATTTAAATAATTATTGATTATAAATTTTAGAACCGGATAAAATTATTGATTAAGCGAGTTTATTAATTTATCAAATATTAATTTATAAATTTTCTACTATATATAATTAAGGTAAACCAAGATATGTCTTCAGTGAAGTTGCAGCAATGGCAAACATTGCAGCTCCCCACAAAATATGTCTTCCACTTTACGATCTAGGATCTGTTGCAAATCCACATCATGGCAAATCCGGGACATCATTCCTTCTCGTCCATGTTCTTAAGCACGTCTGTCACTTTTCTACCTCAGACTTCCTCTCTAATATTAGGGAAGTGTGCCAGTATGGCGACTTTGGATGTGTTGAGGTTTTACTGTGGATATTACCAGGGAAGTGTGCCAGTATGTCATCCTAGTCTGGTGGACTCATTTACAAATAATTGATAGTACTAGATTATGAATATACGATTATGCACAATAATTTGCGTAACTATAACTACATTTTAGATTAAGGGTGCAAGTGGTTGTTAGAAGTACTAGTAGAATAAATAATAGAGGAACAAAATAAGTTGAATTCGAGAGAAATGATTTTCTCTTCAAAATAGTAATTTTCTCTCCAAATAGTAAAGGAATGAATTGAACAAAATTTTCAACTCGTTATTTATAATTAGTTCATTTTTCAACTTTTTCTGGGGGTAAAATGAGTTGAAACATTTTTTTAACTCTTTTCAACTTAAATGATAATATATAGAGGAATCCGCAATTCCACTAGATATTGTTCCTCTAAATATGCAACCATTTGCACCATAAAACTTTTATCTATTTACAACTGTAGTTTAAATCTTTTGAAATTGACTACAACGTACCCAAAAAAATTCAAGAAAGAATCTCTGTACATGGTCATGCACTTGTGTGCTCGTTTTTAGTGATCAATATGTTGATTTGTTAAATTGATTTGATGTTCTACTCAAATTTTGTTAGACTATTATTCTGTGATTTTACAATTGGTAGAGAATCTCATGGAACTATTCTTGGTTCGATGTGGTATTGGGGTTACCGATTCTCGTTGTGTTTCATGGGTTGCAAAGCAGTTTTCTGTTGTGGTTTTTGAACAAACATGAGCAATATGAGGTTGTGAATTTGGGGAATATTAAGAAGCTACTTGGTTAGCATGTGGTTGTGGATAATCTGTTGTAGGACTTATCAGAGTAACCAACTTAACACAGTATTGTGTTTGTGGCAACATGCCTTGGGCTTGACTTTTTTTACATTTCAGATTACGGAAATAAAGACTTCTAAACTCAGAATCAATATAAGATAGGTGATTTTATCATTTTAGATTGCAATATTCATCGTCTGAATCTGATCCAATGGTGAAGATTTTATGTAAAAGACAGACCACCAAATGCTACAGACACACGTCCTAAAAGAACTAAAAACAAACATATTAAAGCCCATAAACACCAGTTTCTTAAGGAAATAATTTGTTGTTTTAGATTGCCATTCGTAAAACGCCATTGATGAACCTGCAATCTTGAGTAAAAAGTTACAATTACATTAGTACATAGAAATATAACTCAATCTAACAAACAGCAACTTAACTTGCTCACTCACCAATTAACTTCACAGAGAGAGCTGTGTGAAGAGCAACTCTAACTCCTTCTCTTGCGACAATGTTCTCTGTCACAACAACGGAAACAGAAAATGCTCATCACTGAGAGAATGCTCAAAGTGGTTTCATGCATAGTTATCATCTTGTTCGTTCATCTAAAGTATGATGAGATTTTACTTACTTGAGCAGATAAAAGCTCGTTGATTTTGCTGAGAACCTTGAGACGATGAACTGCATAAACACTGTTTGAAGGGAGTTTACAAACCCTTTTGATCTCTTCCTGAATCACGCTCGATTTTTCTTCACAACCCATCTCATTCCATCTCTCTCCCACACGATTACCTCTCGTTCCCATACTCAAAGCCCTTTCCGAAATTGTTTCCGCTGATGAAGAGGATTGAAAACAGAATCAGTAATCACGAGAATTAGAGCAGAAATCGAAAAAACTTTGTCTTTGATCGAAACAGAACCAGGGAAAAGAAAGTCTCAATTCTTACATCAAGGGTTCCGAAATCAGAGCTCGAAAGTTCCGATTTTTGACGCTTTCTCCGTAGAAATCACTCGAGAGATTGCGATACCAAAGAGACTTTCGATCCCTTAAAATTTTTAGATTCCGTTTTCGATTTTTCTCAGTCAGTTCTTCTTTTTTATTTTCTTTTTCAATTATTTTTCTTTCTCTACTTGCCCGACCCACAAACCCGACCCGGATAATTCTTCAGAAACCCTTAAAATATCCGAACTATCCGAATTTACTCGAATTGAATCGATTTAAACCGAATTTCCTTTCCATTTGTTTCTTTTCTAAATCTCACAATTATGGAAGTTGTACGATTTTACAATTCTGCAACCAAACTCTTATAATTATAAAATCTGTTACTAAAAGGTCCACAAAACCAGAGGCAGTATCGGAGAAACCATGGAAAGAAGAGAAGGAGGAATCCAGCGAAAACGAGGTCTCAGTTCCATCTCAAATTTTAGAAACCGCATGAAGCAGTTTGTGTCACTTGGAACGATGAAGACAATATCCGATCTTCCAGAAGATTTGGTAGAGGAGGAGATATTCTCAAGGGTTCCTTTGACTTGTCTGAGATGGGTGCGATCTACTTGCAGAAAGTGGAACGTTTTATCGAAAAATCGGATTTTGGGTAAAGCAGCAGCAGCAAGGAAGCAGTTCATGGGGTTCATGATTCTGGATCACAGGGTTTGTTTGATGGAATTCGATCTCCAAAACTTTGTTGCTCCGTCTATAAAGCAAGTAAGTGTGGTAGATCATATCGCGATACGTAATGTCATTCACTGTAACGGCTTACTGCTATGCGTCATCGAGGACCTCTCAAGGCTCTTGGTATGGAACCCCTATTTGGGGCAAACCAGATGGATCCAACCCAGAACAAAATTCGACTGGTTTGACAGGTATTCCCTCGGATACGACAACAACGGCAACCACAAAATCTCGAGGTTTTTCTATCAAGGCGAAACAAATTCCGTTTTGGGCTTCGAAATCTACGATTTTAGCTCTAATTCGTGGAAGGTTCTTGACGTGTCTCCGGACTGGAATTTAGGGCCTCGTCAACGCTTCGCCTCTTTGAAGGGAAATATCTACTTTCCTGCAAAGGAAGTAACTCCGCGTGGTGAAGAGACACCAAAGGAAGAACATTTTTTACTATGTTTTGACTGTACAACCGAGAGTTTTGGTCGGCGCCTGCCTCTGCCGTTTCACTCTGACAGTCCAGGAACTTATGTCTCTCTCTCTTGTGTTCGACAAGAGCAGCTCGCTCTTTTATACCAACACTCCTGGGATACACCTAAGATGATCGAGTTTTGGGTTACTGATAAGATTGAACCCAATGCCGTATCTTGGAGAAAGTTTTTGATAACCTTCGATGCTTTTCTGATTCACCCTTTTGCTGGGAGTTTTTTCATTGACGAGGAGAAGAAAGTTGCTGTACTCTTCGATCTAGATGCATCTCCCTCCCATCCCTACCAAGCAGCTCACATCGTCGGAGAAGATGGATGCTTGACATCTTTTAACATCGGAGATGCCCCCAATCCCAGCGCAGTTGGCGAGTGTACATACTATACCAGGGGATATTGTCTCCCACTTGTGTGCTCTTCATATGTTCCAAGCTTAGTACAACTGCAAATCAACAAGCCGGGCAAATATGTTCCAAGCTTAGTGCAACTGCAGATCAACCAACCGGGCAAATGGAAAGAACGTGGTTTTTGTTACATCTGTTTACAATACTTTGTCTTTGTTTCTTTCTTGCATCTTCCTCTGACCATATTATTCTTATTAATTTGTGTTTTGCTCTTTATCATTCCTTTACAACACTTCATCATCTAATAAAGAATTTGACTTTTGCATCTTTTAGCCTCTTTTCTATTGTTTGTGTCACTTGTTATATCTGATTATTGTAGGGAGAAACAATCAGTGTGTAGAAGACGCTTCATAATATAAAGATTTTGTCTTTTGCATGTTTTCAATCAATCTGATTATTGTAGAGAACAATCAGTGTCTTTGTTTGTACAAGAAGCTTCATGGTACGCATTGATTTGCTGCTGGTGTTCAAAGGAAAAGCTCATCAGTTCCAAACTAAAAAAACTCCCTAGGATATAAGCCTTCAAATACTCAGTCCTAGACACAGGTGGTGCGTTGATCAGTGTGATAGCTAACGCACGCAAAGGCAGAAGCAGCACCCGTGTCGTTGCAAAGCAAAGCAATAATACCACATCCCACCTGCATTTTAACTGGCCATTTTGCTCCCAAAAGTTTTCTTCTTCTGTTTTGAGTATTTTAGCGACTCATTTTTCCAGAGAAGCCCCAACTTGTGAAGAGACAAGTTGTTCAGATTCTCCAGTGGAGAATTAGACGAGAAAATACAAAGCTCTCCTTTTCGTATGATGAGATTTTACTTACTTGGGCAGATAAAAGCTCGTTGATCTTGTTGAGAACCTTGAGACGATGAACTGCATAAACACTGTTTGAAGGGAGTTTACAAACCCATTTGATCTCTTCCTGAATCACGCTCGATTTTTCTTCACAACCCATCTCATTCCATCTCTCTCCCACACGATTACCTCTGCTTCCCATACTCAAAGCTCTTTCCAAAATTGTTTCCGCTGATGAAGAGGATTGAAAACAGAATCAGTAATCACGAGAATTCGAGCAGAAATCGAAGAACTTTGTGTTTGATCGAAACAGAACCAGGGAAAAGAAAGTCTGAATTCTTACATCAAGGGTTCCGAAATCAGAGCTCGAAATTTCCGATTTTTGACGCTTTCTCCGTAGAAACCACTCGAGAGATTGCGATACCAAAGAGACTTTCGATCCCAAAATTTTTAGATTCCGTTTTCGATTTTTCTCAGTCAAATCTTCTTTTTTTATTTTCTTTTTCAATTATTTTTCTTTCTCTACTTGCCCGACCCATATATATAACCCGACCCGGATAATTCTTCGGAATTCAGAAACCCTTAAAGCCCTAAAATGTCCGATCTCATCTGATCTCTTCTTCTTCTTCTTCTTCTCTCATTTTTTTTTCTGATAATTCTAAGCGATGGCGTTTTCGAAAATGTTAGGCAGATTCTCTTCTCGGATGAAGCCTCTATGCCAAAATCTCAGCAACAAGAACGCTAATGTTTCATCACTTCCATCTCCTGTCAAATCTGCATCACCGTCCTCAGCAACTAGCCGTCTCAATCGATCTTCAAGGTCTGTATTTTTTTATGATTTCACTATCAATGGATGAACAAAAAAAAACCCATTTTGTTTTACTTGGTTCCATAGTTTTCTCAAATTGTAAATGGAGACTTCTCTGTGCGCTATAAATAAGACTTCTTTAGTTAAACGACCTGCTCGATTTCAGAAATTTGGAGTTTAATCAGCGATTATGATCATCAAGCCTTGAGCATTAACTTTGAAATGAAGGACTCTGTGTCGCTTAGTTGCTAATCAACTTCGAAGTCAAAACTTTGTAAGGAATTTGCAAATTGGGATTAACTTGTTGAAGGTTGTTTTTTTTTCAGATTACCAGTGGAGTTGAGTTCGATGTTACCTCTACACAATGCTATAGCATCTTCGAGGCTAGTATCAAGCTTGTCCATTGAATCCAAGAGCTGGGGCTTAGTTCCTCAAGGTCAGTTTTTTTTTGTTGTTGTTCTTACTGGCCTAAGATTAGAGCATTGGACTTACCATCTGTGTTTATGTGTGTATCCAACACTCTAACACATTCTGTTGTTTCTCTGTTTTACAATTCGCAATGACAAACTTAAAGCAACAGGAATCTGTGGTCATATAGCTTGTTGAATCTGATGAACTTGAACCCTCTTATGTGTTTGTATCTGCATCTGAGCCGATCTATCACACATCACTTTTAAGTTTGATCTTTTATATGGCTTTTTAGTTTCAGTACATTGACATGAGCCCATTTCTCTGCAATTGCAGGTATTTCAATGCCTTTATGACAGTTTCCTCAACTTAGAACAAGTTTCCAGGAGGATAGAGACATAAACAAAAGCTCGAGTTGTATCGTTCTTTTAATCTTACTTCAAATCCAAATCTCCTGTATTTAGATTCGATTATCTCCAACTCTTTGCTTAGATTCTTGCGATTTTTGAGTTTATCAGAAACTGAGGAATCAATGTAATGTTCTTTCATATTTGGAATTTTGCATTTTTGTTCTCATGCAATGTCTTTGGCTTAACATTGAAAGATCAATCAGTGACCTTTAGGTTTGGTTTTAATAAAATACGTTGAATTACAAATGATTTGATTTGGTTAAGACTCATTTGTCCAAGTGGCATCTGAAATGAAATGGATGGTTACAACTTGCAAGATCCAATTGGATACTTGCTTATGACAACTCAGGGTGTCGTGTAACCAAGAACCTTGACTAAATTGTAGTTTCAACAGCAAGTCATATAATACTATATGGTTTTTGTTTGTATTATTTTCTCCCCTAAAATCAAGCTCTTATACGCAATCTCCGGAGCCAAACTCTTCTATTTCACCATCTACTCCACGTTGTCTTCAATAATTGAAAGCTGAAACTTGAGACAACGTAAACGTATGTGTGTGTTGATTGTATATACACTCTACATACATTCATAAACCTTTCTCCTCTTTTACTTCATCGCTTTCCTCGTCATTTCATAAATTCCGGCGAAATGGAACCTCGAACCAATGACCTTCAGATTGAATCTCGGGTCCATGAGTTACTCCAATTCCCGGTTTGTACGAAACAAATGTCCTCTGCAATCTACCAGGTATGTAAATCATCATATCATATACATACTAGAACGATCAAAAAGAACACAATAATCAGCACAGATCTTACTACAGTGTCCCAATGACCACACCGGAGAGTTCAACGTTGAGAAGCCTAAGAAGATGTCATACAATTGTCCCTATTCTGGATCCAAGTGTAATGTCACAGGAGATATTCAGTGGCTGCTTCTGCATCTAAGGAATGATCATCATGTTGAAATGCATGATGGGCGTAGTTTCAGTCATAGATACGTCCATCATAATCCTAAACATCTTCATCATGCTACTTGGATGTTAACTGTAAGTTCATTACTTTTATATCTTGTTCTGTTTCTGCATTGTTATTTGCATATCCTCACAAAACATTGCACAGCTTCTGGATTGTTTCGGTCGACAATTCTGCTTATACTTAGAAGCGTTTCACATGAGGAAAACGCCAATGTACGTAGCCTTCATGCAGTTTATGGGAGATGAAGAAGAAGCCATGAGATTCAGCTACACGTTGGAGGTCAGTGGCAATGGCAGAAAGCTGACATGGCAAGGCGTGCCTAGAAGCATTCGTGACAGTCACAAAACGGTTCGTGATAGTCAAGATGGCTTAATCATAACTCGCAAATTGGCTTTGCTCATCTCTACCGACAACAACAGCAGCAAGGAACTGAAGCTGAAGATTTCAGGTCGTGTATGGAGAGAACAGTGAACAAAATACAGCCTATTTCATTGTGAATTCCATAATTAAAGGTTACGCTATTAGACAGCTGAAGAAGTTGTTATGTAACTGGTGAACAAAATATCTCTTCTTCATAAATAGCAGTTTAATGGGAAATGTGTAGCTAAACTGGGTGATTATGCCTCTCGCTACTTCACAATTGAAGTGAGAAAACAAAAAATACAATCACCACATTTTTGCTTCACAATTCAACTGAAATAGAAAAAGAAAAACACAACAGAGCCTGAGAGGCCAGAGGGTTGGATATGGAATACGAGCAGACTTAGAAGCATCTTTCTCTAGTCCTTCAACATTCTTTTGCTAGTAACTTTCAAGATACAGTTCGGCCATAGCTTAACGATGCGAGGTAGAGATTCTTTCCCCATTTTTCCTGCACAATGCAAAGGATCTCAGGTATTGATGATAAGAGAGAGAAAGAAACTCATATAATAGTTATCTTTAAGACGATTTGAGCTACTCTGCTCTACTCACCTTCACATGTGTGCTGGGGAATTGAGAGGTGCGCAACGTCTCTTGTGTCTCATCGACCAGTCTACGCCGTGGGATGCTTAGGATGAGAGCAGCTTGATCGGTTGTTGCTGCTGTTGATGTGATTCTGAATCCACCATCCCAACGTCTGTGGATGCCTTCACTCGGGTACAGAAAATCAAGTTCCACAACCTGTAGAGAGAGATAAGCAAGCAATGGATTAGAGATGAACGGCGACAAATCCAAAAAGGAAGAGGAAGAAAGTCAAATCATAGAAGTCTGACCTGTTCACTATAGCCAGAATTGCGGGACATAACAACACCCCATCGGCTTCCAGCTGTTGCCATTGAGGTTACATGGAAGCCTTCTCTCCACTTCTTGTTTATCCACTTGAACGGGAATGAATCGCTTACTTTGTAAGACTGCTGTGTATACTGAGTACCTTCAAAACCCAATTTAAAACAAAAACATAGAATAAGCCATAAATGGTTTTCATGCTAAAGAGCTATAGCCATAGTTATTGGCAAAGATTCACTAATCCGGAGACTAGTTAAATCAACATTCATGAAGAAAGCATATAAAAGTGTATGTACCTTTAGACATGACAACTAAGGAGCTTCCATTGGTTGCACCAGCAATAGAACTTATGTAGTAATTCTTCTCCCACTGTTCCATTATCCACTCCTGAAACAGAACAGCGTTTACACTCTCATATAACATCATCTTGACAGAACACAGACCTAATAATAATTACCAGAGAAACAATGGATTACCTTATGCAAGAATACAGGAGAGAGTTCGTAGACTTGGTTTGTGAAGCCGGTTCCAGCATCCATTATTAATGCCCAGAGATTCGAACATGATGATACACAGCTTATCAACAAACCATCTGCGATACCTCTCTCAATATGCTGTGCCAGCCTTATATCAGCAACATTATAATGATACCTGGTTGCACAAGTAAATTGTCAGTCCAAAATAATTGACACTGTAGAGACACAAGCGTCGTCCCAGACAGAAACTATGACTTCCCACTGGAGGCAGTGGACAGATCAAGTACAATAACGGTTAACTGATTGTATATTTTCACCATGAGCTTTTTTACCTCTGCTTCATTGGTTGTCTGGCATTGTAAATCGATATCCATTGCGTTGCAGGGACTCCTAGACGGACTTTTTTCCTAGGGACATCTTCTTCTTCTTCCCCGATGCTCAACCTACCACGCTTCTGTCCAACTTGAAAAATGATCTAGCACAAACAAAAAAATACAAGACGTTAAACAACAACTCCAAGATAACTACTTAATAGGAAAGAAAAGTAAATATGTACAGCATGAAAACGTCACCTTCTGAGCACCCTCTGTGTTTATAGGCCTAATTGCCGGATTTTCGCCCAAGAGGTCTTGGAACAGAGATACTAACTTACCATAGTTTGGTTCCTCATCAAATTTCATATTTACCACGATCTCAAGAAATTGCTTGAAAGGAGGGGGGCAGAAACAACAAAGCATGTCCGGCGATGTTGCCATCTTCTTTTTGCAAACGAGGAATGACTTGTTATCTCCCTGAAAATTGAGCAAGATAAAAGGATTAGCAGAGAAGGAATCATACTAAATTACTAACAACATCGTTCTACAAAACAAAGAGATAGGTCTGCATTACCTGATATCCTTGCCATGGCAATCTACCCCGGTGGAGAAAGATTAGTGTATATGCCAATGATTCGAGATCATCCCTTCTGCTAGCAGTCCTCCCCAAGTGAGCATGTGCACTTGCGTATCTAACTGTCCCCCTACGAAAATTAGAGGAGAGGAAGATTCAAGAAAAGAGTAAGAGGGAATATAAAAATCATAATTAGGTAACAGTCGATAAATTATTACCTAAACATATCGGGACGTTGATCATATTCAACATGTTGTCCGCTACCACCTTCTCTCCACTTTGTTGCTGAAAAGTTGATTAAAAAATGAGAGAGGTAAAGAAAGTACTTCGCAAGAATCACAGCGAAAATGAAATCAACCAACCTAGTCCCAAATCAACAAGAAACAGCTTTTTCTCTTGAGACGTTGAAGGCTGGCCGAGTAAGAAATTTTCTGGCTTAACATCTCCATGCACATAACTGAAACCAAAGAAAATCATGACTTGTTAGGCTAGTTAACAGTGAGAAAACATAAGAATGTACATGTGCCGAAGCTCAAAACAGACATAGGAAGGAACCAAGGGCAAACAAGAAAAATACATTAGAAACAGATCAAGTACAAACCCTTTTGCATGCATCTTTTCAAGGATGGAAAGTGATTCAACTGCAATGCAAGCTACCATTTCCGAGGACATTCTGCTAAGAGAAGGGGAAAAGAATCGTTAGCACAGTCTCGATTCATGTCCAAAGTATTTTTTTTTTTTTAAACAGGGAGTAACAACACAGGTCATGTCGCATTTCCAAAAGAAACCAAAATAAATTTTGGATATTCATGTATGGAAAACTACAAGAAGACACAAGAACTCCCAAAGGTTGTGTAATGGAGACTCACGCTTGCCCTGAAGTATTCCATATATCCCATAAACTCGGCCCGAGCATGTCCATAACCTGAGGCCAAAACAAAACAAAAAGGATCTACCATCAATAATACCGACTGGAGCGAAGAAGAAAGAGGAGAAGAGAAAGGAGGGATCCAGTACCATAACATAATAGTCTCCTTGCCTCCCTTTGAAATGTACTCTAGGGACTCCATGACTGCCACCCAAGGTGCTGTTCACAATATAAGAAAATGTTGATTTCACATTTCAACTCAGGGAAGAAGAATTTTACAAACATAGTAAGAAAGATGAGAGAATCGAACACCCACTTGTACACCTGCCACTCATGTGGAGGACCATAGTTGCAACCCTTGCTGCTTCGATGCTCGAACTTAAGAGCAACCTATAAAAGAAATTGGAGAGGTGAGACAATGTTAATAAAAATGACAATTGTAACAGGATCCTCGTGGTGACAATCCGCCACGGTAGTAACGCAGAATGAGTTACATTACCTCCAAGATGCTAGCTCCTGCACTACGTTCATTTCCACCGCTAATACGACGTCCCACGAACACTTGTCCAAAACCACCCTTCCCCAGCTTCCTCTCAACCTTATACAGTGGTGATCCTCCAACTTGAACCTGATTTAGAGACAGAATCGTTAGTCACTAACATGAGAAAGAAATCAATTTTACCCTATTGTGAATCATTTTCTTCAACAGCGAAACCATAGAACAAATAATCAGAGAGAAAATTTTACCCTCTCAGGGAAAGGTGCGGTATTTCCTTCTTCTTCCTGAGCAGCCGCCTTGTTAGAGCCACCGCTATCATTACCTATTGCCATAACTTTCTTCTCTTCTTCACCGACAACCTCTTTACCCTTCTTTTTATCGCTATCGCTATCCTTGGAAAGTACAAGAACCGGATTCTCCTGAATGATTACCTTATCTTCCTCCTTTAGCTTTCTCGCCGCCAATCTCGTCCTCGGCCTCTCTGCGGCTTCTGTAACTCCGCCGGCAACGGCTTTCCGGGTTTTACCGGTACTCTTCCTCTGTTTCTTGTCTGTAGGTTTCTGGGCAAGCTGATTCAGAGCTACAGCTTCAGTAACACGGCCACGGCGGACTCCACGGCGAAGCTCCGGCATAGCTCAAACCCCATGCAATCGAGACGGGACACTAAGAGCCCGATCATTATAGTCCTCCAGAAACGACGGTCTGGCTCATGTCGGATTTGGAAAGCGATTTGAAATATAATCAGAGATCGATTTTCCGATGAGAAAATTTGATTTGCGCGATTAGGGTTCGCCGGTTCGGTTGCGATGAAGAAAAGTTATGGATGAAATCCCCAAAATGGAGAGAGGCGATGGAAAAAAGGCGGTATTTATTCCACGTCAGCTATTTGGAGAGCTTTTTCGTGAAAGAAACAAAGATGGGTAAATTAAATAAATTTCCTAATGTTGTATGTAAAATAAATTATTAGAGAAACAAACAAGTAATATGTTTAAGTCGCACGACGGTCCGTGACCCAGCGATTTTTATGGTAAGTGGAAACAAACCGTTCACGTTTTTGTTTACGAAAGAAATATGATTAATTTTCTTATTATGAATATATATATTCACTATTTTGAATGAAATGTATAGCTAAAATGTATATATATATATATAAATATCCCTGCTTAATTAAAAAAAAGGTATCTCCATGCAAATTCTTTTTAGACAACAAATTAAATTATGTGGCTAGTGTGAATAGGCTAACTTGCTTTATATCACGAACTCAAATTATGTACACTTATCTTATTAACGATTTCAAATCATTTAACACGGAATAGAAAGCCTTTGTGCCACTTAATTTGACCCGAATGGTCAATTTCATGTATAAACAACGACTTTTTATTTATTTTGCAGATGAAGTCAATTGTTATACTTAATTAAGTTCGTTATAAGATAATAACGATCAGACCACACAACAAGACATGCAAAAAAACACCAAACAATAACATTCGTTATTTAAGTAATGAAATCACAAAAAGGCAACAAGCATACAAACGTAATTATATCAATAGTGCAAGACGTAACAGTTGTACTCTACTGTTGCATCACCAGACTTGAAGTCGAACCACACGGTCCGAGCCTCGACATAACCTCTAGCGAACCGGAATATTCCACTTCCTCCGACCAGTCGACTACCGGCATTTCCCTAACCTTGGAGAACACCGTGTTCCGACCAAGAATCGCCACCGTACTCCCATTGTACTTCCCGGTCGTGAAAGCAAGATTTAGCCCCATTAAGAAGCCAATCTCTCCTTGGGCCGCTCCAGCATAAATTCCTTGACCCTGGCCCACCACAGTCGAATTCCTCAGCACATCCGCTGTCTAACGGGTCGTCCATCATGGATCCATACTTCCAATATCAACAACGACCCATAATTTCCATTTAAAAAAAAAATGAAAAAATGACCCATAATTTTGAACGTATAACCTTGTACAGGTACGTAAATGTGTATCCACTAGATTTACAGATTTTTATTGTTTTCATTCATTTTTTTTACAATCGAACTACTTATATATCAAATTTCGCCATTTCAGTCCAGACCGTTACAATATGTATGTAGACTAAATACATTATTAAGATTATCAAAAGATAAACCACCCTAGAACGATCGCCTCAGCACAATATAACATCAGTTAACAACAAAAGAGTCCAAATATAAAAATGTCACTTTAATGTAATTTTAAATCAAATAAGCATTACATAGAGGACACATAATCTTTGTTTATAAATATATTAGTAATGCAAGACATAACAGTTATATTCAACAGTGGCGTCTCCCGACTTTTGATCGAACCACTTAGTTCTAGCCTCGACATAACCTCTAGCGAACCCGAAGATTCCACTTCCTCCGACGACAGGCATTTCTCTAACCGTCGAGAACACCGTGTTCCGGCCAAGAATCGTGATCGTGCTCCCATTGTACTTCCCTGTCGTGAAAGCGAAATTCATCGCCATCAAGAAACCAAGCTCACGTTGAGCCGCTCCTGCGTAGAAACCTTGCGCCTGGCCCACCACAGTAGAGTTGATCGGCACATCAGATGTTAGCGCGTTGTCCATCATTGTGATTGATCCGAAGGCGTTTGAGGAGTTTGAAACCGACGGTTGGATCATGATGGAACTTGGGTTTCGACCGCTTAGGATGTCATGCCAATAGACTCGGAGATGAGTGAGTTTCTCTTCCTTGTGGAAGTGTTTCCTGTTCATTGTTCTTGCGAAGTCTCCACCTTCTCCGAAGGCGGTGAGGAGGAGGATTTGTGCGGCGAGGATAAGGATGAGCTTTGACATGATTGTGATAACTGATGTTTTTTATTTCTTGTAGAAAATCTGTGAGTTTGTTTTGTTGGTGTTAGTTCCTGTTAATATTGGGTGTATATATATAGATGAAGGTGCGTGCTATATATAACGAGTTTATATATACATGCGATGACGAGTGTTCAAAAATAAGTATTACTGAATCAGAAAGAGGAGACATGTGCTATTTAGTTATTCTATATAGTGTATGCGTGTATTAAGACTTTACGAGAGAAAAAAAGGTGGACTTACGTATTTTTTTATTTGACCGACGACGTATGGGCTATGGCTTGGCTATGGCATTTGCTTCAGTGAGTCGTGTGATTTACGGTGAAAGAGATGTACAGTGCAATTTTCAAAACTATATATTGCATTATTTTCGAAGCGTATGATTTACGGTTACATATAATTTCCAAAAGGGTTCTTGCATTATATTATTTGTTCTTGCTAAATGCTTATTCTAAGTTGCATGGAAAGTCAATCTAAGGTCCGCCGTTTCCTGTTTGGTAATATTTTAGAAACGAATTAATTGGAAACAGAAACTCTTGTAAGGTTTTGGAATCTCGCATAATATTCGAAGCTTACAGTTATATAAACGAATAAACCCAATTATTATTGTTGATTTTATTCTCACGCTCTACATTTTGTTTTTTTATGAGACTCTCTTTCCTTGTTTTGTCCTTCGAACCTTTAGTACGTTATTAAATATTATAAAACATTGTAGATTATTCAAATCTAAATTATTTAATCCAGTTGAGTTGACTACTTGACCTACGAACAACCTGACAGAACTGCTAGATTTCTTTTGTCACACGACTTTTACGCCTTTGTTACATACTTTCAAGTCTTCTATATTAATCAACCCATTATGTGAGCCAAAAACCACACACAAAAATGCTGATATTCGGATATAAAAGTGCTTAAAAGCAAACGCAAACGTTAAATACAAAAGTTTATTCACAAAGGTAAGTATAAGGTGTAAGCACAAATGACAAATGTAAGTGTGAACGCAAATATACAATTACAAACCGCCATGTATAAAAACAAACTTAAATAGCATTGCAAACATAGATACAATCGCAATATATCGAAAGTAAAATTTCAAGTTCACACAACCAACCAAAATTTCTCCTCCCCCCCACACAATTCATATAATCTCTGATATTCAAAGGAGCCTTTTTTCCGACTCACTAATTAAAAGTTTATGTTTGGGATTAATTCAATACCGGCTAGGCCAAAGATAATTCTCAATTATACTAATTACCAATAACAGAGTTCGATAACGAAGAAGAAGTTTGTGATGATCTTATTGACAAAAATGTTACATAGTTATATAGCTCCACAAGCGTGTATCTACATTCCTAAAGTGATATACAGAAAATCAATCTACATTGAAGATAATGAGATCGTATCATTGGTGAGTGATACATGATTGATACGATATCTTTTACCTCCCCTCAAGTTGGAGCATGCAAGTCTAGAATGCCCAGCTTGGATCTGAATGTTTCATAAGCCTGTCGACCCAAAAGTTTGGTAAAAATATCAGCCAACTGTTGCGATGTGGACACGTGATGAGTAGACATGTTACCTCGCTGAATTTCATCTCGAACAGAGTGACAATCGTTCTCGATATGCTTCGTACGCTCGTGAAACACCGGATTTGTACTGATGTAGATAGCGGATTTACTATCACAATGAATACGCATCGGCTGAGTGTGAGAAACACCAAGTGCCTGCAGGACATTCTTAATCCATATGAGTTCATCTCGAAGATATGCCATGGCCCTATACTCTGCCTCAGCTGAAGACTTGCTGACTGTTTGCTGTTTCTTAGTTTTCCACGATATAGGAGATTCACCAAGTTGAACGAAGTAGCCAGTGACAGAGCGACGTGTAAGATGACAGCTTGCCCAATCTGAATTGCACCAACCATTGATTTGAAAATCATTGTCTGAACTTAGAAGAATCCCTTGTCCTGGAGTACCCTTAATATAACGAACAACACGTAACGCCGCTTGCCAATGATCCTCTCTAGGATTTTGCATAAATTGTGCCAATATATGCACACAGAATGCTAAATCCGGCCTGGTAAAAGCCAAATAGATAAACCGACCAACGAGACGGCGATAAGGAGCTGGATCCGTCAACATTGGAGATGTAGAAAGAGCCAACTTGTGATTCTCTTCTAGCGGGAACAAGGCTGGTTTAGCATCAAGCATCCCTGTCTCGGAAACAATGTCTAAGGCATATTTACGTTGACTCAGATAGAACCCAGAAGTATGGCGAGAGACCTCTATTCCCAGAAAATATTTCAGAGTTCCCAGATCCTTCATCTTAAAGCAAGAGGCGAGATAGTTTTTGAATACCTGCAATGCTGCTTCATTGTTGCCCGTCAAGATTATATCGTCAACATAGATAAGCATTCTGATTTGGATGCCATCCTTGTCAAGCGTGAATAGAGAGTAATCAGCATGGGTTTGTTGAAACCATAAACCCGAAGAGATGATGTAAGCTTCTCAAACCAACACCTGGGAGCCTGCTTTAAACCGTAAATCAATTTTCTCAATCGACAAACTTTCTTTTCATCTGACGGATAGAAGCCTGGTGGTGGTTTCATGTATACTTCCTCAGAAAGATCACCGTGAAGAAAGGTGTTGTGAACGTCCATCTGATAAACCGGCCAGTGATTCGCAGCGGCAACTTTGAGAAACATACGGACTGTGCCCATCTTTGCAACTGGAGCGAATGTCTCTCCATAATCTTCTCCTTCAATCTGTTTATTTCCAAGCGCAACTAATCTTGCTTTGTATCGTTCGATTGTACCGTCAAAATTGTACTTGATCTTGTAAACTCATTTGCTCCCAATGGCACGTTTAGCCGGTGGTAAATCCTCCAATGTCCATGTTTCGTTTTCTTCTAGCGCAGTGACCTCAAAACTCATGGTGTGTCTCCATCGTTCGTTGACATATGCTGCTTTGAAGGATCTTGGTTCAACATTGTCAACAATGGCAGCGAGATATGCACGATGGGGTTCGGAGAAACGAGCAGAGGAGACATAATTAGAGATAGGGTAGATCGATGGAGCACCTGATTTCGTGAGTAGCTTACTCTGGGCCGAATTTGTAACAAAATTTTTCAATTTCACAGATTTCATCTTCTTCCTTTGACCCCTACCAAGTTCTGTTTCTGGAGGAGGAATCTCATCCTCAGATGATTCTGAAGATGACAAAGATGAGGATTCAGCCATGGAGGAAGGAGATGACGAGGCAGACACTGGATTTGAGTCGGACGAATGTAATTCAGAGTTATCGGGTGAGACAGAGATGACAGGATCGGGATTTGATTCCCGTGAGGATGAAGACGGTATATCTGATTCAATTATTGGAGCAATAAGTGGGTCAGAAAGTTGTGGCCCAACTGTAATGGGCCTGATCTCTTCCTCCAACATTGGGCCTGTTGTAATTGGAGCCCACAACAATTGTTCTTCTTCGTCGAAGCTTGGCGAGGATGTTGTAGCAGCAAAGGGAAACTGTTCTTCGGAGAAGACAACATCTCGGGAGATGAAAACTTCCTGTTTCTCCAAATCATATAATCGCCACCCCTTCTTTCCATATGGGTATCCAATGAATACACACTTTCGACTCCTTGATTTAAACTTATCTCCTTTGTGAGATTGATTATGAGCATAACAAAGACTCCCAAAAACTCTTATATGCTCATAGTCTGGAACTTTTTGATAAAGTTTTTGAAAGGGCGTCATCTCTTGAAGAACTGAGCTCGGTGTTCGATTTATTAAATATCCTGCCGTGAGAATACATTCTCCCCAAAACGTGATTGGAAGATTCGCTTGAAACCGTAAAGCCCGAGCTATATTGAGAATATGCCGATGTTTTCGTTCAGCTCTGCCGTTTTGTTGTGAAGTCCCCACACACGAAGTTTCATGAAGAATACCGTGCTTCTGAAAATAAGATGTTAGACTTGTGAACTCTGTACCGTTGTCGCTGCAGAAGCTTTGTACTCTTCGCTTAAACTGTCTCTCGACCATGGAGAAAAAGTTCTGAAGTTTCGTTGGTGCCTCTGTTTTATCAGAGAGAAGATGAATCCAAACACATCGAGAAAAGTCATCAACAATAGTCAGAAAGTAGCGAGCTCCACAATGTGAGATTGTACGATAAGGGCCCCATAAGTCAGAATGAACTAACTGGAAAGGTTCCGTTGTTTTATTGATACTTGTGGGAAAAAGAGAACGAGTTTGCTTTGCGCGGAAACACACGTCACACGCTTTATTTGATACATCGAAAACAGAAACAGAAACATTTGGAAGAGATCCAACAACTTGTGCAGAGGGATGACCCAACCTAAGATGCCACAATTCGTAGGTTTTCTCATCCGGAGTCCTCACTGCAGCAGCGAACTCTGTTCTGCGAAAGCTGAAGGTTCTGGCTTCCCTTTTACCCGCTCCAATCACTATCCTCGAAACGCGGTCCTGAACCACAAGGAACTGATCAGCAAGTTGAACCACACAATGATTCTCATCTATCAATTGACCTACAGCGATCAAATCAGTGTGAAACCCTTCAACGAAAAACACTGATTGTAAAATAAGGTGGGATCCCAATACAACTGTTCCTTCGATTACCGAAACTGTTTCTCGACCATCAGCTAAAATGATCAAAACTGGATCCATATTTCTAACATTTGTCAACAGAGAATAGTTCTCTGTGAGATGGTGAGAAGCCCTTGTATCCATTATCCAAGAAGAAACAGAAGACTTACCAGAGAGTTTCTCAGAACTCGTACTTGCTCCTCCGTTCAGAAGATTCATCAATGCTCGCCACTGTGTATCATTAAGGCCATTCACACCATCATGATCTCTATCAGTGATCGTGTAATTCACATGCGTCGGAGACTGATTTTGAGGTACTTGAACTGCATTAGCATAATTAACATTACGCCCACGCCCAAATGTCGAAGTTCCAGAAATAGAGCCACGTCCTCTCCCTTGTGTAATTCTGCTCCGTGGCCTGTCACCCCACCATTCCGGATATCCAATCTGTGCAAAGCATGAGTCGGAAGAATGACCCGTGCGTTGACAATGCTTGCAAACTGCAGAGGTGTCTGAAGCATCATTACGAGAGAGAGGTGCACGCGGTCTAGTTTGAACGGCATGCGCAATCACCTCTGGTGTTTCTTCAATGCTACGAACAGAGGTTTTAAGGTCTTCCTCTTGACGCACAACATTGTAAACTTCCTCCAACTGTTGCAGTGGTGTGCGAGAAACAAGAGTGGAATGCACAGTACGAAAGGAGTCATCAAGACCGAACAAGAATTCATGAACTCTTTCAGCCTCATGATCTTGTTCTTGCATTGTGGCCAAGTCGCAGTCACATTTACCACACTTGCAGATGCGGAGAGGTCGGTAATGAGCCATGTTGTCCCAAATTCGATTCAGCTTCCCAAAATAAGCTTCAATGGCAAGTCCGTGTTGCTTGCAACATGCCAACTCTGCCTTTAGCTGTTGAATACGCGGCCCATTAGTAACGGAGAAACGCTTCTTCAAGGTATCCCACAAGTCTTTGGCCACGTCACGATGAGAGATACTTGAACGAAGTGAGGGATCAATCGTCATCTTGATCCAGGAGACAAGAAGAGCTTGAATCGTCCACCAATCTTCCAAATCAGGAGAGTCATCTGTGGGTTTCTCAATAGTACCATCAAGAAATCCAAATTTCTTTCGAGAGCACAAGGCCGTTTTCATACCGCAAGCCCATTCGTCATAGTTGGATCCTTTCAGCAACGGATGAGATATCACGGCGCCGGGATTATCAGCGGCGGTAAGGTCGTAAGGAGAGATTGTTCGTCGAGTTTCAGTGATGGTGAGGTTCGGGTTCAGATTTCGGCCGTTCGTGTTCACAGGTGTCTCCATGATGAGATATTTTGATGAAAGTGAGATCGGGAAAAAAAAAAAATTTGATCGAGATCTTATTATTCAGGCTCTGATACCATAAACAATAACAGAGTTCGATAATGAATAAGAAGTTTGTGATGATCTTATTGACAAAAATGTTACAGAGTTATATAGTTCCACAAGCGTGTATCTACATTCCTAAAGTGATATACAGAAAATCAATCTACATTGAAGATAATGAGATCGTATCATTGATGAGTGATACATGATTGATACGATATCTTTTAGAGATATCAATGTTTAATTTAAGATGTATGTATCATGATCACGTCAGCAGAAAATCTTGAAATAGAAACCCCGCAACAATCAGACATGTGACTCAAACCGACACAAGACAACATACCATATTAAATAAATATATAAAAAAAAAGAGAAGGGCCTACAAATCATCATATCGTCAATAATGCAAGACGTAACAGCTGTACTCAACAGTAGCATCTCCTGACTTTTGGTCGAACCACATTGTCCGAGCCTCGACATAACCTCTAGCGAACCGGAAGAGTCCACTTCCTCCGGTCACCGGCATCTCCCTAACCTTTGTAAACACCGCGTTCCGACCGAGAATCGAGATCGTACTCCCGTTATACTTGCCTGTCTTGAACGCAAAGTTCATCACCATAAGCGCAGACGCATCGCGTTGGCCAACAGCAGCGTAGATCCCTTGTGCCTGGCCCACTAGAGTAGAGTTCACCGGGACCTCCGTAGTTAATCGGTTATCGATCACAGTGACCGCTCCGAAGAAGGAGGAGTTGGAGAGAGGAGGTCGGAGCACGACCGAGGTAGGGTTTGAGCCGCTTTGAATGTCGTGCCAGTAGACACGGAAAAAGGTGAGTTTCTCCTTACGGAGGCCGTGGTGTTTTTTATCAATGGTTTTCGCAAAGTCTTCACCTTTTCCGGCGGAGACAACGGCTGCGACTGCGAGAAAGAGAATTTGGGAAGCGATGATGAGAATGAACTTTGCCATTTGTGTGTTTGTGGTATCAGATTTATCTCTCGTTTATGGTGTGTATATAAAGAAAATGGCTTATGTACAGTATATTCCCACAAAAAAACGTGGGTCGGAATCAATGTTTGAATTTTATTTGAATATTTGAATTTTCTCGGAGCCACATAAGTCGTATTCGCTGGCCGGGCCAAAAGAAACAAAATTAGCTAAGGGAAAGAACCACTAAAACTTTTTTTTTTTTAACACTGATTATAACTTTTATTAAATATAATAAGTTACCAATAGGTGATTACAATGAGAGATCAGCTAAAAAGCTATTATGATTATAAGATTTTTTACAAACCCAATCAACAAAGATTTCTAAAGAATTTAAAAAAATATTTAGAACAGATTTTCAAATCTTTTTGTCCTCACTTGATAATAAATAGACTTCGGCAATTATGAAATAGGTTTTTTGAATTGACATGACGGAGCTTCTATTGAAGTGGTTTAAAACCGTCTAAAGATATCGTAACCGATATTGTCGACAGAAAACGACATAGATCTGGTACTGCAGAGACAAAAGCAAATACAGATCTCAACCAGATCTGGTTGTAATTTCTAGTGGAGGAGACTAACTTGAGTCGTCCAAACTCAACACCAAGCCAAACACATACGTTGTGGAAGGCGGCAGATAGAACCGACAAAAGCCAAGGAAAACACCGATGAAAAAAGAAGAGAAACCAATAATCAATAAAAAAAACTCTTTCAGATCCAAAAAAAGAAAAACAAACCAAAACAAAGGAGAATATTATAGAGAACTAACAAAATAAATCATCTGACCGATGACGGAGCTAAAGAAGCATCCAGCCATCGACCAGAAACCCTAAAAAAAAACTTCTCTCTAGGCGGCTAGGACGAGCTCTCAAAATCTAAATATAATTTGCTAAAACTTATTTTAGGGATGTTTAATCAAGAATTTAATTCAATTGTAGTCTTTTATTTTTTTAAATGTATTTAAAATTTTAAACTAGTTTTGATATTTCATTTACAAAAAAAAGAAGAAAATTTCACAAAATTCATTTAAATTTCATACGAGTTTGCTCCCAAGTCTTTAAAATATATAGCATGAGTTAAATTGATTTAACAAAGATTGAATATATAACAATTCGGGCCCAGCCCATTTGGTTAAGTTTTTTGAACATTTTTTTTTTTGAACATAGGTTAAGTTATATATATTGAAGTTAAACACTGCAATATTATTATAAGACTTCGTTACTCAGTTTATACCAACGTTGTAATAAGTCGTATTTTTTTACTTTTTTCGAAGAAAGTCTTATAATTTATTCCAACATGTCATTATTTTGAGCAGTTTACCACATATTTAATTGCATTTTCAACTTTGGTTACCAACCAGCACGCGGCTGGTTTCTGAATACATTTTGTTTTGTGTTAAAACGATGCGTCGACGTCTTCTTCCTTCTGTCACGGTCTATGGGTCAACTTCTGAGTTCATACTTCCAAGTCTTTTGAAATCAACCCGCTATAATCTTGATGTTTTGAGAATTAAATAGAATTGAAAGATACTACTTACTATATACTAAAGTATGCACCTTTTTGATGGAGATTTCATTATTTTTTAAAGTTAAAAAATTATTATTAAGATAATTAACACAAATCTAAACCGGAGTAGGCGGAGGGAAGACTAATCCTTTCCCTTCAGTGTTCAGCTATAAACATGGGGAGTATAGTAATTTATCGCCAAAAGAATAATAGTAAAATATAGAGAAAGTGGTCTTCAAAGCCAATTACTGACATTAATATTGATTAATAATTTAATCAAAAGGATATCAACACATCAAGATCGAATGGTCCCAAATCTTCAGCAAAGATTCCCGTCTGATACGACCAAAACTGACTCCCCATTACATTCACGTTTCTCTAATTATTTTGAATCCTGCAATTATATTATATATATATATGTACACGATATTCAACGATGCTCTTCAATTCGATGATTCAATGATCTGATAGAGATACTCTCCATTCATCTTCTCTCAGAGAGAAATAACCAAAAACCCAAAAAAGAAAGAAACACAGATAATGGCAATTACAGAAACATCAAGATCGAGCCCCGAGCTCCCATTAACAACCGCCGATTCCAGCGGCAACGGATCAACCGCGAAGAAACTGACTTTGGTTCCTTTGATTTTCCTTATCTACTTTGAAGTCGCGGGTGGGCCATTCGGTGAAGAACCGGCGGTTCAAGCGGCTGGACCGCTTCTAGCGATTCTCGGTTTCCTCATCTTCCCTTTCATATGGAGTGTCCCTGAAGCCCTAATTACCGCTGAACTCTCCACCGCGTTTCCAGGTATACATCGAAATCAAACCGATTCAGACAAAGATTTAAACTTCATGTAACCCATGTAGACATTGCTAAGAACAGTACTTGTGTCGTGTGGTCTGAACATTTCATTCAGTCTCTCATCTGGCTGTTATTTTGATAAAAGCTACTTGCTGATTCCAATCGATAGAATTGCTACACTTTGTTTGTTTCTAAACCTGAAACTTCCTCAAGTGAGTCTGATATTTGGTGAGTTTTTGTCTTCAGGCAACGGAGGGTTTGTGATATGGGCGCATCGGGCATTTGGCTCTTTCGTAGGGTCGATGATGGGTTCGTTGAAGTTCCTGAGTGGTGTGATCAATGTTGCTTCGTTTCCTGTCCTCTGCGTCACTTACTTGGACAAGCTATTCCCTGTTCTTGAATCCGGGTGGCCTCGAAACGTCTGCATTTTCGCCTCGACGGTGGTCTTATCTTTCCTAAACTACACTGGTCTAGCCATCGTTGGCTACGCAGCTGTTGTCCTCGGTCTGGTGTCTCTCTCGCCTTTCCTCGTCATGTCGGCTATGGCGATCCCTAAGATCAAGCCTCGCCGTTGGGGTAGCTTAGGAAACAAGAAAAAGGACTGGAATCTCTACTTCAACACGCTCTTCTGGAACTTGAATTTCTGGGACAATGTCAGTACCCTTGCAGGGGAAGTGGACAAGCCGCAAAAGACGTTCCCTTTGGCGCTTCTCATCGCAGTCATCTTCACATGCGTGGCTTACTTGATTCCTCTCTTCGCTGTCACCGGTGCGGTCTCAGTAGATCAGAGCAGGTGGGAAACGGGGTTTCACGCAGAAGCGGCTGAGATGATTGCCGGAAAATGGCTGAAAATCTGGATTGAGATCGGCGCTGTGTTATCAAGCATAGGACTTTTTGAAGCTCAGTTAAGCAGCAGTGCTTATCAGCTGGAGGGTATGGCGGAACTAGGGTTCTTGCCGAAGTTCTTTGGGGTACGATCGAAGTGGTTCAACACTCCTTGGTTAGGGATACTAATCTCAGCTCTCATGTCCATCGGATTGTCGTACCTGGACTTCACAGACATCATATCCTCTGCCAATTTCTTGTACACTTTAGGGATGTTTCTTGAGTTTGCGTCTTTCATCTGGTTAAGAAGGAAACTGCCTGGTCTAAAGAGACCGTACCGAGTTCCGCTGAAAATGCCAGGGCTAGTGGTTATGTGCTTGATACCTTCCGCGTTTCTAATGCTGATTGTTGTGTTTGCTACTAAGATTGTGTACCTGGTGAGCGGTTTAATGACCGTAGGAGCAATCGGTTGGTACTTCTTGATCAATTACTTCAGGGAGAAGAAGATCTTCAAATTCAACGAAGTTATAGATGACCTTGACAATGTTAACGGAGAACAACATCCCAAAGTCGATGACCATGATTCATCATGATAAAGAGTTAAAAACAGAGTATCTTCAAAGCAGCTACAGAGGATCTTCTCAATCTGAGATAGGGTTTTTCAATTCAGTGCAAAGTTCTTGCTTCTGTAACACTTTAGTCTCATAAAAGGAAAAAAACTGTATTGATCGGTGATAGTTATACAACACAATACTGAACAGAGTCTCAAGTTGACATCAGATATTGTCTCTTCTTTCTCCTTTTCTTCTTTATTCACTCGCACACAAACACAAACAGGAAACAAAACAAAAGAGAGAACAAGAAATTAAACTCCTTTTGAGAGCTATGATTATGATCATATCTTGGCGAAATCGACGGTTTTCTTTCCGTCGTGTGCCTTCTTGAAGAAATACCTGACGTAATCAGAGTACACGACGTCTCTGTAAATCGGTTCCTCTCCATTTGCGGTCACCTCAGGAAGCGGACCAATCACGGACTCTGGTTTCGGATTCACGAAGATAGGAACAGAGATTCTGTTGTTGCTACCGTTAGCTAAGACACGATGCTCCACGCTCTTGTACCGACCGTTGCTCAAGATCTGCATCGCGTCTCCAATGTTGATCACAAAAGATCCAGGAACCGGTGGCACGTGAACCCAGTTCCCTGACGACAGAGAGCGCACGTGGAGGCCACCGATCTGGTCTTGTAAGAGAATGGTGAGGCAAGAAACGTCTGAGTGGCGGCCTACACCAACGGTTAGGTCCGGGTTAGGGCAGATGGGATAGTAGTTGAGGTTGACTCGGATCGAACCCATGAAGAGTGACTCTTTGGTCTCGTCGAGCTCTTTCACGTTGAGATTCTTCCCCAAATACTCCAGGAGCTTCCTCACCATCGTCTTGGACTGGTTCATGTACTCCAGAGCTTCATTCCTAAAATCAAAATCATGAATTATATAAGAGTGAACCAATGATTAAAAGTTAAAACAGAGAAAGATTTGATTTTTTTTGGAAATTGTGAAACTCACCTGCAGACATCAGGCCAAAACTGTGAAGCTTCAGCTTCAGAGACAAAGAAGAGACTGAGGTAGTCTTTCCACTCGAGAGCTTTCTCTGCGCGAGGACTGAAACTCGTCCCAAACCTAACATTGGTCGAGAGAGAGTTCTCCTTTGTGAATCTGCTCTTCTCCTCCACAGGGAGATTGAAGAATCTGTGAGTCGCGGCCTTCACGTTGTCAAGAACTTCCAGTGGAACTCCATGGTTGATCACTTGGAAGAAACCCCATTTCTCAGCAGCGTCACAGATAGCTTCAGCGACTCTGTCCTCGTCAGGGTTCGACATATCGATGACCGGAATCGCTTCGTCTGTTTCGTTGACGAATTTGTTGATGAGTCGTTCTTCGAATGGCTGAATGTATTGATCTGGGAGAGCTTTGATTCCTGTTTCTGATAAACCCTTCACGCCATTTCCTTTGTTGACCACGAACTCGGTTACTAGAGCCGGGTCTGCGAATTGGGCAGTAGAGAGTGTTGGAGCCATTTGATCGAATAGAGAACAGAGAAAAGATTGGAGCTTTGTTTTGGGATTTAGATTTTGTTGTGGAGATAAGTTGAAGAGAAGAGAGAGTATTTAAAGAGAGAAGATTTGAAGAAGAGAAATGAGCAATCAGCTGATGAGCGAACAACCTCTATGGCTCTGGCCATGCTTCTTCTGCCGTTTTTCTTCTTCCCGCTTTCATTCTTTTATTTTTCTAAAGTTTCCATTTGTAGTATTAAATTAAAGATTAGCCTCAGAAATTTTTTAAGTCAGTGGATAATTTTATATAATTTGAATATGCTCAATTTTCGAAAATGGCATGTTTTTGCTAAATACATAGCGGATTATATTATAGAGCAGTTGAACTATAATAACACATTCATTTTGGCAAAGATATAGACAACAAAAACATTCGGAACTAGTAATCATAACTACAAATTTTTTATAAAGTCATTCGGAACTGACTTTACAAGGCTACAAGACTACAAACAGTAAAAAAAGCTAAATGTATAAAATACTTTTACATGTTCTACGACTACGATTCATTGGGTTTGCATAAATATTGTCCGCCTACTTAATAAATATTGTCATGTTTTATAAAAAAAAATATATTGTCATGTCTGAAAATGTGTCCTCCTAACTGATTCCAATGTTTTGTAAGTCTCTCCGTTGTGTTAAATTTAAACATCGGCCAAACTCTATGTGCATTAATATGGACAGATGTTTCAATGCATTCAACAACCAAACATTAATATTTGGTAATTTGAGCTTAAATTGGTTTTCACATGTATATTCTTGCGATAATATTAGTTATGCAATACTATGATGTTATTGATGAATGAAATCTCAAAGGTCAGCAATTGATTTGTTATCTTATTCTTGGATTGGTTTGGTTGGTGGGTTTATAACAATACTAATTTTAGTAATGAATCAAATATTTTAGAAATCCCAAAGTCATAGATACTTTTAATAGATGTAGTTAGTGAATTGTTTAATCATGATTCATGATAATTGTAAAATCAAATGTCATATGGATGGATGTCAATATAACAGCTATATTTTATGTGTTCAATCCTTATTCTTGTATTCATGACAACAAATAGTATAAATAATAAGTTCCAGTGTATGTTTTTTTATAAATAATATAAATATATGTGTGGTCTTGTGTAATAATTAACAAACGATATAGCCGTACACATTGCAGTCGTAAGAAAATAAAGGGAAAGAAACAAAAAAAAAAAATCTTGTGACATAACAAACTTTTAAACTTAATTGATAAATAAACTCGATTATAAGAAATTTATTTTTCATTTGGTTGGTGGAGAAGCGTGGGACTAGGCATGGTTCTTGGTTGCACCTAGCAATCTAACATTCTAACGAGCCTTTGTTTAACTAATCTAATGGGCCTTTTAAAAGCCCAAGTTTGTTACCACCAAAGGCTTTTATAAGGAAACTAATCTCTCTCTTTGAGGACAGAGTGGTCTTTCGTTCGCATCAATATTCGTGAGGCATGTAGTTTTGAATATCCACTGAGTTTTCGTGAGGATCGAAGCAGAAATGTGCTGGAAAGGTAAAAGTGAAGAACAAAGAGAATCTTGAACTAATTCTATGTATTACAGGCTTTTACCAAAACTAAAAAGCCTAGAAAAAGAATCTAACACTTTTTAAAACCTGTAATTTCTTGTTAAACAAGAAACCAAATTTAACAAATGAAATGCTGCTCTGTTACAGTAGAAAGGAGGGAAAAAAGAATACAAAAGAATTTCTAAGTCATCATCGTCTTCTCTATTCACACAAAAAGAATAGATCGGATCGAAAAAGAATTTATTGTGCATCAGTTTTTATGAATGCGTTATATCTGCAGGTAATGACATTCCTCGCCATAACGGTGACATCTGAGGCATATGCGTTTGGGACGAGGAGGAGAAACAGAGTCTTGAAACAGAAGCACTTCTCGGAGACAGGTTCACTTGTTCCAGTGCTTGAAACTGAAGCTCTGATGGATAATCTCTTACACAGCCGATCCTTGGTCCTGCACCTGTTGTCCATTTGCATGATAGTTGTTTCCCAAGTTGGAAAGATCTAGATTCTTTTTTTGAGTTAATCCTTTTCAGGATTGATTCTTCTGGAATCTTGACTACTTCACTCTCCTCGTTTGCTTCTTCTCCTCCTCCTCCTCCTCTGGGTGAGCTTTGCTCTGAAGGCATTGATTCTTGTTCCAAGTCAAAAATCTCTTCCTCTTCCTCTTCTTCATCATCACCCGAATCGTAGTTTTCAGATACTTTAGTAGACTTTGATCCCGCGGATTGACTTTCATCGCCAAATGTGCTAAAAGATTCCATCTTTATCGGTGTCTCGAGATTAGCCATCACCTGAGTTGCTTCTTCTTCTGCTTCTTCTCTTGGATCAGCTTTGTCTTGAAAAGAAATAGTCTTCTCAGCCTCCAAATCCTCTTCCAAAGAATGGTTTCTCATATGAGTGCTTCTCTGTTTGTACATAGAGAATTCATCTTCGTCTGTAGGACTCATCTGAAACACAGCAACAACACTTTATTATAAGAACATAATCCACACAGACTCAAGATCTAAACAATGAATATAAAGTCATTCAATCAAATCTCTCTCTCTCTTACCTTAACATCAGTGATATCGACATTGTTCTCTCGGAGGAAAGAGAGAAAGTCCATGAAATTCTCTTCTGTAGGCTGATAATGTCCGCTGTGTGGCCAAACAGCCTTAAGAACCCCATTCTCAACAACTAATCTCCCTGCGGCAACAGTGGCTCCTCCAGCTAAGAAGCTTGAATGTTGAAACGTACCCTTCTTCTTCTTCCCAACGTATAACACTTTCGATGTGCTCAGCACAAAAATCCATTTGGAATCACTATCTTCCATAGCAGAAGTCTGAAGCATTTCTCCGCTATGCTGGTAGAAGAATTTGCCGTCTTCCACAACCACCTCATAAGCTTTTCTTTCCATCTACAAAAGAGAATAAAGACGACAACATTAAGAAAGATGTTCTAATTTCTCGGCGAATGTTACTTGTTGAGCAGAGCATATTAAAGGGATGTATTATACTAACCGGACCAAGGTACTTGATGCACTGTTGCTGAAGTTTCAATCTAGGACATTTCTCCACAAGATTTACTTCTTTCCCTTCACCAATATCAAGCCTGCAACATTTGAATCAAACCCATAACTAAGTTTAGTTTCTTGATATAGGACAAAGAATGAAAAAAGTTTTTGCAGGAAATGGGATAATGAGTAGTAGGTGAGAAGTAATTACCAGTAGAAGAAAGGTTCTCTACTCTGACAGTGGAGCCATTTGTTGTAGTAAAAGTGCAGGTTGTGTCCATACCTATGTCTCGGGTCAATCTGTTAAAAGCCAAAGTGCATAAACCAAGATCAGATCACGTTCAATCCAAAAAGTGGTACTAAAAGAAAAATTGAAACTGAGACTAAATCTCTAACTTACAGCTTCAAGCCAGTGTTGTAAAGCAAGCTTTTGAGCCTTCCCATTCTTTGACAAACCTTTACCAACCTTAGCTGCTCTAGTCCTCGCTCTAGACCACCTCGAAATCGCGGTTTCGTGCTTCTCAATGTCAAAGAAAGATATGGAACTTCTCTTCAGCTCAGCAAAATCCAAAAGTTTCCACCTGTGACCAGAAACAGAACAACAACCATTATTAGACCACAACAACACAACACAGAACATAAGGAACATTTTTCAAGTTTTGGAGAAAGAAAAAGAGAAAACTAACCAGCTCTGCTCCACGAGCACTGCGCAATCCGCGAGCTTTCGCCTGGTACGGAAGCTTTTGTAAACTTTCTGTAATTTGATAGCAGCTTCGTGTTTCGGGTTCGTCGGATCAAGAACCGAGAGTTCTCTAGCGACGATCACGCCACTGTCTAACTCAAAGCCACTCTCTTTGGTGAAGTCTTCTTTGAAGACAGACCTGTTAAGAGAGATCATTCTCTCCAGCTGCATCCCTTTGAGGCTAACGGATTTCTCAACCACCATTTTACCAGATCCCATAGATTTCAGAATCGTGGGCTCAAGGGTTCCGTCGTTGAAATTGACAGATCTCTTGGGAGTCCTGCACTCGTCGTCATCGCCGAAGCTTATGGACTTAACCGTGACGGAGTCTAGAGCAGCCTCCACGTCGTCTTTCTCGGCGAACGGACAGGAGAATGATACCCCCATTCAACAGATCCTAATCGGAACAGAGGTTCTGACCTGAAGTGAAGCATCACCAACATGTTACGTCTGATTCATCATATATGTAACAAACCGCATTTTCACAAACACCTTCGGATCAATAGGTTTTAGCCAAAGAGCAAACTTTATATAAGAAACAGAAAAATCAGAACTTTTCGGATCTGGAAAGCAGAGCATTTCCGGAATTAAATCAGAACCGCAAACATTTTCGCCGAAAAATCGTAAGTCGATAAACTAAAAGTATCAAATCACTGAGTTTGAACAAAACGATTTTTGGTTGCACAACCAAAATGCTGCCCAGAAATTTATGGAAAAAAAAATGAAAATATACTGAGAGATTGAAAAGGAGAAAACCCATCACCGATTATCTCTTCTAATGAAGTAATATCAAAACATTGACAAACTCATTTCCGTGTAACTTAAAAGAAAAAATCTTTAGAAGAAAAATATACTGAGAAACTGAAAAAAAAAGAAGAGAAATGTATATATTTAGAGAGAAGAATCAGTCGTGGTGAAGATGAATAAGTACCTCGAATATACGGTCGGCACTTGATCGGGTATATCACTCAAGCTGGAAAAGCTCTTTGAGGATCTTGAAACTTTCTATTAGTTTCTTCTTGAATATAATCTTCTTTTGATTCTCTTCTGTTCTTGACACGAAGATGCGAAAGGTTTCTTTGTTCTTTGTTTTTCCTTCAACTCAGGGAGAAAATGAAGCTCACAAATCGCAAGTTACAAACTCTTCAGCGATGGAGTTTATATATATAATACCGTAAACTCCAGAGCGACAAGACAGGATAGAGAGAGAGTGAAAGAGAGAGAGAGAGAAAGAGAAGCGTCGATATTTCCAACCACGTGTTTTTGCAGAATATTCATACGAGGTCAAAAGTTCAACTCAAATTTTTACTTTTCCCAATTCATTATCTAAAATAAATAAATATTGAAGGTCTTTTTACATTTCCTACTTACAAATTTACAATTACATAGTAGTTTACAGGCGAATTGATAAACATTTAAACTATATATGACCAACTAATTTTACTGAATATCTGACTTAAGTTATGACCACCAAAAATTTTACGACTTGTACTTATACATCTGCTACACAGTAATACAGTATTGGCAAATTTTTAGGTTTTCTTCCGACGGATTTTCTATAATAGTTTATATAATTTTTCCTTTTTCAGTAAGTCACTCTTTTTTTTCAAAATTACTTTGTTATGATTATTTACTGGAACGCGTGACTAACAAGTTAATATTTTTCTTTTTTGATCTCCACGGAATGGTCACCCAGAAAAAATAAAATAAAGAGTATTTGACTCAATCCTTTTTTTGTTATTATCCGAATTTGACTTAATTCATTTTAATTAATAAAATTTTAACGCCAGTATAATAAAGTGACGTAGTTGCACACGTGGAAATTTTTTTAGGTGAATACTGTCGTTAAATAGTTTGCATTTTATCCATATAATAATATTTCTTAAGAGAATTAATTCAATATTAAAGTTTGTCTATCAAATGCGATTTTAATGAAATTTCCTTCTTCCCTTCGTGGCGACCCACAGATAACTACTCAATTCAATCAAAAGTGTTTTGGTGGGTTAATAAGAACAAAGTTATGGAATTAAATAAGCATAGAATAGAGTACTTCAATATATATATTTTAATCATAATGTAACGAGGCAATGGAACATCCAAGCTTTGCATATGGCGACACTTCATTGCATAATTTATATATCTGTCCTTCTAAATACTCTATTGGAAATTTGTCGTCATCGATATTTATACGTATTGGCATATATCATTGCAAGGGTTTAATTGTTATTACCTAATTGCATCAATTACAACAGTAACAAGATCGACGCTAACGTGATAACTATGTTATTGTAACCTAAGAAAAACAAGACATACGAAATTTTAAATAACGGTTTATTTAGCATCGATCGAACGATGAAAATTTACAAGATCTTAACAAAAATTAAATAGATGGTTTTGGAAGGTTTATTATTATTATTTCTGTAAACATCTATCTACCAACAAAAATAAGTGATATAAATAAATATTTAAAGAGGCTACCACATAATACATGCATATGTTCACTTTCTCTCGAAAGTTAGGTCGATAGCGACTTGTCTCCTTATATGTCCCTCTAACAAACTTGAAACATATAGACTCGGAATGCACCTTTATCCAGCAACATTTTAGTCAAATTAATTATCTTTGGTATCTTATTTAGTATTTAATGGCAAACACAAAACAAAATCGACCATTAGCAAACCGATGTTAACCAATAAAACGATTACAATAGTTACACCGCTGATAGACAACACTCATTTTTTAAATATTAATTAACATAAAATACTAAAAGTGATACGATGAAGAAAAGTGAGTTTGAACAAGAGGTCACATACGCGTAACTTTACACATCATACGTACGTAGTGGGATACGTACATATATGTACATATACGTATATTTAATTTGCTAGCTTTAATATTAAACTAACTCAAAGTTGCTAACGTACGCGTAATACTACGTACGAAGAAAAACCGATAGTGCCCCAAAGATAAAAAGAAAGAACCATATCAACGGGTCGAAACCATAGTATAAACTATAAAGCCACCGTGCACAAACGATGATTAGTAGCTAATATGATTATATGTATATATAACCCCTCAAAAAGTTAGAAAAAATGCAGTACCAGACGATCGAATTTAACTTCTAATACGAAACCTAATGGTCATATGAAAATTTTTAGTCAACAAAAAGAAGTAAGTGGCCATATTCAAGCAAAAACATCTTAAATAATGGCCAATTTGTTTGTTAGTAAAACAGATATCGGTAGTCATGTCTTAACTACTAAAACCAGCTGGACATAAATGCTCGTGGCTAAGTATAAATACAGTTGAATCGATCTCTAAGAAATAAATTATTGGATCTATAGTATGACTTAAACTAAAAAGTGTGTTAAATTCTTAGAACTACTTTGTATAATCCTTCGGAAAGGGTGAACCAGAAAATATTTGATATATGTGTCCGAATAACAAGGATTTATAAAATTAGTAGTTAGATAAAAGCTTGGATCTCGTCGATTTTATTCCCTTCGTTGAGCATTTTCATTTAGTATTTTGAAATATAAAATAAGTGAATACAACTGTCGGCTCAGATCTCAATGAGTGAATGATGATAATAAGCACTTGGCTCGGTACGTACGGATTCATTAAATGAGCTATTTCATTCATCATAATATGGTTAATTAATTGCAAACTTTTCATTTAGAAAAGATATTTCTGCATACTGCAGTTTAAGAAAAGTTCACAAACTTCTTCTGGCCTTTCAAGTAATTATCTACCATCTATGGGATCAGAGAAACGAGCGACAACACTTCCAAGTTCCAATTGCAATGGATTGGTATTGCAGAACAGATTTGCAAATCATGTGTTTCCGTAAAATTTTGTCTACTCTTTTCTCTAATTATAGCCCAATTTTGAACTATATGGTAGCAAAAAAAAAAAATGCAGAAAAAGTAGACTAAAATTGTAAGCTCTTGTATTTTCTTTTTTTTAAGCAAAAAAATAATAGTTATTGTATTTTTCCGTATTTATAAATCTAATCCATGTGAAACCCGTTTGAATTAAAAACATTGAAGAAATACTACAATTCCACCAAAACATGGTTTCCAAATCACAAAATCGTGAACTTGGATTTCGTTCTCTTGATTTAGACCATGAAACTATTAAAAACCAAGCATCTTAGATTTTGTTCTTAGCATATAATGAAAAAAGAACTATCTTAAATTAATCATGTACTACTACTATATTACAAAATGACATAGTTTGACGTAAACAAACTTCGGACCGTACATGAAAGATATCGGTTACCCATCCACGTGTCGATTTCACATTGCACCACGAGGATGATGTCTGCTTTCAAGTACCACACCGTACCTAACATGGAGACAACCGTATCTTTTTGACGGCACTCAAATTTATGACACTTTTTGTGTCTTCAAGAATCTTTAGATCTGTGAAATGGTAATTATAGCCAGTTTCTATTTAATTTAATTTTAAACAACGTACCAATGATATAATCATATAACCGTTTGAATATAATTGATCTGAACTAATTATAATTTGTCTGTAAAGTTTATTGGTCCCCAATTAAATGGACTCAATGATTATGTAATTTATTAGTAGTAACATTACCCAACTTGTTTATACGTATGCAACTTGGCTAAACTTTCTATTATTGAAATCTTTTTCCCCAAGTAAAACTTATGGGACTCTCTCTACTCAAGTTGTAAATAACACATATGGATTAAAACCAAAATGATAGTAGTAAAAATAAAATGTTTACGTAGGAGCAAGAAATAAAGTCAAAGGATGAGAGAGTGATATCGTAACAGCCAGAGGCCAGCTGGGAAGCACAAGGACGAATTAAATAATGCCAGAGAGGATTCTCTTCGAGGGTAAAATCGTCTCTCATTAAGTTTATTTGAAAAATCATTAGTAACATTTAAAAAAAAAGAGAAATGTAATGTAAGTGACCAAAAGAACGAAGCCGCAAAATTACTAAGGAAGAAGACGCGGGTTTGGTTTCAGTACGTAAAAAAGTGCACCGACGCGACGACAAGTACGAGTGAAGCGAACGGCAGTACCCACCTGTGTTTCGGTGCACCGTCTCGTACTCTATTATTGCTCTCACCTTTTCCCAAGAGAGTACGGCCACTTTTGCTTTGTTGACCTTTGCTGGATTTATAGTCTCTTGTTGACTGACTCACTCATTCAAAAACTCGTCTACAGTTTTTTCTCTACTGCTCTTCTGTCTCAACGTGTGGAATGGATACGTTACATTTACAAATATTTGTGTTTGGAAAAAAGTCATAGTAAAAGTTGAATGTTGTTATGAAAATGTTCTTCGTTGCTTCATTTATTAGACGGTAGAAGAATAAAGACCAAGGAGTAAACACAAAAAGCGAATTAGTTGAGGACTTTTATATCCAACACTTCATTACTCAACCATCTATATGTACCTCTTATATGTATATTAATTGATCACGGATATTTATGATGTAATTGTTTTACGATCTATAAATGATGTTCTTTTTTGGGTAGTAAAAACACGTTATACATTACATATAGAAATGCAAAATAAATATCAAAAGCTGCCGCTAAAACAAAATTTTATTAAAAATACATAGTTTGTTTATATTTTAGAATGTTTATATTAGAATTTCATAATTACGCAATTAAATTTATATTGTATAGATCGTAACTGTAAGTATTAATTCACGTTGACATCTTCTACCTTATAGGTTAACAATACGATATAAGTCGATGAATATCAGTTTTAAATCCACGTTGACCTTTTTTACACGGTTTTACTTGTATTTTATTTTTCTTCCAACGTCACTAGCAGTTTCGAAGAATATTTTATTATGAATTGACTTATTCATTTTGTGCATATGATATACTATCTTTCTTTCTTTTTTTTGAAAATTTCCATATGGTATATTACTGGATAGTAATTGTCGAAAGAAAATGTCAATTGCTTATCTTTTTTTGTTTTTTTAAAGAATTTTTTCGCTTCTTAAAACCAAGGTTTAAGCTACGTATATAGATATTTTGGTATGTTGGTCTACCAGTTTTGAAAGAGTCAGTTGAAACAAAAAAAAAAGTTAAAACAAAAAAAAATACTACCAAATTAACACGATATCATAATCTTACACATTTACTGGTTCAAACATACTTATTATCATGTTCGGGGAAAAAAAAACATATTTTTATTGTCCTTAATAGAATTGAATATAGGAGTAGGTGAAAACTAAAAATTGAATTGAATGAAAGTTTCAGAGTACCTATTATTGTGTTGAGGTGATAAAACATAATACATATAAGACAAACGAAATATTGTCATCTGTCGACATCATCAGTTACATCATGGCCGTCCATTTCAACATAGGGCCAAAACTTATGGTTATATCCCAATTAATGAAATGTTTCCATTAGATCAAATAGTTTAAGTTATTAATAGCTAGTTCATCTACTTTGGAATATATATGTTACGTCAAGATATGTGTGTATACATTTGACATATAGTTTTCATATGTGATTTTGTATCATCTGGAGGCCCAGCTTTGTAAGGTTAGTTTTTATTTTCAATCTTTTTGAAGCTTCGCTTAACGGCCTAATACATCTATTGGTCATTTGTATGGGGTCTAAACGGTATAATACACTACTATAATCATAATTAACAAATAGGATTATCAAAATTTATTGACATATAACCACAACAAAATAAGCTAAAGCTGTATACGGCAAATTAATGATATAACATGCTACATGTTACTCATATAAAAAAAATATAAACTAGAATGAAGCTAGAGAATTGTTAATAGAAAAGTAGAAATCATGGAATTTTTAAGGTCTCAGTCTTGGGGGGAAAGATGTCAAAATCAAGACTTCTTAAAACATTTTGATAGAGTCAATCTCTTGAATCTTGATGTCACTAATTTATAGAACTTGAACCGCAAGTTGGTTTATGAAAAGTACTCGTTAACACAAGTTTAGAATATGAAGTCAAAACATTAAGTGTTTCCCAAGAAAATTACGGTCAAGTCAACCATAGATAATTTAAATGGAAAGGGCCAAATGAAAAATTTTAAAGTAACGCTGATCTTTTGAATTATAATTACTTTTACACAGACGACGAGTCCCTTTTTCTTCCAGCTACCGAAAATAACGAAGACACTTGTACGTGTTAGTTGTGGTGATGATCACCAGACCAACCACGTAGTTACTTATAATATTAAAATTCAAATTGTACACATAATTACGTAATTATTGGATAATCGTGATTATAATTAATGAAACATCTTAGTTAGGATAGGTACGACCATGCACAATCCATGCCTTTCCATTCATAAACCACAAGGTGATCAGATCTAGACTATAGAAGAAGATCATATACATCCAAAAATAAGTTAAGAGACTTGATTTGTTTAAAGACCACACATATACACGAGTACTACAGCTAATCGATGTTAATAATGCAGATTATGTAAAACATGTTTAGTAGTTGTACCAATTTTATAATATTCAGATTATGGTCTGGTTTAGCCTTTTTGGCATATGATTATATGGGTCCATTAAATTTTCTTTTTCCCGATATATCACAAATTATCACAGTTGGTTACTAAACCCCAAAAATTTGATTAGACACATGTTTTAACATTAATTTGTTAAAGAATTAAGTCATCTTTTTCTTCTAAAGGTTAACTGTCTGTAAGAATGCGTTTCACCATATATAGCCAATAACAAAATGGTTGCAGATAAGTGTTAATGAAAACGATGAAATCAAGTCACGAATAATTATATTGGGGGACACCAAATTAATCTTTAGTAAAATTCAAATTGATTAAGAATTGGGAAAGTAAAATTTCATGATATAATAAAAAATTACTAAGGATAATAGTCAGAACTTTTATGCAATAATTGGGTTACACTTTATAATATCATTAAATTTTTGAAATTTCAGCAAATGCACATGTAAATAGAAATATATCTGATTAACTTCTTCAATTTCTTTGAAGCTAAGCTAAACCATTTTGCGAAAATCCAGCAAAAATTTTAAATATCGCCATGCCGTCATTTTCCCGCTAATTACATAAGCCAATAAGTATCCATAATAACCCCAACCAAACGATCTAACTATTAGAATACAATTTTTTTATCACAATAATGCAAAACCTTTGAACTGCAACAATTCGAGACTGTCTAAAATAAAATAAGAATATACATATAAGAGAATTAAGAGGAATCATATTCACAAGAATTAAACCAATTGATCAATGATCAGAACACTAAATCCAGACCATGTGCTTGTACTTATAAGTTAACCATATCAATTTTGAAAATCAGAAGAGATATTAACAAGATAAATAAATCCAAACAAAGATTTCAAGTCAAAGCAATAGAAAAACTACAATTAAGAGACAGAGATCATAATGGTACAAAGCTGGCTTGCACAACAACAACCCCAAGACAGAGCCATAGATTCAATGCAATGTATACCTTCCATGAACAAAATTCTGATCTCCTGTCTCTTTCCATATGATCTTTATTATCCATATTTTCCTTTATTATATGTGATTCTTGTGTTCGAGTCTCTGTGTGGAGACTTTTCATTGGCTCATGACAAGTTCGAGCAAATTTCAAAACCATAATCCATTTCTAGTATTCCATAGCTCACCTGTCATCGTCAAGCGACTTACCTGTCACCCAAACGAAATCAAGCAATTCAGTTGCATTGATGAAATCTCATTCTCACCTACCATTGATCTATGTCAAATCTTGATATAGGACAAAATAATTCAAGATTACTCTGCACTCTGCATATAATTTTGTAGTTCTGAAATCTCTATGATTACCAAGTCAACAAAACAAACCAAACCAAGATCGACTTTGTGTGTAAAATATGAATGAGAAGTTAAAACAGGGAACAAAAAAAGAAGATGTAGTTTTGAATATAATACTAACATATTTTGTCTGATTCCTCCTTATCGTGAAATGTACAGAGACGAGTACAACTAGCTGTACTTGGACTTGGAGTCATAGAAAACATTAAATGTCATGAATGTGAACAGGTTCGGGAGACTGAAAATGCAGCAACAAGGTACTACGGAAAATAAGATCTGAGAATTATTTGGTTTTATTAATGAGCAACTATTGAAGAAGCCACATGGGCATTGTGATAAGTTTTGGAGACAAAGCTTGCATGATATGGCTTAACTAGGCAGAATCTTAGCTGGCTATAACCGTACTCCATTGACACAATAATCTCTCTTAACGATTCAGTTTTTTTTTTTTTAAAAACATGTTTCATGCATGAATCTGGTATGCACTAGAAACATGATGACTCTGCGTTATAGGTCTTCTAAGACAAAGACTGGCTATGTTTGGTTTCCGCATCTAGAGGAATATCTAGTTGTAATAAACTATCGGTCTTACTCTTATTATAACTTTACTTCCGAGTTCCGAGAATTGAGAAAGTTAGTCTCGGTGTAGTGGGCTTTTTGTATCTTGTTTTGGTGTAAGATAACGAAAAAGGTTTCTCTTTGGGCCTACGACAATTTGAAGCGCTGATTCTAAGATTAGCATTCGAATGAAATGTCTAAAGAATTAGAGCTTCATACCATGAAAAATTGTATGCACCAAAAGTAAAATGCCCATTGTATAAATCAAGGCATTAACTTGAGTAACCATGCAGAGAATGGTTAGACATGCAATAGTGTAATGCGCATTGCATAAAGCAAGGCATTAACTTTACTTTTCGACCAAGCAATCTTAAAAGCCAACGATACCTTCCTTCTTCCACAACGATGAACTTTCTATAAATGTAACGAATGTTGTCTATAAATAAAGAATCAAGTTTCCTAAAACTAACAAATAAACCCCTATGGAAGACCTCACCACCACTTTTCATCATAAACACTATTGAAGAGGTGAAGTATCCTTCTTGTTATTATTTGAAGAGATGCATTATTTGTGATGGATATACTATGATGGGCCCGTGCATTTTCATTGCCGCGTATGTGATTTCCGTTACCACAAAACATGCCCGACCACATTGTTGGAGTCGAATCTGACAATAGATCGACCAGCGACACATGAGCATACGCTCACCTTCATTCGGAAAATGAACTCCTTCAACTGTAATGCTTGTGGGAGGGTCGATACGGACAAGATGAATATGTTCGGATGTTTGCAATGCAATTTCTTTGTTCACAAAAACTGTATCTATTTACCAAAGGTCATAAAGCTCACCCGTCACTCACATCGCTTGTCCCATACGTTTCAAGTTCTTGATGGGATGACAAAGTGTCGGATTTGTAGACAAAGGTTTGTATATGAATATGGGGGATATATTTGTGTTGACAAGACATGTGATTATAAACTACATTCGTACTGTGCAACGCGTAACGATGTATGGGATGGTAAAGACGTCCAAGGAGAACCTGAAGATATCAGTAATTCTGAAGACGTTGCGTCGTCATCATCGTTGGTGGAGGTAGATGGCAAGACTGTCCGACATTTTAGTCATCACCATGACCTAATGAGACTCTGCGTCAACGGCGTAGAAGACGAAGATGGACGGATATGCCAAGCTTGTATCCTTCCCATTCAGTTTGATAGTTACTTGGGTTGCAAAGAATGTGATTTTGCACTCCATTAAACTTGTGCAAGTCTACCTCGGAAGATGGAACACTTGTTTCACCGCCATCCGCTAACCCTAGAGGTGAACACCAAAGAAGGGTTCTTCAGTTGTTCTAAGTGTGAACGAGAATCATGTGGTTTCATGTATCAGTGCGATCAAAAAGAATGTGAGTTTAAGATGGACGCGAAGTGTGCTTCCCTTGCTGATCCATTACACCACGGAGCGCACCAACACCCTCTCGCTCTATACCACACAGGTGCAAGTTGTGACGAATGCCGCTTCTACTTGGGGATCAAAACCTTAATTTTACCAATATTGGTAAATTCCAAGCACGACACTCATCCACTTACCATATGTTTCTCAAGAACAATCGAACGGTATAACACGCCATGGTGTGAGATCTGCGAAGCAAAAATAAACCAGGAGTACCCGGGTTACCAGAATCTCTACGGTTGCGCCGAGTGCAACACCACTCTGCATGTTGAGTGCGCAATGGGGAAGTACCCATTTCTGAAACCTGGCCGTACGATCAAAGTGAATGGTTTTGAGATTGAGATTGCATCCAACGGTCTTTCTCGGCAGGTTTGCCATGCATGTCACTGTCTCTGCCAAGACAAACTGGTTTTCAAGGATACAAGAGACGCTGTCTCTTTCTGTTCCATCAACTGTATTAAACGAATCGCTTAAGAAATCAGATTGTAAGTTTAGGTTTATATAATAAGATTATATATTAAATTTCGAAAACATACTACGTGTATATCAAACCAAAATTAACGACCGAGGGTCCTGAAATCTTGGAAAATGAAGTTTCAAGTCGTCGACAAGCGAACAATGCCTGATAACAAAACGTTTCACAGGGAGGCTCAGAGCGAAAACACGCTTTACATTTCAGTTCATTCTCCTAATGAGCTCGTTGATGAAGTTCTCGCGGTTTCCGGCGTCTCCACCTTCCACGTAATGGTTCCTCTTCTTCTTCATCCCTCCCAATGGCGCCTTCAGCTGGAAGGGCCACAAAAAGTTGTTGGCTTCCTTGAAATGTGGTCCAACCGTCAAGATCTCGTGGATTAGATCCTCCACGCAGATTATGCCATGCTTCCCTAGCCCCTGAAACCAATGGTACAGAGCAATGTAAATACAGAGGATGTATAGAACATCAATCCAGTACTATTGGACCAACTGGATCTTACAATATCAATGATAAAGCATTGATTTTTCAAAAGAAATCATAATGAAGGCAAGAGAAGAGATTGGCCACAATCCTAATATGAACCAGGAAAATAGGTATTTTCACCTGGTCGACGATGGAGTTGTCTGTCAAGGCAATCCTCTGGTGGTTGAGCTTTCCGAAACCACGTTTGTAGACCAATTCCTTCACACTTTTTAGGTTTGGGTATCTGATGAAAACGAGAGTTGTGCATGTGTGTAAAGGCTAACAGGGCTAAGTGGAAAAAAAAGCGATTTTGAAAAATGTAAAGGAGGAGAAGGGTACCCGTAGGTCACATAGGGTTCAACACGGCGAAGCATGTTAATGGTTGCCTTGTTGACCTTCAAGAACACACCATTGAAAATCTGCAGTAATTATTCAGGTGTGTCAGATACGATCCTTTTGTTTTAAATGTGGTTTTAATGTTACTTCTCAAGTTCCCATCATAAGATTGTCACCTGTCTCAGACGTAAAAGCTGCAGAATCTTCTTTGTCTTTGGGTCAATGGCATTGATACTGAAGAAAGGAACACAAGACCGAACTGAGAAAACAGTAATGGAAGTAGCACCTTCTGCAAACTTATGGGAGATAAGAAGATCGTCTTACCCTCGGATACGGATAATGAAAAGCAGTTTTGCTTCCGGGTCGACATAAAATCCTCCTTTCAGTTTCGCCTCACGCTTCAGCTGGATTAATTCCTTTTCCTGAAGAAAGCAAGTAGCAGAAACTCTCCATGGGTTTGCATTTCTCACTTGAGCAAAATTTTGCAAATTGAACTTGTAGAAAGACACTAACCTTCTCTTCGTACTCCTTGGAGTACTGCTTAGCCCTGTTAAATATGAGCTTCCTCTTCTCAGCATTCTGCTTTTTGGCGGACTCAAGCTCCTGTTTCTTGGCAAGTGCCCATTCTTCCTCCCTCTTTCTCTTCTTCAACACTGACTCAGGAACAACAGTCTTGGCTACTGCTTCAGTCATTTCTGTGCATCACATAGCCAAATTAGCAAAACTGGATTACATTATCGCCTTAGTTGTATTACCAAAGAGAGTGAATATATAACTACACTTGTCCTGGAGAGGGAAACTGGAATAGCATATACACAATAAGATCAAAGCACGAAATGCAGCATTATAGATAGCAAAACAGAAAACGTAAATGAGTAAAATTTCGCATAATCAAGCATTATGTAAATTAGTTCAATTGCGTTACATAAATGGTTTGATTCCAAAACCTTTCGCCAAAATGGTACAAAACTCTTAGGCTCCAAAAAATCAGAACTTTCTGTCATTTACTTGCATCATCCTCATGTATGTTGCCAGATTGAAACAAGCCTAGGGAATGTTCTATACGCCATCGATCCAATTGCACTCTCTCACAATGATTCATGAGATTCAATTTCCTTTATAACCTAGTCTAATTGGTAGAAAGGAGAAGTTGTTTCTGAAGCTTCATCAGGAAGCCAAATTTCACAGCTTTTCAGGACAAACAGAGCTGAAGCACTACTGAAACACATTATTCTTAAACCTAGACAAGACCAAATTTACAGCGTTTCCACAGCTGCAATTCATAGCACGATTACTCGAACCAGGTTGAGACTGGTAAGAGAGAGAGAGAAGAAGTGATAGGAAGAAGACTAACCGGCGATCACGAACGTCGGCTGAAGAACAGAGAGGAGGCGGGGAGTGAGGAGAGAGAGCCAAAAAAATCCGAATCATCTTATACTCTTGAGTAATTTGACCCGGCGGGTAATTAGGGCTTCATTATGTTTTTTCATTATTTCACTTTTACCCCACCAGAGTCCCGATATCTCATTTTTCGACCCAGATGATTTATATGTGGATTATCAGACCCTGAATTGTTACTTTTCTTCACAACTTTTTTTAGAATCTGTAACAAATATGCAACATATTTTCATTCCTCAATCGAAACGAATTGAAATTTTTTAAGAACTAGAAAGAAGGTGATAATTAAAAATTATAATCTTTTTCTTGTTATTTATTGGTTCATAATATATAAGTCTTCCATTCCATTGTAACTAGATTCTAACTTCTATAAAATTGTGTTAGAAAATATAGAGTAACTAACCACTGGAGTACAAAATCTTCATACGCATAACAAAAATTGGAAAAAATTACATGACCCTTTTGCATTGGATGGGGTCTAGATGAAATATAGAAAGTATGAGCTTAAAACTAAACTTATGAATCGATTTGGAGGCAAAAAAAGAAATAAATAAATAGAAAGGATTTGGAGGCAAAACGAATGAAAAGAAAATAAATAAAACTGAAGAAACCCTAATGACCCGCTCGTTACAGACCATAAGATCCAAAACCAAAAAGTGGGTTGTACTCTCTCTTCCGTAATCAGTGTCTCTCTTCTCCGATTCCTTACTCGCCGCTTCCACTGTGGTTTTCTTCGCCGTCCGTTGTTCTTTCATCACCGTCCTTAGCTCCGGTAAGCTTATGAATGCTTAATCGGCCCTCCTTCTTCTTCTTACCTTATCGTCGATTAACGACGGGAACACAGTAGATCGGAGATTTTCCGTTTCTGATACCATAAAGAGTTCTAATTTCTATCGATTTCCGGCCTCCTTTCTGGTCTCTGATTAGTAATTTTGTTAGAAATTTCGTCTTTCTGTTATGGCATTTATAGTAGTTTTGGGCTTTACCGTTGACTATGGAAACGTTGCTGAGTAGGCATGTATAGCTGTTCTTTGTTCCAAAATTCCATAGCAAAAACTTGGTTTTATACTATTTTGTTGATCTGATAATTGGTTTATTGGCTTAGAATTGGTGAATTCAATTTTGGTTTTATACTTCTGTGAAGATTTCTTGATGCTGGTGTGTTTGCTTCTACGATTTTTTCTCATATTTCTAATGCATCAACCATATATCTGGTACACTTTCTAGATTAAGAGATTATGAGGGGAAGAAGCTACACGCCATCACCACCAAGGGGTTATGGAAGGAGGGCCCGGAGCCCTAGTCCCCGGGGCCGATATGGTGGAGGTGGAGGTGGAGGTGGAGGTCGTGACCGGGATATCCCAACCAGTCTCTTGGTTCGCAACCTACGTCATGATTGCAGGTATGTTCGTTACTGTATCATGACTCCATGTTTCCTAATATAGTGTGATGTATGACATCATCATCATAGTTTGATGAATATGTTGTGCTCTGTGGATGCATGTATGGACTTTCGTTTTTCAGATTTCTTTGCAATAAAAGTCTCTAACTTTTGGGAGTTTCTAAATTGTTCTTCTCTGCTTACCTTTACTCTCTTTTCTCCAGGCAAGAGGATCTTAGGAGGCCATTTGAGGCGTTTGGTCCTGTCAAGGACATCTACCTTCCCAGGGATTATTATACTGGGTGAGCTTACTCAATAGATAGGACGTTAAATGTTTGAACGCCCAAGGCATTATTTTTTTACCTTTGCTTCACTCAAAACGTGTCTCTTATATCTTATCGTTTTCTTTTGCTTTCGTAAACCACTTGTGGTGAATTCTGTTTGCCTTCAACTCTTTTATTCTTCGTAGCCATTCCTGCATCTTCACATCTGCAGCTCATGAATTCTTTGATTGATAAGAGATTTCTAAAACGTTTTGATGTTGTGCATCTCCTGTTTTATATCACCTTTGGAGCTTTGAAAAGTTTTTATCCACGCTTGAGTTTTCAGCCTTAGTAAGTATAATTAGTGCCCCCTGAAACTTCATTACTCTTCAAGTCATTTTAGGGAAAGAAAAAAAGTAAATATGTTGATCACACTTAAAGTGTGTTTATTGAAGTTGTTGAGGTTTAACAGTGAACCTAGAGAATTGAAGAGACCAATGAAGTAATTAGAGTTCTTTGGAAGATGTTCTAAATGGTAGTGAAGGTTGGAAGGAAGTTGGGTTTGAATTCAATTTGAAGATGTATCAAGTCTTGGAGAAGTCATCTTTATTCTGAAATTTTCAAGGTTTGCAGGCAAGTGCTTGCTTTTTTTTTCATGTTTATCATGATGGCTTCTATTGCAGGAGACTGTAGTAATGCCAACTTGTGTTCAGATGGCTTCTTGTCGACGCGGTATATCTTCCTTGGTCACTGTATTTTTCGTTCCTAGTCTAATATATTTTTTGTTTTTGTTTACTGGATCTGCTGCAGAGATCCACGGGGATTTGGTTTCATTCAATTTGTGGATCCTGCTGATGCTGCTGAGGCAAAGCATCACATGGATGGTTATCTTCTTCTTGGTCGTGAGCTGACTGTCGTATTTGCAGAAGAAAACCGGAAGAAGCCAACTGAAATGAGAACAAGGGATCGAGGTGGAAGGTGAATTAAAGATTCTTCCTCCTTTTGAAGTTTTTCTCTAATGTTATAGACACCTGGGAACTTTTAATTTGTCTACAACACGAAGAGATTACTTGATCTCAACTTGTATTACTTTTCATGTTTGTAGGAGCAACAGATTCAATGACAGAAGACGCTCTCCTCCTCGGTACTCTCGTTCTCCTCCCCCTCGTCGTGGTGGTAGAAGTAGCCGGGACTACAATTCTCCTCCCCCTAAAAGACACCAATCTAGGTAGATTAGCTCCGCATGCCTGTCTGAATTTCATTCGATCTGATGACATTACAGTTCTTTGATGGATTTAAAACCTTTCTTTACTCTCCAAAACTCTGTTTTATGGCAGGTCTGTCTCGCCTCAGGATAGACGATACGAGAAGGAGAGGTCATACTCTCGCTCGCCACCACATAATGGTGCAAGGGTTCGCAGCGGAAGTCCTGGGAGGGTGAAGAGCCACAGCAGGAGCCGGAGCCCAAGAAGAAGCGTGAGCCCTAGAAGAAGCGTGAGCCCAAGAAGAAACAGGAGCTACACACCTGAACAAGCGAGGAGCCCGGTCCCTAGGCGGAGCAGGAGCCCAAGCCCTCGTGGAGAACGAAATGGAGACCGTTCTCCAAGCCAGTGATTTTGCACTTCCATGTATCTCTCTACTCTTGAGTTCAACAATGCTTTATCGGATATTTGTATGCCTCTATATTGAAATATCTTGCTTTTTTAAGTCTTTGTTTTAGACAAGTTTTAAGACAGATTATTGTAGTGCCATTGGTGTTTTGCTTTATGTTTGATCAATGGATGATCTTGAGACATGACATTGATGTAGCATGTGCCTTTTTTTGTCATCTTATCTCTTTAGATCTCATCTATCGTTGTGAGGAAATGTGGGAGCCTTTTGACGTATGGCTTCCGTTGTTTTTGAATCGGCCTTTCGCACTTTCCAGCTATTTTCCCTTTCAACTATCAAAGAAAGAAAAATGTTTTTTCTTTCATACAAAATGCCAAAAATAACGGATTCTTACGTTTTTTGTTTTCTATCAGTATTTACAAGATTTAAATCCAAGTGGTCATATGATTTACTTAGCTTTGCGTATGACATGCTCTATTGTTTTTAATCCGACAAAAGTCTTGGTCGCCGCAGGTTTCTGGAAGTATTTTGAATTTTCAGTTTAACCCAGTAGAGCACGTAGCTTGAATCTTAAATGCACGGCGACGATATCGATAATATTTCTTCTTTTCGGAGAAAATTAGAAAAAGTTATCAATTTCAGAGTCGTATTTTTGAGTCGTGTATCTGTGATATATATATAAAAAAAAAGGAAAAAAATGAAGATATTTCATTTTATAATTATAAAACTTCTGACTGAAGAAGAAAGATCACCGTAACAAGAATAATTAGAGCATCCACAAGATACATTTGGAAGTCCCTTAATAAGAAAACATTTGGAAGTCATGCATGCACATTAAACTAGCAAACACTGAAACACAAAAGATTCTAATTTATGTTTTTTAAAAAAAAAATTAGGGGAAAACCGAAAGAACATGAGAAGAGCGTGGAAACTGTAGTCTGCAGCTATGCAAACTCTTATTTTTCTTGTTTTTACATAATTATTAATTTTATTAAGAAGGTGGGGTAATATAAGGGCATAGGGTGTGAAGAATAAAACTTGTATGATTAGATGCATAATTATTAAATTAATTAGCTTTTTGTTTATTTAGGGTCTTTGAACTTTGAAGCCTCACCTTTCCACACACCTCTCTGGTTTCCCACGCATTAAAGCGAGAAAAAAAGTTAACCAAGTTAAACTGAGAGCACAGCAATCTCTGAAATTCTTCTTTTTTTGGTTTTTCTTATTTTTCCATTTCCTCCAATTTCGAAAATAATTTTCGTCGAAAGAAAAGAAAAAGTCTTTACCTTTTTTTCCTCTTCGGTGCGTTCATTACACTATACAGAGTTCAGACATCTATAAATCTGTTTGCCCTGTTTTGCTGTCTCAATAGCAAAACCTCGAGAGTTATTTTTTCCCTTTCTTTCTCTTTGATCTGATCTGAATCCTCTCCGAGTGAATCTGGAAGCGGGCAAGCTCGAAATTTAGGTACTTTACTAATAGTTCTCATGATTTTGCATCTGGGTGTTTGATTATTTCTCGCATTGTTGTCTTTAGCTTGTGTCCGAACCAGCTTTTCACTTGTATCTTCCACATTCTTCTTCGCTCTGCAAAATCTTTTTGCAGAGAACATGTCTGAAAGAACGAAATAACAAAAGAGTAAAGATAAGAAAGAAAGAAAAAAAAGTGTGGCTTTTCGAATGCTCGATGGGTTATCGTTTACTGTTTAGCTCGTTCTATTCGCAGAGCATTTGATTAATTTCCAGGCTCCTATTAATTTACTTCTGTCGGAAATCCATGATTTTAGTATCTTAAGTTGCTTTTAGGGTTCTTACCACATTTGACCAGTTCCAATTATAACTCTCCTGAAAAAGAACATTACTTTACTGATTTAAGAGTGATCCATCTACAATCATATAGCATATGGCTCAATTTTGAACTTATCAGAGTTTTCTGTAGGTTTAAGGTTCCAAATGTTGCTTCCGAGATGGTTCGCAGAAGCAATCTTGCTCCTAATTTCAATTCTTGCGTCTACAAACGGTAATTTCACCTAACTCACATTGTATCTCTGAGTTTTTATTAGTCTGGTGAAGTTTTCAAAAGACTCTGAATCTGTTAAAACCGGTTCTTTTACTCAGCTGCATTCATCGGAGTAAACATCGGGACAGATCTCACCAACATGCCATCGCCTTCAGACATCGTGACGCTTCTCAAGTCGCGACAAATCACACACGTCCGTCTCTATGACGCCAACAGCCACATGCTCAAAGCATTCGCCAACACCAGCATCGAAGTAATGGTCGGTGTGACCAACGATGAAATCCTCAGGATCGGGCGGTTTCCTTCAGCAGCAGCTTCATGGGTCAACAAGAACGTCGCTGCCTACGTTCCTTCGACTAACATAACCGCCATCGCCGTTGGCAGCGAAGTTCTCACCACAACCCCCCACGTGGCGCCGATCCTCGCCTCGGCTCTCAACAACATTCACAAGGCCCTCGTGGCTTCGAACCTCAACTTCCAGGTCAAGGTTTCGAGCCCCATGTCCATGGATATAATGCCTAAACCGTTTCCTCCGTCCACGTCCACTTTTAGCCCGTCGTGGAACACGACGGTTTTCCAGCTCCTCCAGTTTCTCAAGAACACTGGCTCTTTCTTCATGTTGAACGCGTATCCTTACTACGGTTACACAACCGCTAACGGGATTTTCCCGCTCGACTACGCGCTGTTCAAGCAGCTCTCTCCGGTGAAGCAGATTGTTGACCCCAACACGCTCCTGCACTACAACAGCATGTTTGATGCTATGGTCGATGCTGCTTACTACTCCATGGAAGCTTTGAATTTCACCAAGATCCCTGTCGTCGTCACTGAAACTGGCTGGCCTTCTTTTGGTGGAAGCGATGAAGCGGCTGCAACCGTGGAGAACGCAGAGACGTTCAACAGAAACTTGATCAACCGCGTGTTGAACAGCTCGGGCCCTCCTAGCCAGCCAGACATGCCGATAAACACGTACATCTACGAGCTCTACAACGAAGACAAGCGGTCCGGGCCAGTCTCCGAGAGAAACTGGGGGGTTTTGTTTCCGAACGGGACCTCTGTTTATCCACTGAGCTTGAGCGGCGGCTCTGACTCGGCACCTCTGAACGGTTCATCGTCGTTGTTCTGCGTGGCGAAAGCGGACGCTGATGACGATAAGTTACAGGACGGTTTGAATTGGGCTTGTGGTCAAGGCCGAGCTAACTGCGCAGCGATTCAGCCGGGACAAGCGTGCTATCTCCCGAACGATGTCAAGAGCCACGCTTCTTTTGCTTACAATGACTATTACCAGAAGATGAAAAGTGCTGGTGGAACTTGTGACTTTGATGGTACTGCCATCACTACGGCTAGAGATCCTAGTAAGTCTCTCCTTTTTTTCTCTTATCAACTTTCATTGCTATATAACTCTATGCTTTACGTTGTTGCTCGTAAATCTCAAAATTTGATTGATTGTGCGTTTTGCAGGCTATAGAACATGTGCATATACTGGAAGGTAACAACAATCAAAAACTTTTATGTCTTTTCAAGTTTCTAAAAACCTTTTGAAAACGTTAAAAAGCGGTATATTTACTTGACTCATTTGAAATCGTTTAACATCTATCTCAGCTCAAACGCAACGGGTGGAAACTTTCCTCCGCCTGCGTTAGGACCTGTAAGTCCCTTAGGAGGGAACGCAAACGCACTTATCATCTCCGTCTACCATCTCTCTATCATGGCACCGTTAGCTCTCACACTACTACTACTGTTACTTCAGCCTGACCGCCTTTTGTAGAGAACGTGGGCCAAAACGCGGTTTTGTAATAACCGGAGAAGTCTACCGGCGGCTTGGTTTTCTCCGGTTACCGGTATTTATTGTTTTACTTATGGTGTAGTGTAACTGTAGCTAGAGAGAGAGAGAGAGAGATCACATGTTCTTATACATTTTTTGTCTTCATCTTTGAATTAGAGTGATTTAAAATTCATTTTCAAATGAATCATTGCCTTGTATTTATTGAGAAATTATGAAGAGCTTGCATTATTCCTGTTATTCAGTTGAATTTGATCAGATAATTTGACATTTCTTAATTTTCTTTCAAATATGGTGTGCCTTGCACCTGTGTAGTAAGAAACTTCGGAATTTGAATAATCATCATTAATCGAAATTACTAAGGATTCACCTGGTAACAACATGATCATGATCCAACAATTTCAAAGAGTTACAATAAAATGATTTCAAAATTATTGTCATTGATGATAGATAGAACAATTGATATGGAGAATATAAGGGACAAAAATTATTCTTCTCTTGGTTATTGGCCACATGAGCAGTGATTATTACTTAATTTGGTTTAATTGATTCGACCGAAACGCGGCGTTTCGGATAACTTTTCACGATGGAGTGCGAGCGAAACGCTGAAGTAATGGATTGGATAAGCAGAGCAGTAGGGACGACGACGACGACGACGACGGGAAATGATGACACCTGGCGGAAGCGGGAGTTTTAGGCCGTTACCGACGGCGATGTACGCCGGATATTCAGGAACGGCGTCGTCTTGGGTAGCGAAGACCTCTGTGTCTGCGTCTGGGAAGAGGATACAGAGAGAGATGGCGGAGCTACACGTGGATCCGCCTCCTGATTGCTCGGCTGGACCCAAAGGGGATAATCTCTACCACTGGATCGCGACCATTGTTGGTCCCTTGGGTTAGTTCATCTGCTCTCTTCAGATGTTTATAGATGATCGGATGAAGATTTGTTAGGTTTCCAAGTCTTTTTTTGATTTGGTTCTGATTCGACTTTTGCAGGGACTCCGTATGAAGGAGGAATCTTTTTTCTCGATATAATTTTTCCGTCTGATTATCCATTCAAACCACCAAAGGTATGATCTTGGATTCTCTATTTTATTTTTTCATGAAAGTAGCGAACTTTATCCTTCGTTTCAAGCCATCTTCTATGTTTGGGAGCTTTTCTCAAGCTGAAGTCTTTCGGAACAACTACTCTACTGAATATCAATGCGTCGTGAACATTAGCATCTCTGTAGGTCTTTTGGTTCAATGCGTCACACTTTGAAACAGAGATCATCTAGGAGTTACATAGTCATCATTGGAATACATTCTGTAGAAAATTCTTGACCTTTTGGGTTCTGAGATAACTAAGCTTAAGGGTTCTAGTCTTGAGCTTGCGCTTTCATTACATTGAGTAGTTTCACTTTTTGGATTTGTAGGTGGTGTTCAAGACTCGGATCTACCATTGTAATGTGGATACTGCTGGGAATTTAAGTGTGGAGATTCTAAGAGACAGTTGGAGCCCAGCTCTTACAATCACAAGAGTCTTACGAGCCATCAGATCAATCTTCTTAAAACCTGAACCCTGTAAGAGTCTCTAATTCTGTTGTCAGTCCTTTTGATGAATTTTGGTTTAGCTCAGGTCAGGTCACATCTGCATAAGAAAGTTCCTTGGTTAGAATTTTGTTTCTCTAACAAACAGTCTTTGATCTACCAGATACTCCAGCTTTACCAGTGACTGCACGGCTCTACTTGTCGGATAGAGAAAAGCATGACGAGGTAGCTAAAGAATGGACATTGCGATTTGCCAAGTGAACCCTAAGATTTGGGACCTTCTTCAATACGAGGAAAGACTAGAGATATATTATTGTATACTTTAGTTCTTTCATCAATGCATCCACCAAAGTGGAACCACAATGTTAGATGACCAATTGAAATACTTGTTTGCTCAGGGAATAGGCAACAAATGAATGTGAGGTAGGACCTATCCTCAGTAACTTCAATTTATTCAAGTTTATACAATTTAGTGTCAAAAACTTTTTCTTTGAGGACTAGAGAACCAAAGACCATATATGGTCTGAATTTCAACTGATGTATTTGTTTTCTTTCAAAAGAAAAAATTAACATCTTTTTGTTTTTTGGAACAAGATAAAAAGTGACAATAAATAACCATATTTCCTTCTATGCTATGGCCCATAACTTTAAGAGAGAGAGATGTTCACAGATAAGGTACTTAAACTGATGAAGAGTATTTAGTTGGTACCTAACAGGTTCTGTAAACCATTATAATTGTCTCTAAATACTGTAATAAGATCAAGCTCTCCGTTGGAAACACAAACCGAGAGACCAAATCTACCGGTCAATTCTTGCTTTTCTTCTAACTAAATCCAGCTTTGCATAATTATCACAAATCCTCAACACATATCTATCAGTACAATAATATATATATATATATATAGAGAGAGAGAGAGAGAGAGAGAGACGGACATTCAACAATCCTTAACAAACAAGAAAAAACACTGAACGATAATTTCTGTGGCTATTATCTTCATATCGGTACGTACGTAGCTTAACTCATATCACCAAGCTTCAACTATTATACGTATCTCTATGCAGATGAATGTGTATGTTTTATGCATGGTTATACATGCTCGGTTTATTTATCGGCTTGCTGTTTCTCCTTCGTTGAAATTAAATCTTATATACTGTATGTCTTTTGAATATTTTAGTTTGTTTATAACGTTTTTTTTTTCTTACTTTGGTACGATGAGATCTTAATTAGAGATAAATCCAGTATGAATTCAGTACCTATCTATACTTGAAATGTAGCCTAGATATGGGATTTTAGATAAGAAATTTTTGTGTGAATTGGTTATACGAAAGAATTTCAGTTATACATAGATTTAATTCTGCTGCTGTGATGTGAACCGAAGGGTCAAAGAGAGAAGAAGGTTAGGTCAGAGCAGAAATTAATAGTCGCATTCGATGTTCGTTGAAGTTAACTTATGTAAACGTCCATCAGTCCGCGGTAATTATACAGTGTTAAGCTTGGTCTATGATCTTATTTCGTAGGCTTTAACAAACCCCTCCACCGATTGTTTGGGGCCATCTTTGCTTTAGTCTACTGGCGTAAATGTGGAGACGTGTAGACTAAATGCGAAAACGTACGGCATGGTGTTCTTTCCGGGTTAACGGACTGAAGGAGAACTCACGGACCAATCACCAACGAGATTATGATGAAGTATAACTAGTAAGTATACATATACAGTACTACATTTTAGTAAAAAATTATGGGTAATCGTCAATCAACACTGGTGTACAACGACTTATAAGGATACTTGACAAACACAAACTCTGAGTATCCAACTTATTATATATATAACTAACCCATATATATTAATTCATCTAACCATGCATGTACATATTCATCCATCATCTATGCATGCATGTACATACTTGTAATTACTGAAATACTTGAAAAACAGGTTTAAGGGAAATACTTGACAAGAATTTGAGTTTTGATTAATATTTTGTATCACATGAAAAGGGAGTTTATCCTTCAGTATGTAAACTTTCCCGAGTAGAGACCGTAATAGTTTTTAAATTTCAACGGTAAGCTTTATTATTTTCAAATTTCGTACGTTGCAAACATGCAATTTTTTGGTGGAAATTAAACTAATAAGATATCTCGTACCAAAATGTAAGATAAAACTTTCACATTTTTATACTTGATTTCTTAAACACGATGCGAATTTTATTGAACTTCCACACAGTTCCACAACAACATAATATACGCACTAAGACGATGATGGAATATATTAAGACTAGATAAGACTGTCTGTAATAACCTAATTAGAAAGCTTTATAACTAACTTATTTCATTAGGCATGAAATTAATACATGATCTGCAGGGGGAAACGAGAGATATATCCATGTACATACATGTAAAGGATTATGTTATCAATTACACATATAGCCTATAGGAGATATATTGCAATCACACAGATCGCCACAAAACAACTTTTTCTTGTTTTGATAAATCCACAAAACAACTTAGCACACATATAAACCCCGCTTTCAAATGACATGCGTGCACTTCTCGAACCATGCATGGTAGATATATAAGACATCACGATCGACCAAAAATTACATATCTTCTGGTCTCTGGTCATTTCTAGCGCTCGACGACGTTCCAACAATCTCATCGGTACAATTGTGCGTCAGCAACGGCTGGGGTATTGGAATATTACTATCAAAAGGATCATCATTGATAAGCGAATTCAGAAACGAAGAGAACTTGTCATCGTAGCAGAAACCAAAGTCTTCCTCGTCTTCATCTCCAAAGATGCTGGTACTGATCTTGCTAGCTCCATTTCCGCTACTAACGGTGGTATCAGGCTCTAGAAGATTTTGTCCACCGGAAACTTCTTCTCCAGGCTTATGGGTGTTGTTTGCATCAAGAGGCTTGTGGGTTTGAGGATCAATGCCTTGTCTTAAGAGTTTCTTACGAAGATGAGTGTTCCAATAGTTCTTGATCTCATTATCAGTCCTTCCCGGTATCCTTCCCGCTATCAACGACCACCTTACATCACACAATAGAATTAGCATGATCATATAAATATGTGACTCTAAAATAACGACGATAATTTATTAGTATTCCGATTTTCTTAAAAAGGTTAATAGGTATCTTATTTTTTATACATTTTCTTGATAATCACAAACAGTTTGAATAACAAGAATCTAAAAGATGGATTACTACTTTGTTCCAAAAGATCAATCAACAATCCAATTTTGATTGTTATGATCACGACTATCACACGCAAAAAAAAAAAAAGATTAGATACATATGTGTATAATGACAAATTGATCCAAACAAAATGTGATCAAATGAAAGAATCTTGATGTTTATTTAGAAGAAATCAAACCCTAGTTTGAACAGAAAAGAAACCCACTAGTTTATGCGTAAACACAAACGCACACGTACATATGTAGAAACTACGATCTTTCATGTAAGTCGTTTGGTTAATATACGAAAAACTTATATAATTTTTGTGGTTAATCTGAATAAAGTATATATAAATATGAACGTACCGGTTGCCGAGGAGGCGATGAAGGCGGAGGATGAGATCTTCCTCGTCGGAAGTGATACCGCCGCGTTTTACGGATGGACGGAGATAGTTCATCCACCGTAGACGGCAGCTTTTTCCGCATCGGAGTAAGCCAGCTCTCTTGGGAAGCGATCTCCACCGTCCTTCTCCTTCTTTCTTTATGAAGCTCACAAGTATCTCGTCCTCCTCCACCGTCCATGGTCCTCTCTTCATCCCCATCTTCGTGCAACACAGGCTCGTCTTCTTCGATATCGGTTTCTTCCCGCCAGATGACTTCATCTCCGCCTTCTTCAACATAGCTCTCTCTCTCTCTCTCTCTTCGACTAGGGTTTCGTGATCTCTCTGAGTTCCTCGATTGGTTAGCTTTTTTTTCTCTCTCTCTCTTTCTCTTCCTTACTGATGTTACCAATGAACCTACCGACTATTTGCTCACTCTCTGGTTTTGGTGTTTGTTGATTACGCGCTTGTAATTTGTTTTTCTTTTATTTGTAAATCACTAAACTGTAATTAACATGCTATTGATTGCAAATTAGAATAGTGATACAAACCTGCGCTTTTTTTTTGTTTTTTTTATAATTGCCCCTGCATGGGTTTTAGCTTCTTCTACTTGCTTGTACTGAGGATGAAAGTGCTATGAAAATTTTCATTTGATTAAGCCATAATCAGCTGATTTTCCCAGCTAGTTCAGTTGAAAAAATTATAGAAAATGTTTAAAATTGTTGATGATATGTACATTAATGAATACTAACCACCTTGATTCTAAACAATTAATTAAGATTGACAGTAACTAATGAAAGAAGCATTAAATATTTGGACCAACTCTTTCAAAAACGATAAAAATAGGTAATTGGACAAAAGGCCAGATATTTTACAATTCCGGAAATATCGGGGCGAAACCGTAAAGAAATAAAAAGCATGGAGCCCATAGTAATAAGAGGATATTACACTATAATTAATGGCGCATGAGAGAAATTAACTTAACATGAGTCACAAAACCTTAGTTGTGTTCTTTCCATTTCTTTTCCTTTTGCTTTAATTTTATTTGTCGTTTATTAATTTGCCACATTTTTCACTACTGTATTTTGGTCGGCATCTGATTATAACTATCTGATCTTTCAACCCTTCTCAAATCCTTCAATTTTTTCTTAAAAATTAAACCCTAATTCTTGTTTCATTTCTGAGATTTTCTCTCGTAAATGGATCGGTTTCTTTGAGGAGCAATTGTTTCGCTGCAATTTTTTTTTTCTTTTTTTGCTGACGGAGGAAGCAACGAGAAGAGATGGCGCGGCAAATGACGTCATCTCAGTTCCACAAATCAAAGACTCTCGACAACAAATATGTAAGCTTCTTCTACTTCTTCTGCAATTCCTGGGATTTGGGTTTTAAGCTTACGAATTTAGCTCGAGCAATTCGAAATTGAAAAAAGCTAAATCGTTGTGGAGTTCTTCGACCATAGACGGGCAAAAGATGAATTTTGTTCATTTCATTGATCTTCGTCTGCTTAAAGTTTTCCTTTTTGATTTTCTTATCAACTCAAAGTTTGAATTTTTTTATTTTTGAGCGCAGATGCTGGGAGATGAAATCGGTAAAGGAGCTTATGGCCGAGTTTATAAAGGATTAGACTTGGAGAATGGAGACTTTGTGGCCATTAAGCAAGTGTCGCTGGAAAATATTGTTCAAGAGGATCTTAACACTATTATGGTTTGTTAATTTTATCTTCTTAACACTATTATGGTTTGTTAATTTTATCTATCTTTGCTATTTATATTTCGTGTGTGACCAAATGTGGTCTCGAATTCTCCTTACTACTTATGTACTGACTTGAACCCTTGTGGTGTTTACATGTGGATGATTCCCGGTTGTTGGATGATTTTCACCAGCAAGAAATTGATCTGTTAAAGGTAGCTTCTTTCTCAACTGTTTTACAAAGTTTGGATTTTAATTCTAAGTATCTGTGAATTTGATCACCATATGAAGTTTGTGTAAAGATGCTGTCTTCCTCTATGTCTTTTAAGATGATATTTCATTGCAGAATTTGAACCATAAAAACATTGTGAAGTATCTGGGTTCGTCAAAGACAAAGACTCATCTTCACATCATTCTGGAGTAAGTAGCGTTTCTGTTTATATTGGTCCACACTGGACTATGGTCTGGAAACTCAAGTTCAATCATGTCTTTGCAGGTACGTTGAGAATGGTTCTCTTGCAAACATTATTAAACCAAATAAATTTGGACCTTTCCCAGAGTCGTTGGTGGCTGTTTACATTGCTCAGGTCAGTTTCTATCTTTCTAGTTGAGCTAAATTTCTTTATGCATTATGCACTCACTAGTGAGTACAGGTCTTGGAAGGTTTGGTATATCTGCATGAGCAGGGTGTCATACACCGTGATATCAAGGGTGCAAACATTTTGACGACAAAGGAGGTGTGTTTTTTTGTACCTTATGTATTTTGTTAGTTATGCTCAGGTGATCTGTTGTATTCTTCTGTGCTATTCTTCCTTAGATAGATACTTGACTGTTTCATGCTTCAGGGTCTTGTTAAGCTTGCTGACTTTGGAGTTGCCACTAAACTAAACGAAGCTGATGTTAACACTCACTCAGTGGTTGGAACTCCTTACTGGATGGCTCCTGAGGTACGCTTTTGATGATATCTATTTTTCATCACCAGATTCTGTTTAGCTTAATTTTTTGCTACACTTTTACCTGATTACGTGTGTGTTGACGACGGATACTCAACTTCTGTTTCAGGTTATTGAAATGTCGGGAGTTTGTGCTGCTTCTGACATTTGGAGCGTTGGATGCACTGTTATCGAACTTCTTACATGTGTACCTCCTTACTATGATCTACAACCGATGCCAGCCCTCTTTCGTATTGTTCAGGTTTTGACTACATTTTATGAGATTGCATTAAGTCAATAAAAAAATAAGTCTCTTCCCGTCTCTTTTTTCGTATGCTTCCTTGTTGTTAATCACTTCTCTCCTGAAAAAAATGCAAAAGCTGCTAGCCAGAAGTGATCAACTAGTGCCTTTTTTCTGGTTTTGTGTCAGGATGATAACCCTCCTATTCCCGACAGTCTTTCTCCAGATATTACAGACTTCCTACGACAATGCTTCAAGAAGGTATAGTATAATGCAAGAATGTTAAATCACTCCACCTACCTCTGTACCGGAACCTAGGCACTTCTGATTTAGTTTATCCAGTGTGTACGTCTGATTTGTATTTGGCGTATTACAGGATTCTAGGCAGAGGCCTGATGCAAAGACGTTGCTCTCTCACCCTTGGATACGGAACTCTAGAAGAGCATTGCAGTCCTCACTTCGGCATAGTGGAACCATCAAGTGAGAACCTGTATAATTTTATTATATTGGAAGAATATTTCAGTACATTTTATCTATCTCATCTTAGGGAATGCACTAGTATTCTTTGCTTCCGCTGAATCTGTAATGCTGTCCTTTGGTACTGCATCCTTTGCAGATACATGAAGGAAGCCGCTGCAAGTTCAGAGAAAGATGGTGAAGGTAGTCAAGATGTAGCTCAAAGCCTTTCAGCAGAAAAGGTTGGGATGTCAAATACTGTAAGATTCCTCAGCTCTAATTAACCATCAGACTTTCTTTTAAAAATGCAAATAAGGAATTTAGAGATGACTAAGAGAACGCTTTAAAGCTAGAGATGAACTTCGCTAAGGCTACTGATCCAGTACTTCTTCTGTCCAGGACTCGAAAAGCAAATTACCTCTGGTAGGGGTGGCGAGTTTTAGGTCTGAGAAAGATCAGTCTTCACCCAATGATCTTTGTGAAGAAGGAACGGATAATTCAGAAGATGATCTTATGTCAGATCAAGTTCCTACATCTTCTATTCATGAGAAATCTTCTCTTCAAAGTACTTGCAGTATGTCTTCGGATGCAAAAGGGACATCTGAAGATGTATCAGAGATTCATGGGAAATCTGAACATGATGAGCTACCTGGAAATCTTGAAACGGAAGCTAGAAAGAATACTTTAGAAAAGCAGGTTGGAAAAGAATCTTCCATCCAGGTGGACCAGCCATCACAGAGTTCTAGCCAAAAAAGTGAAGATCGTAGGCGTCGAAAGGTCAGTTGTGTTGTTACCTCATTATTGGCCTACCGCTTTCTTAGATAATATAGTCAATCGTGAGGAAGTATACTGTGTTTTGAGTTAATTGATAAGTTTCTTGTTCTTTTTACTGATAAAAAAATCAAAACATTTTGTTTGGCTTGTTATATACTTTTCTTTGGCAAATTCCACACTTGTATGCAAGATAATGAGATAGGTTTTTTCCGTTGTTGGGCCTTTAGTCTTTTCTTGACAAGATTATGTCTTATTGCAATAGTTAACCTTGCGATGTTGAATGATGTGCTCAGTCTAAATACTTTATTTGAAGAAAAATGTTTCTTAATTTGGGGACGTAGGCTATTAATAGCTTCCTTGTACAAAGTTGAAGACTTGCAAACTGACTAGATTTTTTTTTTTTTTTGCTTGTTATTTCAATCTTAAAGGCTGTGAAGACTCCATCCAGTGTTGGTGGGAATGAACTGACTAGATTTAGTGACCCTCCTGGTGATGCTTCTTTGCATGATTTGTTTCATCCATTGGATAAAGTTCCCGAGGGAAAACCAAATGAAGCCTCAACATCAATGTCTACATCAAATGCCATCCAGGGTGATTCTCCTGTTGCAGATGGTGGAAAGAATGATCTGGCAACAAAATTAAGGGCTACAATTGCTCAGAAGCAAATGGAGGGTGAAACAGGGCAGCCAAATGATGGTGGTGATCTTTTCCGCTTAATGATGGGTGTTTTGAAAGATGATGTTATTGACATTGATGGCTTGGTATGTTCTGTCTCCAGAATGCAGGTTTGATAATTCTAGTATACTGGTAACATATTTTCTATCTTGTTTCGCAGGTATTTGATGATAAAGTTCCCGCAGAGAATCTTTTTCCTCTGCAGGTACGCTACTTGACCGAATCACTTAATCCTCTGAGAATGATATTTTGCAAATTAATCGTTTTAGTTGCTTCTATTGTTTAGTGATTCTAAATCTTATTAATTATTGGTTAATTTTTGTAGGCAGTGGAGTTCAGCAGATTGGTGAGCTCCTTAAGGCCAGATGAATCAGAAGATGCAATAGTATCTTCCTGTCAGAAACTTGTTGTCATGTTTCGTCAAAGACCTGAGCAGAAGGCAGTGTTTGTGACACAGCATGGTTTCCTCCCTCTAATGGATCTACTCGATATTCCTAAATCTCGAGTAAGTTTATTTGTAATCAAGCAGGATTACTGTTGCTCTTCATCATCAGTAGTCGTCAGTTCGATGTGAACACTGACTGGCTTATGTGTATGAATCTGTTCTGGTGTTTCTAGGTAATATGTGCCGTGCTGCAGCTGATAAACGAAATTATTAAAGATAACACGGACTTCCAGGAAAATGCTTGTCTTGTTGGTCTCGTAAGTTTTACCTTCCATTTGGTTGCTGATTTAGTAAATTTTGGTGGATTTGGCCAATTCATGTTATCAAAGGCTTGTGTCTCCGTTTTCGATCTAAAATGTCGAACACCACCGATATGGACAGCTAACAGCATTTTGGGAAAATCGTAGTTAGTTTATCCATGGTGTCCTTATCCCATAACATAAGTTTTCATGATGTTCTCAAATAGTCAAATCTGCCTTTTTCTTTGATGTGGCAAAAATCCCATGAAATTGACTATTCCAAGTAAAATGGCAGATTCCTGTGGTAATGAGTTTTGCTGGTCCTGAAAGGGATCGTTCTCGAGAAATTCGCAAGGAAGCAGCTTACTTCTTGCAGCAGCTTTGTCAATCAAGGTTAATAGTCATCCAATATTTATTATTTTGCCTCTTTTTCTGTAATTCGTAGAGTTAATCTGGTAGTTTCTTTACAGCCCCTTGACATTGCAAATGTTCATAGCTTGCCGTGGAATACCAGTTTTGGTGGGATTTCTTGAAGCAGATTATGCCAAATACAGGTGGGTACTGTCTACCATCTTTTTGTTTTTTTTTATCTCCTAATAAAACTATACTGATTTAAGTTTTTCTGTCCAGGGAGATGGTTCACTTAGCTATTGATGGGATGTGGCAGGTATTCAAACTAAAAAAATCCACCCCGAGAAATGATTTCTGCCGTATAGCTGCAAAGAATGGAATTCTTCTTAGGCTAATCAACACTCTGTATAGCTTGAATGAGGCAACCCGGCTGACTTCTATCTCAGGGGGCTCACTGAGTGTGGATGGTCAAGCTCCACGAGCCCGCTCTGGTCAACTTGACCCTAACAATCCTATTTTTAGTCAGCATGAGACTTCACTCAGTGTGATTGACCAGCCTGATGCGTTGAAAACTAAGCATGGAGGTGGTGAAGAGCCTTCTCATGCTTCAACTTCAAATTCTCAAAGATCAGATATCCATCAACCAGATGCCTTACTCCCAGATGGTGATAGGCCTAGATTAAGCAGTGTTGCAGCAGATGCCTCTACGTTGGGCACAGAAGATGTTAGACAACAGCATCGGTTATCTCTCTCCGCCAATAGGACATCGACAGATAAGCTTCAGAAGCTAGCAGAGGGTGCCTCTAATGGTTTTCCTGTTACTCAGCCAGAACAAGTTCGACCTTTACTTAGCTTGTTGGAGAAAGAACCCCCTTCAAGACATTTTTCTGGTCAGCTGGATTATGTGAAGCACATTACTGGCATAGAGAGACATGAAAGTAGACTTCCTCTCTTGCATGGCTCAAATGAAAAGAAACCTAACGGAGACCTAGATTTTCTGATGGCCGAATTTGCAGGTAAATTTCAAAGTTTTGTATACTAAAGACTGTTCATATTATAGGCGCATATCTGACTTTTTTTTGTTTGCGCTATTCATTACATTGTTTCCTCAGAGGTCTCTGGACGTGGAAAGGAAAATGGAAATCTTGATAGTACGCCTAGGTTTTCCAGTAAAACAATGACAAAGAAGGTTGTGGGTATTGAAGGAGTAGCTTCGACGTCGGGGATTGCATCTCAGACAGCATCTGGAGTATTGTCAGGTTCGGGTGTTCTAAATGCTAGACCTGGAAGTGCCACATCATCTGGTTTACTTGCCCATATGGTCTCTACGCTGAGTGCAGATGTGGCAAGGGAGTACTTGGAGAAAGTGGCTGATCTGCTTCTTGAATTTGCTCGAGCTGATACAACAGTAAAATCATACATGTGCAGCCAAAGCTTACTCAGCCGTCTTTTCCAGATGTTTAACCGTGTGGAACCTCCTATTCTGTTAAAGGTACTTGAAAATATATTATAAAGTTTCATTTTTTCTTCTCTTCGGACCGAGCTTGGATGTGTGGTTTAGAAGATCTTCAAGTCGCATGCTTACACTGCCTTTCCTTTGTGTAGATACTGGAGTGCACCAATCATTTATCAACTGATCCAAATTGCTTGGAGAACCTTCAGCGTGCAGATGCAATTAAGCATTTGATCCCCAACCTTGAGCTTAAGGATGGGAATCTTGTTTATCAGATCCATCACGAGGTAAACTCCTTGACTTGCATAGAGATAACTTTCATCCCTGTTGGTTACACAACTTGTTGTCCTGTTTGCTAATTGAAAGACTGAAGTTTGGATTACTAAAACTTTTAATTCTATGTAGGTGCTTAGTGCGCTATTCAACCTGTGCAAGATAAACAAGAGAAGGCAGGAACAAGCGGCTGAGAACGGAATCATACCGCACCTGATGCTTTTCATCATGTCGGACTCTCCTCTAAAACAATATGCATTACCACTTCTATGTGATATGGCTCATGCATCTCGGAATTCGAGAGAGCAGTTAAGAGCCCACGGTGGTCTGGATGTTTATCTGAGTTTGCTTGACGATGAATATTGGTCCGTGATAGCCTTAGATTCAATAGCTGTTTGCTTGGCGCAAGACAATGACAACAACCACAAGGTGGAGCAGGCGTTGCTCAAGAACGACGCAATTCAGAAATTAGTTAACTTCTTCCAGAGCTGCCCGGAGAGACACTTTGTGCACATCTTGGAGCCATTCTTGAAGATTATTACGTATGCGTCTCCCCTCTTTATCATAGAGATTATCTATCTTTCCAAAATGTTCTGATTCCGAGACAGATAAGTTGCAACTTCTTTAGTCTCTAATCCTTGTCCTTAATGAATCCAGGAAATCATCTCGGATCAACAAGACACTAGCTGTAAATGGGTTGACTCCGTTGCTAATTTCAAGGCTAGACCACCAAGATGCGATTGCTCGACTTAATCTCCTGAAACTCATCAAGGTTAATGAATCCTCATACTATTATCCAATGCCCTTGCTTGTCCTTGTTTTTTCTGGGTGTTGAGTGTATATTTGGTTATGGCAATCATTGAAACAGGCTGTTTACGAGCACCATCCAAAGCCAAAACAGCTGATCGTAGAGAACGACCTGCCTCAAAAACTGCAGAATCTGATAGAAGAACGACGTGATGGACAACGTTCAGGAGGCCAAGTTCTGGTGAAGCAAATGGCAACATCTCTCCTCAAAGCACTTCACATCAACACAGTCTTGTGAGTCAAGCGACCAAATTATCCCTTGGGACTGTACATTTACTCCCATTTTTTTCCAAGAAGAATTCACCCTCAAGTGTATATCTTCTTCTGCTTCCTTTTCATTTACCAAAGGGTGGAGATTGAAACATAAAGATCTGTAATTGTTGCGTTGTGTGGGTCTCTTGTGTTTTTTTAAGTCCCTCGAGAGATTCCGACACATCTTCTTGCTTTTGTAATATATATATTCAACTTAGTATTTGTAAAAACATTATTTTGTGATATTTTGAATTCTGCTGTCGATGAGTACGTTCGTGAATGAAAAAATACGGAGGTTTGGTAGATAAACTGTCTTTTTAACACACAATACAATACAGAGGTTTGATTTCTTATCTGTTTTTTTTTCTGTCCATCTGAAAATACGTTAGTCATAAACTCGATCATCGAACATGTCTTTTGCTACTTGATCAACGAGTATTAAGGGTTTTTAACTATACGTTTCTACTTGATCATCGAGTATAAACTCGATCATGTCTTTTGCTACTTGAAGCTCTGTAATTATTATTTAATTTCTTAAGATTGAATCCAGAAAGCAACTCGATCATGTCTTTTGCTACTTGTAGCTCTGCAACTATTATTTAATTACTTATGATTGAAACCAGAAAGTGAAGATTTATATTTTCATCTAATAGAATGAACCAGTTGGTTGTGTTTTAACATTGATTTCAGAAAGTCCAATCACTATCTCCATGGCTATAGTCAGTCTTGTATACAATCCCGTCGAAAAATCCATTATCATTGCATGATTAGTACTGAATTCTCCTTGCGAGTAACTCAAAAAGCAGTCCAAATTCAATATTTTTGCCTAAGCAAGGAAAATTGTGATATTTTGGATACAATGATCAACAAATAGATAAGTATTGCAAAAAGAAATGTGATCCTATAACATTGGAGCGTTTCTCTATGGTTAACACATAACAGAGACTACTCAAGCAGATAGGATCTTCCTGTTTTTTAATTTATGCACAAATAAAATCCTCGAAACCACGCTTAGAATAAATCTAAAAAGCTTCGAAGAAGAACTATGTGCAATCACAACATAAAAATCTCGAATTAATGATGTACAAGTAAAAGAATTTAAAACGTCGTAAATGCTCAACATTCAGAAAGAAAAATAAGAGATGGTGCTCAGAAATTTTATGAATGGTTGGGAAGTATTTATCCTCAATAAAAATCAGATTAACGAGATTTATAAACCCATCATCACTGCACCCTCTATAAATCAATTTTGTAAACCAAGAAAATCCACTCAAACAAAATAAAAGTTGAATCGAAAGGAAGAAGAAAAAGCAGCTGATGGTTAGGGTTTGTAGAGGAAGACCGTATTTATAGGTCTCGCGTTAGGTCTCCACATCGTTTTCCTCGATGTAATGGGCATGGGCCTTTTGTTTTGGCCCATTTAGGATATAAGTCACTTAACTATACGAACTAAAGGTCCGTCACATCTTTACTTGTACCAACTAAATATATATGTGTTTAGCCGTTTTGAAATAACGGTTTGATGCATGCTGACATGAAGGAACCCGTGACATTTATGTATTTTGTTCGATTGGCTTTGGGTGAGGTTTCAGTTTTGGTTTGATTGATTTTAATCCAAAATAAAGTTTGAAATAATTGAGGGCTAAATTTTGGTTTTATCTATATAGATAAAGATACTGTTATACGTAACGAAAAAAACAAAAAGAGAAAACAACTGAGACCTAATAATTGCTCCAAATTTCTTATGTGGTAAGTTATATTCAGCCAATCAAATGAAAGTCGTTTTCATCTTTAGCTTTTGCTTAAGATAACTGGTTTCCATCAACACTGTGTGTCATCATCCATTGTTCTTTTCATTCGCAGGCCGTAAAGATGAATTTAGAGAAGAAAACAATATTATGAATATAGAGAACATTCTGGAAAGAAGGAGGACAAACAAAAGCAAAATATAATTAATCAAATTAAAAAAAAAGTGGCGGCCACTTACAAAAGCTTTCAGGGTATTCCTCAAAGATAAGGGCATGAACTATAAAAAGACTAAAGGTATGGTCCCATTGCTTATATGCATCTCACATGGCTTAACATGTTATTGTCTGATACCATCCCATACTTCAAATATAGACCTTTTTGTTTATTCTATTACATAATCAGTGGGTTATTTGTTGTGTTAGGTTGGTCTGAAACTTAATTAGCTAGTGTAAAGTTAATCCGGTAGCTCTTTCACACTAAATTCAGGTTACGTGTCTATGACTATTTTCAGCTATATTTGATTTTTACAAGGTTTAAGAATGCTTAAGATTTACTCCCACACCTTTGAGTTTATTAAGGTTGCAAGAGATTCCTCTCCTTTTTGCCTCCGTTTGGAGTTTATTGTGCCCACAATTTTTGTTCTATTTGTTTTATTTTGTTGTTGAAAAGTGATTATACTATACTTTTCTTGGTTTAACTTGGAGGCCATATAACAACATGATGTTGATAATGATGATAATGACCACGCGGTCCACGCAATATTTCAAAGATACCAAAAGCTTCAAAGATCATCGCATCATTGATCGATATCAGACCACTCGATGCCGTTTATATCATTTGTATCGACTTATATATCTTGCATGTGATGTTTTTCTCAACAATTTAATGAATCACATAAACATATATATATATATATGAAGCTTATACACACAAATACTTATGCAATTACATTAAAGCCCGAAGGTTAAATTAAAAAAAAAATATAATATATAGTCGTCCAAATATTTAAAACAATATAACAAAAAGCTCATGCGACGAAAATAAACCGAAGTAGTGGCAAAACACGTAAAATAAGCCTAACTCTGTGAAATGTAGATATTGGTTTAGAAGAGAAACCCAGAAGCCAAAGCAGCAACAGATGCAAACAATGCCGGAACGAACATAGCAGCATCGGAAGTAGGACTTGGAGCCGGAGCCTCTACCGTCGCAGCCGACGCCTTTCCTACGGCGGAGAAAGCCACAATAGCTACCATCAACACAACCATGAGCTTCATCTTCATTGAATCCATCTCTCCTCTTTTGAACTTTGAAGAAATTTAGTCACTTAGATTATTTTTGTGAGGTTTTAGTTTTTTGGTGCGATTATGAGTTGTGGTGGCCTTATGGTTTTGAAAGGGATATTTATAAGCCGATTGTGGGAATGTTGTTTCTAGAGACAGCTCTCTGAAATATTTTAGTTCATATTTTACTTAACTTTTTAGTAAAGGAAAAGGTATCTGAATTACAGCAACGAAAATATAACTTTTTCAACCAAAAAAAAAAAAAATGCAAACGTATACAAATGGATGTATAATGTATTACAACTAAATGTTTTTAAATTCAGACTCAGATAAAACCCGGAGATTATAGATACGACTAGACCAAATTGTGTTTCTGTATATTTTTAATATATACACTAATTAACTAGGTTCTGTAAAAACTCCTAGCTAAATTTGCATAAATATTTTGTTAACTATTTGAATTATACTGTAGCTTCCGATGACACTATCCATCTGAAGAAACACTTGGCAAATTGATATTTGAAACTTATATTTGTTGATATATGTGAATGTGAAATGGGGTATTATTCGTGAATAAGAAAGAAACAAAACAGGTTGTCCAAAGAGTTTGAACAGCTGGCAGAGATTGGCTGTCTCTTGGCCCAAACTATATTGTTGTCTTTCTCAACCACTCTGTTCCTTCTTTACAACCTCACCACTCATTCATTACTAAATTTTCTTATTCTATATTACTATTAATATTCTCTTCATTTAAAAATGCTTGATGTTTACATTTTTTCATACAATTTAAAAAATTAGATATGATGTTTTTATTAATCAATCTAAACACAATTCAATCACCAGTAGAACAAACTGTATAATACAAATGGTTTGAAACAAAGAAAAAAAAATCTCTAGAACATCAACTATTCTAAAACATATTTTTTTTTTAAAGTAGTAGTATTATTTATGTTATGCTAATAAACATATTGTTCTAATTCATACGGTAGATGACTAGATTAGACCAATATATTGCTTTGAACATACGTAAGTTGTATTGAACCTCCGTGAGGATATTTTATTTAGAGGTTTTAGATTCTAGAAGATGTCTTTAACATTCATGTTGATTCAAATTTGGGTTCTTCTTATACCCTGGTTAAAATACATATATATGGTAAAGTCTACGTTTTGAAATATGCCTTTTATAACCTTTCGTATTCATTGTACCGAGCTTTAGATTGTAATATATGTATGATCTCCACATTTTCTGAAAAAAAATAAATAGTTTAATTAAGATAGCGTATCCTTATTCTGACTCATGATTCGTGAATCTATAGATAGCGTATGAACACTCAACACCTAGAATGAGATGAAATTCATCAGGAACTCAAGGATGGGACTTAACTTGAATATACTAATAAAATTTTATTTATCCTTGTGAATTTTGTAATTTGTAAAGGAATTCTAAAAGTGATTGCGTAAGTAAAGGATCAATTAGCCGTTTTAGCCTTTAGGGTTTCGTTAAACTAATGAATAATGCTTTGCTCAACGTTCATAATTTCATATCATACCAACTATGAAAATGACCAACCATCCCAACATCTTTTTTCACATGTTTAATTTCTTCTGATGTCGGCCATTTTTATTTTTTCTATATGGAAACGGCTTATTAATACAGTACTATACTGTTTCTTTTCGTTATATACAGTAAAGAAACTAGCCGGAAAGCTTGAATACCAAATATGCATTATTATAAGCATGAGGTTTCTCACCATAATGTGGCCCAAACCAATGAAACAAATTGTTGTTTCTTCCCTCGTTCGGCAATTCCAAAACAGAATGAGTAGTTCTTTTTTCTTTTGTTTTCTCATTTTGCTTAACAAAATTTATACGATATAAACAGTTATTAAATACTCATGAGATCTATATAGATAGAAATATTTCACTTCCTCCATTCCATGAATATTGAATTTGTAAGCTTTTTTATATTTATATACGGACTTCATATTTATTAGTCAATAGAAAATATATTTTTTGATTAGTCTTGGGAATGCAAACAATCCAAACAAAACTAAACAGAATTTAACTCATATATATAGAGTTTTAAAATAAAAATGGTTATAAAAGTCAATTATTAGATACTCTTTAATATTAGAAAAGTAATCCTCTATGTATTTTTTAGTTGGAACAATACTTTAGCGACCCAATATTGCTAGATATCTTGTATAATGTTTTCGTTCACTTTTACTTTTAAAATGGAACGTTGGTGGAGTTTGAATTTAACTGCTTTTTCCGACGCTACTGTCTTTTTTTTTTTTTTTTTTTAACATTTTCTAGTCTTTGTTACTTTGAAGTTTGAACTTCCTTATATTGTCTCTTTGACATATTAGAAGATTTCAAACTTGGATACCACACTGTTGGTGAACGTGTTTAATGCCTCTATAATGCAATAGATAGCAATAGCATACCAGACAAATTGTTTTGTTGCTACAAACGGATATATTTTTCGATGCAAAACGTTAGGTTGGTCAATTGTAGCTCATTTGTTTTCTTGTTTAAAATCTTCGCAGTATAAGATAACTAGTTTCCGCCACATATTTGCCATCTATGTATTGGCATGTTTTTGCAGATTTTTCAAGAGGCTGAAAGAAGAACCAACATTAATTCAAGTAAGTAACCTAATTAAATAACTAAGCTTCATGACTGGTTTTTATTTAAGCAAGTACGTAACCTTAGACTTTCACGAACTAGTAACTAGAAGATTGTGAGCATCATGGGCCTAGCTATTACTATGCATAATGCGCAAAAGTGAACCGTCCCACTTGTTTAATTGAAAAATTACATAGTTTGATTTGCTGCCAAGAAAAAAACAGTAACTATTTAAAACTTTTAAAACGTAAGATGTAGTTGCAAAACTCACAATGGCGTGTGAGAAGACGAAATCGCCACTTTGTGAGAGAAGATCCCCACTCGTTGTGATCGATGTATGTAGCTACATCGACCTTAAAGAAACCATCAGTCAACGCATGCACAGAAGAAAAAGGTGGTAAGCAAGTGAAAACTGAAAAGTATATTGTTTAACTCTTCCACAGTGAAAAGTAAAGATAGACCCATTTATTTGAATTATTTTTACTTTAGTCAAACTCGGTATGTATAATATTATTTTCTTAACTAATGTGGGTATATAATTAGTTAATTACACGTGATGATGTAAATTTCTGATGTGGGTATATAATTAGTTAATTACAAACAAATAACGAAGCTTTAAAGGCTAGAGAACTGAAAGAAGATTTGGGCTTTTGTAGCCCATCTGTATATAAAGTAGGCCACTGTTTAAAGTAAATTTGGGTTTTTGTAGTCCATCTGTAAAGAAAGTAGAGCCACAGAGTCAGATTTTGTGTTGCGATGAGTAGAAAGAGTTTAGATGTACGAAGTTGAAGAAAGATCAAAGCTCTGCAAATGGAAAATAAACCAGTTGGTTAACTAAGCGCAAACTAATTCTCCAAATATTATACATATGTATAGACAAAAAAGATTGAGAAGCATTAGAAAAAGATTCACACTAAACAGTCAAGTTTTTTTTGGTGAAGGAAAGAGTGTTAAAAGAAAGTAAACATATCAGAAATACAAGTGAGAGACAAAGTTTTCTGAGCTTTTAAGAAACTTAAGCCACACCTTCATTTTCCCCCCATCTACTTTACATGGAGAGTGCTACTAACACTTTTAATACAAAGTTAAAAATCAGACAAACCTCAAAACTTCCCATCACCTAGAGAGAGAGCTTACACAATACATTACTAATTGTTTTTCTTTCTTACTAAAGCCTAATACTACCCAAGAAGGTGGAAATGTTACAACACTACAAGAGAGAGAGAGAGAGAGTACACACTAGTCACTACACATGCCTCCTGAGTTATGGGCAGTTCTTGTTCTTACCAGGACCACCATAGTAGAAGAAATGTCCCCAGTCATCATTGCTTCCCGTCTGAACATCATAGCAGTTGGATTTCTCTGTGAATGTCCCGAGTCTTTTTGGTGCTTTGAGGTTGTTAGATCCATCAACGACTTGGATGTTCCTAAAGTAACTCGCCTTGCTGAATCCTTCTTCTGGGAAGTGGCCGCTTCCCATCTGCGTCCAAGTGTGGTGTCCACCTGATTGTGAGTTCACAACTTCACCTCCCCATTCGATCATCGATGCACTCTCTGTTAGGTAAGAGAAGAGAAACGATGGCCAATACCCTAAAACATACCCATCCCCAAATTGCATCCACCAATGTCCCTCCTTTGGATCCTGTGAGACAAAGCCACCAAACATAACACATTCAGCTTCAAAGTTTGTTTTTTTTAAGGTTTTCTTTAGAGCAACAAAAAGATTCTTTTAAGTTATGGCATAAAGTACCTTCCAGATAAGAATACTGATATCGTACTGAGAGTTACGATATCCAGAGACAGGTGAGATGCTTGCTCCCATTGCTATGTCACTGTTGATTTGAATGAAACCTGAGCAAAGAAGATTGTAGCAACCAGTAGCTTGGTAGGCATCACTCTGCAATAAGAATGATTGAGCTACATTAAACATCATTGTATACTTCATTACCACACATAGTTCAATTCAGTGGGAGTTTTGGAACAAATCTTACAGTCCAGTAGGTGAAGAGTCTTGTATTATTGTCTCCATATAGATCCGGGCTCACCTGTGGTAAACACACGACAAGTCAAAACGCCAAAGAACTACACAGACAAAATCATTTTTTGCATTGACGACAATGTCTTTACCTGCCAACCAGCTTCAATGCTGTTAAGATCTTGTCCAAAAGAACCACCCAGAAGCCATATCTGCGACAAGCTGAATTCGTTTGTGTGCTGTATCTTTGGCTCCCACACATTTAAAGTCGCCTTCGCTCCATAGTACTTATCTCCTTCCACATAAGCTATAGCGTGCTAATCTCATTCAAAAGTTCAAGAAAACCAAAAAGTTAGAACCAAAAAAAAAGAGGCTTCGACCAAAGAAAGCTCCAAAATTTAATGTCAAAACAAATGAAACATTTCTGATTTCACTCACCTGGTGACCGTTTTGGTTGATGAGGTCAGGCTCCGCAGATTTAGGAATAGGAACAGTTCTATGTTTCTTCTTGCCGTATCTTTTAACCGAACTTGCTCTCAACACATCATCCTCCTTTGTCCTCCTCATAGGAATGGTTCCTTCAGAACATTTGCCGTAACGGTGCCACAGCTGAGGGATATGAGTTTCTTTCTCCTTTGGTTTCGCAGACACCTTATTGTCATCGAAGAGGCCTTCAGGGTGGTAATTAGGCTTCATCTGAAGACACACAGTAACAAAAAAAAAAAAAGCACTGTAACAAAACATTTCATAAGAAATATTAACTAAATCATTCAGCTTTAGCTCTCTGGACCTGAATCTTGTGATCTTTGAGGAAAGGGTGGTCAAAAGCTGGCTGCTTTGAGATGGGAACACAGTCAATTATATCTCCATCTGGGCTCTGTTCAACCACAAAGAAGAAAGTAAATTTCACAGTAAAACTTTTACACTTGCTGGTGAATTTCGAGTGTCATACATGGATAAACTTCAGAACTAGTGATTTTATCCAGCATAATCATTCATATGCTGTGCCAATCAGCATACAAAAAAAAAAGTAAATAAAAAAAATCATAGTGTAGTGAGAGAGAAAGCAGAAATCATCATTTTCTCCTCATCAAACACAAAGCAGAGGCAACACAGAGAAGTAAAGAAGAGAGATAGAGAGAGAGAGAGAGGTTTTGGAACCTGAATGCTCTTAACAGCAGGTTTGTTCAGCCTATTTAAGTGCTTCTTCACTTCAAACTTCTGTCTTGAAGCGCCATACCTCGATGCGCAGGATAGCGAGATAATCCCCAACAGCCATAAACACACTAAAAAACCTCTATGCAACTTCACCATTGTCGCAATAGCCCAGAAACTTGAAAAAAGAAAGAAAAAAGAACTTCGCTTTCGTTTTTCTTTTTCCACTTCAATTTCTCTTTCGTATATCAGTAGCTACTCTATTTAGCTTACTTTTGATTTGTTTTCTTTGTTATAAAAATATAGTCCGTAATTACCTTTAAAGCCTTTTCTTTTGAAAATATGCAACACGAGAGGTTAATAAAGATTATTAAACAGCGTAGGTGGTTCTGTTATCATTGACTACGTGAATTATATATATAAAAATAAAATGTGATTTCCAAAAAAATAAATTAGATATATATTTTTTTTTTTTAAATTGTTCAACCTTTTGGAGAGTATTGGTCTGTCACGTGGTGTTTGTGGTTCGAATGGAACCTTGGCTCTCCTCCACATTAATCTACCGAAGTTCCCCGTTTTGCCCCTCATGTACATATTCAAGTTACTAAAATAATTTGGTTAGGAACATTGTAAACGGACGTATCAATTTCTGTTTCTTTATAAAAAGAAGAAGAAATCAATCACTGAATAATACTAGTTGTTACAGATGTAAATGCTATGAAATGACATGTTTTTGATCCTGCTCGTGTGTTCTTTTGCCTTATTTCTGTTAAAAAAATTACATTTTAATCACGTTAATATTATCGTCGACGGTAAAAGGTACAGAACCCTTGAGGGTAAATAATGGTTGGGAAGAAAGATGTGCGTGTCGGAAAGTGGGGACTGAGTTTGCTCCTAATTACATGTGAGCGCATTTTCGTACTTTGCATGTTACAGCTGCGGTTTAGCTAAACCGAAGTGACATTCTTAGTTAGACCAAAACATCTCTCTCTTTTTTTTTCATAAAAAAGACGTGTATATATTTAATGTAATGTCCATGATAAATCTGGTTAGATCATCAAACCCTAAAGCTAACATATATATAGAACACATATAAAATTGTTTATAATTGACAAATGACGACTAAACACGGATTAATAATATTAGCCCGGAAATTTCGGTAAAGCTAAAGGCTACCAAAAACTTCGAAATGCATATAAAGGCACAACGTTGTGGGAAGGTATGATGATGATGATGAAAGGAGGAAGAAAAGCAAGTGAATGATTTGATAATATATACTGATTGATATATGACTATACGGAGGGAGGTGGAGCCACAGCCCCGCAAGCATTTTTTTTGTCTAATGTGTTACTCCATTATTGTGGTTTATATAATCGGATCTTTTCAAATAATTTATAGTTATCTTTTTTTTTTTGTCGTTAAAAAATCTTATGAATATATAAAACAAACAATGCATAGATTCAATGGATCCAACGATCCATATTCCCTATATCATAGTGCTATGAATGTCATAATACGAATATCCATCCCCACACACACATCAACACAACAATAACCCATAACTCTCTCCATAGCTTGACACATCAGCATTTTCAAATTTTTAAGAGATGACACTTCAACAAAAAAAAATACCAATAAAAATATTTCAATAATACAAGTCATCAATATATTTTAACTTTTAAATTTAAATCTATTAAAACCCCAAATATGTTTTATTGTTAATTTTAATTTTATTTTTTGGTCAAGCCAAGCCCAAATAATAAATAACAGCAAATAAAAAAAATTATTTTATTTTCTTGCCAAAACCAAATAATAAATAACAACAAATAATAAAATTAAATATTTATTTTATATTTTTGCCAAATCAAAACTCAAATAATAAATAACAGCAAAAAAATTAAAATTTCTACCTGTGTTTGCTTGATAGATATGTATATGATTGAAGAAAGTGTAGACTCATCATCAACTATGGTTCCATAACAACAATGCAAAAAGCGTTATGTTATAAGAAGCTCACACATCAGCAAAAATTTGAACCAATAAAAACATAACAATAATACATATTATTAAGACACTAATAAAATCAATTTACTATTTTGCTGACCCATTAAAAAGCTCAAAGTTTACAAAAAAAAATGGAAGGCGAAAGCAAATTAGGAGAAACTCAGACCACCACAACTTGGAGATTCGTATTTCCACTGGTTACCGAGAACAAATTTTTTTGGGTTTGGCGGAAATAGAAAATTTCTTGGTTTTGGTAGAAAAATGTGATTTTCAGTTTTGGTAGGAAAACATAGTTTCTCGGTTATGGCGGAAAAAAACGAATTCTCGGGTTTGGCAGAAAAATGTGAATTTTTGGTTTCGATGAGAAACAAAAAATTTGATTTTGACGAAAAAACGCGAGGGAAATGCAACTTTTCAATTTTGACGGAAAATATGATTTCTCGGTTTTGATAGAAAATGCAGATTTTTTGCTTTTGATGGATAATATAATTTTTTGATTTTTGCGAAAAATTATAATTTGACAATTTTGGCAGAAAATGCAATTTTTCGGGTTAATAGAAAAGCAAAATTTCTCGATTTTGGCGGGAATAAACAATTTCTTGGTTTTGATGGGAAATGCAAATTTTCAGTTTTTGACATATAATTTGATTTTTTAGTTTTCGAGGGAAAATATGATTTCTTAGTTTTTGCAGGAAATACAATTTCTCATGAGATAATACAATTTTTGGTTTTCGCAGAAAATTGTAGTTTATCGGTTTTGGTAGGAAGACGTGATTCTTGATTTGACGAAAAATATAATTTTTTATTGTTTTTGTGGGAATAGACGATTTTTGCGGAAAAATATTTTTTTGGTTTTGACGGGAAAATACTATTTTTTTGTTTTTGCAGGAAGATGAAATTTTTTGGTTTTAGTGAAAAAATTTCTCTGTTTTGACAGGAAAACACAGGTTCTAGCGGGAAAATGTGATTTTTTGGTTTTTGAGGGAAAATGTAATTTTTTTTGTTTTGGTAGGAAAATGAAATTTCAGGTTTGACGAGAAAATGATTTTTTTGGTTTTGACAGGAATATGCGATTTCTCAGTTTTGTGGAAAAATATTTTTTTTTGTTTTGTCAGAAAATACAATTTCTCGGTTTTTGTAAAATGATAAAATTTTTCTGTGCTAATTGTCAAAGTTACAATATGTTTATAGTAACCAAAATTGAATTATTTAACTTCAACTAAATTAATATTTTAACAGTTCAAATAGAACTTTCTATTTAGTTCTAAAGTAATAGTAATGATTTTGATATGAATGTTATTGAATATAGTTTGGTAGTTTTAGAAACATATGTCTATAATAAATATTTGATAAACAAATAAATTTTATAGTTTAAAATAATCATATTAATTAATATTTTTCAAATGGCAATTTACTTTATATAATTTCAAAAGAGGATCAAGTAGCAATTTAGTAGAGAAAATAAATTACATTTACTATTAGCATGAAGATACTTAAAAATGTATTATTTTATTCTTACATATACATTTATAGATAGTTAACTAAACAAATTTGATAGTAGATTAAAATTTTTAAAAAATTAAAAAATTAATGATATATAATGTTTATTCAGATTTAAAACATATAAATACATAACTTAAGCTAATAAAAAATAAATATAATACTCATTTACATTATAGAAATAATTTTATTATATTAAAAATATATACAAGTTTAAAAAAAATATTTTGCAGCGTAACGTGGATAAATACCTAGTATATATAAATATGCATAGTTGACAATTGACATCATCGTGTGAATGTGTATGTATGCATTTTGTCTTCGGTGGAATACATTAAGATATGTGACTTTCTCACTTTGTTATTTTTTTGGTTGGATTATGAGTAAGAGAACCTTGAATCCTATTTTGACTTGTTCCTATATTTATCGGAAAATGCCATGCAATGTTATTATAGTAAACATCAGAAGTTCAGACATCCAAACTAAGGAACGAAAGCGAAATCTATCTATTTACGAAAATAAAAATGACTTATGCGAAGCCAATAATCCCAGTTTTAAATAGAGATCGAGGCCAAGAAATATAATATTATGATAAAAACTTAGGTTACCACATCCAAACAGTCAACCATTCCGGTATAGGAGTAGAAGAATGAAGAAAATCAATAAGCTGAATTTTGATAAACTCATAAACCAATTGTAAAAGAGGTTTGAACAGAGACAGTGAGGTGTATAATCTAATTGATCACAACCCAAACTCTAGCAGATTCAGCTTTCAAGTAACATAACAGAAGAGACTAATCTTCGTATTCTTGTAAAAAAAGCAAAAAACAGGTTTTCCATTTCTCTTGGCACAAGATGCAGTTGTTTGGACAATGTTCTTTTCTCGAAGAGAAAGACAAGAAAGAATAAAAAAAAAAAAACTATAAAAATTTGGACAATGGTGATGGTCTTTTCCATAACCTAACATTAGAACCATCAGTAAAAAGATCCATATACTGTATCGTTACTTTTGCTCAAAGATCGAAAGATAAGGAGAAAATATCTGTTTATTTTTATTTTGTTATTGAATATCCAAGAGTAATTTTACGGTATCCAAAAACAACAAATTAAGATGGCAACCTTAATCATTATATGTATATACCTAATTAGCTAAAGACAGAGCAAATTCCAAAAGAATCAGAAACTAAAAAGCAAAGGCCAGCCATTATAATACTAATAGTCATCCAAATCCAACGTAGACGATGAAGACGACACATGACGATGATCAGCATAACTATTTTGATCAAAAGCTATCATAACTCTCATCATCACTAGCATTAGCATCGCCATAACTATTATGATAAAAAGCAAGCACATCTTCGTCATCAGCATCATCATCCGATTCATCATCATCAGAATCATGATCACCATTACCCTCATTAGAAGATAAAGTGCCGTCGTAAAACTCATGTACAGGGACACACAGAGAATCCCATAGAAAGAGAAGGAGATGGCCAAGCGGGAAACAACAACCCATCTCAAGAAGCTGTTGTGTATTCAACATCTCCGACGACGGAACCCTTCTCATCCGCTGCCACGTGTCGGCTGAAACCTCAGCCACCGCCACCATCGCCGCGCTGCTGAACACCATATCGAACTACTAATTATCCGCTCTTTCCTTCTTCGATTTGGGGACGAGCTCGTTGTGGTTTTGACTTTAGTCGTTGACTTTGTTATAGTTTTGCAATTTTGCGATATCGGTTTCTTTTTTCCTCAATTTATGGACAGTTGGGCCGTTGACTGGTCTTTTACAACAAGGAAAAGGATAGCTTAATAGTCGCCTCCATATGTTTTATTTTATTTGATTACACAATAGTCAAACTTATTTGTATAAACTGTCCAAAATACTTTGTAACGATTTAAAAGAATAAACCTTCAACAACACTTGCACAAATCATTGACCCAAACTTGCGTCTCTTACAGAACCGACATCTACGAAAAACAGGAACCGACTAATAAATGATTAAATAACCGACTAATAAATGGTTAAATTTGAGAAATCAGAAGCCCAAAAGTTGAAAATTGAAATCGTTAACAAGATTTTATAATTTTGGTGTCAACAAAATGAAAAGCCCATTACATTCTTCTTCTACCTATCCACAGCAGCACTTGGTCGAACAGAGCACCGGAGATAGAGAGAAAGATGGAGGCTATGAAAGTATGGAGTCTAACGGCGACGCCGTTGAGGCAGTTACTCCGTCTATCTTCTTCCTCTACGCGTCTCACCACCGCCATATACGGGAGAAGATCCTACCACTCATCACCGGCGCTCCGGTGTGCCTCCGCCGCTTCTTCTTCTTCCTCCAATGCCGCGACAGCTGAAACTTCCAAACCATCAGGACGAAACAGACGGTCAGCGTCGTCTTCCAATTCCACCTCCGATCGTGAAGCTATCCGCTCCATTCGTCTTAAAAAGGTGATTCTTTTTGCGAAAATATGAATTTTATGTTAAATCTCTACTACAACTATGATTGAGGTTTCTCAAAGTATCGATTTTGGTTCATAAGGTTGAAGAGCTGAGAGGTCAAGGTCTTGAACCTTATGCTTACAAGTGGGAGAAAACCCACAGTGCTAATCAGCTCCAAGAGATATATAAGCATCTAGCGAATGGCGAAGAGTCAAACAATGAGAGTGATACTGTTTCTATCGCCGGGAGAGTCGTTGCTCGCAGAGCGTTCGGTAAACTTGCATTCTTGACTCTGAGGGATGACTCTGGAACTATTCAGGTTTCGTCTTCTTCCATTGTTTGCATCATTTGGGTTGATTTGATGTCTACACCATTTCGTATTGAAGGATTCAGTTTTTTACGTTTATGTTTCCTTTCATCTCTTGTTCCTTTGCAGCTCTACTGTGAGAAGGAAAGACTTTCAGATGACCACTTTGAACAGTTGAAGGCATTCATTGATATTGGTGATATTTTGGGTGCTAGTGGCTCAATAAAGAGGACTGAGAAAGGTGAACTCGAATTTGATGATTAATCTCGATAGAGAAGCATTGTTTATTGGGTTCTGTTTACTAATTCTCTGGTCAATGAACTTTCCAGGGGAGCTTTCTATATGTGTGAACTCTTTTTCAATTCTCACAAAATCACTCCTTCCGCTGCCAGACAAATATCATGGTCTAACTGACATTGATAAACGTTACCGCCAACGGTGAGCTCTGTCTTTTGTAGATCTTTAGTTCAAATTCTTAGAGCTCATAAGTCTTGTTTTCGTTTCACTTACCGTGCTCGATCTTACTAGGTATGTTGATATGATTGCTAATCCTGAAGTGGCTGATGTCTTCCGGAAAAGGGCAAAAGTAGGTTATCAAACTCTCATTCAACCGTCAAGTTTCATTTGTGCATGATCCCATGTCTTTCTGCAACATTCATATAAGATTGTGAGAATTTTTTTTTTTGTTTTGTTTCGGCGATCAACAATGCTCATCGTCTGTTTTTGTCTTAGTAGATCGTTTCAGAGATACGCAAAACAGTTGAGTCTTCTGGATATTTGGAGGTTGAAACTCCAGTTCTTCAGGTTTGTGGGCACCTTCATTCTCAAATTTCCCATTGATATATTGAGTTCTTGTATAGAAGTTGGTTTCATGAACCTGTGAAAACTAGGGAGCAGCTGGTGGAGCCGAAGCGAGACCTTTTGTAACGTATCATAACTCACTTGGGAGGGATCTCTACCTGAGGATTGCTACTGAGCTTCACCTAAAAAGAATGCTGGTGAGAGACACAATCTCTTGGCTTTTCTGTATGTATGAATGGTAGATGTTTTCTCTGAATAGAATTTCAAATTGTGATCTCAGGTTGGAGGGTTTGAGAAAGTGTATGAAATTGGTCGTATATTTAGAAACGAAGGCATTTCAACACGTCACAATCCTGAATTCACAACCATCGAGGTAGTTCCAAGATATGTCTTCTCCTCAATCATCTTCCCAACTCTTGAATGGTTCCATGATCCGTAGCAGTTTTAGCTTTGTTTAGATGTATGAAGCTTATTCGGACTACCAAAGCATGATGGACATGGCAGAATTAATCGTCACTGAATGTGCAAAGGCAGTTCATGGGAAGCTAACAATTGATTACCAGGTGAACGAGAATATTCACAGCTCGTGTGTGGAGATAAAACTCATCTGAACTTTATGTTGGTTGTGAATCTTTGAGAATATTGAAGTTGTGACTGCTCTGTGCAGGGAACAGAGATCTGCCTCGAGCGACCTTGGAGGAGAGAAACCATGCATAATCTCGTTAAAGAGATAACAGGAATCGATTTCAGTGAGCTAGGGGAAGATCTCGGAAATGCCAAAGACACTGTTCTGCTGGCACTCCAAGACGTGCTTGAGCCCAAGGACAAATCTGGAATTGGAGCTTGCTCTTCTCTGGGCCATCTTCTCAATGAGGTGAAGTTTCTTAAAAATTGACACTTTATGAATCAAATCCGCAAATTTATATGTGCTGAGATCAATTCGCGTTTCCAGGTTTTTGAAGTTGTTGTAGAACCAAAGCTTGTGCAGCCCACATTTGTCTTGGACTACCCAATTGAAATATCTCCCTTGGCCAAGCCACATCGCGGGTAAAGAAGTTGTTTCCTGCAAATGAATCGATTTGTTTAAGCTTTTCCCCTGTACTGTCACCATCTTCTAGTTCTGAAAACCTTTCTAAGTGGAAATGGCGTTTTCTTTGTCTGCAACAGCAATGCAGGTTTGACTGAAAGATTCGAGCTGTTCATCTGTGGCCGTGAAATGGCAAACGCATTCTCTGAATTGACTGATCCCGTGGACCAGGTAATGTGGGATATATGAAGTCTTTTACATGATCTGCTTAATAGCCATCTTTGTGATGATAAAAAAATTGGTGATTGGTTTATAAATATGGTAGAGGACGCGGTTGGAAGAGCAAGTAAGGCAGCACAACGCAAAGAGAGCAGCGGTTGCAACAGAAAGTGGTGAACCAAACGCAAAGAAAGAAGATGATGATGATGATGATTCATATGAGGTGACCCTTGACGAAGACTTTCTCACTGCCCTCGAATACGGAATGCCTCCTGCTTCGGGAATGGTACTTATATATCTATTCTTCCTTCTGCTATACAGTTAAAGTAATTTGCAGAATCAAAAACATGACCTTAATGCTATGCTCAGGTACGTACTTATTATTGTTTCTTGTTATCTGTTAGGGGCTTGGAATTGACAGGCTGGTGATGCTGTTGACCAACTCTGCGAGTATAAGAGACGTCATTGCGTTTCCTGTTCTGAAGGTTCAGCAGTAACACTTATTTTGATTTCTTTTTTTTGATTTTGTAATTGATTCTGTGTTGACAAAACATGATCTCAAGTTGTTAAGGTTAGGGACAAAGCTAAAAAACAAAAACAACTTTAGTCATTTACTTTCCATCAAATTGGTTCGAATGTTGTTTAACTCAATCATGTGATATTCTTTTAATTTCTTTGTGGGGAAAGGACAAGCTAATGTCAATGTTTAGAAAGTCTAAACATTCATCATACAAAGGATTTTGAAGCTTTTAGATCTTTGATGAGGTTACTTGGGGAATGAATCCGACCAATTATAAATGATTGATGCCTTAGTGTGAGACAAGTTGAATGGCTTTTTGAGTTTGATTGATCTCTCGATATTTTATGTCAGAACACAGAAGCATCCTATGTCGCATCATTATTCTCTATATTGGCACACGCATTATATGTATGTGTTACAGTATATGCAATATGAGATTTGCATAAATTCTGGTAGACCTAATGGGATACATCATTACATCATACCTAAATAAATTGAAGATCATCTCTGGATTTGTCAACTATACAAAAATATATAGAAATGATTTTTGATATGTACTTTTTTCCTTCACGTGGAAACTTCATGTGACTTATTCCATTTAACATTCATCATTTGGATTTCCCATGAGTTGTTATCTAATCCAACTAAAATATCAACATCTACAAGATATAAATTTATTTGCATGATTAGATGATTTGCGACTAACAATTATAGAGTATAAAATGAGTTCAAAATAATTTTTTTTTTGTCCTATTCATTTGATCTAGCTTTAGTAAAAATCCGATATATCAGAATAACATATATTTATCATCAAAACTAAAAAAACTAAGAAATACATTAATAAAAATATACTCTTATAGAAAACTTAAATATAAGTAGACTTCTTGATAAGTAATATATGCAATTAAACTAGTTATTTGTAAACTTCTTGATAAGGGTATTATGAACAGAAAAAATATCTGATATCTGAACTCGAAGGGGAATCTCCAAATACAGAGATTAACCGAAGAAAACAGTTACCTTACAAGTTGAAAAAAGACTCCACCTTTAGAGAATAGAGAGGCACACTGCAAAAAGCAAAATCGAGGACTAACTTTATCTTCTTCTGATGTGAGAGTGAGAACAAGCGTTTTTTAAATAATTCTCAAAACTACGCCATCTCTGTCTCTCTCAAATCACAAAAGTGATAAAAAAATGCCTTTTTTGTTTCAATTTCTTTTGCTTTCCCATGGCTGATTGTTATCAATTGGAATCTCTTCTTTTCCAATTAGTATTAGCATTTCGCGGTCCCTGTACTTTTGTCTGTTTCCTCATCTGATCAACGCTTAATTTATGGTCTTTGGATTCTATCGAAGAGGAGATATATATATTGTGGTTATTAACTCTTCCTCGAAAACCCTTACTGCTGCTGTTTTTTTTTTCTTTCTCTTCTTCTATTTCTTTCTCAAATCCAGAAACCAAAACTGTTTTCTGCTCTTTTTTTTTTTGTTTGTGTTGCAGAGAAAAAATTGGGTGATTTTCATCTGAGGGGCACATCAATGGGCTCAAAAAGTTTGTAGCTTTGTCAACAAATACGAAAGAGGCGTGTCGAATTGATTGATGATCGGGTGTTTCAAAGACCCAACATATGTTTTGATGAGGGTTTTGCTGTGTAAGATCCAGTGCCCTTCTTTCATCTGCTTCTGCAAGCCTTCTCCTCACATCTACGCATCAGGTTCACTGAAATTGGAGAACAACAACACTCCTCAAGTGTCTTCTTCCACCACCACGGTTGTTGATGGTAATGATGATGATGATGATGATCATGATCAGTATGTTGATGCGCATGTAGAGGAAGATGTTGATACTGTCGATGGTTTGTTGAATGAGGTTAGAGAGGAAGAAGATTGTGCTGCTGTAGTGGGAAAGGAAGAAGATTGTGGCGTAGAGGAGAAAAAGGAAGAAGAGGAAGGTCAAAGCCATGGGGAAATTCTGAGAAGCAGTCTCAAAAGGGCGGTTTCAGATTCAGAAGAAGGTGGGAGAAAGGAGAAGAAGAAAGTACAGTGGGTTGATTTGATGGGGAAAGAACTTGCTGAGATCCGTGAATTCGAGTCTAGGTTAGTCTTATATTTGCTTTTGCGTGATTCAATTTGGCCAAATCTGGTGTCTTTTGATATGAAAGGTTGAATCTTTAGCCAACTGAATCTTCAAAGCTGTAAACTTTTCAGTATGTTTGTTCTTGAGAACTAGTAGTAAATTGGCATTTGTCTGATTCTTCCTCATTTTATTTGCAGCGAAGAAGACGATATCAGATATGATGGCGATAAAAGCTGCGTTTGCGTGATTCTGTGATCAATTCTCAGTTTAGTTTTATCCGGGAGATATGGCAACGGTGAAAGATGAAGAAGCTTGCTCGAGATTTAGCCCTGTTCATGTTGTGTCTTTGGCCTTAGAGTCCATATACATTGAGGTACATATGGTAGAATCTGCGATTGTGTTCATCAACCAATCTACATTTGCTCGCCTGAGGCTATATGATGATTCTAGATATAACAACATGGCAGCAATCTATTACGACGGTTTTAGGATTGTGAAAAGAATTGCTCTCTACTACACTTGTTTCTTTGACCAGTTAGTGAATTTCTTTCTCACTCAGATTCAAGAAGCTTTAAATGTTAATGATCACTATATGCTGTTATATTTCTGAGTTCTGCAATTTCTTATACCCGTGAGCTTGCTAGATATATATATATATCGCAAGTTTGCAACATACCAAACCAAAAATCGTTCCAAGCTCCCTCAGCTTTTAAGCATTTAATCGTCTTGACGATCTAATGTAAGTTAGAGAACATGTGTTACCAGGATTGCTTTACTTTTATGTAGTCTCTCTAGACACTGAGTGATTCAAGTAAGAATGTGAATTGATTTGATCGGTACGACACAATTCGCCCATAAGATGGCTGTTAAGAGAGATCTAACGAGTTGGGTTTTATTTTTTTGTTTCTTTTTTTCACGGATCTGGACATTTTGAAGAACACTGACAATTTATTCAAAATGCTTTCAAATTTGATATCTAACGAACACATTATTCTCTGGTTCAAAAATCATTACTCTAGCACATTAATTTGTTTGCAAGCTAAAAGGAATCCGTATCCCAATGAGCTACTCTCATGTCGAAATGTTCATCTATCTCTCTTTCTCCTCAGTATCCATATCCTGAAACAAGACAACGTCAAGAGAAACTTCAGTGATGAAGAAACATGCGTTTTGATGTTATCGTCCACGCTTCCATGAGTATATGGACTAACCTGAGTTGTCCATTGGGTTGCCAGCAGGAACTGGCTCCGGCTCCGGGATCTCAACAACCACACAGTCAGACATCAAGAAAGTCTTTGCAACCGAGGCTGCATGTTCCAAGCAACATCTCACAACCTGAGAATGCAGAAATCCACTCATGTTCATGAATATCTTTATCGTCAAATGGTTGTTCAGCATACAGAGAGAGAGAGTTGTGTTTCCGAAAAACTGACCTTTGTTGGGTCGATGATTCCTGCAGCCATCAGATCTTCATACTTGCCGGTTGCAGCATTGTATCCGAATTTCACGTTATCGTTGGCTAGCACCTGTAATGAACAAAGACAAGCAACTTAGTAAAATCAAGAGTTTGTATATGACTAGAGTTTTCTTGCTATGTTATTACCTTCTCGCTCACAACGCTTCCATTGACACCAGCATTCTTTGCTATCAATTTCAGAGGGTAGCTCAGTGCTCTTTTAACGATCTCCGCTCCAACCTATAGTTAGCGAATAGTTAAGAAATGAAGTCGGAGAAAAGCAAAAGTACACAAAACTCCAAAGCTCTTGGCTACGCTGATTACCTTTTCTTCGTCGTTTTCAAGGGTATCCTTGATGGCATCAACCTTGGCCGCAAGACGAAGCAGAGTGCAACCACCACCAACAACAATACCTTCCGCAACCGCAGCCTGAAACTCAATGAGATCATATGATTAAAATTATCCATGAGTGGTCAGAATTACAAACTCCTTTGTAAAGCTAAAAGCTAGATTAAGAAAATCACCTTTGTAGCGTTAAGAGCATCTTCAACTCTTAGCTTCTTTTCCTTCAGCTCTGTCTCAGTTTGTGCTCCAACCTTTAACCACGATGTAAAAGCTCTAGTTAGGATCACTAAACACATTCACAAATTAAAAAGTGCCCAATGTGGTTACTATTTACCTGAATTACAGCAACTCCACCAGAAAGCTTCGCAATTCTCTCATTCAATTTTTCCTTTTCGTAGTCTTGCTCCGCTTGCTGCACAACCATTGACTTATTAGGACAGTGAAGCTATATACAACAAAAATTGACTTCTTCTGCGGTTTGAATCACACATATACCTCAATAAGATTCTTAATCTGTACAACGCGCTTGTTCACTGCTTCCTGTGTGGTCCCATCACCAACAATGGTCGTCATCTCCTTGGTGAGGACAACCTTAGAGGCGGTACCCAAAACCTCTTTCCCAGCTTTGTCAAGAGAAAGACCAACTTCCTCTCTTATCACAGTCGCTGCACGCACAAACAGACGAAACACAACATGATTAAAACAGTGAAATGATGTTCTAAACCAGGAGGGCATATTATTTGTTACCCACAGATAGGTGTCTAATAAAAACATTAGTTACCTCCAGTAAGAATGGCGATATCGTCAAGGTATTGGCTCTTGCGCTCTCCAAATCCAGGAGCTTTAAGAGCTGCGATCTTCAATGTGCCTCTAAGCTTGTTAACAACCAGAGTAGCCAAAGCTTCTTGTTCAATATCTTCAGCAATTATTAGGATCGGGTATCCGCCTCTAATCGCATCCTCCAGAACACCAACAAGATCCCTTGCATTCGTAACCTTCTTGTCAACAAGAAGCAGCTGCACAGTAGAAAGCTTTGTTAGGCTATCTGTCATCACAATATCATTCCGGTAACTCAGAGCCTAAAAACATTTACCTTGCAATTATCGTACTCGACAGACATTTTCTCACTGTCTGTCACAAAGTATGGGGAGATATAACCACGGTCAAATTGCATTCCTTCCACTACGTAAAGGTTATTCTCAGCGCTTTTACCCTCCTCAAGGGTAACTACACCCTTCCTGCCCACTTTGCTCATTGCTTCAGCAATCATACTTCCAACTTCAGGGTTGTTACCCGCACTAACAGCCGCCACATCAGCAAGTTCACTGTCTTCAACCTATATTTCCAACGACACAACCTTTAGATCTTCTTGCTACAGACTTTAGCAGATTAAAAAGGGAGTTTTAGCACAAGGGAAAAAAAGAAGAAAGTTACCTCCTTGGACATTAGCTTCAGCTCGTGAACCAAAGCCTTTGCTGTCTTTTCAATGCCTCTAGTGATCAATACAGGGTTTGCACCTGCAGCCACCACCTGAAGAATACAACCTTAAGGTTATTATAATACTGTTCTTTTGAGTTTACATCAAAGAAAGCCGAAAGAAGAATATACAAACCTTGACACCCTCAGCAATAAAACCTTGTGCAAGAACAACAGAAGTTGTTGTACCGTCACCAGCCAAATCATTGGTCTTTGCAGCTGCTTGCCTTACAAGCTTGGCACCAATGTTCTCAACCGGGTCCTCCAACTCAACCTACCAGAACAAAACCTTGAGCTTAACAGAAGTCATTCAAAAGAAAATGTAACATATTCTTCAAACAGACAATAAACTCATACCTCCCTCGCAACGGTCACACCATCATTAACAATTCTTGGTGATCCATACTTGCTCTCAAGAACAACGTTTCTCCCTTTTGGTCCAAGCGTGACACCAACAAGGTCGGCGAGCTTGTTAACACCGGTCTAATAACAAGAGAGTAATCAGAAACCAAAAAAAAAAAGAGAAACGAATCCTAATCATTACCGCAGAGAAAAAGATTTTATTAATACACATTCTTACTTGAAGTTTCTTTATGGTAGATCCATCCTTGTTGAAATGCAACTCCTTGGCAGCACATACAATCGCAGGACGGGATCTTCTCGGGCACACATTCTGTCTCCTTCCAAATGAGCTTGAAGAGATTGAGGTTGAAGAAGACAGCTTGTGAGCATTTGGAGCAACCAAGGAACCAAGAGAAGACGCGGCAGTGAAAGTCGATGCCATTGTCACTTCTCACACTGAAAACCCAACAGCCAGATAAACATTGGTAAGAGCACACTCGACAAGACACCAAACATTTAGCATTAGCTAATCAAATTTTGCACAAAAATAAAAAACATAAACACAGATGTAAAAGGAGGCGCAATTTCAAAATTCAGAGCTCACTAGCGAGACTGAGAAAACACTTCGAAATACTCAAAAGCCAAATTTGAACTTATAAACCCATTATCTCCATTCTCCAGAACACGAAAACGAGGTAAAGAAAAATACTTTCTCAACTACTAGTTTTCATGCGTTAATTACTTGATAATTTCCATCGAACCAAACATTTGAATCGACACACAGAATTACATGGAGGCAAACACTGAGCTCAACAAAATGGAAAATGGACACTCACCGTAAAGTGGGAACGACGGAGAGGCGGTGGGAGATTTCCGGCGGAGAGTTTATTACGGATAAGGAAGAGAAAGTAGGTTTTATCTGCAGGTTTCTCTTGTGAAGAAATGAAGAATGGCACAGTTGCTTCTGATTATTATTTTTTCTCTCTTAATATAAAGAAGCTAGTGCAACCTTTAGCTCTTGAAACTTCGAGCTAATCTTGACCGTCGGATGTAATTGTTGGTTTTGTTTTGTCGTTTAGAAGAACACTCTAGAATGTGGATGGGTGATCGGATCCTGGGTCTACCTCTCTAGGTCACGTTTCTGGTGATTACTTCATAAAATAGGCCCATTTTAGATAGCCTTGAAAATCTTTAGAATTGGCCCATTAACTTCGATTTAAGGTATAAAATGACATTTACTTCTTCGATATTTGTTTTCGGTAATTTCCTCTGAAAGAATTATTTACAGTACCTCAAGGTTTTAAATGGTTCCGAATTTTTCAGTAAATATGTTTTTTTATATTTAAGTATTTTGATAAAAAATATATATATAGGGGAACGTTTATGGAAACGCCCCTTCTTTTACTTCTTAATTTTACAAAATTTTGCTCTAAATTCAATGTTTCTGACAAATTTTACTTGGCAACATATTTTTTATTTTTTATCTATTTACAAGATTACCAATTTATTTTTATTTTTTTTGGTCAAACGATTACCAATTTATTTTGAGTGGAAATTTTGTAGTAATTACCAAAACAAGACGGTCTAGTCTTGATAACAAAAGAGGAAATATCTTAGGGTGGAAGAAATATATGTTAATTGGGGAAGAAAAAAAAGATAATAGAAAAGAAAAAAAAAAAGGGGTCGCTCGTGGATCTATTTGAATCACTCGAAGGTACAGAGGCAAAACCCTTTTTTCCTCTTCCCCCGAAGAAAAACCCTTCTCTTGGCGGCTGCGGCCAAATTTACCCCTTCTCCTTCTCGTTTTTATCTCTTAAACCCTAGATTCGATCTGGGTTTTTCTGATTCTGTTTAGGTTTTCTATCTTCTTTTTTTTCTTTCTCTTCCTCTCTCCTTCATCTCTCTCTTTTTGGTCGCATCCCCTATCTGTCCGAGAAGGATCTATCAAATCTTTGTTGTCGAATCTGCTCTCATGGCTACCGTTGCTCCCCCTGCTGATCGTATCCTTTGTTTGCGTTTCTCGATCTGTGTTTTCTGTTTATCGATCTCTTCGTTTCTCGCTTGATTTCTGCTGTTTTCGTTATTGGATCTCGGATCGAGTTTCGTTACCTCAGTGCTGTTATTCGATTTTCATTGGGGTCACGGATTTGTCTGATATTGCGTAGATTTAGTTTGGGTTTTCTCAGTATCACTTTCATCGATTTATCTCCTGTGGCGGGCAAAGTAAACGAATGATTGATTTCAAAAGTTTGCAGGGCTAAAGATGTTTGCTATTTCACTGTTCTAATGGTTGATACCTTCTGTAATCCTTGACTCACCTTGTTTGTAGAAGCTGCAGATATGTTGCAGAAGCTCTCTCTGGATTCACAAGCAAAGGCTTCGGAGATTCCTGAGCCAAACAAGAAGGTGTGAATTAGGATTGTTTTTTTTTTGTCTGTGTTTGCGACCTTTAAAGCTCCAGTTTTTTTTTTTTTTTTTTTGCTTAACAAGAAGTTTTCTTTTGTAATTGTTTGTGCAGACTGCTGTATACCAGTATGGAGGTGTGGACTTGCATGGTCAAGTTCCTTCCTACGACCGATCTTTGACACCAATGCTTCCCAGTGATGCCGTGGATCCTTCAGTTTGCTATGTTCCGAATGCATACCAGCCGTATTATTACGGAGGTGACTTCATCCTCAAAAACCTTCTACGATCCAGTAACATCACTTTATAAGTTTGTTCTTCACCAGTTCTTAACAAATTTCTCGTTTTTATTAACTTTCAGGTTATGGAACTGGTCACGAGTGGAGCGAATACAGTGCTTACCCAAATCCTGAGGGCGTTGACATGAATTCTGTAAGTGTGTGCTTAGAGTAGGTTCATTGTGCCTTTCATTCTCTTCACATCTGAACAGTTTCGATATCTTTTACCAGGGAATGTATGGAGATAATGGATCTCTTGTGTATACTCAGGGTTACGGGTATGCAGCATATCCTTACTCGCCAGCAACAAGCCCTGCTCCACAGGTTGGCGGAGATGGCCAGTTGTATGGTGCGCAGCAGTACCAGTATCCTGCCTTTTTCCCCACTGGGCCTTTTGCTTCATCTGTTGCTACACCTACTCAGGGTGATCTCTCCGCAAATAAAGCTGGTGGTGTTAAGACGCTTTCTGCGGATAGCAATAATGTTTCTTCTGCTGGTGGTATGGCAAAAGTAAGCAATGGGTCAGCTCCAGTGAAACCAAATAACCAGACGTTTAACAACTCAAGCAATCTGTATGGAAATGGTGCACCGGGAGGAGGTTTCGCGGCTGGTTATCAGGATCCTAGATACAGCTATGATGGGTACTATGGTCCTGTGTCGTACGATGGCTCTAAGTATTCAGATGTGCAGAGACCTGTTGCTGGTAGTGGAATTGCATCCTCCTATTCTAAGACAACCAGTGTACCTTCATCGAGGAATCAAAACTACCGTTCGAATTCTCACTACACGGTATGATATCTTTCTATAGTTCTTTGTATTTAGTAAAAACGCTATTGTCCGTTAAGTTGGCGCTGAATCAATGTTTTCTCTATGGCAGGGTATGCAGCAGCCTGCATCAATGACGGGCTACGGTACAGCTCAGGGATACTACAACAGGATGTATCAAAACAAGTTCTATGGTCAGTATGGTAGCACGGGGAGATCTGGTGTGGGATATGGTTCTTCTGGGTATGATTCCAGAACCAATGGAAGAGGATGGGTGAGCTCAACAGACAACAAATACAGAAGCTGGGGAAGGGGTAACAATTACTTCTACGGAAACGAGAACAACGCAGATGGTTTGAACGAACTTAACAGGGGACCAAGAGCAAAGGGCACAAAGAACCAGAAGGGAAGTTCAGAAGATAGCGTAGATGTTAAGGAGCAGACTGGTGAGACAAATGTAACCGAGGCTGTGGAGACGGAGGACACATGCATTGTTCCTGACAGAGAACAGTACAACAAAGAAGATTTCCCAGCTGATTATGCGAATGCAATGTTCTTTATCATCAAGTCGTACAGCGAAGACGATGTGCACAAGAGCATCAAATACAATGTTTGGGCTAGCACACCGAATGGAAACAAGAAGCTTGCTGCAGCATACCAGGAAGCTCAGCAGAAACCTGGCGGCTGTCCTATCTTTCTATTTTTCTCGGTGTGTATAAAATCCTGAAACCAAACGTAGAGCGCTTTTATACTTTGTTTGATGATATTGAGCTCTAAATTTCGTTTTTTTTTGTCTTGCAGGTCAATGCAAGTGGACAATTTGTTGGGCTTGCTGAAATGACGGGACCAGTTGATTTCAACACAAATGTGGAGTACTGGCAGCAAGACAAGTGGACTGGTTCTTTCCCTCTCAAGTGGCATATTGTGAAGGATGTTCCAAACAGTTTGCTGAAACATATTACCCTTGAGAACAATGAGAACAAACCTGTCACAAACAGCAGAGACACACAAGAGGTAACAGACCTGTAAAGCTTTTACATCTCTTTAAGGCATGTTCTCGATTTTGTTTTCTTGTGCTGAAGTTTATTTTGTGATATCATGTTGTAGGTCAAATTGGAGCAAGGTTTGAAGATTGTGAAAATTTTCAAGGAGCATACTAGCAAGACTTGCATTCTGGATGACTTTTCCTTCTACGAGGTTCGGCAAAAGACTATCTTGGAGAAGAAAGCCAAGCAGCAGCAGACACAGAAACAGGCAAGAACAAGAAAACGATTCTATAAATCTTTGTTGTGGTCCGGTTTTTTAATTCGAGTGTTTCCTCTAACATGTAAATGAACTAAATCAACAGGTAAGTGTGGAGAAGACAACAACGGACGAGAAAAAGGAATCTGCAACTGCTGATTCGGCCAACAAGGAATCTCCTCCAGCTACTCAAACTACAGGTGATGCCAAGGTTGTTGAAAATGGGTCTGTTGCAAAACCAGATGGTGTGGTGGCAAATGGTTGCTAAGAGTAGACGACGGTTGCTCACGGCTTGAGCATAAAACGCAACAAGAGAGAAGAAGATATGAACAATCCCGTTTACAGTTTCTCTTGAGAACAAGTGCCGTGAGCTTGAAGCATGGAAGGGTCTTTAGTACCTGAGACCGATCCTTTTCTTTGCCCTTAGAAGTTAAAATCCCAGTTATTTTTTTTCAATCGTTTCTTGTTCTCTTTTCTCCCTCCTTTCTTTTAATCTGTGTCTTTTTTTTTTTTCTTTTCATTTTCGTTTCTGTTGGTCCACTCCTACCCTGTAAAAATGCGAACAGGACCTACTAAATTGTGGGAAGTGTTAGAGAAATGGTGATAAAAGCAGGGTGGGAGTTGTTTTTTTCAATTCTGTTGGATTTTAGGAAGAGATATTTTTTTCCGTTTTTTTGTTATGCAGTTTCTTGTTTGGTTTTTCAGACTTGGCTCTTTGAGTTATTTAGAATATGAGTCTTGGCCTCTTTTCGCCTCTCATGCTCCTGTCACTGCCAAAAGATATCCGAATCATTCCTTGGTCAGAAATTTCAACATCAGGATGTTAATATTGTTGACTTTTCGTGAAGAGAGCAACCCGACTTTGTATCTCTCTTCTCATTATTGTCACATAGTTGAATTATTGTTTTCATCATTACTGAAAAATCATGACGAGAACCATAATAAAAATTAAGTTTCCAAATTGATTGTTAGCAACATGAGTTCCTTTCATGACACAAATCTGTTATTTGATCTATCAAGCTGCAAGCCAAATCTAAGTGTTGATGGGGGTAAAGTAATTAATTATTTATCAAAAAAAAACTGTACAAATACTTGTCTGATCTGACGTGGCTAGATAGCTGATCTCGGGAACTCCGTGACATAGAACTATACTCCCTGTTCTGTTTCAGCCAAAGTATCAATTTTCTGGTTAGTTGGTGATTTTTGCCAGAAAAGAAAAGAGTCCAATTTTAAGTTAACGTGTAGTTCTCAGATTGATCAGTTGGTCGAAAGTGTCTAACTTTGGCTTAAATGGCGGCTCTTTTAGGCAGACTCTGCCGGCGATCGTCTTTTCCGGTCTCTGGTCATGGATTTAGGATGTTATCGACGGTTGAGAATGTATCGGAAAGTGGCAAACCGATGAATCTATACGCTGCTATCAATCAAGCGCTTCACATCGCCTTAGAGACCGATCCTCGGTGAGATTTTTCTTCCTCGGATCCAACTTTTTTAGATGCATTTGGATTTATTTATGATGAATTTTGGCATTTGGATTTATTTACGAAGGTCTTATGTGTTTGGGGAAGATGTTGGATTTGGTGGTGTGTTCCGTTGCACAACCGGTTTGGCTGAACGGTTTGGGAAATCACGAGTCTTTAACACTCCTCTTTGCGAGCAAGGCATTGTTGGCTTTGGCATTGGTCTAGCTGCATTGGTCACTTCTTCTTCTTCTTCTTCTCTCTCTTTTTTCTTAAATTGTTTTGTTCTCTCAAGGCCTCGTTGCTATAACAACAACATCTTCTGGTGACTGATTCTTTTTACAGGGAAACCGAGTTATTGCTGAAATCCAGTTTGCGGATTATATCTTCCCGGCTTTTGATCAGGTATAATGTAACCAAGTTATGACTATTGAAACCGACAAGAAGAAATTTTCTTTATAAAGTTTTGTGATCTCCTAGATTGTTAATGAGGCTGCAAAGTTTAGATACCGAAGTGGCAACCAGTTTAATTGTGGAGGTAAAACTATATCTTATAGTGTCTTCTTGGTTCGAGATGCAAAAGATCCAATTTTGTAGATACAAATAATTTAAGTTTTATATGGAACTTGTAGGACTTACAATAAGGGCACCGTATGGAGCAGTTGGTCATGGTGGACATTACCACTCACAGTCTCCTGAAGCTTTCTTCTGCCATGTCCCTGGTATCAAAGTAAAACATCTTCATCTTCTTCACTCTTAGCTTCCTTGAGGCGGTTCTCGAAGCATTTGATATAACAATCGACTGGTTTGGGATTTAAAGGTTGTTATCCCTCGAAGTCCACGGGAAGCTAAGGGACTATTGCTGTCATCTATCCGTGATCCAAATCCTGTTGTCTTTTTCGAACCAAAGGTACTAACTTTCCTCTCTCGCCTATCCAATAATTTTTGTAAAGAGTCTTTGAGCTTCTTCTTTTTCAGTGGCTGTATCGTCAGGCAGTAGAGGATGTCCCTGAAGATGACTATATGATACCTTTGTCAGAGGCAGAGGTATGTGCATTCCATCTCCAATGTCTGTTCTTATGATAAGACTAATCACATACTCGAAGACTAACAATAGTTTTGGTCAGGTTATAAGAGAAGGTTCTGACATAACTCTGGTTGGATGGGGAGCACAACACGCGATCATGGAGCAAGCTTGTCTCGACGCAGAAAAAGTTAGTTTTTTGTTTTGCGCTTATAACTTAATAAGTCTAAAGCTGAATCAGATGATTGAAACACGATATTGTTTTGCAGGAAGGGATATCATGTGAATTGATAGATCTCAAGACTCTGATCCCTTGGGATAAAGAAATCGTTGAGACCTCAGTGAGAAAAACCGGCAGACTTTTAGTAAGTCAAAAAGCTTCTCCGAGTGAGCAGCACTGTCCTGATTCATAGAGAATAAATGTGTTTTGGCTTGCTTCTGTTACAGATTAGCCATGAAGCTCCTATTACAGGAGGCTTTGGGGCCGAGATCTCTGCAACTATTGTGGAACGTTGCTTCTTGAGGGTAAAAAACAAGTCTACAACTACAACATCACCTTAACTTGTCTTTTTTAAGTTTTGCAGTTAGAAGCACCTGTAAGCAGAGTATGTGGTCTGGACACTCCTTTCCCTCTAGTGTTCGAACCATTCTACATGCCAACCAAGAACAAGGCAAGTTTCGCTTCTGGTCTCTAAATCTATATACCTCATCTCTTATTAGCGCGTTTCTGTTTCTAATGCTTAAATTGTTAACATTTGTTGCAGATATTGGATGCAATCAAGTCAACTGTGAACTACTAACACCATCATTTAGCCATCATGTTTAGTGATCTATGTATGATCTTGGAAGTTTGTAGCTGCAAACTGAGTTATGTAGACATATCTTGGAACAAAAAAAACAACTGAAGAAATGAATATGGGATAGCTCTGCTTGTGTAATTACAATGTTCTATTATCATTAGAATCTTAAACCGAAATACAAAACTGGGATCCCCTTTGATAAAGGACAATGTTTCTCAGCTACTCCAAGGAGCGCACAACCCGCGACTCTGTTGAAGGTAAACAATAGCAATAAGGTTTGATGCAACTAGATATCGAAAATTACACTGAGAAAGATCAGAAAACAGAGGAAGGTGTGTTACTTACATACTACTCAATCTGGATCCTCTTGTAGTCTGAGAGAACCGGGTATATATTCTCAAAGGCTTTATAGGTGTCCTCTCTCCTCTGATATTGAGTGACCTCAGAGGATTTACATCAGATTGCAAGAAGATAGCTAGAGAGAGACAATCCTCGGTAGATTATTACAAAACCTAAAAGAGAGAGTGAGTGTTTTTTTTTTACCTTTGCACCAGTGATGACGATCTTGCCAGAGACAAAAACTAGTAGAACAATCTTAGGGGATTTCATCCTGTAAATGAGCCCTGGAAATATCTCAGGCTCGTACTGTCAATAAGAGAGAGAGAGAGGTAATTATCAGTAGAGAGCGTTTTGTTTATCTCCAATACTACTACTTGTATTGCTTATTCAAAGTTCAATAAAGATTGCAAATGGCTTACACTTATGAAAGCGCCGTGATCGTATGCAAGGCCTTCAAGTCTTATAGGGAACTTGACATCACAAGAGCCTACGATATTCTGAATCTTGAAATCCTGCACGACAATGTTACCATAATGATTGCATATAAACTGATATCTAAAAGAAACATAACAGCTTCAGATAGGGATCAAGAAGTTTATAGAAAAGGTACCTTGAACTTTGCAGGAAACCCTAGCTTCTGAACAATCCGAGCATACTTCAAACAATAATACATCTTCCTATTAGCATTACATGATTTGCCGTTGATATGGCTGCTAAGGTAAAACAAGAAGAAATCTACCTTTCTTGCAGCCAACTTTGAAGAGTACTCACTCTTGGCTCCAGTACAGACCTAAATTTTCGAGGTTAAAACTCAAAACAGAATCTAATTTTTAGAAAGATATGGTCAAGCAATATATATATATATATATATATATATAACACATACCATTCTTCCAGAGCCAAAAATTAATGCCGTGGTCTTTGGTTCTCTTATTCTCATGACCACAGCAGCAAAACGCTGGAAACAATGAAACACATAGATTGATTCTTTAAAATAGCCAAAAAAAAAACTTGGCTAGATAATATTTTAATTAAACTGTGTAATTATTAATATATCAAAAGTAATGCAAAAACCTTGGGATTATATTCAGCATTCCGAGCCTGCAAAGCTATGGCTTTAAGATCTAGCTTGCAGTCCAAGTTAACCGTTGAGACAATGTTTCTGAAAGCATCCAAGAATCAGATCTACACGAGGATCAAAGCACACTAAATCTTTAAAGAGACAGAAACAAAAGACAAAAGAAACTCACTGAAGAGTGGGAACAATCCCCGAAGGATGCTCGATAGGGTCCACTGGATTACTACTCCCTTCGGATACTTGATCAGTCATATTCTCTCCTCCTAATACAACACAAAACCAATACCAACAAGAAAACATGTTTTAACATTACAAAAAATGGATGATGGATCCAGTATACTTCATCAAAAGTGTTTCGATCATCGTCGAAACAAGGACAAATTTTTCATCTAAACTATGATGAAACTCATAATCAGAAAAATTAGGTCAGATCTTTCGCAAGCGAACAAATCAACGGAAAGAAAAAGAAAAGCTGAAGCTTTTACACAGAGATTTGAGGATCGGGGAGGGAGAGAGATTTGAATATCGGTGCTTATAAAGGAGGAGAGTGATTTAGTTCTGCCTCTGCGTTTTCTCTTATGAACTGCTGCTACCGACTTTTCGTTTTGGAACTGTGTGGCAAAAGCTTAGGGGAGATTTTGACCTATATATATAGATATGCCTAAGTTACCCTTGACCGTCTTTGTTAGACTGAGGGTATTTTGGGGAAATCTCATGGGAAAGCTACGATGACTGGTTTCGCTGAATATTTTAGACGAACGTCCACTCTTATTCAGCCACGCATTCGTGTGTCATTTTCTTGCGCCGACGACATTCACGCCGCAAGTTTTGTTTCAGCTCTCTCTATCATTTAACTCATCTCTTATCGTTTCTGTTTCTAATGATTCCATGCTTCTCATATATAATTAGTAAACTTGTGAACTTCAGTATTGTACATGAACTTGAATATGATGTGAGACTTTAAACAAGACGCAGCTGCAAACTGAGTTAAGTTTATATACATTTTAACAAATGTGTATATATTGGAAGAAAAAACAACAACATAAGAATTGTCTCCATAAGAGAAGGTTCTGACATAATAACTCTTGTTTGATGGGGAGCACAAGTCACTAGCTATCATGAAACAAGCTTGTCTCGACGCAGAAAAAGTTACAGTTTTATGTTTTACGCTTAACTTAATAAGTCTAAGGTGAATCAGATGATTGAAACACACTAGTTTTGTTGTGAAGGAATGAGAGTAGGCTCAAGGACAAATTTGTTAATCAGCAACTCCAAGAGGCAAGGAACAAACCCGCGACTCTCTGTTGAAAGATAAACAATAGCAATTAGGTTCATGCAAGCACACTGAGAAAGACGAGAACACAGAGAAAAGGTGTGTTGTTACTTACATACGATCCTGATCTTCTTGAAACCTGTGAGGACCGGGTATATATTCTCAAATGCTTTGTATGTGTCCTCTCTCCTCTGAAATTTTGAAGTGAGTGACCTCAGGATTTTATATCAGATGGCAACAGGGCTATAGACAGACAAAACCTAAAAGAGAGAGTGAGGTTTTTTTTTTGTTACCTTTGCTCCAGTGATGACGATCTTGCCAGACACAAATATTAGTAGAACAATCATAGGCGATTTCATCTTGTAAATCAACCCTGGAAACATCTCAGGATCGTACTGTCAACAAGAGAGAGAGAGACGTAATGCGCATCAGTACGTAGAGCGTTTTTTATTATTATCTCCAAAGAATAGAGGTTGAAGGTCACTTACACTTGAGAAAGCGTAGTGAGCATATGCAAGACCTTCAAGTCTTATAGGGAACTTGACATCACAAGAACCTACGATATTCTGAATCTTTAAATCCTGCACGACAATGTTACCATGATGATGATATGTATGTTGGTACAACCACAAACGGATCTAACTAAGAGAAGAATAATGTCAGATTGGTAAAATAAAAGTACCTTGAACTTTGCAGGAAACCCTAGCTTCTGAACAACGCGAGCATACTTTGAAAAAGAATCAGAACATCTCCAATTAGCATTATTATTATATAATAATCGCCATTAATACGGCTAAAGTAAAGAAGAAGAAAATGTACCTTTCTTGCAGCCGTCTTTGAAGACTCTTCACTCTTGGCTCCAGTACAGACCTAAATTTGGAGAAGACAAATCAAAACTGAATCTAATTTTAGAATTTATGAAAAGATATATGGTCAAGCAAGATATATAACAACACATACCATTCTTCCAGGGCCAAAAATTAATGCTGTGGTCTTTGGTTCTCTTATTCTCATGATCACAGCAGCAAAACGCTGGAAACATGAAACACATCAGATATTAGTAATGCAAAGAGCAGATAATATCCTAAACTGTGTAATTAATATATCAAAAATTATTGCAAAACCTTGGGATTATATTCGGCATTCCGAGCCTGCAAAGCTATGGCTTTAAGATCTAGCTTGCAGTCCAAGTTAACTGTTGAGACGACGTTTCTGAAAACATCCAAGATTCAATTATCCGCGAGGATCAAAGCACGCTAAATCTTTAAAGAGACAGAAACAAAAGACAAAGAAACTCACTGAAGAGTGGGAACAATCCCTGAAGGATGCTCGGTGAGGTCCACTGGATTACTACTCCCTTCCGATACTTGATCAGTCATATTCTCCTTAATACTACACAAAACCAAAACTAACTCATCAATTTAAGCAAAGACTCAGGCAAGATAATAATAATAGACAGTCGAGACGGTCCAAGAAAATATGGTTTTAACATTACGATACATTGATCCAATATATAATCAGGTTGTCTCATCAAAAGGGTTTCGATAATTTAGTTTCAGCTTCGAAACAAGGACAAGATTTTCTCTCTAAACTATGTGAAACTAATAATCAAAAAGATTAGGTCAGATCTTTCGCAAGCGATCAAATTAACGGAAAGAAAAAAGCAAAAGGTGAAGATTTTATACAGAGATTTGAGGATCGGGGAGGGAAAGAGATTTGAATATCGGTGCTTATAAAGGGGACAGTGGTTTGGTTCTGTCTCTGCTTTTCTCTTATGAACTGCTGCTACCGACTTTGCGTTTTGGAACTGGCAAAAGCTTGGGGGAGATTTTGACCTATATATAGATATGCCTAAGTTACCCTTGACCGTCCTTCTAAGATCGAGGGTATTTTGGGAACTTTATACGGGATGACTGTGCTCGCTGAGTATATCAGACGAACGTCCACTCTTACTCAGCCACATCAGCACTCGTGTGTATATATCATTTTCTTGCGCCGACATTCAGTATTTTTATTTTTCTTTAAATATTATAGAATTTTTACTACCGTATGTTATGCCTTTTAAAAGTTATCTATTTATTATGTACATGCCGCAAGTTCACATTTATAATTAGTAGACTTTTGAATTTCAGTATTGTATTCACATCTATCTTTGTTTACAATCTTCGATAATCTAAACAAGACGCAGCTGCAAATTGAGTTACGTTTATACTTTTTAACAAACGTGTGAATGTTGGAACAAAAAAAAAACAACAGAAGAATAGTCTCCCTTTGTGTATTTACAATATACTCTATTACAATCTTAAAGGAGTCTGGCTACTTTGAGAGCCTTTGTTCAAGGACAAAATTTTCTCAGCAACTCCAAGTGGCTAAAGACCGCACAACAACTAGTTTTGCAAAGAACAAACCCGCTCGACCCTGTTTAATATATAAACAACAACAACAATTAGGTTCACGCAATAAGATATCAATATACCAACCATTACAGAGAGTAGGTTCACGCAATAAGATATCAAAATACCAACCATTACAGAGAGAAATGAGGAAGTTGAGAGGTGTGTTGTTACTTACTATTGCTGGATCTTTCTGAACTCCGTGAGGACCGGGTATATATTCTCAAAGGCTTTGTAGGTCTCCTCTCTCATCTGATAGTGAGTGACCTCAGGATTTACATCAGATTGCAAGAAGAGCAAGAGAGGGACAATAGCATGCATTTCTCGGGACCTAAAGAGAAAGTGATGAGATTTTACCTTTGCTCCAGTGATGACTATCTTGCCAGACACAAAAATCAGAAGTACAATCTTGGGTACTTTCATCCTGTAGATCAGCCCCGGAAACAGCTCAGGCTCGTACTGTCACATCATATATGAGAGAGAGAGAGAGAGAGAGAGAGAGAGGTAACACACAATCAGCAGTATGCTTAAATTAAAGTTGAAAACAATAAAAGTGAAGGTTGAAACTGTTTATGTCACTTACACTTGAGAAAGCGGCGTGAGAGTATGCAAGACCTTCAAGCCTTATAGGGAACTTGACATCACAAGAACCTACGATATTCTGAATCTTGAAATCCTACGGGATTCAACCATGGATACATTTTATACAAACAAAACTAAGAAAAAACATGTCAGATTGGGATAAGAGGTTGGTGTAGAAAAAGGTACCTTAAATTTTGCCGGAAACCCCAGCTTCTGGACAATCCTGGCATACTAAACAGTAGAACATTTCATATTAGCATAACGTAATGTATTATGGCTTAAAGTGAAGAAGAATAAATCCAGATTTCCTTTGAATATCTATAAGCAACTTAATAAAAGAGGTTAGAGAAACGAAAACTACCTTTCTTGCAGCCATTTTTGAAAAATCTTCACTCTTAGCTCCAGTACAAACCTGAATTGGAGATTTCGAAGCAAAATATTAATGAAATTTGAAATTTTTAAGAATTATGATGAAAAAAAAAAACGGCCAATCAAGATAGATAACATACCATTTTACCAGAGGCAAAAATTAATGCTGTGGTCTTTGGTTCTCTAATTCGCATGATCACAGCAGCAAAACGCTGAAAACATGAAACGCAGAAGAAAATCTTATAAAATAGGAAAGTTTGGATATGGCCAGTTATAATTTTGCAAAGAACAGATCATATCTTAAAATTCTAATTGATCAGTACACCACCACTTCTTCATATATATCCATGACTTAATCCAAAGCAGATCCCAAGTAACAATAAGGCTCAAGAGTTGAGAGTATGCATTTCAAGCTGACGAATCAATTCCGAATATGATTTTTTTTTTAAATTGATAACTAAAACGGAATATCCACACAATAATGCAAAAACCTTGGGATTATATTCAGCATTCCGAGCCTGCAAAGCTATGGCTTTAAGATCTAGCTTGCAGTCTAAGTTCACCGTTGAGACAATGTTTCTGAAACAAACCATCCACGATGAAATTATTCTCCACATGAATCAAACATTCATTCACAGGAGTCTCATTAAAATAAAATAAAAACTCACTGAAGAGTGGGAACAATCCCCGAAGGATGCTCGGTGAGGTCCACTGGATTACTCCCTTCCAATACTTGATCAGCCATATTCTCCTACTATTACACAAAACCAAATCAATACATTAAACTAAAAACTCAAGACTCAGAACAAGATAGACGGTCCGAGCTGAGAAGAAACCACAAGAGACTATGGCTAATAGAACAATACTTTGATCCTATAGTCAGATTGTATAATCAAAAGGGTATTTGATTATTTTAAGGACCCTTATAAAGCCGATATAGTTTCATTTTCGAAATTACGACATGTTTTCTCTAAGCTATGAATCTCATAAGATCCAATCGAAAACCCCATCATAGGGATTAGGGATAATAAACATGTATGACCGATTAAACCCATGGAAGGAAATGAAAAAGGTCAGACCTTATTGTTAGCGATTCCGACACGGAATCTAGGGTTTTGAGGTCGGAAACGATTAGGCGAGATTCCCGGTTGAAAATTGGCGGAAAAGAATGAAGAGGTGAAGCTTTTATATAGAGATCTGAGAAATGGAGAGGGAAAGAGATTTATAAATCGTTGCTTATAAAGGGCAGAGTGATTTGGTTTCGCTCTCGCTTCTCTCTTATGAATGAGGATTTTTTAGATCTGTGAGAGGCTCTCGATTTGCGTTTTGGATTTGGTTGGCTTATGGACATATATACTGTATATATAGATGCCTAATCTACCCTTTACCATCTTTGTTAGACCGAGGGTATTTTGGGAACATGACGTGGGAAGTCTATAATGACGATACTCGCTGGGTTTTTTCCGTGAACGTCCAGTCTTATTCAGCCACGTCAGCACTCGAAAAGAAGCATTGAACCGGGTTTACAAAATCAAATCACGGTTATGACAAGACTAACAATTAATGAACCGGATTTTCATAAAAAAATGAACACTGGAAAATTCAGTGTCAAATGAGTGTTTACAAAATGGTAAGATGTTCAAGTAACAAAGAATGCTTCTGCGATCAAACCAAGTATGATCATTCATCGCCATTGTTTCTCCATAAACGATGATAAAGATCTCGAAAACTGCGACATAAACGACGCCGGTGATGATGTCTCCTTGTCCAGGCACTCCTCGTCTTTGTCTCTCCAGAACTTGAGGATAAGTAGATTCTCCTCTTCAGTCGATCTCTGAACCACGATTCTCGAAGCGTAACCTTTCTTCCTCATCACCAGACAAATCTCTGCAGGGTAATTCGAAGTCAACGTCACCAAGTAGAACCAACCTTTCTCCGAAAGCAAAAGATCAACCACAGGCAACATCTTGTCGATGACGGTCCGGCCGTTTTCCCCTCCGGCCCAAGCAGAGGCAATGCCTTCCACGCCAACTTCGTACTCCGGCGTTGGCACGTAAGGCGGATTCACCACCATCACGTCGACGGAGCCAGCGAGCCTCTTCTCTAAACAAGAAGCTATGTCCGTGCAGATAACATCAGCAGCGACTCCATGTGCTTCCAGAGTTTCTCTCGTCACTCCTGCAGCGATCGGGTTTGTGTCGGTGGCTAGATAGTGAACACCGGGAACTTCGTCTTGAAGAAGAAGGATCAGTGATGTTATGACATAGCCGCTTCCGCATCCAATCTCCATACAGATCTTAGGGTTGTGGTCTATCAGGTTGGTTCGATCAGCGAGTAACGCATCAACTAGAGCAAATGAGTCATCGCATGGTTCGTACACCTCACGATGCGAGCTTACAAGCCGGATTTCAGCAATTCTTGATGGCATCTCGTAAATGAACAGTCTACAAAAAAAAACCACGAGAATGTGTATTCAACATCTCAAAACAATCAAAAGCTCTACACAGTTTCTATTAAAAAAAGTGGAAGAACACAATCAAACCAAACCATCAAGGAATTGATTCGACGATCCAAAACATTCACTAACTGCCCTCTGGATCATTTCTAATAGTTTTTTAATCTCCTATATATGTATCTTCCAAGGCCAAACCGTATGGTAATTGATAAGCAAAACATGTTCGCCAAAACTAGGACTGGAATCGAAAAATTGAAACTCGCCGATTCTCAGATCATATTCGTAATCATCGAAAATGAATTCAGTATGAAATTAAATCAAGGGTTCTTCCTACAAAGATAGACTCTCGAAGCTCTAGTAAGACCTGAAATCTGATAAATCCAGAGTAAGACGAGAGTTACCACTGAAGAGTTAAGGATTATTATCCCGAAAGGGTTGGAGAATCGATCTTTTCGTGAAACGCCGTTTTGGGTAGTCTTCAAAAACTTCAATTTTAATCAAATTCGACGAAAAAAAAACTCAAAACGATAGATTTCACGAACAAGGAGGCGACGGCTACGGCGGAGGGCTTAAGAGTGTGACAGGGAGAATGAAAAAAAAAAGAGTTGAAAAGACGCCGTTAAGTTTTCACTAATTACACTTTAGCACCAAAACTTACAAAGTAGTCGAATCTTTCCAATTGGTTGGAGAGATTCTATAAATATAGACCAGCTTAATTATGGAAGCACGGGCCGTATATGCTTATAATGGGCCCAAAGCCCCTTTTTACAAACAGAGATAATAATAACTTAGAAAAATGTAGGGGTGGGCGCGGATCGGATATCCGAGAATATTTTAGTATTTGTGGTTTGTTCCGTTTTTAACGGATATTTAATTTTATGATTTGATTTGCTCCGAAAATATACGGATATCCGAAAAATTTACAAGTATTTGCGGATATTTGCGGATATTTACGAATATTTATGAATATTTAGTTTGATTTGTTTAATATACACAAAACTGAAAGTACATCAATTTTTACTATAAAAAAAAAATTTCATCTAAACTATTAAGTGAAAATAACTAAAAAAAAATATTTTATTTTATAAAAAAATCTATAAAAAATAAAACTACAAAATTAAGATGAGGAAAAATGATATTTTATATTTAAAATAATATTAACTATTTGAAACTTTAATATTAAACTTTACTAAAAAAAATTTTATTGATATTTATTTAGTAATATAAAATAAAATATTATTTATTAACATATTTTAAGTTTAAACATATTATTTATTTTTTATAATTGGTTATTTAGTCATTTATTTTATATAATCAAAAGAACAATTGAAAATTTAGGAAGAAAATTGAGAATATATTAATAAAAGTTTATAATATAATTGATATATATATGACAATATATAATAAATTTATAAAGATACGGATCGGATCGAATATTCGGCGTTATCTAAAAACATATTTGTGATTTGCTCTGTTTTGTACGGATACTACATTTTGCTATTTGCTTTGCTCCGAAGCTTTACGGATATCTGGATTTTTTAAATCGAATCGAAGCAAATATCGGTTCGAAGCAGATACAACGGATATTTTAGCCATTCATAGAAAAATGATTGGGTGGCTTGTCTCCATGAGGAGCAGGTCTAGAAAAACTGCCACTGAAGCCAATCTTCATTCCTTTGCTGATGTGTAGATTCCCAATCATTTTTCCTGCTTATAATCCGATAAACCATGCATGAGATTAAACAAGTTATATGAAATGATATGTGTACGATTGTATCATTTTAATATTTTACACTTAACAGAGCTATCATGACCTAATCGATCAAACTCAAGTATCAATTCAAAAAGATACACTTTTCTCCACATGTATGCGAATTTCACTTGACATATGTAGCAGATCCGCGAATTAATCTGAATTTCACTATCATGATTCATATAGATTATCCGAATAATTAAACTAAAAATGAAAAGAGATAAGTGACGGAAACTTACTTGACGTGCGAGATGGGTATGTTACTTTAGCCAAATTTGGGGTAGCAATAGACAAGAGGAGAATCAAAGCAATTAACAAACTCAACTTCATCTTTTTTTTCGCTGATAAGCTTTACGACTCTGAAGAACACTTAACCGTGCTCATATAGAAAGCTGCGGTGTAGTCGTTGTTTATTAAAAAATTTAACAATGGATGTTGCTTCCCTGAATTAACGTGAATTATAAAAGAAATTTAATAAACATCTTTGACTTTTTGTTTTATATATGAAATTGTGTGACATTGTTTAATTTAACGATGTCACATTAGGCTACAGGGTGTCATGTTTACTCATCTATCACGTATATAAAGAGAAAATTATTTGTTAGTTTCGAAAAGAAAAATAGACAACATTTCTTAAAAGGATATTTGTTCGTTGAATGAACTAACACCTTTTTCTCCATCGTTATTTGTGGTTCACAATATTTTTCGTCACATGTTATTTTGTCAAATACAGACGAGCAAGTGCCATGACCGAAAAAAACAAGTATTGCCGAAATATGCAGAAAAGAAATTTCACAGCTTTGGACTGAATAATATGAATGTTATAAGAAAGCAAAATTCCGGTTGTTCAGGCAGAAAGGATCATAAGTCATTAAATGGAATTTTCATCCTATTTCACTGTTTGACTTCAAAGATTTGACGAAACAATATAATCTATTAATCTTTATATTTAGTCCTAGTATGAAAGACATCCGAATGCTTCTGTTCAAGAGAATTTTTTTTTTTTTTAGCTTTCTCTATTTTTCTTTCAATTTTTTTATACGTTAATTTGTCTTGGGATCCCCAATCATATAGATCCTTTGTGTTTTGGATTCGGTTGCTGCGTGCTGCATCTATACGACGGAAGCATGCTCGAACACATCTACCCTGTTATGCATGCTGAGAGAAGAACTTTTTTGTAACGTAAAAGTTTATAATTACTTCAGAATTTTTATTCGTAGCTAATTACTGTAGGAGCACAAAATTACATTTTTTCTTTCTTTCTTCATGTCCTGCTCATCTGTATTTATAAAAATATCAGAGAATATACATAAACCGATCCTTTTAAACAGCAGCTTCCATGCTATTTTCTCCCGCGGCCCGCAGGTCTCGATTTACTAGGCGATGCTTCTATAATCACTGTTAGATAAATTGACGTCGTTAGTTAATAACTAAACTAGAAAATGAAATATTCAGACTCCTTACAAATCGGATGATAGTTAAATATTCAGACTCCTTACAAAGTTTGCGGATTTGGTATGGCTCAGTTGAAGCTGCAAAAGATGAAATCACCAAAGAGAGAACCAAAAACAAAGCAATCAACCACAATTTTCCCATCATTATTTTTCTATCGTTGTGTTGGTGGATTTTGTAGGTGAAAATTTTCTAGGTATGTATATATGTGTATTTATAGCAATTAGAAATTAAAGCATAAAGGTTTACAATGAGGTAGCGTGTTGAAACCATATAGTCTGACCTGAAAGAAGAGTCTTCGACGTAGACAAATATGTTCATCTTTGAACACTTTGTGAACTCATTGGGAATTTTTCATTAAACACAATTAAATCCTATGATTTCGTAAATTGCCCCAAAAGCCGATGATCGGATCCGTCCCATATCCCAATATATAGGACAGAAGAAAACTTTTTTTAATATGCAGATTGTGAGTGCCTCCTTTTGGCTTTTCCTTGATTTAAATAGGAAAATACTACAAACTGATCAGAATTAGAATCAATCTTGATTCCTACAACTTAGGGAAATGGGAAAAGTGGTGATTTTTGAATCAACCATATTTCATAGTCAACAAACAGAAATGAGTATAACACTAGTAACGACGAAAAATAGACAACTGGCATTTTATAACATTATTCCGTCTCGACATTGTTAATCAGGTGTCACGAGCATGAGCATCGCTTATCTAGCTAGAGATGTGTGTTCACGTCCAGTTACACGGAAGACAATGTCAATTAATCTTACATAAATAGATTTTCAAATTACATGACAACCTGGTTCGTTGACAATTTCTTTTTCTTTGTTTTTATGGACAGGATATGACTATGAGGACAACACCCACATAATTACTTCTCGAAGGAATTCGAGGAAAGAGTAAAAAAGCAAATAGGAGCCCTAGCTCCATTAATTTTCTAATGATTATTTTTCACTTTGACTAAACTAAACAGTTCAAGAGTAAAATATGTTTACGGAGGACAAACAAAATAAAGAAAATTAGGGAGTCCAGAGAAGAATCAAAACATCAAAACTCTATATATAAGTTTCATACCAAAATAAAAATAATATAAAAACATATATGTGACTGACGCCTTAGACTACGCTTGGGCCTGGGGATTGAGACGAGTCACTCCCACCCCATTGGCGATCGGGTGGTGATTTACTCCGAGGTGCTCCGATCTTCATCATCTTCCGAATGTGAATCGTTTCTGCTATGTTTTCTTCTTCTATAAAGTTTTATATATGAAAATATCAATTGATATATTATATACTAAGTAATAGCATACATGTGAAAGTAGCAAATATGCTAATAAGCTTCTTACTCTCTTTAGTTTCATTAGTAAACCTTATAACTTCTCTCATTAGGCATACATAGGTAGAAAAGAGGATGATATATATCAATAATACAGTAATACTTACTGGACTTGTATGATTGAGCTAAAACGACGTATGACCAAATCGCCAAAGAGAGAATCAAAAGCCAAACAATTAAACAGAACTTGACCTTCATTTTCTGGTGATACGTTATATCGTGTGTATAGAGAGACATATAGATAGAAGATATTAAATAAAGTTTGCGCGTTAGATGTCAGAAGACTTTCTATAGATAAACATATTCTACGTACTGTGTATAACAGATATAATCATATAAGTCAATATCTATGTTTTCGAGGAGATTAGACTACATATGTACACGCTCTTTTTGTCTTTTGGATCAAGCGAAATTTAACTATTTTATTAATTTCTCGCTCAAACTTTTGTAAGTTTTGCTCTTAATAAGGATTTTTTTTATTCGAACTAATTTTAAAATAATCTTATCGAAGCATATCTGCTTAGCATTTAAACAAAACGTACAGCGAGTCAAACAAAAATTCTTTTTTCCCCAATTTGGACTTTCCTTGACACTAGGGTTATTGTTGATATACATAACAAATCATACAATTTTAAAAATAAGCGAGTACGAATATGCCTTGGCCGGTCCGTCTAACAAAATTAACCGGCGGTTGGGGAACCTCCTCCGATGGATTCTGAGCCTTGCCCCCCACGCTTCGTCACACTACCTGGTGTTTGGATCTTCTTTGTCTTGTGAATATGAATCATTTCTCTTTTTTCGTCTTTTATAAAAATTTATGTACACAACGTAAATGTTAGTAAAAACCTTACTCTTACATCTTTATCATCAACCTTAAAACTACAACTGCTCTAAATCCGTATAATGAATCTATGGTGTTTAAAATCGTATATATATGCCTTGATGATTATATGGCTATAGCACGGATGGTAAATATTTGAAGTACTCACCGATTTCGCAAAGTTTACATGGCTGTTCTGAGATCGTCGCAAGTAAAAACAACAAAGAGAGAACCAAAAGTGAAGCAATAAACCACAACTTGCTCTTCATTTCTTATATTTCTGTGCTGAATTTTTTTTTATATGGGACGGTATAAAGCTTTACACATATGTGTCCTTATATGAAATCAAACAGTTGACTAAGGTTCATTTAATATGCTAATGGAGCTTTCGAATTGTAAAACTTGAACAGAACTTTAAGATTTCAAAATTACCGCATGGAGAACGTTGAAACAAACGTAACAGAGAGATATAATAATTAATAAGACAAGATCAAGACTTCTCTTCAGAGAAATCAACAGAAAATTAGACTAATTGCATAAGTTAGCTATTTCCGATTTCTTTTTTTAGTACTGATTATAAGAGTAGATCTTATTCTTGCTGTGTTTGTATAATGAAGTGATCGGATCAAAATTTTGAAACGATCAGAGCAAAACAAGAAAAAGTCAAACACACACACAAAAAAAAGACTTACAATTCCAAAGAATCCACTTTCCACAAAATCTGAGAAACTATGTGCAGCCAAACAACATCAACACTAATTAAGTAGTAACTAATCACAAACGCTTCACCAAAATCCTCCTCTGTTCAGTGACCTGTCTCACACTTGTGAGAGACTTAATTAGCTGATGATCCATTGTTCGAACTTGAGTCCACTGATGATCCATTGTTCTCCGTAGAAGCAACACTGACATCGTCATCGTTTCTCGACGTTTCTGCATCGGTCTTTGGTTCACCATCATCATCCCTCGTAGGAAGTAGATACCTGCACACAGGGCACGAGCTATGAAGCTCAAGCCACGGCAACAAGCAGTCGCTGTGAAACTTATGCGTACACGGCATCTCTTTCGCCTCCACCCCAATCTCAAAATCATCCAAACACACAGTACACTGCAACAAACTCTCTCCGATTCTCACAGCGGCCAACGCCTCGACCACGTCCTTGTTAGCCGGAGGCGTCCCGTACCTGTTGCCCGGGTCACTCTCGGCCAAACGCTCGAGCAGCATCTCGAATCCAGGTCCGATGAAGTAGTCACCCAAAGATCCAGAAGGAACAGAGGTGGTGTCGACGGAATCTTGAATCCTGATCCTTTGGTTAAACGAGTTGATCAAGACAACAAGCTCGCTTTCAGGGTTATCCTCGTTGCTCTCGGATTCAACCGATAACCCGTCTCGGATCCCCTGAAGCAGATCAAGAATCGCAGCCGAATGGCTTCTCCTTCTGCTAATAATCTCTTGGAGCTGCTGATCCAAATCAATCTCTCCACCATTGTTCTGATCATCATCATCATGAAGGATCGCAGCCGAATGACTTCTCCTTCTGCTAATAATCCCTTGGAGCTGCTGGTCCAAATCAACCTCTCCACCATTGTTCTGATCATCATCATCATCATCATCATCATCATCTTCAGCATTAGGTTCTGAGGCTCCCTGGTTTGTTGTTGTGTGGTGGTCATGATGGTTCATCATCCCAATCAAGATCGGAGCCCACAGAGAATCCGCAGCTTGATGATGATCATTGGCAACCGAATCTGGAGGGTTATCCATTTCTTCTACAAATCCGCTCTGGCAGAAATTGCATTCGATGATCTCTCCGTCAATAACTGGGTTCACCGATCGAGAGCACATGTGACACCAATACATTGTCTCGGTTGCATCCTCCATAGCCAATTCTTGTTCTGATCTCTCTCTGCTCACAGTCAAATAAAGCACCGATCTATTAACCAAAGGAGAAATGCAGAAGTTGAGAATTAGAGACTTTGATCAAACCAGCCAGAAAAGTTTATCATCAGCAGAAAACTAAAAAGACTTTGCGAACGTCAATCGAATCATTCCATAAACGAATTAAACAGGAAAAAAAATCTTAAATTGGTTTACTCAATACACTGAATCTCGGAAGACTTGTATAGATAAAGGGATTTCAAACGAGAGAGTTCGAACAACACAAGTAGAAAGATCAGAAAATTCTTAATAAGAGAATCGGAATAGGGTTTATTAACTTACCTCTTCAAAGCCAAAAACACGCGCGCGAGTAGTACGAATATACAAAGGAGACAAATACTAGAAATTACTCGAGAATTTTCAGCAAAATTTTGAAATCGAACAAGGCAAGGTCGAATTTTCTGGGCAGTGTATGAAAACGGCTGGGGATCCACGCAGAGTTTTGAGTCTTTGACCACTTTTTCATAAATTGTTAATCTAATCGGCAAATAGTCAGACGTGGATAAGTTTTCGAATTTAGGTCAAAGTTGTCGAAATCATATTTACGAGGCCCATTTAATTAAATTGAGAGACCCCAACTTTACAGTCCACATGGGGCCGTTCAAAATCATGCCCCATGCCCAAAGCCGGTCTGGTTAGGGAAATTCCAGCTTGATTTAATTTAGGTTTGGTTCGGTTTGATGCAATTTCTTATGGTTTAATCGTTGTATTCTCTATATGGGATTTCAGATTACTTATGGTTTAACCGTTTTTTGTTGTTGTTGTGTGTTTCATGTTGGTACTTCAAAATCTTAAATACTTGAGGTTTTCAACTTCTTGCACAACTGCATTAACATAAAAGATTAGGATGAATACCAAATGTTTGGATGAAAATCATCTTTATACTAATCCTCCAATGCACCACAAAAGAATATGTATTTTCTCCATATGTACAGAAAAAGAATGGTGATGTACATTCGGGTGTTGAATCAGTGGAGACTAGCATCAAGGGACTCCAAGGATCTCGAAAGCGGAGACTTACTTCGAGAGGCTTCTCCAGCAGATGATTGTGATCCTTTGTACATGTTCCCAGCTGAATGATATTTAATCACCTACAAAAGGATCAAAACATTTGATTTGCATCCACTACGGCTTCAGGGAAATCTGATTGTATAAATTCCTAACAAGTGGGAAGTTTAACTATAAAGAAGAGTGCATAAGCGAGTTTCGAGAAGTAAGAGTTAGAAGATAGCAAAACCTGAGTTACCTTGGGTGAAGTGATATTGTTTTGGCCATCATCCAATGGAGGAGTGTTGTGGTAGGCTAGTTCGTCGATAGAGTCTCCCAAGATCTCATCAGAACGTGAACGCTGCTTAGCTATAGCAGAAGGCTCTAAGAAGCTATTTCGTAATCCAGGACCACGTGAACTCTGCCTAGCTAAAAGAGGAGGCTCTAAGAAGCTATTTCGTAGATCTGAATCTGACAGACGGGGAAATGAAGTGTCTACAATGGAAGCTCCCAGCCTATAAATCTGAAACCATAACAGAGATGACGATAGCCTCACAATGAACCCAGCAATTTCCATAGCCATGGTGAGTTTCACAGAGAAGATGTGAAGGGCTTGATACATCTCAGATGAAATGTTCCTGCATACACAATTAAATCCTTTTTTTTGTCAATTATATGCTGCAAGATGAATACTGGTTCTACATCATGTACATAATCTGGCCAGGACATAGCCATTGCGAACACAAATTCAATGATCACAAGCAAGAAAAATGCAGGACAGTTCACAATTTGTGTTGCAGATTAACCAAGCCACAAAAAAAAACTCTTAATACGGAAAATTGTTTGATTATATGATCACGAGCAAGTCTGTTTCAAGGATAGTAGTATTACCAAATCTCTTTGGAGAAGAGTATGAGCCATGAGATATCAAGAAGAATGGCGCAGAAAAGAAGAACCGCATAGGTCCGGCCAAGACTCTGGCTATTGCTCTCTATTGCCACCAGCGCGAATAACGCAATCGCCAAATTTATCAGCAAGACTCCATTGTACAATGCCCCTAGTGAACCGATCAACGAGCACCCTATCTGAAACCAGAAAAAAGATGAGTTTCTTGCACTTACACCCACAAATAAATCTAATTACTGGAAATTCGATTAAGGAATCGAGGAACCCTAGACCCCCAACTAGATACGGAATCATCAACGATGGAAAGCGAGAATCGGAACGATCTCAAAGCAATTACGGATTACCTGCGCGTAAATAAGGATCACGACGAGAGATTGGAGTCTAACGTAGTCGCGAAGCCAAGTGTGTATTCGATTTCGTAACGAACCACAAAGCATTGTAAATTCTCTCCTCGTTACTTGTTACTCCGACGTCGCTTCATCGAGAAACAAAAAAAACACAAAATGGCTCGAAGATTCTTGCTGTTGAAATTCCAATTCCGTCGAGGGAAACAGAGGAATCGTGAGGGGACGACGAAGCAGCGACGGTTGAGAGATTTCGTCACGGAGAAAGTATTATTTGGCGGGATCGCGTTGCAGAAGAGGAAAGGAAAATATTCTAGCTGGAGAAATTAAAATCGTAACCAAAGTGACGACGACGGCTGCTAATATGTGTGACGAGCCGCATCTTTGAATTTGGGCCGTAATAGAACTCTGTAAAGGCCCACTCTAGACCGGTTATCTTAACTAGACCAAAACCGGCTATCTCGGTTTTTTTTTTTTCTCTGTTTTGAAACGACGCCGTTAATAGCCTACATGTCGACGACCTCTCCTGATATGTGTCGCCCAGATTTGAGGATCGGAGATATATGAATCTGTGTACTTTTCATTGGATTTGAAAGTTGATCAAAAGCAATTGATCTATCGATTCCTGGAAGCGATCTCGATCCCACAGGTTTATACTTATCTCTGAATCTGCTGATTGCTTTTCGTTAGGCGTGAGGAGTTTTTTCGATCGCGAAACACGATTGATTTATGTTTTTTTATCCGGTAGGATTGTTCGAGGACGAAGATGATGAAGATGCAATTTGGTGTGGTGGCATTTCTGGTGGCTCTCTCCGTAGCCTCTCTTGTTGAATTCGGATTGGCTTCTCCTAATACAGTTCCTGCTTTCCTCTGGTCTCCGCATCTCCAGTTACGCCTCTCTCTCTCTCTCTCTCTCTCTCTCTCTCTCTCTCTCTATACTTAATCTTAGTCATATATAAACCATCGCGAGGAAATCTGGAAAAATCTATGCTTTCGGTTGTGGTTGGAGGGTTTTCGAGTCTCTGGTCATAATTTGATAGTTTATGGAAAGCCTGAGAATTGTGAAGTATTATCTGATGTGTGATCGAGCTACTCGAGTTGTAGCTAAAGAGATGACTGGTTTAATTTGCTTATGTGATTCTTGAAATCAGGTCTGGTAATGGTGAAATGGATGAGGCTGTAAATTATCAGGTCATGTCTGCAAAGGATCTAGTAAGTTCTGTATTCACTCGAGGAGGCTGGTCAAACTTTCTGGTATGGTTTCTTCTTATGTTCCTATGTCTTTCTAGAGCCCAAGATTTCGATTCTCCAACTCACGAGATCTCGCTTGGCTTTCTTAAATTCATTTTTACTGTCCTCCTTTGTGTAGTGCTCAGAGAAGAAACTTGAGCAACCTGTTGATGTTGCTCTTGTGTTCATCGGCAGAGAGGTATTAAATCTCTGAACTTGCTGTCAAATCTGTATGAGTGAATGATGTGAGAGCTTCGCTTTAACATTTTCATAAAGGATGGTTTCTTGTTTTGATACTGTAAAGAAACTTATGTCTTTAATATTGCAAGAAATGAAGCGTTCTCATCTTCTGTGATGTCCTGAGATTTCTAATATTCACATTCTCTTCCACCTGCAGTTACTGTCTTCTGATGTGTCTTCAATCAAGAACTCGGACCCTTCCCTTGTTAACACATTGAACGTAAGTCCAAGCTTTTCTTTCTCCAAAACAAAAGCTCTAATATTGCCTCCATAACACAGATCTCTGACATAGTTGTTTGTTTTAATCCCCGCAATACTTTAACATCCATATTTTTGTTTCAACAGAATCTATTTACAGCTTCCAACTTCTCATTGGCGTTCCCATATATTGCTGCGCCAGAGGAAGAAAGGATGGAAAATTTGTTGCTTTCAGGGCTTAAAGAAGCCTGCCCTCACAATGTAGGAGTCAGAAATATTGTGTTCTCAGAGTCTTGCTCTGTTGAGGATGGAACAGTTCAGAAACTCGCAGACTTGCAGTCTTTCAAAGTAATATTCATTTCCTTTGTGATTTTGTTCTTCCTAATCCCATGCCTACTCAATTGTACCACCACTTTCATTCACTCATATTCTACGCTTAAATAATTGACAGGATCATTTGCTTGCTAGAAGCGAAACAAGGAAAGAAGGAGAAACTGACTTGGTTGTGGTCTGCTCTGAGGGTTCTAAATCAAACAGTCAATCTGGCCACTCACATTCAGAGCGTAAGTGGAGCAAAAAAAAAAGACTTACCAGTTAGATAATTTGAGAACAGCGAAGTTAAGCAATTATTTGACCTATTATGCAGGTGAAAGCATCTCCGAACTTGTTAGTTCTGTAGAACAATCTGGCAGCAAATATACAGCTCTCTATGTTTCTGATCCTTATTGGTACACATCTTACAAAACCCTCCAAAGGTTTCTAGCTGAAAGTGGTACAGGAAACAGCACTGTAGGTGTTACCACAACCTGTGATGAACTCTGCAAGTTTAAGTCATCGCTTTTGGAAGGCATACTAGTGGTAAGAAGTTTACTTTTTTAACTCACTGTTACGCTTACAATCCTCCATCGTTCTCAACCAAGATTTATGAAAATCATAAAACTGACTGCAACTCATCTGACATATACTTTGATTAGGATAAAGCTAAATATGATTCCATCTAGGTTTAAACATTGAAAAGCCTCTGATTATGTCTCTTGCTCGCTGTGGTTTTCTTTTTGCTTTTTGCAGGGAATCGTTTTCCTTCTCATCTTGATAAGTGGACTTTGTTGTATGGCGGGTATCGATACACCGACTAGATTCGAGACTCCACAAGATTCTTGAGCTGTTGACCCCTTCAGAGTCATCCCCACCTTTTGCTTTGCTTTTGCTTGTGACGGGTCTTTTCTTCTGCATAGTGGTGCGTATGGTGAAAAAAAAAGGTACTTCAATGTCGATTGTTACATTACCTTCAAAAACAAAAATTGCATATGCGATAAAAAAAAAAAACCCTTGTAACATTTATTCATCTTGTTTGTGAGTTTTTCCTAAACGTTCTAAATTAATAATGGAGAACGGCCCAAAAAACAGCAGAGAGACACTGGACGGACTACATTCTTTTCAGATACATTATTTGTTGTTTATTTTTCTGTCTCAATTAATATAATATAATATATAATAAAGTTCTCTTGGTCGTATCGTACTCATATCAATTTTGGGATTTGGACATAGATTTCGTGGAATAACTCAGGACACCGATGTCGGTAGAGTCAGAGTGATAGGACATGTTTACTAGCATTTGTAGAGTTTTTGGGTTCAGAGAAAGTAAATGGGAATAAATTATTCGAGAGAATTTGCATAGATTTCGAATGATAGTAATTTTTTTTAACGCATCTCCGACAGAAACTTAAATACGAAGTTTATTGCATTCTAAGAAAAATTTAAAGTTTTAAACAGTGAAACTTCAAATTTGAAGTTTTACTGTTCAAAATTTTAAATTTAAAGTTTCATTTTTTTTTGTATTTCAGTTTTTCAAATTATATACTATATAAATATATATATTTAATTTTGTTGTTTATCATTTTAGTCCAAAATAATATAATTATACATCTATATATATAATTTTTATATACAGATTAAATAAAAATATTAAAATTAATTTAGAAGAAATATTATATATTATTATAAATATTTTTTATATTGATTAATATTGTTTGTAATTTTTTTATATATATGTTTTAGTTATTTATAAAAAATTTTATGATATTAATTAATTATTATTAATATTAAGAACTATAATGCAAAATATAAATATTTTGAAGTTTTCTTTTAGAGAATAACACCTTAAAACTTTTAATTTAAAGTTTTGGAAACTTCAATTTGAAGTATCTCTTGGAGATGCTCTAATAAGCGTATATTTTTCTATATCAAGTAAAATAAACTGAAACACACGTCTTGAACGAATTAAAAATAAATTTTGAAATGCGTTTTGTAACATGATAACATCTAACTTATGAAAGATAGTATTTCTATTTTCGTATATAGGCGCGGCTTATGGTCTATTTTTTTGGACTCTATGATTAGATATTTTGCAAAATTCATCAGTTGTCAGGGTCCTTATGGTCCCTGCATGGACCTATTGACAAAAAAGTCATAAGATCAATCCTTCAGATTTTCTGTCCATAAAGAATAGCATTGTTAGAGAATAAAAACGAAGATAAGGGCTATATTCATCTTTTTGACACTATTTTTTCCAGTTATATTGTCTTATTTTGCACTTCACTATTCTTATCCCAGTTTCTTTTTGTGTAATTGCGAGAAAGTTCCTTGAGCATAATTTAAAATAATGAATACCTCTATCTTTGACGGATTTTGTTTCTTTACCGCCACATAATCTCAAGTTTAAAAGATAAATAACAAAGTTTTTAGAAACGCAATGAAAAAGGAAAACTATTATGGATTTCCAATAAATGTTTTGATTTAAAATTAGTTTCAGCATGAAAATAAATAAAAGAGAGGGAAGCACATGAAAGTCCATAGGGGTTTGAGCCTAAAGAGCAGTGAAAATCCCATCGCTCTGTGAATCCACCAACTGACACCACATTGTAGCCATTCTCTTCCTCTTTATTTCCCCCAAGTAACCCTTTTCTTGTATATGTACCAGAAAAATATGTATTGCCTGAAATAACAACAACAACAAAAAAGTTGATGGAAGTGATAATAATGAAAAATGTGATATTACAAGTTTGGTTCATCTCTTATTTTTCATACGTAAATCGCATACCGCGTTTTCATTCCTATTCTTCCGTTTATTTCTAATTATGATGATATCAGTATGTCGCAAATATCAGTATGTCGCAAATAGATTTTGAAATGCGATTTGTAACATGATAACATCCAACTTATTAAAAATAGTATTTCTATTTTCGTACATACTGATATCATCATAATTAAGTAATATATTTAAAATAATGAAAATGTAAAAATGCACGGCCACGCAAGTGACTCACTCGAGCAGGTCCTTTTTTTTTTATATTTTCGATAACTTTGAGATTCCACGTTCTGATTTCTGTGTGTAAAAATATACTGTAACATAATTTGTCAAAAGCAAAAAGATGTACTACATATCTTACGGTCTCTGTTTTTACCGATTACTTATTTCATAAATAAGTATAGATGTTTATTTGTTCGTGCCCTTTCGAGTACCTGTCGGGATAACTAGGAGTACACGTAAATGTTAAGATTCCTTTCTTCTTTAAAAAAGTACGAGAATTTGTCTTTCTCCTCTCTCCCTCTCTCTCTATACATTTTTCTCGTGAGTTATTTTCTTAGTTAGTACTAAAATTAGAAACTTATGGTTCCTATCAACTTACCAAAACCAGGTCGATTTTGTGCAAGTGGGTCTTCTTTCTCAAACCACGTACACTTTGTATTTGTTCAAAGAGAATCTCTTTACCTAGATTAACGAAAACCTTTAACTCCTATCTTATTTATATAATTTCATGATGATTTATAAACTTAGAAAGCGTCTAATATTAGAAAGTTTCAAAGATTTTTTTGCTAAGGGTAAGCCGTTTATAAATTTGAAAGAGGGAAATGGACTGCACTTAATTTTTGTCAACGAAAGGAAACAAATCAGTTCAAGAGAACAAAAAAGATGGCTATTCGATATAATACACTGGTAATGACATATCTATTTGTATACGTGTGTATGTGTGCCTATATGAATGTGTGTATGTATGTCTAAGTTTGTGTGTTAATGTGTATGTGTGTGTATGTGGACCCATATCTCTTAATGGCATCTGTTAAAGCTGTAAAGCTTAAGAAAATTAATATTATGAGGATGGAGAAGCATGGACGAACCTTATCTCTTTAATTTTTTTTTTTTTTCAATTCTATTTTCTTACAGCTGGTTTTTTATTTTATTTTCTTCTTTTTTAATTTTAGGGTTTTTGCATATCTACCTTCTTGGGGGCATAAATGAATATGATGCATCTCAAATATTCGCTCTTCTCAATTTTAATTACTTTATTCCCTCGCGTCTCTCTTCACCATCTTCTATATAAATCGAGAGCGAGTGAGTCCTTTAGTATTCATTATCTCCCCAAACAAAACATATGTATACACATTCTCTTTTATCTCTATTGTTATATTGAAGAAGAAAAATATCAGATACATATTCATTTTTGTTGGTATGTGAATTTCATATGTACATGTGTGTGTATACGCGTATGTGACTAAAGTAGTGTGCAGCCAAGGATGACTTGCCGATTTACATTTATATTTTTGTACTTTCCTAAGATATTAGACATTTTCTGGTTCTCAAATGCTTTGGTTCTTGAAGATAGTAGATATTTATTTCGTATTAAAAAAATAGTTTTACAAAGAAACAAAAGAAAAAAAAATGATCGGCAAGTTGTCCTTGGCTACATATTTCTTTGTGTCGCGCATAGGTGGTTGTGGTAAGATCGCTAGATTTAGAGCTATATGGAGCAAAACCGAACGAGGTAAGTACGGTCCACAAATATTTGTTTTCCTTGAAAAATATCCGTTTACAGTAAAACTTATTCCAAATACTGAACAAAAGGTTTTATAGAATTAATTAAAATGCCCAAAGATATATTTTTGGGTCAACATTTATGTTTTGTTCTACTTTTTTAAAAATAAATTAATAATTTTGTGTTGTAAGGTCAAGGCTAATCTTAAATAATCTATTTTATGTGTGGAAGGCTCAAATATTTTTATTAATTAAAAGGATCAGAAGAACCAATTACAATCTCTGATGGGAGATGGCGATGAGAGTTGTTCCTGTGTCACTGCTTGCTTGCGGCAATTTGGATCTATGTTTTTTACTTTTCTTCTCTTTTGAATCAAGCTGTAACTTCTGTTGTGGATGAACGTTACATTTATTAACTCTCTCATATATCCTCGAGTTAATTTTGAGATTATATTGTGGAGGAACGTTAAATTTATTAACTCTAATATACCGTTTAATTTTGCGGTTTACAAACGGTACGTATATATAGCGATGTTCGTTTCAGCTTTACCATCGATTTGATCGAAGTGACTCAAAGGATCATCCACATGCGACTCCAGGATATATATGAGAGTTCATAAATTTAACGTTCATAGTATTTAATTTTACTTGGAACTCTTGAGAATAATTTCGAGTGACTGCAAATTGGACAAGATCCTCTTGTGTAGACTAAAGATAATAATAATAATAATAATAGGTTAATGAGATTAGGAAAGGGTTAATTAGTCACGAAATACACTCACTTGTGGAAAGTAGAATTTTACATATCAAATAAATAAAAAAACTTTGTGGAAGTGAGTTTTTTAAATAGTGTAGGGTGTAGGTAATGGCAGGCCCTTGACGATGCCGCAAAGATTGGTGTTGAGTGGGATGTTGTATTCGTCTCTTAGTGATTTTTCAGGTGAGAGAACACTGACGTACATCTGCTGTCCCAAGTATCTCCTCTCCCAGTTCTCCGATCTGATGTTCCACATACCGGCGTTGTCGAATGTCAAGAGGATGGCTGACCAGGACTTGGGGTACACTTGCACCGTATGTCTGCTTACTGCATCGAGCAAGTTGTAGTTCTGTCTCTTCTCTGGTGTCCACCTTCCTGGCTCAGAACTGTTTCAAGAACGTTTAAGATAAGTGTTAGCTAGGGATCTGAAGTAAGTATCTATATAGTTAAGAAGCATACGGCTATGGACTGATTTTGAGTTGAAAGCTTACGCGACTGAGAAGAAGGAGTAACCGTCCAAATGGAAGGATTGCATGCTTTTCTCGTGGTTCTCGAAGACTACTTCGACAAAGGTACGGAAAGTGATGTTGAGGACATTGGGCTCGACGGTTAGTGTTGTGATCTTGGCTGCTGGTTCGTCCTTGATGACGTTGTATTTGAAGATCTTCTCTGACATCCCGAAGTACTCAGCGAGCTTCAAGGGAGTCTCGGTGTCAACGTGTGATACACCGTTGAACCCAAACCTGACCTTTCCGTTCACCATGTTCTTGGTGTTGGCGAGCTTTATGGTACGGGTGATGTTGATCTTTCCGTAATGGTAAGATCCCTGCGGGTTAGGTCTAGCCGCGCTGGCGGTTAAGTTCCATCTGAAGGACCTGAACTGGTTCAAAGACCAAGCCCATCCGACCGGAGCCTTGGGGAGCTCGTTTGACGCCTGGACGTTGCTTCCTTCGTAGCTCATCACACCAACAGTGCTCACTTCCTTCTTGAGGAACCTAGTGGATGCAACCATGTAGTAGTTCTTAGCGGCTTGGTCAGCGGTCACTAGCACGGCGAAGCACTGTCCGACATGGACGTCGAGTGAGTCGTAGTCGTTTTGGAGAACGTGAGAGCCTTCCATCTCAACAAGCTTCATCTTGTGTCCTTGGATCCTGAAGTTAAGAGTGGACTTGAACCCGACATTGCAGATCCTGTACTTGTAAGTCTTTCCTGGCTTCATGGTGAAGAGTGCCTCGTTCTTTCCGCCGACCTTACCGGATTTACCGTTGATGAGAACACCGTCAGGGGATCCAAGAGTGCGACCGCTGTCAAGGAAGTTCTTGAGAGCGGTGTGGCTCTTGGTGTACCAGTCGTTGATGAGGATGGTACGGTCGTCTTCGGGGTCAGCGTAAGGGACTGGGATGAGGAGACGGCTGTTGACACGGAGGCCACCGAAACCACCGGCGAACCGGTGGAGAGAGGTGGATGGGTAGTAGAAGTAACTACCGATCTGGTCCTTTGGCTGGAAATGGTAAGTAAAGTTGGTGCCCGCTGGGATTGGGCATGAGGTTCCAGCCACACCATCTTGCCAGCTGTTCTTCCTGTGCTGGAGTCCACTCCTGCCACGTCACCCAACCAATAGTCAGTACTCAATATCCATCAAAGAAAGTAAGAAACATGAAGGCTTGTTAGGTGTAATTATGTTAAATTAATTTGAAGACTTGTTATAAATATCCATCAAAGAAACAATGAAGATTTGTTATGTATAGATGTAATTATGTTTAATTAATATAACGTTTTTGTAGACAAACTTCCAATCTTAAACAAAAATTCATTTGTTATTTGTAGATAAAAACATTAAACGAAAATGAGTATTTTCCGTTTGCATTTGGCATTTGATATTTGCGAAAAGAATAAATAAAAACTGGAAAATATGATTTGGATATTTTTTTTTTTAAACGAATGCTAGTTAATTAGTAAAAAAGAAAGGAGCGTTACGAACCAGGTCAAGAGGAAAGGCTCGTCGAGGTTATTGAAGACATTGATGACGACGTTGTTGTTAGAGGTCGAGTTTAGGTTAGGACCAGGGAACTGTCCGTTAATGAGAATCACCTGTTGAGGAATTCCGAGTGGCGCGACGGTTCCGTACGTCACGTTCCACGTGTAGTAAAAGTAAGGATCGCCGGCGTTCACCATCGCCACCGTGGAGACGAGGCAGACAAACACCGTCAAAAGTCTACCACCCTCCATTATATATTTTCTACTTCTTTTGAATTTTTTTAATTAATAAATTAACCCTTTCCTATATAAAAAATATTTATTTATTTTTTTCTCAAAAAGCAAGAAGAAACTAGGTTCTCTTGCTCTTGACGAGTTTTTTGGTGATGTCGTGATTAACTATTTATGCAGGTGAAGATACCTTGGTTTGCACGAAATCATCGCCTTTTTTCACGCATCATCTCTAATATTCTTGTTTTCTTTTTCTATATGTGAAAGTTCTATTTTTGTATTTCTCCCATTTGGTTCTAAGGCTTTCAAATTTCTGAACGAGAGCACAACTCGGATCGTCTTATATAATATTGGAAATGTTTTTAACGATCAAATTAACAAGCTAGCCACAAGTGTCATCAAGTGAGCGTTTTATTTTAATGTTCAAATTTATTCATCAACGAAAAATATGTTACAAGAGTGGGAACACAAATAAAAAATGTGTTAAATATGTTTGAATCTATTTCTGTTTATTCTAGAAGAATGACCACTCTAGTTGAACACATAAATTTGACTGTATTTTCTGAATACACATAAGTAGAGTGACCATTTCTATCTTACAAAATCTTAGTTTTAGGCTTAATTTTACTATTTGGGCCTAAACGGACTAGCCCAAAATTGATTAGACAGGAATACAAAACTTTCTCTCTATGGCTTCATGGATCTCCATTGCTTATTATTATTCTTTGTCTCGACGAGGAAACAAAAGCAAATCAAATAAAAGCTTTGTTAAATCAATAAGGATTGTGGGTGGTGTTGTCCATCTTTTCTTTTTGAATTTTTTTTTTAAAAAAAACATGCTCAACCATTTTTGTTGTCTTGTTCATGAAATCATCATCAAAAATTCTAATAAATAGACTATTGATGGTCTTACATAAAAATTAGAGAGTTTTTACATGATTAAGTCTCTAAAAATGCATCATGTTTCGTATATGGAGCTTCATTTTCTTTTTTACTCAAGTTTTTTTCTCGCAGTTGCCTTCGTCTTATACATTCCTCTTACTCTCTCAATTGGCTCTCACGCTACTTTATAAGTTATAAGTTATAACTCTGTAAATTCCAAAATGTTGTTAAATGACAGTTTCAATTATATAAAAGATTTGAGTTGTTTAATATCTAAACGATGGATTTGAGTGTTATAACTAAAGGTTCTCGAAAAAAACTCAAGCAATATTCTCTACCGAATTATCTTGGTTTTTGCTAAGTTTTGTTGTTCAATCGTCATTAATTGAATTTTTGGTTATAAATTATAATTCTTTCTCAGATTTAAAGTATTTTTTTCAAGGCCAGTTATTTGATTGAGCCTAAAATCATATTTAACTAAATATTGCTATATAAACAACGGTAAGCAAAAACCACGGCACCTACTTGAATCAGTTCCAAAAAGATTTCTCTACGTTTCTAATGTTACGAGATGCAAAGATTTTTCAATTTGGACATTGCTATCAAAATCTCTCCAAGACCTAGTCCTCAAGGTGTATTAATTCAAAAAAAATCTTTCTTTTTTTCAAATAGTTTAGATATATAGAGTCATGCATGAACACAAATAAAACAGATCACTGCATGGAACTATCACCATATTTGCCTATGGCACTTACAATCCTGGAAAATAAAATAAATAATAAAATTAACAGATTTATATAGTCACACCCGGTAGTTATTATTATTACTACCTAAGTATTATAAAAGTATCTAAGGTGCCAGTCTGAATATCTCAAATATTGATTAAAAATGAATAACAATAAAATATTAATTGTGTATGATTTTTAATAGAGAAATATCCTGCCCTTCCAAAGAAGTCCATGACTAGGTCAGGAGTTAGAAGAAGAGACATTGAAAATGCCTGGAGGCGGAGGAAGAGACATAAGAAGTGGCAGCATCGTCGGAAGAAGGTTTATGATAGTGTCGTTAGTTGAAGAGGCGGAGGAAGAGACATCAGAAGCATTTTGGAGGACCTCAATTATCAGATTTGACATAATTGGGTACAAAAGAAATCTAATTTAAAACAACAATAATGGTAAAAAAAAAGAAAATCGACAGGAATTAGGGTTTGAATGTCGCAGAGATGAAGAAAGAGATATGTGTAAATTTAGAAAAATATTTTCTAAAATTTGGAAAGTTTTCCTAAAACGTATAAATTAAGAAAGTCACTACATGTATTTAAGAAATATTTTATAAATCGTATAATTAATTTTTTTTGTTAATTTATACAACTCAAATTTAGGAAGCTCTTCCACATTGCAGGAAGCATTTGCACAATTCAGAAAGTCCTTCTGTAATTCAGGAAATATTTTTAAATTTAGGAAAACTTTCTTAAATCATATGAAACGATGTTAAATTCAAGTATTTGGAATATATTTTTCAAAAATCACGAAACATTAACAGAAAAAAACATTCAGGATAACCTTCCTAAAAAGCAAAATCGGAAAACTTAAATGAAAATGTTAAGGGTGAATTTTTTTTAACTTTCCTATTATATTTGTCCAAAAAATTTGTTTTCAGTGTAATTATGGAAATTATCATTTCCAATAATATTTAAGTATTTGAGAGACTTATCAAAAACCCAACAATACAGATAGTCTAAAAAATGCAGATGGTTTAAAAGATACTACTACTAGATAGAATTTGGGTCACAAATTCAGATTATATATAAATAATAATATTTTACATGTTATATTTTTTTTTAGAAAAATGTAATCGCCGAATTAAAACACAGGTACATTCTGAACTTCTTATTTATTGGGCCGATATATATCTTCGAAGGGTTTCACTAATAACGACAACTGTATCAAATTAGTAAACCTAATTTGAATAGTTGTTGGCCTCATTCATGTCATGTGAACATTGTAGGATTTTGATTTAGTAATCAGTACACAAGTGGTATTTCAATTCGACACAAGTGGTATGTCATGTATATATTTGGATTTGATTTAGTAATCAGTACACTTGGGAGACGACTTTTGTTATCATTAATATGAAGATTATTAGGTCGTCCATAATTGTGTATACATTATATACCAACCAGTATATCTCTTTTTTTTTTTTGTCATCTTTGATTCATTCACCAAGACGTGAGTGAATAAAGAAAAGAGTAAGGAACCGGATAATGATTAAATAGCCCTCAAAACTTCATCTTCAAATTTTGTTTTCTAAAAAATGATATGCGCTTAGACTTTTCTCCTAAAAAAGAAAGAGTAAGGAACCAGACAATGATGAATTAGCCCTCGAAACTTTTTCTTCGAATTACGTATTCGATCCATATAGTTATTATTTAACCCGAAGAAAGACAGAGAGAAAAAAGAAAGAAACCATTTTTTTTGAGAAGAAGAAATGGAGCAACCCTATGTGTACGCTTACCCACAACCAGGCACAGGCCCTTCGGCTCCGCCTCTACAAGGCAGTGGCGTCGCCAGAGCGATAGTGGATCAACGGTTCTGCGCTCCGTACCCCGTGGATATTGTGATAGTGCGGAAGTTGATGAGGTTAACGGGGGGTAACTTCGTTATAACGGACGTGAACGGAGACATGTTGTTCACGGTGAAAGACCCGGTGTTTGGTCTTCACGACAAGAGGATTTTATTGGATGGCTCTGCATCTCCGGTCTTAAATATGAGAGAGAAGGTCGTCCATAATTAAACACACACACACGACTAATCAGTCCGTACATAGTCGGCTTGGTTAATTAGTTTACTATTAAATTAATTTTATAGCTAATATATATTGCAGATAGTGAGCATGCATCAAAGGTGGCGAGTATTTAGAGGAGTGAGTAAGGAGCAGAAAGATCTGCTGTACACGGTGAAGAAATCGTCGATGATTCAGTTTGAGACGAAACTTGATGTGTTTCTGAGCCACAATAAGGAAGAGAAGATATGCGATTTCCGAGTCAAAGGGACCTGGTCCCAGAGTTCTTGTGTCATTTACGTAGGTGAATCTGACACCGTTGTTGCCGAAGTAAGCTCTCTTTCCTTTTATGTTGTAGGTGTGCCAGGCCTTTAAAGAACCTTTTTTGTTGTTTTGCTCTTGTTAGTTAATTTGGTATCACGTGCTTTTATATATAACCTTGGACTTCACAATTGCAACACTTGCTATACAAAAGCGGGAAAAAAATACTTTGAATATTTGGATGGTTGGTGGGTGACTAAAATGACATTTAAATAATATGTATGGTTTTGTTGTAACAGATGCAGACGAATGATACGTTTCAGAGCGTTTTTTTGGAAAAGGACAATTTCTCGGTGACGGTTTATCCAAATGTAGATTATGCTTTCATTGCATCTCTCATCGTCATTCTCCATGATGTAAACCGAGAAGCCGCTGCTGCTTCCGCCGCCGTTTCTGCCGGTGCTACCGCCGCCGTTTTGATGATCTGATGCTCACGTGCAATGCACTCCTTTGAGTTTCTAGAGCATTTTCATGAATGGTATTTCAATATAGTCTCTTACAAAATAAAAGAGAAAATAATATTATTTTATTATGTTAAGATATCTTTGATGGAAGTACTTCGCTCTATCACTATTTTACATCTGCTTTTGGATTTTGTAAGTATTATGTTTCACTTTGGAATGTATCTTTGTCTTTTCATCTTTTTTTAATTGTAAAATAATTATTTTTTCTATTTTACACTTAATTAATTTTAATTGTTATCTTTTCGAAAAGGTTTCTTTTCTATATGTGGATACTAAAATTTAAACTCCAAAGCCAATAAACGTATGGAATAATATCAAGTATCAACGTTGCTAGGTTAACATGTGTATATAGCATATAAAGTATTAAAATTAATCAACTTTAATTTTTTCTACATTGACCAATAACCACAGTTTGAAAAAGTTTATACAAACATGCGGTTTGTATTAAGGCTTTAACTAGTGATCAATAAATAAAGAATAGAAATGAAAAAGAAAAAAATAAAAGGAACAAAAGAAAAAGAATGAATAGGAATGAAAAATATTTAAAAAAGTAAATAAATATAATTTGTTCCTCCCCAATTTTAATAAGAAATACATTTGTTCTATAATTCCTTATATGATAAGGAATAAAAAAGAATGATAGAGAAATATTATTACTAACAAATGATAAAAAATTTAAGGAATGAAGAAGAATTCATTATTCTCCTTCATTCTCTTGTTCACCAGTTGAAGCCTAATTGTTTCATTTCCACGAGTTTTATGGTAACAAACATAAAAAAAAAATATAGTTTCCATAAAAATGTATATTTCCTTTAAAAATGTATATTTCTTTGATTTTGCTAGTGAACAATATTCTCAAAGAATTGAGTTTCTCGATTTATAAAGTATGTATTTTTCTATTTTTCCTCTATATTTTAAGTATAATCTTGCTATAAAAATGTATATTTTCAAATGTATATTTCCTCTAAGATATATTTATATATTTTCTCTAAAAATGTATGATTTTGAAAATATATGATTTTGCCAATATATATATTTTAAGTATATATTTTTTTGATTTGTTACTGTAAACTCTCTGTAACCATAGCGTTTAAACCAGTCTGATTCTAAACTTATATGTGAATAATTTAATGTGTAAAATAATATATTTAATATTTTATTGTTATATTAAAAATTAAGAGTTTTTCTGTTCATAACTTTGATATATGTGTTAATATAAAATATAATAAATTACAACATATACAAAACTTGATTCATAAAATAATATTTTAATATGCTAAAAAATATATGCATTACAAAATTAATATGTGTAAGATAATATTTTTAAAAAGTTCAAATAAAAACATAAAATCGACCAAAATTATTTTTCTTTATTTTAATTTTTTTGTCTTTTTGACTCATTTTTTTTAATCTTGAATAATATATTAAACATTAAGACCATCTCAAATGTATTTTTTCTATTTTTCCTCTAAAATATAGGTAGATTTCTCTCCAACCTATTTTTATTTTATAGAAAAAAAAAGATTGTTACTTTTTTCTTCAACTTTAGAGGAAAAAATAACATATTTATTTTTCTTTAAATTAAAAGATTTAAAATAAATGTGGATTGGAGATTTTTTAAACCAAAAATATAGCCTGAAAATTTTATAGAAAACCAAAATTGTATAGATTCATTTTTACTTTTACTTCTACTTCTTATTCATATATACAGTAATAAAAAAAAGTTTAATAAGTCAATATTTATAAGGGAAAAAACCTTTAAAATACATGAACTAATTTACATTTGTTAAGTAAATACACCAATTATTTAGGCATTCAACAAAAAACTTAATTTATTTTCGTTTGCCAGATTAATACACAAACATTTAAAATTTGACAGTTTGACATTCTGATTTTAACGCTGTTAACTCGGTAAACGGAAAATTAAACGATGTTTAGTTTTTTTAACAGCAGCTGAATTTAATTAAATCCAAAATTACACAAAGGGCCCAAAATCGATTTGCCTTACATTTATTTTCCTCCAAATTGATTTTGTTTCTTCTCTTTTGTTTCTTCTCTTCTTCTATTTTTTTTTTTTATCTTTTATCTCTCAATTCTTCAATTCAACCGAGATTATCATCGCGGCGTCGATAGCCGCCGTGCAAAAAGTAGGGACTTAAGGCCACGAGCTCCAATAACGCTGGTGGTGGTTATAAACGGTGGAAACTCGAAGAGATGAAGAAACTGCCGCTACCGCCGTCGTTCTCTTCGACAAATACGAGAAGTAACGAGGGAATTCGCAGCGGAGAGGAATCGATGAGATCTGGATGGCGAGCACTCCAGCTTTCACTCTTAGACCATCGGAAAAAATGCAATCATCAACGGCATGATTTTAACTTTGGCTCTCAGTGTTCTCTCTCTTATTCATTATATTTGTATATGTATATATTCCTCCTCATGGGATTTATTTGGTTTTTCACATAATGATTTGACTTTCTGAAATTATGCAAAGCAAGACTTTTTAAATAAATCCAAAGAGTATCTTCGTTAATGGATGCGGAAGTTCATGTTGAAAGGCAAATACATAATTTTTAACAGGCAATGAAGTTTTATAAAAAATTCAAAGCTGTGAACTGAGGAAGGAACTGAGAGAGAAGAGAAGAGATAAAAGAAAATAGAAAAAGAGAAGAGACGAAATCCATTTGGGGAAAAACAAATGTAGAGCAAATTGTTATGGGGCTTTTGTGTAATTTTGGATTAATTAAACCCAGCTGCTGTTAAAAAACTAAACATGCTGTTCTGTTTCCGTTTACCGAGCTAACGACGTTAAAATCAAAATGTCAAACTATTAAATTTTGAAAGTTTGTGTATTAATTTGGCAACTAAAAATAAATTGGGTTTTTTGCTGAGAGCCTAAATACTTGGTGTATTTACTAAGGTGTATTTACTAAGCAAATGTAAATTAGGTCATGTATTTTTAAGGTTTTTTCCCTATTTATAATTTATTTGTCTATCTCTTTATTCTTTTGTTTCATTTATAATTTCGAATTCTTTCTATATAATAATAATGCATTTACATATAATATATTATTTTTTATTTAAAAATAAATTTTATTTAATTTTAACTCAACCAATCAAAATATTTTTTTTATTTTAGAAAATTTGTCATATCAACAATAAAATATATTAACTTTTTTTCTCATTTTGACACATCAATTTTTTCATTAAACATGCTTCTTAAATAATATACAAAATTCAGATCACAAATTCAGATTATATATAATAATATTTACATGTTAGATTTTCTTTTTTTAAATGTATGTCGCCGAATAAAGAAACACATGTACTGTGTACTCTAAGCTTCTTATTTATTGGGCCAATATAGCTTCCAAGGGCTTCACTAATAACGAAAACTGTATCAAATTAGTAAACCTAATTTGAATAGTCGTTGGGCCTTATTCATGTCATGTTGAACATTGTAAGATTTTGATTTAGTAATCAGTACACAAGTGGTATTTCTTTTTCTTTTTTTGAAAAAGTTGTGTTAATTTATAGGGAGAAAAATAATGTCGACGATGGAATTAGTGACAATTAAAATATACCAGAAGACATGAAACACTGTGAAAAACACAAGTGGTATTTAAATTCGACACAAGTGGTATGTCATGTATATATTTGAATTTGATTTAGTAATCAGTACACTTGGAAGACGACTTTTTTTTATCATTAATATGAAGATTAGAAGGTCGTCCATAATTGTCGTCTTTGATTGATTCACGAAGACGTGAGTGAATAAAGAAAAGAGTAAGGAACCGGACAATGATAAAAAAAAAGCCCTCAAAACTTTATCTTCGAATTACGTATTCGACCCATATTTTTTATTATTTAAACCCGTAGCTGAAATTCACCGAAGAAAGACAGAGAGAGAAAGAAAGAAACAAAAATACAATGCTTTTAGGAGAAGAAGAAATGGAGCAACCCTATGTGTACTTCTACCCACCATCAGGCTCAGGCCCTTCGGCTCATCCGCCTCTACAAGGCAGTGACGTCGCCAAAGCGATCGTGGATCAACGGTTCTGCGCTCCGTACCCCGTGGATATTGCGATAGTGCGGAAGGTGATGAGGTTAACGGCGGTAACTTCGTTATAACAGACGTGAACGGACACATGTTGTTCAAGGTGAAGGACCCGGTGTTTGGTCTTCACGACAAGAGGATTTTATTGGACGGTTCTGGAACTTCGGTATTGAATATGAGAGAGAAGGTCGTCCATAATTAGTTCGTATATAGTCGGCTTGGTTAATTAGTTTATTATTAAATTAACTTTATAGCTAATATCTATTGCAGATAGCGAGCTTACACCATAGGTGGCAAGTATTTAGAGGAGTGAGTACGCAACAGGAAGATCTGCTGTACACGGTAAAGATATCGTCAATCATTCAATTGAAAACAAAACTTGATGTGTTTTTGAGTCACAATAAGGAAGAGAAAAGATGCGATTTACATGTGTAATCTACGCAGGTGAATCTGACACCATTGTTGCCCAAGTAAGCTCTCTTTCCTTTTGTGTTTGGAGGTGGGCCAGGCCTTTATCTTAAAGAACCTTTTTTTGTTGGACTTCACAATTGCAGCATTTGCTATACTAAAGTGGGACAAAAATACTTTGAATATTTGGATGGTTGGTGGATGAGAAAAATGACATTTAAATAATATGTATGGTTTCGTTGTAACAGATGCACAAGAATAAAACGTTGCAGAGCGTTTTCTTGGGAAAGGACAAATTTTCTGTGACGGTTTATCCAAATGTAGATTATGCTTTCATTGCCTCTCTCATTGTCATTCTCGATGATGTAAACCGAGACGCCGCTGTCGCCATCGCCACTGCTAGTTTGATCTGATGCTCAATGCTCTTCTTTGAGTTTCTAGTTTATGAAAGCACCTCTGTAAATAGTATCTCAACATAACTTTCTTACAATATAAAAAGAGAATGTGTAAGTATTCCAAATTGTTGCACTTTGGAATGTATTATTCTTAATTAAAGCTTTGTTAAATCAACAAGGATTGTGGGTGGTGGTGTTAAAAAGAAAGAAAAAAGGATGATAACTATGGAAGAAAAGGCATGCTCAACCATCTTTGTTGTGTCTAGCTCATGAAACATCATCAAAAATTCTAACAAATAGACTATTGATGGTCTTACATAAAAAATTAGAGAGTTTTTACATGATTAAGTCTCTAAAAATGCATCATGTTTCGTTTATGGAGCTTCATTTTCTTCTATATTTTCAAGCTTTTATCTCGCAGTACCCTTCGTCTTATACATTCCTCTTACTCTCTCAATTGGCTCTCACGCTACTTTTATAACTCTATAAATTTTAAAATCTTGTTAAATGACATTTTCAATTATATAAAAGATTTGAGTTATTTAATATCTAAGCGATGGAATTGAGTGTTATAACTAAAGGTTCTCGGAAAAAAAAAATCCAAGCAATCTCTACCGATTTATTTTAGTTTTTGCTGTATTTTGTTGTTCAACCGTCATAAATTGATTTTTTTGGTTATAATCTTTTCGCAGATTTAAAGTATTTTTTCAAGGCTAGTTATTTGATTTAGCCCAAAATCATATTTCACTAAATATTGCCATATAAACCAATTTAGAGCAATTACATACATAAGTAGCAAAAGATGCCGTGATTTCGTTTTGGAAGCAAACGTTTTCCAAGATCCGACAACCATGTCTATTTCTCTATGTAGATTTTTGAGGATGAATCGGTAGAGATTGCTTGAGTTTTTTTCAGCAGTACAACAAAAGTTACATGATCATCTAACGTTACGTACAAACGTATTGAAAAACAAAAATAAAAATAAAACTCGGAAATGATAAGATAAGTGTGTACATAACAAGTTCAAGTCTTCAATATGCATATATACAATGCATACTTGAATCAATTCCAAAATGATTTCTTGAGGTTTCTAATACGAGATGCAAAGAATTTGTCACTACTGGACGCATTGTTCACACTTCACAAGGGGCGAAGCCACAGTGTTCACAATGGGTGCATGTGCACCCAGGTTTTTTTGCTATCATAGTGTATTTCTAAGCTAATTTTCGTAATGCATCCATTAAAAATTTTAATTTTGTTCATAGTGCATTCACTAAAAAATACTTCTAGATTCGCCCCTGCACTTCACGCATTCATCGGTAGAAACACGCGTAATGATTCATTGGTTTTGGACATTGCTATCAATATCTCTCCAAGAACTAGTATTCAAGGTGTATTGTATTTCAAAAATATATATATTAGAGTCATGCATGAACACAAATAAAACAAACCACTGCATAGAACTTTCACCATATTTGCCTATGGTCCCAATCCTGGAAAATTAAATATATAATAAAATATATTTAATAGTGACATCCGATAGTTATTACTTACCTACGTATTATAAAGATACTACTACTAGATAGAATTTGGATCACAAATTTAGATTATATGTAAGTAATATTTACATGTTAGATTTTTTGTTAAAAAAAATGTATATTGCCGAATTAAAGAAACACGGGTACTGTATATTCTAAACTTCTTCTTTATTGGGCCCATATATCTTCGAAGGGTTTCACTAATAACGACAACTGTATCAAATTAATAAACCCAATTTGAATAGTTGTGGGCCTTATTCATGTCAAGTGAACATTGTAGGATTTTGATTTAGTAATCAGAACACAAGTGGTATTTCAATTCGACACAAGTGGTATGTCATGTATATATTTGAATTTGATTTAGTAATCAGTACACTTGGGAGACGACTTTTGTTATCATTAGGTCGTCCATAATTGTGTATACATTTATCTCTAATTCTTTCTTTTTTGTCGTCTTTGATTAATTCACCAAGACGTGAGTGAATAAAGAAAAGAGTAAGGAACCGGACAATGATTAAATAGCCCTCAATCTTCGAATTTTGTTTTCTAAAATATGATATGCGCTTAGACTTTTCTCCTAAAAAAGAAGTTAAAAGTCAAGAAGTTAAAAGAGTAATGAACCAGACAATTATGAAATAGCCCTCGAAACTTTTTCTTCGAATTACGTATTCGATCCACATATTTACTATATAAACCCGTAGCTGAAATTCACCGAAGAAAGACAGAGAGAAAAAAGAAAGAAACCAATTTTTTTGAGAAGAAGAAATGGAGCAACCCTATGTGTACGCTCAGCCACAACCAGGCACAGGCCCTTCGGCTCCGTCTCTACAAGGCAGTGACATCGCCAGAGCGATAGTGGATCAACGGTTCTGCGCTCCGTACCCCGTTGATATTACGATAGTGCGGAAGTTGATGAGGTTAAAGCCCGGTAACTTCGTTATAACGGACGTGAACGGAGACATGCTGTTCAGAGTGAAGGACCCGGTGTTTGGTTTTCACGACAAGAGGATTTTATTGGATGGTTCTGCATCTCCAGTCTTAAATATGAGAGAGAAGGTCGTCCATAATTAAACACACACACACACACGATTAATTAGTCCGTATATAGTCGGCTTGGTTAATTAGTTTACTATTAAATTAACTTTATAGCTAATATATATTGCAGATAGTGAGCTTGCATCAAAGGTGGCGAGTATTTAGAGGAGTAAGTAAGGAGCAGAAAGATCTGCTGTACACGGTGAAGAGATCTTCGTTGCTTCAGTTTAAGACGAAACTTGATGTGTTTTTGAGCCACAATAAGGAAGAGAAGATATGCGATTTCCGAGTCAAAGGGAGCTGGTCCGAGAGTTCTTGTGTCATTTACGTAGGTGAATCTGACACCATTGTTGCCGAAGTAAGCTCTCTTTCCTTTGTGTTGGAGGTGGGCCATGCCTTTAAAGAACCTTTTTTTGTTATTTTGCTCTTGGTAGTTAATTTGGTAGCACATGCTTTTATTTATAGCCTTGGACTTCACAATTGCAACACTTGCTATATTAAAGTGGGACAAAATACTTTTGAATATTTGGATGGTTGGTGGGTGACTAAAATGAAATTTAAATGATATCTCTGGTTTTGTTGTAACAGATGCAGACGAATGATACGTTGAGGAGCGTTTTGTTCGGAAAGGACAATTTCTCGGTGACGGTTTATCCAAATGTAGATTATGCTTTCATTGCCTCTCTCATCGTCATTCTCGATGATGTAAACCGAGACGCTGCTGCCGCCGCTTCCGCCATCGTTGGTTTGATCTGATGCTCACGTGCGATGCTCTCTTTTGACTTTCTAGTTTATCAGAGCACCATGCTTGATGGAGGTGCTTCTCACTATCACTATATTACACCTGCTTTTGGATTTTGTAAGTATTTCTAAATTGCTGCTATTCGGAGTGTATCCTTGTCGTGCCATCTTTTTTAAGAGAAACTCAGAAACTACTAGGAAATGTCTTATATAATATTGGAAATGTTTTTAACGATGCCAAATCAACTAGCTAGCCACAAGTGTCATCAAGTGAATTTTTTCTTTGAATGTTCAAATTTATTCATCAACAAAAAATATGTTACAAGAGTGGGAAACAAATAAAAATGTGTTTAATATGTTTGAATCTATTTCTGTTTATTCTAGAAGAATGACCACTCTAGTTGAACACATAGGTCTGACTGTATTTTCTGAATACAAATAGAGTGAAATATTCGATTATATAAATTGTAAATTGTTGTTAAATGACATCTCAGTTATTTAATATCTAAACAATGGATTTGAGTGTTATAAAAGGTTCTCGAAAAAAACTCAAGCAATCTCTACCGAATTATTTTGATTTTTACTGTGTTTTGTTTGTTCAATCGTCATTAATTGATTTTTTGATTATAATTCTTTCGCAGATTTAAAGTATTTTTTTAAGACCAGTTATTTGATTTAGCCCAAAATCATATTTAACTAAATATTGCTAAATGCTAAATATATAATTTAGAGCAACATCAATATCCGTCCAACATGTTTATTTCTCTATGTAGATTTTCTAAGGACAAATCGGTAAAGATTGCTTGAGTTTTTTTTCAGCAATACAACAAAAGTGACATGATTATCTAACGTTACGTACAAATCTATTGAAAAAAAAAACTCGAAAATGATAAGATAAGTGTGTACATAACAAGCTCAAGTCTTCAATATGCATATATACAATGCCTACTTGAATCGATTCCAAAAAGATTTCTCGACGTTTCTAATGTTACTGAGATGCAAAGAATTTGTCACTACTGGACGCAGTCCATTTCCATTTTTAACACACGTAATGATCCATTGGTTTTGGACATTATTGCTATCAAGATTTCTCCAAGACCTAGTCTTTAAGGTGTAATAATTAAAAAAAAAACATTTTTTTCCTTCAAATACATAGTTTAGATAGTGAACACAAATAAAACAAACCACTGCATATGTAACTTTCACCATATTTGCCTATGGTCTCAATCCTGGAAAGTTAAATAAATAATAAAATATAGTTAATAGTATCACATCCGTTAGTTATCACTTACCAAAGTATATTAGTATAATTGAAGATACTACTACTAGATTATATAGAATTTGGGTCACAAATCCAGATTATTAATAATATTCACTTGTTAGATTTATAAAAAAAAATATATGTCGCCGAATTAAAGAAACACAGGTGTATTGGACTTGGGACACGACTTTTGTTATCATTAATATGAAGATTATAGGTCGTCCATAATTGTATATACCAACAAATATATCTCTTTTTTTTGTTGTCTCTTTTGTCATCTTTGATTCATTCACAAACGTGAATAAAATAAAGAAAGAAAAGAGGAAATACTGTAAAATGATAAAACAATGTAAAATAAGTATTACATTTAAGGAAAATTAGTAGAATTCTATTATGGATTATTTTAGGAAAAGTTATGTTTTGTAATAAAATTGTGAAATGAGATATTTTAAAATTTATTCCAAAAAAGGAATACTGCAAAACTAATAAATTTTTCTTATGGATCATTTTAGAAATAATTATATTTCATAATAAAATTATAAAATAGGTCATTTCAAAAATTATTTCTTTATAAGAGCCGGACAATGATTAAAGGAATAGCCCTCATCAAAACTTTAACTTCGAATTCTGTGTTTCTAAAAAAGTTGAAGGACCCGGTGTTTGGTCTTCACGACAAGAGGATTTTATTGGATGGTTCTGCATCTCCGGTCTTAAATATGAGAGAGAAGGTCGTCCATAATTAGTTCGTATATGGTTGGCTTGGTTAATTAGTTAATTAGTATTAAATTAACTTTATAGCTAATATATATTGCAGATAGCGAGCTTACATCGCAGTTGGCAAGTATTTAGAGGAGTAAATAAGGAGCAGAAAGATCTGCTGTATACGGTGAAGAGATCATCGATGATTCAGTTTAAGACAAAACTTGATGTGTTTTTGAGTCACAATAAGAAAGAGAAGAGATGCGATTTTCGAGTCAAAGCAACCTGGTCCGAGCGTACTTGTGTCATCTACGCAGGTGAATCTGACACCATTGTTGCCCAAGTAAGCTCTCTTTCCTTTTGTGTTGGAGGTGGGCCAGACCTTTATGTTAGAGTACTTCTTAAAGAACCTATTTTTTGTTGGACTTCACAATTGCAACATTTGCTATACTAAAGTGGGACAAAAATATTTTGAATATTTGGATGGTTGGTGGGTGACTAAAATGAAATTTAAATAATATGTATGGTTTCGTTGTAACAGATGCACAAGAATAAAACGTTGCAGAGCGTTTTCTTGGGAAAGGAAAAATTCTCTGTGACGGTTTATCCAAATGTAGATTATGCTTTCATTGCCTCTCTCATCGTCATTCTCGATGATGTAAACCGAGACGCTGCTATCGCCATCACCACCGCTAGTTTGATCTGATGCTCACGTGCAATGCTCTCCTTTGAGTTTCTAGTTTATGAAAGCACCTCTATAAATGGTATCTCAACATAACTTTCTTACACAATAAAAAGAGAATGTGTAAGTATTCTAAATTGTTGCACTTTGGAATGTATTAATTAAAAGCTTTGTTAAATCAACAAGGATTGTGGGTGGTGGTGTTAAAAAAAAAATGATAACTATGGAAGAAAAGACATGCAAGACCATCTTTGTTGTGTCTTGCTCATGAAATCATCATCAAAAGTTCTAACAAATAGACTATTAATGGAGCTTCATTTTCTTTACATAAAAATTAGAGAGTTTCTACATGATAAAGTCTCTAAAAATGCATCATGTTTTTTTTTTGATAAGTTAAAAATGCATCATGTTTCGTGTATGTAGCTTCACTTTTCTTTTTTATTCAAGCTTTTCTCTCGCGGTAGCCTTCGTCTTATACATTCCTCTTACTATCTCAATTGGCTATCACGCTACTTTATCACTCTATAAATTTCAAAATCTTCTTAAATGACATTTTAAATTATATAAAAGATTTGAGTTATTCAATATCTCCGTACAATTAACTTGCCTTGGCATGAATGACTCGACAAAGAATTCTTTGACTGCAGCTATCAAATCTTGTCCAACCAAGTTCCATGAAGTTGTAAAGAACTCAATTGTAAACCCGGCCCAGGAGTTTTATTTCTGGGTAAGGCAAAGGCTGTAACTTTAATTTCTTCATCTGATGGGATCTGAGAAAGCCTATTTGAGAGATTTGAATCACATCTGAACGAGTGGAGATGTTTTAGTTGTCCAACAGAGTACGAATGCACACCTGGATTTGCTGTTCCCAACAAGTCAACAAAGTATTGAACCGCCATGTTTTTGATTTGAGGTGAATTGGTGATCTTTAAATCAGCGTCGTCATGCAAAAAACAGATGGTATTCCTTGAAAGGTTCGCTTTAACTGCTTTATGATAAAATCCAGTATTTGCGTCTCCTAAATCCAACCACCGTATTCTAAATTTCTGATGAAAAAAGGATTCTTCTGCAGAGGCCAAAAGAAGCCAAGACTCTCTAGCAGCAGATTCTGCTTCAAAAAGGATTGGAGACGGAGAAATAAGAACTTGATTCTGGATAGACTGAAGCTCCTCAAAGGCCTCTTTAGTTCGGTTTTGAATGTCACTAAAGCTTGACCGATTCAGATGTTTGCAACATAGCTTAGCTGCCTGGAGCCGTTGGAAAAGACTGAATAAAGGACCACCGGAAACCACAGGACTTTGCCAGGCTGCCTGAATTAAGGTTGCATAGCTTGGATGAGTAGTAAAGAAAGTGAAGAAATTAAATCTGGATTTCCTTCTCATAACATCATTTGATAAAGATACCAGACAAGGAGGGTGATCTGAGCTTCCAGGAGAGTCAAAAAGGGCATTTGATGCTGGGAAAGTATCCTGCCAAGCCCGATCAAGCTTCCTAGCTTTGGGATTGAGAGGACTATTATTGGTCCAAGTAAAAAGACAACCCCTCATAGAAAAATCAAATAAGCCAGAAGCTTCAAAACATTCCTGAAAATCAGACAGTCCGCCTAGAGAAATCGAGCTGGGATTCAAAGAATAAGTCTCTAAAAGGGATAAAACTTGATTAAAACCCCCCCATTAAAATCCAAGGGGACCGACGCATTAGAGCATTGCTCGCCAGGTTTTTGATTTGATTCCATAGAGGAACACGTTCAGCTAATGTATTCCTGGCGTAAATAAAAGCTATGGTAAAAGACCACAAAGCATCAGTTGAGGCGACTTCAGATAAGTGATCACCGAGAGAATAGGATCCCAAACCACAATTATTCTTCCATTCTCAGCTTCATCTGAATAATTCGCATCAAACTTCCAGCAAGGCAAAATTCCTTGTAAAATATTAACTATATTATCCTGCTTCACATGTGTTTCCAAAAAAACCACCTAATATAGGGCGGTTTGCAGTAATCCAGCGACTAACTGCGAGCTTCCCAGTTATTTGATTCAGCCCAAAATCATATTTAACATACATAAGTAGCAAAAGATGCCGTGATTTCGTTTTGGAAGCAAACTTTTCCAAGATCCGACCAACATGTCTATTTCTCTATGTAGATTTTTGAGGACGAATCAAAAGAGATTGATTGAGTTTTTTTTTCAGCAATACAATGAAAATTCTTTTTCAAAAAAATACAACGAAAGTTACATGATTATCTAACGTTACGTCAAATCTATTGAAAAAAACAAAAACAAAAAACTTGAAAATGATAAGATAAGTGTGTATATAACAAGTTCTAAGTCTTCAATATGCATATATACAATGCATACTTGAATCAATTCCAAAAAGATTTCTCGAGGTTTCTAATGTTACGAGATGCAAAGAATTTATCACTACTGGACGCATTGTTCTCAATTCACACCTTCATTGGTAGAAATACACTTAATGATCAATTGATTTTGGACATTGCTATCAAAATCTCTCCAAGACCTAGTCTTCAAGGTGTATTGTATTTCAAAAAAAAAAAAACATTAGAATCATGCATGAACACAAATAAAACAAACCACTGCATGGAACTTTCTATTAATTTACATAAGTATTGTAAAGATACTACTACTAGATGGAATTTGGGTTACAAATTTAGATTGTAAGTAATATTTACATGTTAGATTTTTTATAAAAAAAATGTATATCGCCGAATAATAGAAACACAGGTACTGCATATTCTAAACTTCTTATTATTGGGGCGATATATATTCGAAGGGTTTCACTAATAACGACAACTGTATCAAATTAATAAACCCAATTTGAATAGTTGTGGGCCTTATTCATGTCATGTGAACATTGTAGGATTTTGATTTAGTAATCAGAACACAAGTGGTATTTCAATTCGACACAAGTGGTATGTCATGTATATATTTGAATTTGATTTAGTAATCAGTACACTTGGGAGACGACTTTTGTTATCATTAGGTCGTCCATAATTGTGTATACATTATATACCAACCAGTATATCTCTAATTCTTTCTTTTTTGTCGTCTTTGATTAATTCACCAAGACGTGAGTGAATAAAGAAAAGAGTAAGGAACCGGACAATGATTAAATAGCCCTCAAAACTTCATCTTCGAATTTTGTTTTCTAAAATATGATATGCGCTTAGACTTTTCTCCTAAAAAAGAAGTTAAAAGTCAAGAAGTTAAAAGAGTAATGAACCAGACAATTATGAAATAGCCCTCGAAACTTTTTCTTCGAATTACGTATTCGATCCATATATTTACTATATAAACCCGTAGCTGAAATTCACCGAAGAAAGACAGAGAGAAAAAAGAAAGAAACCAATTTTTTTGAGAAGAAGAAATGGAGCAACCCTATGTGTACGCTTACCCACAATCAGGCACAGGCCCTTCGGCTCCGCCTCTACAAGGCAGTGACGTCGCAGATGAGCCTCTAAAAGGCAGTGATGTCGCCAGAGCGATAGTGGATCAACGGTTCTGCGCTCCGTACCCCGTTGATATTACGATAGTGCGGAAGATGATGAAGTTAAAGGCCGGTAACTTCGTTATAACGGACGTGAACGGAGACATGTTGTTCAAGGTGAAGGACCCGGTGTTTGGTCTTCACGACAAGAGGATTTTATTGGATGGTTCTGCATCTCCGGTCTTAAATATGAGAGAGAAGGTCGTCCATAATTAGTCCGTATATAGTCGGCTTGGTTAATTAGTTTACTAGTATTAAATTAACTTTATAGCTAATATATATTGCAGATAGTGAGCTTGCATCAAAGGTGGCGAGTATTTAGAGGAGTGAGTAAGGAGCAGAAAGATCTGCTGTACACGGTGAAGAGATCGTCGATGATTCAGTTTGAGACGAAACTTGATGTGTTTTTGAGCCACAATAAGGAAGAGGAGAGATGCGATTTCCGAGTCAAAGGTACCTGGTCCCAGAGTTCTTGTGTCATCTACGTAGGTGAATCTGACACCATTGTTGCCGAAGTAAGCTCTCTTTCCTTTTGTGTTGGAGGTGGGCCAGGCCTTTAAAGAACCTTTTTTGTTGTTTTGCTGTTGTTAGTGTATCACATGCTTTTATTTATAACCTTGGACTTCACAATTGCAACACTTGCTAATTAAAACGGGACAAAAATACTTTGAATATTTGGATGGTTGGTGGGTGACTAATATGACATTTAAATAATATTTATGATTTTGTTGTAACAGATGAACAAGAATGATACGTTGCAGAGCGTTTTGTTCGGAAAGGACAATATCTCAGTGACGGTTTATCCAAATGTAGATTATGCTTTCATTGCCTCTCTCATCGTCATTCTCTATGATGTAAACCGAGACACCGCTGCTGCTTTCTCCGCCGCTTCTACCGGTGCTTCCGCCGCTGTTACTTTGATGATCTGATGCTCACGTGCAATGCTCTCCTTTGAGTTTCTAGTTTATTAGAGCACTTTCATGAATGGTATTTCAATATAAAGTCTCTTACAAAATAAAAGAGAAAATAATATTATTTTATTATGTTAATATATCTTTGATGGAAGTACTTCTTACCATCACTATTTTACATCTGCTTTTGGATTTTGTAATATGTATTATGTTGCACTTTTGAATGTATCTTTGTCTTGTCATCATTTTTTTAATTGTAAAATAATTAATTTTTCTAGTTTACACTTAATTAATTTTAAGTGTCATCTTTTCGAAAAGGTTTCTTTTCTATATGTAAATACTAAAATTTAAAGGGAAAATTCCTGTTATAACCTAAAAATTATTTTTTTCTCAATATGTAGATCCTTTATTGAATGTTTGGCGAAACTAATCTAAAGAAGTAGTGAAATTACAACTCAGTCCTTTGTGACTAAACAAAAAACGTCTGCCACAAAGTTACGATTTTATCTTTAGAGAAGTCTACGTAAGAAGTCTACAATCGTTGTAGACTTCAAAAAAAGTCTACTACATAATTAGTTTTTTAAAAATTAATTAGAAAATATAAAATAAATAAATTTCGAAAAAATTGGTACACATAAGTAAGACATATATATTTGACATGTATAGAATACAAAATTTCATACAAATTAATCAACTTAAATACAGAAAGAAAATTAACTAGAAAACATACAACCCCTTACAAGTCTACTAAAGAAGTCTACTACAGAAAACATACTTATGCAGTAGACTTCTCGGGTAGACTTCTCGGGTAGACTTCTCCATTAGACTTAAAAAAAACATAGCGGGAAATCAAAATTATTTAACAAATTGGGTGGGAATCGGAACAAATTAGGCGGGAATCGAAATCGAAAAAATATACCGAAGTAAACTTTTCGAGTAGACTTCTCAAGTCTACTGGACCGAAAATTTTCCTACATATATAAGGAGATTAACCTAATTGGGTTAAAAATAAAGTTTTTCTCTCCCTCTAAAAAACACCTCTCTCTCCTCTACCTCCTCTCTGGCCATGAATCTCTTCTCCTTATTCTCTTGCCATCAAACCCATCTCTATCCTCCATCCTCTCTATCTCAATTATGGTGATGGTAAGCAAATCTGAAGTTTTGTATTTCTTTTGTTGTTTGTTTTGTATTCATATTGTAAATCTGGGTTTATTATTACATATTTGAGCTTCTTGTTTTAGATCTGAGTTTATTCTTGCAAATATGCGCTTTTTATGGTATAAATTTTGTAGAATTTGTTGCTGATCTGCAGATCTGATTTTTTTTTTGTTGATCTGAATTTTTAGTTGTTGCAGATCTGATTTTGTTTATTTTGTTGCAGATCTGAATTTTGTTTATTTTGTTGCAGATATATAATTTTTTTTGTTGCATAGCTGATTTCTTTTTTTCTCTTTTGCTGCAGATATGATGTTTGTAAATATAGCATATTTTGTTGAAATATGAATTTAACATTTTTTTTTTATTGTGCAGACCTGAGCTTATTTATTTCTCTTTTGTTTTTGTTGGAAGCAGAATTCAGCTGCAAATTTTTCGAGTAGACTTCTCGAGCAGACTTCAGTCACATACATCTATTTCAGACATTTTGTTTTTATATGCTAATTTTAAGATTTATAATTAGTGATCCTTAAATGTTTGTTTGATTAGAAGGTCTACTTTATATGTAAAATTGGATTGCAATTAATGTTATTTTTATATATTCTTAAATTATGTGTGTTTTATAATATTAAGATTTCATATGCAGACTTCTTTGTCTGACTAAGTCATCACCATCTTTGAACCTCTAATAACACAAGAAAATTAATTCAATTTAACTATACAAAAACATGTAAAACTCATAACAAAAAAACATGTAAAACTACTTAGAAATACCATAATTAGTCTTTCTTTGTAAGAAAACAAAATTCAAACCACATTAGAAATCATTGTCGAAAAAGTAGACTGCAAATGTAGTCTACTATGTAGACTTCAAATGAAGTCTGCGGACTATTAAGCTAAATACCAAATAAAAGAAGAAAATTAGTTAAAGCTAAACTGTAACAAAAAAAAATTTCAAACTCATACATAAGCAAGAACAATAAATATCACACAATTAAGAGTCAAATAATAAATTTTATTTGTTACAAATATCTGATCAATTAAATTTATAAAAAATTAATGTCGCAGACTGCAAACGAAGTCTACTATGTAGACTTCAAGTGAAGTCTACGGACTAATAAGCTAAATACCAATTAGAACAAGAAAATTAATTAAAGCTAAACTATAACAAATAAACATGTCAAACTCCTACATAAGTAAGAACAATAAATAATACACACTTAAGAGTCAAAGAATAAATTTTATTTGTTACAAATATCTGATCAATTAATTTAATTAAAAAATTAATATCGCAGACTGCAAACGAAGTCTACGGACTAATAAGCTAAATACCAAATAAAACAAGAAACTTGATTTCACCAAATATATATAAAATATAAACATGTAAAACTGATACAAATGTAAGTACACTTACTAAAACAATCGTAAGACCAAAAAAATCTTAATAATTCGTTGTAAATTTGATAAAAACGCGTTTATAAAAAAAAAGTGAAATAGTGGACTAACAACGAAGTTTACAAAAGTAGACTTGTAATGAAGTCTACAAATGTAGACTTCGTATGAAGTCTATATTTTAGGTTACTTTTGCAATTGCCAAAAGATGAGTAGACTTCTTCAAGAAGTCTACTCGAGAAGTCTACTCACTTCAAGAAGTCTACTCGAGAAGTCTACGTAAAAAAAAGTTAGTTTTGTAATTGACCAAACTTTGACTTTTTCGTAAGAAGTCTACTTGCAAAAGTAGACTTCTTCGGAGAAGTCTACTTTTAAAGTAGACTTCTTAGAGGTTAGTTTTGTAATTGACCAATGTTGACTTTTCAAAGTAGACTTCGTTTGAAGTCTACTTCAAAAGTAGACTTCAAACGAAGTCTACTTGGGTTAGTATTAGGGTTGACCAAACATTGAATTTATTTTCGAGTAGACTTCGTTTGAAGTCTACTTAAAAAAAGTCTACTCAGAAAGTAGACTTCAAACGAAGTCTACTCGGAAAAGTAGACTTCAAGTCTACTCGGAAAAGTAGGCTTGAAGTCTACTCGAAAAAGTCAACATTAGTCAATTGCAAAACTAACCTCTAAGAAGTCTAAGTTCAAAGTAGACTTCTCGAAGAAGTCTACTTTTGCGAGTAGACTTCTTACGAAAAAGTCAAAGGTTGGTCAATTGCAAAACTAACCCCTTTTTACGTAGACTTCTTTTGAAGTTTACACTATTTTTTTTTTGTTGTCAAAGGAAATGGCGCAGACTTCAACTGAAGTCTACTGTCAAAAATTGGTACACCCGGTCAATTGCAAAACTAACCTGTGTGTTGACCAGCAGACTTCTTTTGAAGTCTACTACCGACAGTAGACTTCTTAAGAAGTCTACTTTCGCGGCACAGATCTGAAAACTCACAAAAATTGACTGAAAAATCACCTACCAGTGGTATTTAACTTATTTAACCACCGATTTCTTTGATTCCAGCCACCACCAAACAAGCCCAAACGATTTACCAGACCAAATCACCAAATATGACAATATATTAAAACATCAAGTTTCAAAAATTTAGATTAGAGAGTTTTTGTGCTGAAAATGGTGAAAAAATGGAAGAGTAGAAGGTTAAGAGAAGAGGAAATGAGGTTACAAAGCTAAAAATGGGTCTTTGAAGCAATAAAAGCTTCAAATTGGTTGAAAATGGTGGTTGAATGAATTGATGGTGATGACATTTTCGTGAATAAGTGAGGAAGATGATGATTGTTTGGTAAAATAGATTTTCGAAATAATAATAAAAAACAATAATTTAATGGCATTTTCGTAAATAAATAGAACTGATAAGAATATAAGTGAGATAAAGTGGTTAATTTTAAAAGTGGTAAAATATGAGGTTAGTTTAGCAATTGACTTGAATTTATGAGTTATTTTTGCAAGATTCCCAAATTTAAACTCCAAAACCAATAAACGTACGGAATAATATCAAGTATCAACGTTGCTAGGTTAACATGTAGCATATAAAGTATTAAGATCAATCAACTTTTCTACATTGACCAATAACCATAGTTTTATCCTCTCTTGGACAAATTTATATAGACATGCGGTTTGCGTTAATTTGTTTTATTTTCCACGAGTTTAATTATGAACGGAGATATATTGTTCAAGGTGAAGGACCCGGTGTTTGGTCTTCACGAAAAGAGGATTTTATTGGATGGTTCTTCCATGCCCGATCGAATTAAAATAGTGGTATAAAGCTATAAAAAAAAAAATACAAAGTTTATTTGATTTTTAAAAAATTTATGGCTCGTTTTTTAGATTTTTTTTAAATTTGTGGTTTATTTTATAGCCTAATTTTTTTAAAAAATATTGGTGATCCTAAGTCATCTTTTAGTCCGCATGTCCTATGGACTGGCCTGGGTTCTCCATCTCCGGTTTTAAATATGAGTGAGAAGGTCGTCCACACACGACTAAATTAGTATGTATATAGTCAGTCGGCTTGGTTAGTTATATAGTTTACTATTAAATTAACTTTATAGTTAATATATATTGCTGGTAGTGAACTTGCATCAAAGGTGAAAAATATTTAGAGGAGTGAGTAAGGAGCAGAAAGATCTGCTGTACACGGTGAAGAGATCACGGATGCTTTAGTTTAAAACGAAACTTGATGTGTTTTTAAGTTACAATAAAGAAGATAGCTGGTCCGAGAATTCTTGTGTCTATCTACGTAGGTGAATTTGACACCATTGTTTCCTTTTGTGTTGGAGGTGGGCCAGGCCTTTAAAGAACATTTTTGTTGTTTTGCTCTTGGTAGCACATGCTTTTATTTATAACCTTGTACTTCACAATTGCAACACTTGCTATACTAAAGTGGGACAAAATACTTTTGAATATTTGAATGGTTGGTGGGCGACTAAAATGAAATTTCAATGATATGTATGGTTTTGTTGTAACAGATGGTTTGATCTGATGCTCTTCTTTGAGTTTCTAGTTTATGAAAGCACCTCAATAAATGGTATCTCAACATGACTTTCTTACAAAATAAAAAGAGAATGTGTAAGTATTCTAAATTGTTGCACTTTGGAATGTATTCTTAATTAAAGCTTTGTTAAACCAACAAGGATTGTGGGTGGTGGTGTTAAAAAAAAAAAAGGATGACAACTATGGAAGAAAAGGCATGCTCAACCATCTTTGTTGTGTCTTGCTCATGAAACCATCATCAAAAATTCTAACAAATAGATTATTGATAGTCTTACCTAAAAATTAGAGAGTTTTTATTTAATAAAGTCTCTAAAAATGCATCATGTTTCGTGTATGGAGCTTCATTTTCCTTTTGTATTCAAGCTTTTCTCTCGCAGTAGCCTTCGACTTATACATTCCTCTTACTCTCTCAATTGGTGCTCACGCTATTTTATAACTCTATAAATTTCAAAGTGTTGTTAAATAACATTTTAAAGTATATAAAGTTATTTAATATCTAAACGATGATGGATTTGAGTGTTATAACTAAAGGTTCTCGGAAAAAAAATTCAAGCAATCTCTACCGATTTATTTTAGTTTTTGCTGTGTTTTGCTGTTCAATCGTCCTTAATTGATCTGTTTTGTTATAATTCTTTTGCAGATTAAAAGTATCTTTTCAAGGCAGTTATTTGATTTATCCCAAAATCATATTTCACTAAATATTGCTACCCAAAAAGAAAAGAAAAAAAAAACAATTTAGAGCAATTGCATACATAAGTAGCAAAAGATGTCATAATTTCGTTTTGGAAGCAAACGTTTTCCAAGATCCGACCAACATGTCTATATCTCTATGTAGATTTTTGAGGACGAATTGGTAGAGATTGCTTGAGATTTTTTCAGCAATACAACGAATATACAACGAATGTGACACAATTATCTAACGTTACGTACAAATCTATTGAAAAATCTTGTGATTGGAGTCATCTTGATTGCACTATAATAGTCAATTCTCAACTTCTAAAGTTGCATTTTACTATCTTTTCTCATGTATTTGCTTCAAATGTATGCTTGTTCAATTGTAAGATCTTGTCTAACAATTGTAAACTCTTGTTACCTTTAAATTTAGTCAAAAAAAAATCTATTGAAAAAACAAAAACCCAAAAAACTGGCAAATGATAAGATAAGTGTGTACACATAACAAGTTCAAGTCTTCAATATGCATATATTCTTTGCATACTTGAATCAATTCCAAAAATATTTCTCGAGGTTTCTAATATTACGAGATGCAAAGAATTGGTCACTACTGGACGCATTGTTCACACTTTACTCCATCGGTAGAAACACACGTAATGATCCATCGGTTTTGGACATTGCTATCAAAAGCTCTCCAAGACATAGTCTTCAATGTGTATTATATTTCAAAAAAACAATCATTTTTTCCCCTAAATAGTTTAGAACTTTATATATTTAGAGTCATGCATGAACACAAATAAAACAAACCACTGCATGGAACTTTCACCATATCTGCCTATGGTCCCATTCCTCGAAAATTATATAAATAATAAAATATACTTAATAGTTTTTTTTGGTTGAAATAAAATATACTTAATAGTTACATCTCACATCCGGTAGTTATTAACGTAACAGTATTATTAAAGATACTAGATACAATTTGGGTTACATATTCAGATTATATATATATATAATAATAATAATTACATGTTATATTTTTTTATTAAAAAATGTATATCGCCGAATTAAAGAAACCTTTTTTTATTAAAGAAAAATGTATATACTGCATATTCTAAACTTCTTATTTATTCGGCCAATATATCTTCGAAGGGGTTCACTAATAACGACATCTGTATCAAATTAGGTTTACTAATTTGAATAGTTGTTGGGCCTTTTTCATTCATGTGGACATTGAAGAATTTTGATTTAGTAATCAGTAAACAAGTGGTATTTCAGTTCGACAAAGAGTGAATTTGATACGTGAAATTAAAAAGGGAAGAATAATGGTTGGGTTATATAGTATGAAGACCACTTAGGAGACGACTTATGAAGATTATTAGGTCGTCCATAATTGAATATATATATACCTATGAAGACCACTTGGGAGACGACTTATGAAGATTATTAGGTCGTCCATAATTGTATATATATACCAACAAATAAATCTCTTTCTTTCTTTCTTTCTTTTTTTGTCATCTTTCATTCTTTCACGGGAACGTGATTAATTAGCCCTCAAAACTAGACTATTCTCCTAAGCGCATATCATTTCATCATTTATCTTCTAATTTTGTTTTCTAAAAAAATGATATGAAGGAACCGGACAATGATCGATGGAATATCAGCCCTCAAAACTTTATCTTCGAGTTACGTACTCGATCCATATATTTATTATTTAAACCCGTAGCTGAAATTCACCGAAGAAAGACAGAGAGGGAAAAAAAAAAAAAAGAAGAAGAAGAAATGGATGTCGCCAGAGTGATCGTGGATAAACGGTTCTGCGCTCCGTACCCCGTTGATCTTACGATAGTGCGGAAGGTGATGAGGTTAACGGCCGGTAACTTCGTTATAACGGATGTGAACGGAGACATGTTGTTCAAGGTGAAGGACCCGGTGTTTGGTCTTCACGACAAGAGGATTTTATTGGATGGTTCTGGATCCTCGGTCTTGAATATGAGAGAGAAGGTCGTCCATAATTAAACACACACACACGGCTAAATTAGTCTGTATATATAGTCAGTCGGCTTAGTTAATTAGTTTATTATTAAATTAACTTTATAGCTAATATGTATATTGCAGATAGTGAGTTTGCATCACAGGTGGCAAGTATTTAGAGGAGTGAATAAAGAACCGGAAGATCTGTTGTATACGGTGAAGAGATCATCGATGATTCAGTTTAAGACAAAACTTGATGTGTTTTTAAGTCACAATAAGGAAGAAAAGAGCTGCGATTTCCGAGTTAAAGGGAGCTGGTCCCAGAGCTCTTGTGTCATCTACCTAGGTGAATCTGACACCATTATTGCCGAAGTAAGCTCTCTTTTCTTTTGTGTTGGAAGTGGATCAGATTATATGGATTAGTGGTCTCTATTATTATTTTAATTTAATTAAATTTTAACCAATATGTATTTGACATGTAAGAAATAAAATTGTCAATCATTGCTATAGAGATTCTCAAATGAGAACTTATTTTTATTTTCTTTCTTTACTTTTCATTATTTTTTTTTTGTTTTTTTAAGTTCAGAACCTCTCATGAGAACCTCCATTAGAACATTTACATTGCAAGTCTAAATATATTAATCTGAAAATAATAAAATAGAAAAAACAAGAGAGAAAATGAGATGAGTCTCTCATTTAAAAGATTATGAGAGATTTTGAGAGCATCATATAATAATATTAGTTTTGTTATTGTTTAGTTTAAAAAACTCATCCAAAATTTTAATATTATTGGTCAGATACTCACTAAAATTAATTAAAAATACAATATTAATATTTTCATAATAATTTAATAATATCTTAAATTATTATGTTGGTAGCACATGCTTTTATATTAAAGTATTTTTATATCCAACATAATAATACCTTTATGTAGGAGTATTTTTTAAAAAAGAACTTTTTTGTTGTTTTGCTCTTGTTAGTTAATTTGGTATCACATGCTTTTATATATAACCTTGGACTTCACAATTGCAACACTTGCTATACTAAAGCGGGATAAAAATACTATGAATCTTTGGATGGTTGGTGGGTGACTAATATGACATTTAAATAATATGTATGGTTTTGTTGTAACAGATGAACAAGAATGATACGTTGAAGAGCGTTTTGTTCGGAAAGGACAATTTCTCAGTGACGGTTTATCCAAATGTAGATTATGCTTTCATTGCCTCTCTCATCGTCATTCTCGATGATGTAGACCGAGACGCCGCTGCCATCGCTTCCACCGCTTCCAACCTCGCTGGTTTCATCTGATGCTCACGTGCAATGCTCTCTTTTTGAGTTTCTAGTTTATCATATAGCACCATCCTTGATGGAGGTGCTTCTCACGCTCACTATATTACATCTGCTTTTGGATTAAGTATTTCTAAATTGTTGCGCTTTAGAATGTATCCTTGTCGTGTCATCTTTTTCTTAATTGTAAAATAATTAAATTTTCTATTTTTTACTTAATTAATACAATATTTTATTTGATACTAGTTGGTTTACTTGCGAATGTGTCATTCATTTTTATATGATGCGTTTGTTATATCGTATATATACTATACTAGATTGATGAGAGTTTATGATGTAAGAATTAATATTTACTCTCATAAGAAATACAATAACGGTTAAATATAATTACTGTAAGTAGAAGTTTTCATAAACTAGATATATACAAATATTCTATATAATATATACATAATATTTACTAATAATATTATGAATCTTCAAGATCCTTTAGATCTCTGTATATCCTTCTATACTAGATATATAACATGAGCATATAAAGTATTAAAATTAATCAACTTTAACCAATTCCCTCTCTTAGACAAAATTATATAGAAATGCGGTATGTGTTAATTGTTTCATTTCCACAAGTTTGATAATAAAAAGGAATATTCTACAAGACTACAATCCATATACATGTTTCATTTACAGCCAACAACCAAAAATAGGGTGAGGTTGAACTTGAGTATTCCCAAAAATGGACGAGAGGAAAAGCGAAATGAGAGGAGACCCCAAAGAAAACGAGAAAAACCAGGAAAAACATTCGTCCAAACAAACCCTATAAAAAAGCATTGAAACGTTTCCACAACTCGATATTCATCCCCAAAGCATATTCATATAACAATAAACAATTAATACTCCACCAAAACACATAAAACGAAAAATAGTCGAAAGCTGTAATCGAAACCAAACATTGTTTATTGTTATGCGAGGGGTTAAACTCTTAGCCGCGTGCCTCTACCTGGCCGCAGCCGCAACGGTGGTGGTCCGAGCCGAAGACCCTTACTTCCACCACGTGTGGAACGTGACCTACGGAACCGTATCTCCTCTCGGCGTCCCACAACAAGTCATCCTCATCAACGGCAAATTCCCTGGTCCCAACATCAACTCAACCTCCAACAACAATATCATCATCAATGTCTTTAACAACCTCGACGAACCCTTCCTCCTCACTTGGTATTAACCATTCCTTTTTAACCAAAAAATATCGGTTTTGCAAGTGAACAATATTCTCAAAGAATTGGGTTTCTCGATCTATAAACCAAAATGTCTGATCATCCACAAAACTAATATGTGATTTTATTGGTATTAGGAATGGGATCCAGCACAGGAAGAACTGTTGGCAAGATGGGACTCCAGGAACAATGTGTCCCATCATGCCTGGCACCAACTTCACTTACCATTTCCAGCCTAAGGATCAGATCGGAAGTTACTTCTACTACCCGAGCACCGCGATGCACCGTTCTGCTGGTGGATTCGGTGGACTCCGTGTCAACAGCCGTCTCCTCATCCCTGTCCCTTACGCTGACCCGGAAGATGACTACACCGTCCTCATCGGTGACTGGTACACTAAGAGCCACACCCAATTGAAGAAGTTCCTCGACGGTGGTCGTACTCTCGGTCGTCCAGACGGTATTCTCATCAACGGAAAGGCCGGGAAAGGCGATGGATCAGACGCGCCTCTCTTCACCTTGAAACCTGGAAAGACTTACAGGGTTAGGATCTGTAACGTGGGTCTCAAGACATCTCTCAACTTTAGGATTCAGAATCACAAGATGAAGCTCGTTGAAATGGAAGGATCGCATGTTCTCCAAAACGACTACGACTCTCTAGACGTCCACGTTGGCCAGTGCTACGGCACGATCGTTACCGCTAACCAAGAACCTAAAGATTACTACATGGTTGCATCCTCTAGGTTCTTGAAGTCGGTTATTACCACAACCGGACTTCTCCGCTACGAGGGAGGCAAAGGCCCCGCCTCTTCGCAGCTCCCAGCTGGTCCAGTCGGATGGGCTTGGTCGTTGAACCAGTTTAGATCTTTCAGGTGGAACTTGACCGCTAGTGCAGCCAGGCCTAACCCTCAGGGATCTTACCACTACGGAAAGATCAACATCACACGCACCATCAAGCTCGTGAACACTCAGGGCAAGGTTGATGGCAAGCTTAGGTACGCCTTGAACGGTGTCTCCCACACCGACACCGAAACCCCACTGAAGCTCGCCGAGTACTTTGGTATGGCCGACAAGGTCTTTAAATACGATACCATCAATGATAACCCGACCCCGGAACAGATCAAGACCATCAAGATCGAGCCAAACGTTCTTAACATCACTCACCGTACCTTCATCGAGGTGGTGTTCGAGAACCACGAGAAGAGTGTTCAGTCGTGGCACTTAGACGGTTACTCCTTCTTCGCCGTCGCGTAAGTGAATGAAAAAAACAAATATTTTGTTTTAACCACATTCTTGCATTACAAGAAACTCTGAATTTTAACCTAATTTTTACTCTGGTTTCAAAGCGTTGAGCCAGGGACTTGGACCCCAGAGAAGAGGAAGAACTACAACCTCCTGGACGCAGTGAGCAGACACACAGTCCAAGTCTACCCAAAGTGCTGGGCAGCAATCTTGCTCACATTCGATAACTGTGGAATGTGGAACATTAGATCTGAGAACACCGAGAGACGTTACTTAGGACAGCAGCTTTACGCGAGTGTCTTGTCGCCAGAGAAATCACTCAGAGATGAATACAACATGCCTCCGACAAGCCTCCAATGTGGTCTCGTCAAGGGAATGCCTAAGCCTAACCCTTACGCTGGAGCCTAAGTTAATTTTTACAAAACAATAGTTTTCAATGCAACAAAAGAGTTTGAATTCTTCTGTTGATTTGATTGACGAGAGGCATTTGCACGACGTATACCCAACAGATTTATTTTCAGTTTTTTGGGTCTTTTTATTATTTTAATTTTATCAAACTAATTTTTAAAAGTATATGGTTTATTCTTATATACAAAAAAAGTAATTTTTTCTTTTCTTTTTTAAAAGATACATTAATCTTCTTCCTTTTTGTTCTTCACTTTTTTTGTAACGCGTATGTAATGTATCCATAATCTTCAATAAAATAAACACAGAATTGTCTCACGTGAAGTGTTCTTTTCCCCTACCATTTTCTGATGGATGCTAATAATAATATTATCCCATAATTTTGTTCTACGCGGGACAATAGTTGAGCCCATTGTACTACAAAGCATTCAATATCCTCAGAGAAACAAAGGTGGAAAGTTTCAAGCTGCATGTAATGGTGAATAAACCATAATAATATGGCTCAAAAATGAAAAATTCTTATAAGATTAGTTTTTTTATAAAAATGGAATGAAGGTAGAAAAGAAATTTACAACGAAGTATCTCTATAGCTTAGAACCGAGTAGAATAAGTAACAAATAAGCAGGAAACCCTCCACAAGAACAAGGAGTGTTATTAACCCCTTCAATGTCGTCTTCTCTGTTTCTTTCCTTTTCTTTTTCCCCACATCTATTACAGATTGGAGTTGCTGTACTTTTATATACACTGACACTGACAACAAAAATGGGAAGAAACAAAAAAAAACCTTCCTGATCTCCCTGAAATCGACAATCTCTCATCTTTTTAAGGCTCTTTATCTCGTGATTCTTCATCAAATGGCGTTTCCTTGAAAGAAAATTCATCGAGACTATCATTCTCTGTATCGACCTGAACAAGCTCTTTGAACATAGCCATTACTTGAATCATTGTTGGCCTTTTGAACGGTCGATCATCCAGACATTGAGACGCGATTTTCAAGTAATGAAACAGCTCAACATCGCCAGATTTCTCTGTAATCAGGTCTAGATCAAGAATCTCAGCTCCTCTCTTCTCCCTGTAAAGCTGTTTAGCCCACCCCACGAGGTTGTTGTCTTCACCAAACTCCTCTGGATGAATCGGTTTCTTGCCTGAGAGAAGCTCGAGAAGTATAACACCATAGCTATACACATCTCCTTTGGTGGTGCACCGGAAACTCTGGTAATACTCTGGTGGAACATAACCAGGAGTTCCCGCGAGCGTGCTCACGCTCAAGTGCGTGTCCAGAGCGCTCACCAGCCTTGCCATACCAAAATCCGAGACACGGGCTGTAAAATCTTGGTCTAGAAGAACGTTGCTTGACTTCATGTCTCTATGGATAATGTGAGGAATGCAGCTATGGTGCAGAAAAGCTAGCCCACGGGCAGCACCTGTTGCAATCTTCTTCCTCGCGGTCCAGTCGAGAAAGATTCCTCCTTTCTTGGTCTTCTCGTGTAGAACTGTCTCTAAGCTTCCGTATTTCATGTACTCGTAGACAAGAAGTCTCTCTTCACCGATCTTGCAATAGCCCAAAAGAGGAACGAGATTTCTATGTTTGATTTTGCCAATTGTCTCCATCTCTGCCATAAACTCTCTGTCGCCTTGTCCCGTCACTTGAATCAGCTTCTTGATCGCCACAACAGACCCGTCTGCAAGTTGAGCCTTGTAAACATCTCCAAACCCGCCTGATCCGATCATACTATCAGCACTAAACCCATTCGTTGCTTCTAAAAGGTGTGCAAAAGTGAGTTTTCGCAGCGGCTTCTCGAACGTTGCAACGTTGATGCTTAACGGTTCATGAACGCTAGAGAGCTTCCAGCTACTGCTACCAGAGGTCGGAAGGCTCGTAATGTATTTCTCTCTCTGCCTCTCCTTCTTCTGAACCTTCCTTACTCGGTAAAGCGCCATAGTAAGCACCAAGATACACATGAACGAAAACACAATCCCAGTGATCATCCCAGTCGCAATGCTCTGCTTCTTAGGGTGAGCACTGGAGCCTGTGGAACGAGAACCAGAGCTGCAAGGAGGGAGAGGAACACCGCAAAGCCCTGAGTTGTTTGCATATCTTTTGACTGGGAACGTCGTAAGTTGGCCTCCAGATGGTATTGGTCCGGTTAGATTGTTGTTAGAGACGTCTAAGTCGCTGAGGAAGGAGAGGCCTCCAAGTGAACCGGGTAAGAATCCTTGGAGATGGTTGTGAGATAAATCAAGAACTCCGATTGCTTTCAATCCACCGAAGCTATCCGGTATGGCTCCAGTTAAGAGGTTATGTCCAAAGTTCAAGACCTGAATGTACGCCATATCACCATAGCTCAGAGGAATAGAACCAGAAACCGCATTGTACGAGACGTCGATGTAGATCATGCTCCCGTTCCCGGAGAAGGTGTACATCGTCATGCCAGAGTATATCCGAGTCGCGGGACAAGAATGAAACCTCGGAAAATGCTCCAACCGCTCTGCACGAATGCCTTCAAACTCAACCAAACCGCCTGCGCCTCTGCAATCCGTCCCACCTTCATTCCTCACAAACGCAAACTGTTTACCAGAGACGCTTCCAGGCATTACAAGCCCGGTCTGGCTAGCAAGCTCAGCTGGGAGATTCCCGGTTAGGCTGTTACTATTCAGGTCAAGCCAGATTAGGCTTTTGCAGTTCCCGAGCTCAGGCGGGACATTCCCTGTCAAAGAATTGTTTCCGAGCTGTAGAATCGCCAGTTTCTCGAGGTTTCCGATACCTACCGGGATTTTTCCGGTAAGGAGGTTGCTAGAAAGGGAGATCCAGAGCATGTTGGTGCATTTGGAGATTGTTTCTGGTATAGAACCGGTTAAGAGATTGTTGTTTAGGATCAGAGTTTCCAAGTTTCCTCCGTCCACACAAATGCCGTCAGGGATTCCACCGGTGAGATTGTTCGCCCACATAACCAAGTCAGAGAGATTCGGCAACATCCATACCTCATTTGGAATCGTACCGGTGAGAGCATTGAAGCTGAGATCTATAGACTTCAAGCTCTTGCATTTACCAAGCTCCATAGGAACAGTTCCTGAGAGGTAGTTGTTGGCGATAAGCAACTTCTCCAGAACCGGCGAGCTTTGAAGAGAGCAGAAGCCAGATGGTACTTCCCCGGTGAACTCGTTTGAGCTCAGATCAAGAACTCGCAGGTTAGTACAGTTGGTGAGCGAAACGGGGACAGAACCTGAAACGTTGTTGTAGGGCAAGTAAAGGTAAGTGATTCTGGGGAGTTTGCTCACGACGGTGCTTAGAAAATCGCCGGAGAGCTTGTTGCTTCCCAAATTTAGGCTTTGTAATGAGCTACAAGAACTGAATGATTGCGGCAGCTGACCTGTGAGACTGTTGCCGGAGAGATCGAGGACCTCTAGTGTTCGGCAGAGCAGAGAAAGCTCCGGTGGAATCTCTCCGGAGAAAAGATTGTGTGCGAGGAAGAGCTCTTTCAGGTTCTCGAAATTTCCCCAATATCCTTCGCCGGGGATTTTCCCGGCGAGACTGTTCCTAGAGAGGTTTAGCGTCTCGAGGAGCTTACAGTTTGACAGACTATATGGGAATCTATCGCCGGAGATGTTGTTATGCGATAGACTGAATACGGTGAGGTTACCGCATAGGCCGAAACTGAGACGGGAGAACTCGCCGGAGAAATTGTTGTGCGATAGATCGAGGTGTTTCAAAGACGCCGGAAAACCTGAGACGAAAGTCTCGGGAATCTCCTCGGAAAAGAGATTAAACGAGAGATCGACGGTGGTGATTCTCTTGTTACTCGTCGACGGAGCAGAAATCAATATCCCGGCGAGCTTGTTACTCGAAAAATTGACAGACACCAGATTCAAACAGCTAGAGAAAACGTAATCCACCATTGAAGAGTCCGATATCAAGTTTGAAGATAAGTCCATAACCTCAAGGGAACATCCGGAAGAAGAACCAGAGGAGTCACCGGACGAGAAGGAGTTTCCTTGGAGATAGAGATTCCGGAGATGCGACAACGCCGTGAGATTGTTGAGATTTAGTGTGCCGGTAAGGCCACCGTTTCGTAGATCCAGAGCAACGACTCGACCATCGTTAGAGCAGGAGACGCCACGCCAAGAACATGGGTCACGACCCGACCCGTGTTTCCAGTTACCCAGAAAGTTGTTAGGATCCGACTTTACGGAGACTTGCTTGAACGCCGTTAACAGAGCGGATTCGCTCTGGTCGTCGCTGAGTAGCCGTCTGACACGAGCGTCCACCATTAGAAACAAGACGAGCAAGCAGAGGAACACGAACTGCCATTGTTGCTTCATATTATCAGCCCACCAAGTGTTCGATCAAATTCCAACAAGAATCATCAGTATAAAGACTGAAATTTCAAGCTCAAGGATCTTCCCTTTGGTCTACTTCGGATTCATTAATGGACACGGAGGGAAAACCCAATCCTCCATAACGACCAAAAAAAACTCTCACCGGAGAAGAGCTTGCAACAACACTGAAATCCAAAATGAAATTAAGATTAATACTCTGAATAACAGTAGAGAAGCAATGGTTTATTTGGGAAAAGCAAGAGGCTTTTCAGAGAAGAAGAAGATACATACATACAAAGTTTATGTGCGATTGTGAAGAAACAAAAAAGCGGAGTCAAAGGCTGACAGATACGGAAAAAGAGAGAGACGAAGTACAGAGAGACAGAGAGAGTTCTCTTAGTGAGGAAGACAACGGAGATGGTCTCTGACAGAATTGTCTCCCCAAGTACGATGTTTACAGAGATGGTCGGACCCGGAGAAGAAAAATTGAGTCGAGTCTCCAACCCAAAAAAAAAAAAAAAAAAGTAGCTGGTTGAAGATTCCACAGCTTTTACAAACAAAAGGAAGCGTGTTTAGTACGAACACTACACAGAAGAAAAGAGAAACGAATTTTCCCAGAAAGTAAAACAAGAATTTTCAGGGGAAGATAAAGGAGAGTTCTTTTTTAGTTGCTTGGCAAAATAAGGAGCTGAAATTTTCTTATGGTTTCTTCGTCGAATCTAAGAGAGAATCACCGAAGAGAAAGATGAACAAAGAGACAATATCTTTGTCCCTTTTTTTTTCCCTTTGCTGGGAAAAAATGCAAAAGTGAAAGAGAAGAAATTTTGGCAAAGGGAGAAAAATGGGGAGAAAAAGTATATAAGACAAAACCAAGAGACTAATCCTACGTGAAAAGAGGATGCATAATCATTATATTTAATGACTAATTTTTTTCTATTTATTAATCCCACCTAAACATTTCCGTGCAATTTTTTGTAATCTCAAAAATAGTTTTGATAGATCAAACCCAACCTCAATTTGTTTTGAATTTGATATTGGAAAGTTTTACAGGTTTGGAAATGATATTTGTGAATCTAACCAAGGTCTTGTTTTGTGGGGACTAGATTTGTTGCTTTTAATGTTCTTTTGTCAATGTCAATGATATCTCCAAAGTCCAAACTCACTACAATTTGTGCAACATGTAAATTAGAATTGATGCGATGTATGTATAGATTTCATTCTTTTTATCAATTATTATAGAAATTGGATTCAGTGGATCTCACTTTAGCATCCTCGATCGCCATATAAATTGCAGTGACAAATGAAATTCAAACTCAGGTATGCGAAAGTACATAAAACATCAACACATGCATATCCATGTTCGACTCCTACAAATTATAGCAACTCATAAGGTGCATGGGGCATTCGAAATCAAAGACTAACGATTTTAATTAATAGACCAAATTGTAATGAAAGAAATTATGGAGATCAAAGTCCAAAAATATCGTGATTTATATATAAGCTCTAACTATATATGTGATTGGTAAGATAATTAGAAAACCAATAGTAAAATACACATCTACATTTTCTTTTTTTCTATGCATCTACAACTCTTTTAATTTTTCAAGGATTTTATTTTGTATCCGAATTCCAACCAATGCAACATCATATAATGGATATTCTTGGAAAGAACATGAAAACTACTAAACTTTGAAAACTAAAAAGTATTTCTAACATATCAAAACAACTTTGTTTTTCAAAAAACAAGACAACCTAATTTTCTATATGAAACATTTTAAAAGTTGCATTGTAAAGTTCAGACTGTTCAGTACATCTAGTTTATGAAGAAAGTAAAACTTTTAATAAGATAATGTAAATACTTCGTACATAGTATTTTTGAAAAAAAGAAACCTCTAATTTTTAATTCTAAGAAGTTATCAACTTTATTATATATGAGCTTTCTCTAATTTACACAAAATATAATGATAAATATAATATTAATATTAGGGTCTTTCAACGATCTTTTGGATTTGACTAAAGAATCGACTCTTTTCATGTTTGACGTGCCACATAAAATCTTATCCTTTTTCAGGTTAGATGAATTACTCCGCACGAACGGCTCTCGTTTCCACAAAATATGTTTAAAAGAGTATAAAATACATAATTATATACGGTTAAATAATAATTAACGGTAATAACGATAGAGACATAAATCCACACCACGGTCTCGTATTTTTCTACGCGTGTATGTAACTTTCTAACCCTACACGCACGAAGCACTAGCTTCTCGAGATAAAAACAATTATGGTTCTTGTCTATGGCCCTCGTAACTTCTTATGTCAGAGTTACGGCCCAAATATTTTTATCATTGATGGATTTACCCGCAACATTTAGTACAACTTTTCAAACTTGAATGCAAATTGGTTGCAAATAAACGATTGGAACCATAAACTGAATTAGTTTTAACTTCCACCATTTAACAAATTTTGTTTTTTTTTATATCTCTCGCTATAATTTTGTATACCAAATAAATACATGGAACTTAAGTGATTCCAACGATCAACATGATTGTTATCTAAAAATGTTGACCAATTATGAATGCAACAGACGTGACAGCGACGTCTTCTTGGTAGGTACGAGATTAACTTAAAATAATTAACTTAAAACTATTCTTATTCATTTTTTAAAACCTAAACAAATTTCGGGTTAATAAAACTACGTACCTACTATTCGTACGTGTAAACCCTTTATTTAAGTTGAAAGATTAATGTATTAAAGGCCCTTAATTAACAAGAATATAATGGGATGTCGCTGATTTGTTTATACAACGCATTGTGCTTGCTCTGCACGTGCATTTAATGAACTTTTTCGGTCAGGTGGTATTTAAATGAAGTTAAATTTAGATAAGTCAATACGAACTTATCTAATCCATCTATCTAACTGCTACCTAAACACACATGTTCTGAGGTTAATTGCTAATTAAAATTCGTGTCTAGCTAAACCTATTGATGAGAAAACAAGAGAAACCTAGCTGAGTACATAAACCGATTGCGAAATCCGTACGTTGGTTGATTTTATTTCATAAGTATTATATATACTTTGAAAGAAAAAAAAAGTATTATATATACTTAAAGTAATAGGACATCTATAATCTGTAAATAGAACTCCAAAAATAATAATAACACCAATAGGTCGAAATATCCGTGACATTAACACGTACTATTAACAATGTGGAAGAGACAAAAACGACCTCTAAGCACTCCTTCCACGTCTTGCATATCCTATACATATAATATAGAAGAAAACGAAGATTAGTAAACGAGAACTTTAAATTTTATAATTATGTAGTTGGTGTTAAATATATAGTTTCCCAAAAAGATAGATTATGGTGATGGCCCAAGAAGATAGATTACTTAATAAATGGGTCGATAATAAAAGTAAAAAAATTGAGGGGGGAATATGGAATAAACAAGAGTGGGATCGGGGATGGGGCCATAGGATTGCATATTTGTCAGTTTTTCCGGCCGCACGAGCGCACATCTTGTGACCTCCAAAGATTTTCTCGTCCCATTTATTAGATATTTTAGTTGACAGGCAATTGATCTTTTATAGTAGGGTACTAATTTTAGATCTTCACGAAAACACTTGTTGAATAAATGAAAAAAAACAAAGAAAAAATACTTTGGTTCTTTTAATTTTTATTTTAAATAATACAAACAAAAGCAGCTAATTGAAAAAACTTTTGGTTGATATATATATATATATATATAAGGGTCGAGGTCTCTCGAAGAAAAGACAAATAGGTTATATGATTTGAAAATCTTTCACGTCGCTTTCATGCATTAATAAGGAACATGATATTTTTTTCATTAGTAGTGAGTTTTTTTTTTTTTTTTTTTCTTAAAATAGCAGAATCATCGCATTCAAATCTGCCTGATTTCTAGTCCAATTATCCCCTTTTCACGTAAAATTAAAAGATCTTGTTCTATTTCTATTCGTTGGTGAACAAAAAAAAAAATCTATTTCTATTCGTCTTTTATTTTCTTATCACATCTTCTTTATTTTTGATTAACCTTATTAGTAGTGCCGATTTACTAATTTAGCTGTACAGCCTGTACTGTATAGAAGTATACAGAGTCACGAAAATTTTGTAAATATATCATGAGTATATCTGTAGTTGTAAAATCATAAAACATTCTGTTCAAATAAAACCTAACTTTTTTTGGTTGAAAAACAGAAAAGTTTAAATAAATCACAATCTATTATTATTCAATTAATAATTGATCAAACTATAAAAAAATAGGGTTAGTAGATCATTTTTAATATTAAACAAATTAAATCTAAAAAGATTTCAAAATATTGATTACAGAATTTTAAAGTATAATTCGATCCAGCGCAAGTTATTGAACGGCCTGAAGAAGTTAGTTTAACTAAGCCTTAAGGGCCCAATATATTGGGCTCGACTATAGATATTATTATAGCATATATGTTTTCTATACAATTCCGACATGTTGTAACCCGACACTGGACGGCCAGCTGTGCGCAGTGGGTTAGTGTCATGTGGACCCCATGTGTGTTTCGCACCATCTCTCATTATTTTTCTCTTTGTAATGTTAATTTTTTTTCCGTCCCAAAAATCATTTCGTTTCCTTTAATTATTCCGAAATAGTACGCAGAAAAGGATCGTTGATGCAGCTTCCGGTAATAAACTACTCATCCTCAATAATGTCGGCGGATTTCTCCGTCGCATGACCATTGATGCTCAAGCTCTGTTTAGGATTCTTCGTCGCTCTTTTGCAACTTCCTCTCGTTGAATGAGAGTGGTCTATTGTTTTTAGGTACGCTCTTCGCTTTATCCAATTGGATTCGATTCGCTTCTCTCTGTTTCTTTTCTTTCATTTTGTTCCATGGAAATTGATAGATGATTGTTAAATTGCGGAATTGAGTTTTACTCATCCTAGTTGTTTTAGGATATCACTGTACATAGCAGAGAAGTGAGCTGAATCTAGTACTTAAGAAGCTTAGTCAATCTGCTAAATTTTTAGATTTGTCTCTGATTTATCTATCGGGACGATTCTTTTATACATTAGATATCGTTTCTTGTCAATTATGTATCTTGACGGAGTGTTATGTGTTGGTTTATGGATTTCAGACATGAATCACTCAGACCCTGAAGCTGTGGAAAACGATGGTAATTCAGTTCCTGCTGATTTTCCTGACAGATCATCTGAAAATGCAGACACGATCGCAAACGTGAGTGTAGATGGATTATTAGTGTTACCTGATGATGATGATGACCATGAGGAGGGTATTGGATCACCTCAACAATCGAACAACGTTGACGGTTTAGGCGTTGAATCTCCGGGTGGATCAGTGCATTCGAGGAGAAAAGGTTTCGGTCTGAAGAAATGGAGAAGGATCAAAAGAGATGGTCCCGTGAAGGACGAGGCTGCACCTGTTGATGATGGTAGTAAGTTACTCAAGCGTGGATTGACTGGTTTAGTGAATCCTCCTTCTAAACATGTGGACTTGTCTTCAGTTGAAGCAAGGCAGAGTAGTGAAGGCTCTGTTGGATCTGTGAATATGGTGAATAATCATCATCATCATCAACATCATCATGGTGTAGCCAACGGGTTTAGTCCAGATCCAGGTTTTATGTTTACTGTAGGCCAAGCTTTTGAGAAAAGCGAAGAGCATAGCGGTAAGATTGCTTCAGGTAGCCAAGGGAAAATCTGGAGGGATACGATCAAGAATGCAAGTGAAGAGCGGGCGAAAACCGACAAGGGGAAGCCTTGTTCCAGCATTGATTCCGACTTGAGAAGTAGTGATTTTGTGTTTTCCAGTGGCGCAGTTTCTGTTGCGAATAATGGAGAGAAAGATGAGAGGTTGATGATGAATCATGTCGGGGAATATAGCAAAGAAAGTCAAGTTAGGGAGCAAGTGCAAACATATAGCAGAAGCGAAGAAGAAGATGGGAACGAGAGAGAGAAAGACAACCATTATTGGGCAGACAAGGATCAAATTGCAGATTCTGTAAGAAATCTTGCAGCTCTGCAGGAAGCTCTTTGGAAAGGTTTGCTTGCACAGAACAAACCATGAAATTCAATTTGCATTGTTTTTAAGGCTAAAGCTCTCATGTTATATGATATATCTAAACTAACTACTTGATTGAAACATTTTCAGAGGTTCAAAGTTTCCAGGAGCTGGGAAAAGAATTTACGCCGATACATTCGAACACCGATGAATTGAGTTCATCGAACCAGCCAAGAAATGAAAACTGTGGAGAAGAGAACTCAACATCCTCAGGGCCACATGCATTGATCTTGAAGCAGAAGGTAAAACATCTCGAACACAAACTCGAGGAAGCGAGGGCCATTCTCGAGGCAAAGGAAGCCAGGATCCAAGAACTTGAAAACTCAAAGATTGAATCTGATCTTGAAGCCATTTTTCAGAGAAGGATCGAAACTGAAATCGTGCACTTGGTGCTCACAAGATCTCTGAGTTCATCACTACAAGTACTCAAACAACCGAAGAAGGTACATTTTCTGACAGAAGATCCTGAGCCGAACCGTGGAAACATGTTAGGAAAAACATGCAAGTTCAGTTTCTATTTCTTGACACAATTGATCTTGCTCGTCTCCATACTTCGGTTTCTGGTCCTCCAATTCTCTCCTGCTTCACGATTAGTTATACCAACCTGAAAAGGCCGTAGATTTCTTTGTTCATGTTGTGTTGTTACCATTACCAAACATTTTTGTTTTCTTCAGATTTTCATTTTTTGTGTTGTAATAATAAATCTTTAAATTTCAATATGCTTCGCCGAAACACAAAAGCCTTATCTATTGTGTGAAGACTAATTTAATGGGCTGTGATTTAATAAGCCCAAAAGGCTTTTGTTATTGGCTCGCTGATGTTACACGTTAACCTAATGAAAGTAATTAGCAGAAACAAGGATGCAATTAAATTTGTTTCTGGTTATAAAAATGAAGGACCTGGTGTTGTCTACAAACACATAAAAATTAATTGTCTCCACAGGAAAAATTAAAATCTCTCGATTTTGTGGGAGTTTCGATTAATACTTTTTTTCTTCAATTTAAAGAAAAGGATTAGTCTAAAATCTTAAATACGGTCGTCTCTTACCTTTACCAAGACAGCCAAAAGAAAGATGTCGACCGATATTTCACCTTACTCGCAAACTCACGTGGAGCCCGTTAATGGCTATCCGTTGGACAACAAGAGCTGCGACGATTCCTCTGCTTCGGCCAAATACGACGATCTTGTCCGTAGCCCTGCCCTCTTCTGGGAAAAGCTCAGGGCTTTGCCCGGATTTTCCAGCAAAACTTTGAAGTGAGAATCTTCTTTTTCCTTTTCTCGTATTTGTATTTTGGGTTTTGTGAGACTGTTTCGTTGGGTTTAAGTGTGTAGAGGAGAAAACCCTTCTCTATTTTTTCTTCTTGCGCCGATAAAATTTAATGTGTTTTCTTTTTGTTCAATAAATTGTCGAATATATAAGAGATACATGCAAATTTTTGTTCGTATTTCGCTGTAAGATTCTTTAGGGTTGTGAATTTAAGGACCGATGTGTTGATATTGTGTTTGGTAAGATGGAACAGAAGCATTAGATTTTTTGCTAAGTGGAATTTTGAATATTCGAATTAGGGTTTAATGGAATCCGGATTGGTGCATTAAAACACATCCTTTATGCCGATACTTCGTATACTTTACCCCAAAAATGTCACTGTGATTCGTGAATGCAAGAAGTGCGTTATGTCATGTGTAACGCCTGTTTAATTGGGTTTTATCGTCAAATTTGGTGTTTATATGTAGTTCGGACACTATATTGTTCACAAGGAAACTAAATCAAATTGGGTTTGGTATTTACTGATCTCGGTATTGTAATAAAACATTTATGAACAGGTTTAGGCTTTCATGTGTTGTTTTGTCTATTAGTGTTTCCATTGATAATTTTTAATAGAGGTTTGGTTTTGTCCATGTTTTATTCTCTCAGTTTGGATTGAAGCACTTTATGTTTGCGTATAGGGTTCCTACAGTGGGAGGAAACACTCTGGATCTGCATCGGCTTTTCATTGAGGTTACGTCTAGAGGTGGAATTGAAAAGGTAGAAATTTAATGTTGTCAATGTCATAACTCTTCCATTAATCTCGGGAAGAAAAACAAACATTTCTTTTGGGAGAATTATTGTTCCATTGAGTATTGAAATCTGTATTTATTTTTTTTGGTTACTCTAGGTGATTAAGGATCGGAAATGGAAAGAAGTGATCGGTGCATTCAATTTTCCGACAACGATAACAAGTGCATCATTTGTCTTGAGGAAGTACTATCTCAAGTTTCTTTATCAGCTGGAACATGTGTATTACCTTCAGAAACCAGTTTCTTCATTCCAATCAACAGGTCTATTTTCAACACTAAAGTTATATCTCTTTCTTGCATCTCCTTACTCCCTGACATGCTGAGAAGAAGCCACAATTCTAATGATAATTTCACAGATGAAGCAATGAAGAGCCTTGTTAGCGCATCGCCAAATCCCGAGGAAGGTATTATAAAAAGTTTCTCTAAAACTCTGTGGCTTTGTTAGTTTTCATCTCACGGGTTAAAATTTCCTCAGTTAACTTGTTACAAATATGGCTCAATAACCAACTGTATCGTTTTTTTTATTCCTTTTAGGCTGTATCGTTTTTTTTTTACCCATTTTTTGGGTGAATTATAGTCTCTGTTTAAGATTAAATTGTCACATTATGGAACTTGCAGGCAATGATGAACCGCAAATTGGGTGTTCGGTTCACGGATTCATTGACGGGAAGTTCGATAGTGGATATCTTGTGACGATGAAAATAGGTACTGAAGAGATGAAAGGAGTGCTTTACCACATTCCTCAAACACCAACTCAGCCCCAACAAACAATGGAAACACCTTCAGCCACAGGACCATCGTCACAACGCCGGCATAAGAAGAGATCAAAATTGGCAGTAGTTGATTCCCAGAAACCCAAGTGCCACAGGAGTGGCTACAACTTCTTCTTCGCGGAGCAGTACGCTAGGCTTAAACCTGAGTACCATGGACAAGAGCGATCTATCACCAAGAAAATAGGACACATGTGGAGTAATCTCACCGAATCCGAGAAACAGGTAAAACTAATCGTCATCAAATCATAATCCACATTTTTATTTAATCAACCAGTGTTTGATTACAGTTTTGATATAATGTTTTTACAGGTTTATCAAGACAAAGGAGTGAAGGATGTGGAAAGATACAGAACTGAGATGTTGGAATATAGATCTTCACATGAGGCAGGAGCTACTGCTTCTGCAGCAGCCACAGCGGCTCAGTAGTGTTTTCCCTTTTGTTGTCTGCTCTGTTGTAACATTCGACTTTCTTTCTCTAGAGATTTGTTGTTTTTTTGTTAAAAATGTTATGTGTTTGATCAGTTGCAGAACTTGCCATGTTTATGGTTTTAGGGGCTTGGTTAGTGAAGAGGTTACTAACTAACTGCGGATTAGTGTCCTTATTGTTTTATTAGTAAGTAACATTTTGTAGTGTTACCGGCATAGCCATATATCCAGACCAAGATCTAATATCGAAAGCTGAGATTTGGCTAAGATTTTGACAAAACATCATTGTTAGACTTGGTTGGTCCGTAACAAAATCATATTATCTTATAATAATCTAGAATTTTTAATTAACAGGTCTTGAGATTTCTATTGTGGACTTGTGAAGAAAATTATGGAATCGTCTTCCCATGTGAGAAGAAGTAGTAAAAAATGCAAATTCTTGCTACTGTCGGAAGAGAGAGTGCTAATCAAGCAGCGTATATTCTTGGTTCCAATCAGTTTGTCTCTTTGGTTTCTTCGGAAAGAGATTCAGACAAGGAGTTTGGTTCGGTAGATGTTGTGACATCTTTGGATAAAAAGTTAATTTGAAAAAGACCGGCTAATGGTATCTAATAACTCTTTGTCTGAATCTGAAGAATGTCGTGGATGGGAAAACCGAGGTGGACGTGGCTAATGGTTCTAATAACGGAAGATTCGTTTGTGTCTAATCAATCAAGCCAATCGAAACGGAAGATTCGTTTGTGTCTTGTCTACACTTGTAGCTTCTTTATAAAACTTTATATGCTTTCGATGATTCATTTCACTGAGATGCCTCGTCAAATTATTGGAGTGATTATTTTGTATCGAACTAATGTCTTAAATTTTGTTTGGGTTTTCAAAAATTGGGCTTAGAAAGGATGAATGCATATCTGGGCCACATAAATTCAATGTCGGGCCTCGTGGTCCATAAAATAATTCAGTTAGATTGACAGTATATATACGCGCGTAAAGAGTGAGTTGGTTCAGTAACACGCGCCCGAGGAAATAACAGAAACGAAAGAAAAGAGAGTGAATGGAGAAAAGTCGATACATTTGAAAACAAACCAACAACATCGACGCCATTCATCACTATACATAATACAATTCCCCAATTATAATAATCGAAAGATTTTTGAAAATTAGAATCATTAGCCAAAGAAGTTGGGATCGTAGCCGTTGCTGGAAGTGGCTAAGATGTAGTAGGCAACGATGTGTCCGATAGATCCCCAAGCGAGGACATCGACGATGTTGAATCCAACTGGATCATTCGATTTCAGTAGACTCACGTATTCCTTGGCCCGATCGTCGCCGGCTTCGAAGTGCGTTTTCCCGTTCTGCTCCGGTACCTGCTTCGCCACGTTCTCCCTCTGGAAGTTGAAGAAGACGAATCGGCCGAGGAAGAGTGAGAGTCCCGTGCTGAGGCTGATCACGACGGAGGGATTCAGCGCGGATTTCACGACGGCCGAAGAAGATCGTCTACTACCGGAGGCGAGGGAGAGGTTGGGGAGGGCAGAGGAGTTGCCGCCGAGGAGGCGGAGCGGTCGGAGGCCGTGGAAGGAGATGGAATTGGGGTTTCCATGAGGAATTGCGGCGGAGAAGGTTGTAGGAGAGAGTAAAGCAGATGAGCTCGTCGCCATTTTCTTCTGGGAGATTTTGATGCAAGGAGATGAGTGGATTTTGGGAACAGATGTGATTAATAGTTTGACTTTTGGGGAAGAAGTCGATTTTTGTTGGTAAGGATTGAAACATTGTTTGCGGATTTCTGGTCAGTGACGTGGTTGCGTCTCGTTGGTTACTTCTGGATTATAAGATTTTCAGGGGAAATTTTTGCATTAAGGCCCCTGTTTTTATACGTTTCATTCTCATAATTCCCCCTTACTGTGATTATGCTCATACTCGTACAGGCCTAATAGAAAAAGATTTTTTGGTAACGAATACAAAATATACATTATTTACTGCTAATTAGAGACAAATTATGTGTTATTAAGGGTCGAATCATAACGGACAAGAAATACTATAGTTTAGTGCTTTAGTTAAAGCATCTCCACATTCTAAACTCAGAACCAATTCAAAAGGAACTTTTAACACTCGAGTTTCTACAACAACCCCTTGTACAAGAGAAAAATAAAAAGACTCACACCACAAGCCACCAAACAGAGCAATATCTCCGGATCCCACACCGACATTGAACCTGGGTCCAGCTGCAGCAACACCACGTCCTAATCCAGTCTGTGCCACCACTGAACCGTTCTATACACAAACCGAGCTTGAACCTTTAGAGACTGGACAGAAGGAAACAACACACCAGCCGGCAAAGGAAACAAAAGACACTAACTACTAGCATTTGCACAACACATCATTTACACCCTTTAAGAGATCCATTATATCTATGCTTTGCTTCCGTCGTGGTCACCGGTTACTATATGAGCTCTCTTTTATTCCTTGAAAGGGTTGCGTATACTCCTCTTCTTACTTAAAGAAACGAATCAATGTAGGAATAGTTCCTGCGCCGATGATACTCAAGGAGGCTACCATAAGTGCGGTCCCATACCCCAATGAAGAGCGATTCTGTGTCAGGGCTGAAAGATATTCCGGAGATCTCCCCAAAGAAGTCGATTTCCTGCTCTGTCTCATACCCGTTTGAAGCGTCAAATACATGGACAAAGTCAGCCGGTTCAGCCATCGCCATGTATTTCCCATCGGATGTGTAGCGGATGGACCGGATTGCTCCGAGGTTACCCTTCAAGACAGCAACGGCCTGAGATAGGTTACGGATATCCCATACACGACAGGTCTTGTCCTGGTTTCCAGTTGAGAAAGTGATTCCGTCAGGGTGCCAAGCTGAGGCAAAGGAATAGTCCAAATGTCCTGACAGTGTTTCCAGCGTCTGTAGAGGAAATTCCAAAATAATTGACATTATAAAGCACATGCCTAGTGACCTAACCATTTTGAGGCAAATTTACACACTTGTGACCAGGATCGCGCAAATGTGTACCTTTCCCGTGTTGGGGTCTACTATAAGGCCCTCTGGGTTGTCCCCAACAATAGCCAGTAATTTACCATTAGGACTCAAAGATGCGTGCTGTACCATACAAAAGAACACCATTTCTGTTAGATTATTCAAAGCATATGTGTATTTATCACTTGGAATTGGTAAACTGAAGAATGGGGTTATAAAAGCTAACTGATACTCAAATTATTTGCCGCAAGTGTATTAGATCAGACTTATGCTAAATCAAAAGCAAAACCATGAATGAAGCGAGAACTTTACATTCACTGGCCAAGGATAACGAAAATGCTGAACAAGCTGGTATCTCTCCATGTCAAAATCTCTAACTCCACAGTCATTATTCGAGGCAGTAAAATGAAGTGCACCGCTAAAAACAAAGAACAAAAACTAAGTTAGAAGCAGTAACTCTAACAATTTCCCCTTCAGTAAAAGACGAGCAAAAACCTGGGTTTGTTGTAGATCTCAATGGCATTGGTAATAGCATTATCATCATAAGTCGTACGAGAGCAAAAGCTGACGCCCGGTCTATCAAGATGCTGAACCAATGAGGAAAGTGGACACAGAAGAGGCTCATCAGTGAGAATGCACGTAGCTAATGTGACTAATCCGTAATGAATAAAACTGGACTTACCTTGCAAATAAGTTCTCCTTGAAATCCACCAGCAACTAGAAAGTCGTCCTTTACTGCAAGTGTACTCACTTGAGTCTGCGTAAATCCTTCCAGCAAACTTCCAGGATGTTTCTAAATGCACCAAACAAGAAGAAAAAAAAACAAGTCAGAATCACATAATCATATTACAGGTAGAAATTTACATTCTGGCAAAAACTAACCTCGGATGGTGCAACATGACCGCGAACATTGAGAACTTCCTTCTTTCCGGACGTTAGTGAAGAATAATGTGTTAGCAGGAAATTTGACATAAGATACACGTCGTGCTTGGAAGTTGCCCACACCAAATTCCTCAACTATAAAACCCATAAAGATTCTTGATCAGATGGAATTTTCTAGCAACATATAAATTTTATGTCCTCGACCATGTCAAACACGATACATATAAATCGAATCACAAACAAAATGACGATCAAGTAGTCCAAATTAGCTAACTCTCAAGTCTCAATATTATAAAGAACCTGGAAATGAAGTATAGTGGATTTAATAGATCTTGAATTCCGCCAGAAGTCATAAAACTGTCCCCCTTTCTGTGTGACCTTGCAAACCTGAATTTCACACCCAAAAGAAATGATACACTAAGTAGCTGTGCTAACCTGTACACTAACAAAAAATGGAGTATCAGAGAATGTAAAAGTCTTACTTTCTCCGATGATTCCCCAGAGTTGGGGACATTTTCATAATTCTTGTACTGTTCTAATCTAGTTTGTCTGTATTTCTCTCTGGAAATACTAAGCCTGTCCCAAGGAATCCCCTGGATATCTTTCCCTTTACGAGCCTGCTCTGCCGAGGTATCAGCTATTTTATTATCCTGAAACCATGTAAAACGAAACTGTAAGGTAAGGCAAAAGAAGAAGAAGAACAAAGGCTGAAACAGAGATCATAATGAAGTAGCATAGCCAACAAAATAGATAAGCCGTGATCACGCATACGTACCGAGAAGTCAAATTCCTCAACATCGGAATCTGATGCACCTAGATCATCGCCACGAAACTCCTCATCCATATCATCTTCTACATCTTCCATCTCATCATCTACGTCCTCCATGTACTCAGCATCGTCTCCTTGATAATTGGACATTTTCTGTTTAGCAAGTAAATAGAGGCACCTGCAAATATCAACACAAAAACCATATTATTAAAGCATCTCCAACACGAGAATCCACCATATCAATATTCCTACTCCAAAACGAGGCGTAAACTTGCGCATAAATAGTACCGAGTAAACAATTGGGGATATTAAAACAGCAAATGCAAACAAAACACTAATCAAAACTTGCAATCCCTAGATTACCAAAGATCAATGTCTATGCCCATCGTAATCCAGTTCCTACACACTTGCAAATTAAAAATTCCACAACCCCAAGCGCGAAAGCATAGAATCGGGACACTAAACATACAAACGAAGCAGAAGAAAACCCAATCTGAAACAATTAATTCACCCAGTTCATCCGCAAACACAAACCCTAACAATCATAACATCAAATTCTAGACATACGATAACGATTCAGAGAAAAAAAGCATATATGAAAATCATAGATCAAGGTGGGACAAACCCTAGAATTGGCAGGAATCAAAACGAAAACAAATTGTGCACTTCTTTGTTTCGATCTAGAGATTGAGAAATTTCAGCAACAAATCCGGAAATCTAGTCCTACTTTCAAATTCGGGTTCATGTGAAAGAAATATCTCAAGGGGTAGCAACGGGATCGGCCGCCAGAGAACAAACCAAAACGAGAAAACGAGAAGAGAGAGAGGAACAGCAAAAATTATCTATCTTCCTTCACAGCCCAATTAAACTTCATGAGTGGAAAGGGACGGTCCGTTTTTTTTTTTTTTTTTTTTTAAAGAAAAAAAAAATTGAAAAGCTAACGAAATCTAGTGATGCTTGGAAGTTAATTAATCAACATTCATATCTACAATTTGTATATGTTATTACGAGATTGGCTTGGAGACATTATGACATATTCACCCTTATCGCCGGATCCAAAACTTAGCAAAGATGAAATTTTTGGATTAGATTACGAGGACATGTTTGTCCTTCTTGGAGAGATTTTGGTTAACATTATCTTCGGAACATAGAGAAGACGATAGTATTATTTATTATAAAAAAAAATCACGTCGTGTAATGGGTCCCATCCAAAATCCGGTATTTTTATATTTACACTCAGAAAACTCACAGTTCGATGTAAATTCAATCTCGCAAGTACATTACAACTTGATGTAGATCAGTAGATGCAACTTCGATCGTCAACAAATTTTTTTGAAGAATCATAAAATTCTAGTTTAAAGTATTTTACAAAATCTTAGATGTTGTTAGAAGTGTAGAACTTATATCAGGGTGAATCAGAATAGGGTTCATAAGAAGGATTCCACTCCTCGAGTCTCCTCGGTCGCATTGCGAGGACTTTAAAAAGATTCCAGGATCATGCAGTTTTGCTAACGTTTCGTTCATCTTTATACAGTTTTCATCATCGTTTCGTACTATTAGCATTTCTTTATTTTTTCCATGAAAGCGATTCAAACATGGAATCAAAACTATGTCGGCTTATTGTTCATGAATGCCAGTGGCTGGCCTTTTCGGGTTGTTGGGCGGCGCATGGGTCATATCATAAATGGGCTCTGTTGGGTCATATTATAAATGGGCTAGAAGCCTGTTTCAAGCATAACGGCCCACGCCAAAAGGAAACAAAAAAAGATTCGCCGTTGCCGGGGATCGAACCCGGGTCACCCGCGTGACAGGCGGGAATACTTACCACTATACTACAACGACTTGTTGCTTGTTTCCTCATTTTTAACAATATAATGAATAATCTTTTAAACTCCAGGACCAGGTGGCAATATGTTTTCCAATCGACTGTATTAATGAAAATCAATAATTTGTGGAAATTTAAGCTATCAAGAGAGGTTTCCCTAACGTCTTTTTTGGCTTTCAGATTTCGTCAATGAATCTGTTCATTTTTTTTTTTGCCAACCCCAAGCCTGTAACAAAAATAATAATCATCATCATCATCATATATATGCATGTATATGTTTATAAATCATGTTAATTCGATGAACAATAGTCTATAGCTGCATAGATGTGTACACCTGTTGACAAAAACAAAATATCCACCTATGCATATATGTGTCTCCAGATCACGTTGGGAATTAAAAATCAGAATTTAATGGCCGTAATTACTTGGACAGTACTGGGTTCGAAACTAATTGTTTGGATTCACAATAGAGGACAATGTGAACCATTTTCAAAAGTATGGGTGCGTATCGAAATATGGGCAAGATTGAAAGGATCAATGGGAATTACTTATTAGTCGGTTCGGAGTGTGGTATAACCTGCCGCGCCAGTTGCCGGTAGTCAGTCAACGGTAAAGTCAATACTCAATATCTTTTCCTAAGAGAAAAAAAAAAAGAGAAGAAGCCAAGTTGTTTACAATCTATGGTATGTTGTTTTGGCCTTTTCTTCGATATCATTTTTCTTGCTTGGAAAGAAAACAAGAGAAAAAACTAAAAAGGCAAACACAGCTTTAAATTCAGCGTCCGAGAAGAAGAAAAAATTACATCAATCTACAGAAAATCGAGAGGACCAAGACCGAGGCTGAGAAGAAGAAGAGATGCATCTGTACAATGGATGGTTACCGCCGCCTGTAGCGGAGGAGACGAAGAAGGAGAAGGAGTCATTCGCGCGGGTCGTGAGATGCGTCAAAGAGTTGCACCGACCGGAGGATCCAGAGTCTGTTTACGCCACTCTTAAATGGATCTCCGTTATCGAACTGTGAGTCCTCGATTTTGCGGTTTGATTGCTAGAACCTCGTGAAAATTTCGTTTTTTGTTGTTGTTGTCTCGGGCTCTTTCTCGCTCGAATTGCGTGTTTCTTATTGGGATTTGAAAAACATGGATGATGAATTTAACTGAGATTAGCTCGGTCCCAGAATTGGGTCAGTATATAGATATGAATTGCAGGGTTTTTGGGTTCTCGCGGCTCAGTCTGTACACGACTAGGACTGAAGTGAAACTTAAAAATGTGGGACTAAAATCATTTTTAGTTGGGTGAAAATTATACTATAATCGTGCAATCTGGTCGTGTGAAACCATTTTATAGACTGGTTCTGCTGGATTTCTGGTTATCTAGTAGTAAATTGCTTCCTGTAGCTTTTCACTTTGTAAGTTGGGCATAGTTGGTTCTTATTGCGATGCACTTGGCTATTGTCTGTGGCTGTCCATAGTCCCATGACGTTTTTTCCCCTGTTTGCAGATATGTTAGAGCGAAAAGTGAATTGTCCGTGGAAGATGTCAGTGAGCTCGTAGAAATTGGCTTACAAATTTTTCATTCATCTCAGAATAAGTTGTATGCACAGGTTCGAAAACTAATACCAGAATGAACTCCAGCTACTTGCCCTGTTCCGTATATACTCTTGCCTTTTCCACTTTTTCTATGCTTAACTTTCGAATAATCGGTTTTGGTGTCATAGGTTAGATGGGGTAATGTCTTAGTCAGATTGATGAACAAATATCGTAAGAAGCTGTCTTTGAAAGTTGAGTGGAGGCCCTTGTATGACACCTTGATTCATGCACACTTTAGCAGGTGAGTCCTCTTTGAATATTTGGCAGGCATATAAATGTGGGGAAATTGTGTTTGCTACAATGTTTTCAATTTTTTTTTTCTTTTTTGTAGGAGCCCGGGCCCTGAAGGATGGAGGTTAAGACAACGACACTTTGAGGCTGTTACTTCTCTCACTCGTTCCTGTAGGAGATTTTTTCCACAAGGGGCTGCATCGGATATATGGTCTGAATTCATGTAAGTTGTTGACACGAGATGTTTATTAGATGGTAGTAGTGCTCTTACTGATATAAATCCGTTAGTGTTCTCTAGTATTGTCACGAATATTATTACAAAACCATCATGATCCTATCTGCTCTAGCTTGCATTATATGTGAAAGCACACTGTTTATATCTGTCTATGCTATGGACAAAGAGTTGGAAAAAGAAGGGAAAGTATTGTAGGAGGCATCATGTTCATCATCACATACCTGTATGGATGTCTTTTCTCAGTAAAGGTCAAGGCAAGAGTCGTTCCTTCTGTAGTAGACGCAAAGGGATTAAATTTAAGCTTTTTAATAGACCCCTTTACAGAGCAGAAGTGATTTTGATTAGACCTGCTTTATCTCCTTAAGATGTTATGCGTAGCTTGATTGCTCACTGTGATTAGTCTACTAAATGCTATAGGTCTGCTCACCTTTTTCACCTTCTTCTACCCACGTTCAGGTCTCTTTTGGAAAATCCTTGGCATAATTCCTCGTTTGAGGGTTCTGGATTTGTGAGATTGTTTCTTCCCACAAACCCCGAAAATCAGGATTTCTTTTCCGAGTAAGGACAAAATGTTTATTGGTGATCAGTGATATCTCTTGTTATCTCACATTTTAATGAATTTAAACTCTTTAATTTCTCTTTTTCTGACCTTGTAGAAAATGGATAAAAAAATGTCTCGAGCTCTGGGATTCGATACCAAATTGTCAATTTTGGAACAGTCAATGGGCAGCTGTGCTAGCTCGTGTGATAAAAAACTGCAGTTCTATCGACTGGGAGTCCTACTTGCCGATGCTTTTTAGTAGATTCTTGAATATGTTCGAGGTGAGTGAAGTTTTCCTAGTGTTGCTCTTCACTTTGGAGTTCCATCCTGAACGACAAGAGATCTTGACGTCATTTTTACTTTGGAAGAAATATATAATATTGCTCTCACGAAATGTATATGGAATAGCTGAAGTTAAAGATAAAAAAATATGCTTCAAAGGCAGCTGGGCATGTAAAGAGAACAAAAACTAAACGAGATTGGAATGCGTCTTGCTCTTTGTCGTCTCCTAGATTTGTGTATTCTACTTTTCTCCATACACCGGATTCTCATTAAATTCAGTTTTAGGTTCCTGTTGCAAATGGAAGTGGATCATACCCTTTTTCAGTTGACGTTCCCAGAAACACAAGATTCTTGTTCTCTAATAGAACTATCACTCCATCAAAATCAATTGCACAGTCTATTGTAAGTTGATTGAAATTTTCATTTTACTGAATTCGTGTGCTGTATCTTACTAATAAAGTCTCCACGGGGTGCTTTTCCTGGCTTCTGTTTCAGGTATACTTTCTGAAACCTGGAAGTTCGGCACATGAGCACTTCAAGAAATTGGTCAACCTTTTAGAACAGTTTGTTTACTTAAACA